ATAGCTTTATATACTTTAGTAATAGCTTAAAGGCATTATAATTACTTTACTATAAGTTATTTAGTAACTTCTCTAAGCTTACCTTAGACTTAAGTAGGTATATAAAATATATCTATACTATAAGTAATAATACTTACTACTATATAAAGAGCTTTTCTACTAAAGTATATACTACTTTAAGCTAAGGCTAAAAGTATAGTAAGAGTAAGCTACTATATAGCTAATTTCTTTTTTATTTAAGCTTTATAATAGTTCTACTTTAGCTTTTTATTAATTTAAATACTTAGAAACTTATAGCTCTTTTTAAGTATAATTTTATTAGCGCCTAGCTATATTTAAGTTTAGTATAGCTTTTTAGCTTAGCTAAAGTATAGCAGCTTACTTTTTACTAAGTTAAATTTAACTTTTATTTCTCTTGCCTAAGCTATATATATATTTTAAGCGCTCTTAAGCTGCCTCTAAGTCTACTTTATATTTCTTCTAAATACTAAAATATTTATATTATTAGTAAAGCCTACTACTATAGTTATATTAGCTGCTTAAAGCTAGATATATAGTAGTATAATATATAAAAGAAAGAGAATAAGTAATAAAGGCAAGCTCAGCTTTATAGTACTTTAGCTAGAATTTAGTATACTTTTAATATTTATTTATTAAAGTAAAGCTAGCTTATTTTTAAGTTAATAATAGCTTAAATATAAGCTATAAGTTATTTTAGTACTTTTACTTTAAGTAATATAGTAAGTAGCTTTAAGTAGCTAACTATATTAAATACTTTACTAATATCTAGCTATAGTAGTAAGGTAATACTATACTAGCTTTAAGCTATTTTTACTACTTTAGTAACTACTCTTAGTATAACCTCTATTAACTTATTAGCTTTATTACTTATTTATATATTTAGTAGTATACTCTCTACTTTAGTAATAGCTATAATTTAAGCTGCTATTATAGTCTTTAATACTTTACTTATAATATTAAGTAGTAATATAAAGTACTACTTTTTAGCTTACTTTAAGTCTATAAGTATTTTCCTAGGCTTATAAAGAATAACTACTTTAGTAGTTTGAAACTAAGCTAGAAAATAAGTATATTTAGCTACTTTAGCTAGTAAGTAGGTAAAAATATTTATAAAGAGAGCTTTATAAGCTTTTAGAAAGCTAGCTAGTATTTTATTATCTCTAGAGGCTTTCTAGCTTACTATCTTTATAAAGGCTTTATATATATTAGTATTTATAAACTATTAGTTTACTAGTATAAATATACTATTAAGCTAGTAGAAAGCTAAAAGCTAAGTTTATTATATTATTAATATTAGTAGTTAGCTTTAGAAAGAATTATATAGTAAGAATATCTACCTTTTTCTCTAAGTATATAGCTAGAAATATATAGCTAAGTTAGCTATATTAAGTTCTTTATTATAAAGTAGAGCTAAAAGCTATATAAGTTTAAGTAGTATATAGCTATATAAGTAGGCTTATCTTTCTAGCTGCTATATTTTATTATTTCTTATATTTATATAGTAAAGAGTTTTATACTAAGTACTTTTATATTTCTTAGTAGTAATTTAGCTTTATATTAAGTTAGCCTCTAGGTAGTATTTCTAGTTAGCTATTATTTATTTATAGTACTATATTTATCTTACTTTTTTTATATTTAATATTATCTTTATTATATATTAACTTTACTACTATTTCTAGTAAGAAAGCTTTAGTGCTTTTTTTAGTATAGCTTTATTTACTATCTTCTAAAGTTATTATACTATTTAGTCTATATACTTAAGTTAAGTTAATAGTACTATTTTTATCTTTATATTTTTGCCTTATAAGTTCTTCTTTTAGTATTACTAAGCTAAGCTACTATTAAGCTATTATTACTAGTAGTTCTTTATAGCTCTAGCTAGTTCTCTTTAGCTTATTTTAAAGTAAGTACTTAAGGTTAAAGTCTCTAACTAATATATACTTATCTTAAGCTTCTCTTGCCTTTATATTATATAAAGATATATTTTACTTCTTACTTTTATAAAGTTCTAAGTATAGTAATATAACTTTAATTCCCTTAATTTTTATATTAGCTTAGTCTTTACTATTATTCTTAACTAACTATAAGCTAGGCTTATATTAAGTATAAATATATACTATATTTCTGCCTTAGTAATATACTAGCTTATAGTTATTAAGCTCTAGGCTAAAAGGCTAGCTTTATTTTATTTATTTCTATTTTTATATTACTATTAAGTTAATATTAAGCTAGTAGCAAAGCACTATATAAATAAAGTTATTTTTTTATTAATATTTTAATATAGTATCTTAAGTATTTTAAGAGAGTAGAATAATATTAATTCTTAGTATTATAGTATTTCTTAGCAATAAAAAGCAGCTTATATATAGTAAAATACTAGCTAGTTATTAAGCTAGAAGTATTATATTCTTAGTTTTATTTCTACTCTCTAGTAAACAGCCTCTCTTCTAGGTAGGCTATTCTCTGCCTAACTTTAAGTTAGAGTTAATTATAATCTACTAGTAGTAGTAGTCTAAGTGTTAGTAGTCTGCGAACTTTATTAGGCGTTCTAGGTATCTCTCTTTAGCCTTATCTTAGTGCTTCTTTAGGACGGGGCAGGCTCAGTCCTAGGCTGAGTGTGCTCTGTCGCATAGGGCGCACTTTTCCCTGACGTTACCTGTAATCGTGGGACACAATTGTTCTCCGTCTGTATGGCGCCCAGCGATTTATTTATTATAATAAAATAAAGTTTATAGTATATTAAGAACTAGCTTTATAAGTAACTATATATAAGTATTACTAGTATTAACTATAAACTTAAGAAGAGAAAAGAGAGAAAGAGAAAGCTCTCTATTCTCTCTTTTCTACTTATTATATATATATATATATAGATTTAATATATATTATATTTAAAGAGTATTTAATAAAGCACTAATATAGTGCTTTATACCTACTTAAGCCTACAGCTGAAGTCTATTATACTTACTATTATAAATTATTTACTAAAGCTACTACTTATTAATTTTCTACTAGTTTAATATTATAAACTTATTATTACTATTATTTTAAATAATAAATTAAAGTACTCTCTTAATATTAATAAAATATATTTATTACTCTAGATAGCTGTTATAGCTATATAACTAGTATATCTGCTTTTTATTTTAAGCCTAGAAAACTCTCTAATAGAAAGAAAAACTCTGCTTACTACTGTCTTATATTTAGGCTTTATATTATATTATAATATAAAGCATTTTTATTATATAATTAATACTAAACTATATATTTCTCTCTATTTATCTTTAACTTTATTACCTTAGTATAATATATAGCAGCTATATTATATACTAGCTTAATTTTCCCTAGCTCTAAAGCTCTAGGCTCTACTAGCTAATTTTTAAGGTAGGCTTAGCTTAATTCTACCTCTTAATTATAAAAAAAAGTTTATAAGTTAACTAAATTTCTAGGTAACTAGGCTAAAAATTTAAGTGCTTTTAGCTGGGTTTAAACTAGCTCTCTATAGAGCGGGACAGAGCTCTATAGCGCTTAACTACTACGCTATAGAGGCTATTAATAAAACAAAAACTAGTAGCTTAAAATCTAGCTTAAATATTTATTATTATAAAGACTTTCTTAAAGGCTTTCTTATAGACTTAAATAAATTACTATTTTTACTATAGTAATAATATAGGAAAATAAATAAAGCTAGCTTACTATTAATAATAGTACGTCTTTAAAAGCCTAAAAATACTTATATTTAGTAGCTATATAATATATAATATATTAGCTAAAAGAAAAAGAAGCTATATATAATTAATATAAGTAGTATATATTAATTTAATTAAAATATATAGCTTAGTGCTATTTAAAATAAAAAAATACTATAAGGAGAGGTTTTTAAGTGTTATTTCTAGTAAGAAAACCTTTTTAAACTATTTTATCATAATTTAAGTATTAGTTTAACTAAGCCCTAACTACATGACTAGCTGCGATGCACAAAGGTTGCAGCTATCACGACGCCCTCATAGGCCACTATTAGGCTCGGGCACCAAGGCAACGAGACGCAAAGGGCCGTCACCCCTTAGCTGCCCAGTCAGGTTACACACATAGGGTCCATCTTGTATATAAAGCCCTTGTTGGTCGGGTCCGTCTGGTTGAGGAACGAGGGACGTTTGAGACTAGACGATACTCCATGTGTGAATGCAAGTTATTCGCTCTAAGCCATAATCTCTATAACCAGCCCTTGTCACACCCGCGGCGCCGAGCAGCAGGGCTAGGCAAACAATATAGTGATGGCGCGAGGAGTTGGAAGGGAACAGTAGGTAAATGATATAGGCTGAAAAAGGAGAGCGTTTCCTCTAGATATATTTTGTAGCAGAAGTATGTCTAACCTCTTAGATATATTTTCCTCCTTTAGGGCTATTTATAAGACTCTAGAGCTTAGAGTCTAGAGGGAAATTCTAGGCTCTATGTATATAGAGAAGATGGCTAAGAAGCTACTACAAAGTAAAGTAAAACTATAGTTAGCACTACTATAGATGCGATATTTATGCGTCAGCTAGGAGCAGGGAACTTCTTAATGCGCAGGTAGCAAGGTCAAGGGGAAGTAGAATTCACATGTCGCAGAGATAAACTCTCTTTTTGGGGCAACTTCTCTCTCGTCTCTTTGACTTCAAACCAGTCGTATCCACCCCTATAGTCATGCTCAGCCTGCAGTATTTTGCCGCACGACACAGGCTCGTGAGTCGTCCCCTTTTCTGTTGTTCCATCTATCCGGGACCGGCTACAACGAGCAACGCCGGGCAACGGGGCCCAGGGCCACGATGACCAAGGCGCCTCAGTCACTGGGTCAGGTTACGCACCACGGGACATGTCATGTACGTGTGTATACGCGGGAGGACTTCGTTTGTCGCGAATACACGTCGCCGGCCTAGTATCCCCCCCCTTCAGCTAGCACTAGAGCATGGCGAGGCTACTCTGGTCAAGTTCTTCGCAGCTTGCTACACAGGTATCTGGAGCTCACACAGCACATATCCATCCACAGCTTTCTCGTTACACTTAGATCCTCCCCCACCCGCAGTGCAGTCATCATAGACTTTGCGGCGTCTCTTGACACACAGGGCATGCCCTTTAATCCCCGGCACGAGGTCTTGCTCGCGTTCCCTTTTTGTCCCTTGTTGTCTCTCGCAATCTTGAAAGTTCTTCCTGACATCATGTCGGCATGCAAAATTTTGGCACTTTCTCCACGTGGGCGAATACTTTTGTAGACAGTATTGGTTCGCCCGCTGTATGCATTGGTAGGCCTCGTGACGGATCCTGGCTATGCAGGGTTCGTCTTCGTCTCGACACCGTTTAACCGCGGCCCGGTACTGATCGCTGCACTTTTGCAGCTCGGGCGTATCCTTGCCGGAGCCCTGCTGCTCCGGCTTGGGCGTCGGCTGCTGTGACGATGCGTCGCAGCCCTGGCTCCACGTCTTGACCTTTGCTTGCTCTTCTGCGGCGTTGAGCAGAAACTCCATCAGTCCCACCATGATGTAAGTGAGGTCGTCCTTGTACTCCGTTCGTTTGGGGTAGAAATACTCCTGGCAATTGCCGGTGTACGTCTTGTTCTTGCCGAACTCAAAGGTCAAGGCATTGATTCTGTTGCTGCCGCATGAATGGCTGTAGTACTTGGCCAGGGCCTCGTCGGTGCTGCCCAGCGCCGGGTACAGGTCCATGATCTCGGCCGCCATGTACCGGTCCTCGTTGGCCTCGCGGTTCATGGCCCTGACCATGCGCTTCGAGGCGGCCTTTTGGGCATCAAAGTCCTCGGGCTCCATGTACTCCTTGTACATGTCTCCCTTGAGCCCGCGCTGGCCGTCGTATTTCCTGTTGCGGAAGCTCATGCCCGGGTCCGTCGTCTGCGTGTAGTCGTCTCCCCACCCGTAGAGGACCTGTCCCAAGTAGGAGTGAAGGTCGAGATACCACCGCAGCGACCTTACCCTCTCAAAGACGATGTTGACGCTCTGCGTCTCGGGCTCCGAGAAGGGACTCGGCCCGATGTACGAAGGTGCCCAAGGGGTTTTGCTCATCCGGGAGCGCACGCCAGCACTCGGACTAAATATGCGCTCGTAATCCCAGAGGACGTTAAAGTTGCGGTTGATGTCGACGCCGACGCCGTGCTTGCCAAAGGACCGGCGGTTCTTGCGCCAGCACGAGTTGGTCGTCTGGTCGTGGTGGATTCCGTCCGGGTTTACGGCCGGGATGACGGCGATGCCCGCGCTTAGCACCCGGCGGACCTGCTGGACGCTGTACTCCCTGCTGCCGTACCTCAGGCCCGCGTTCTTCTTGTCGGCCCAGAGGAGGTCCGCAATCAGGTACACCATGGCGTCTGGTCCTCCGCGCTCGCGGGGGTGGATGCCGCTGGTGAGGAAGACCGCGGGCGACTGGGAGCCGACGACTGCGTAGTAGATGGGGCGGTTCTCGAACGTCTTTTTTTCTGCCTCGGTGAGCGTCATCTTGCCCGGGTACGCCTTTTCGAGGCGCTTGAGCGCCGACTCGATTTCAGCGAGGCTCAGGATGGACAGCTGAGAAGCGTCTTTGAAGGCTTGAGGGTCGGAGCCAAGGCCCCAGGGCACCTTGTGCTCGAAACGGTCTCCTTTGCCGATGGGCACGTAATCTCCGCCCCTCTGGCGCCGTTCGAGACCGACCGGCTTGCTGTCGCCGTCGCCCATCTCCTCGGGGAGGAGACAGCCGTTGGCGACGTGGCCCAAGGCCGCGAACCAGAGAGCGGTTTGGAGCTTCATGGCGTCTTGCTCCGGAGGCGAGTGGGTCGACTATCAAGAGAGGGACGAAAGGAGAGACGTGATGTGTTTGCTGTTGTTGTTACAGCGATTCTTTGGTTGTGCCTCTGTAGTAGACGCGTGGTCCAACTTGACCCCTTCCATCTAATCTAGGTGCTTCCTACGGGGTGATATAAAGAAATCCAGAGTCCAGAGTCCAGAACCTAGGAAATTACTAGCCCCACGCGCGCAGCTGAAAAACCACCACGAAAAGAGACACGATTACAGACGAGACTGTAGATGCGACATTCATGCCGCGGCTAGGACTAGGGGATTCAGTAGTTTGCCAGTCAGTGGAGGTTAAGCAGAATACGCGCGTCGCCAAGATGACCACTTTTTTTTTTTTAATTCTTCTCTCTCGTCTCTCTTAATTTGAAACTAGGTTGTGTCCACTTCCATGGTCATGCGCGGCCGGCAGTTATTTCGTCGCACCTCTGATGTTTTGCCCAGCTGTCGTGTCATAATCTGCCGTTTGAAGTAAAGTGCAAAAGGCAAAAGGCAAAAGGCAAAATGCAAAATGCAGCGCTTAGCGTTTAGACGTACACAGCAGGGACAACTATAATAATAACACAAGTGTATAACACAATAAGATGACAAGACAACTATATAATAATAACTATATAACAACACACTACATAACGACAACACAAAAAACATGACAACAACATCAACATAGTCACATCATCGTGATGGCGTGAATCTCTTGCCACCCTGGGCGACACGCCGGCCCAGCTCAGCGGCATGCCAAGCGCCCACCTCTCAATTTTACTTTTTACCATCCCGTCCAGTCCAGCCCTGCCTGCCTGCCTGCCTGCCTGCCTGCCTGCCTGCTGCATTGACGCTCGATTCATACACCGCCGCAACTGGCATTGCGTAAATATCCTTAATTTCATGCCCTCGCACGAGCGATATTGTGAATCACGTGTACCACACCACCGGCGCAGTCCAGCCGGCTATCCACGCGTCTGACTCGACACTTTTCCCGGTTTATTTCCCTTGAATCGTCGGCTCCAGGCCGATTTCTGATTCTAGTTTGCAAAGTGGGGAACGGTGGAGTCTCAAAAACTTGCTGCGACAGACGACTCACGCAGAGGAGAAAACCTCCACGGACAAAGATGCCCGTACTCGTGACGTTCGGCGAGCTGTCTGGGCATATTTTCTGGTTCCCGCTCCGCCGGTCCGGTCGTCGAGCTCCCACCGGAGCCGCTCCCTCGTCTCTCCCCGGTGGGGGCGGAACGGCAGGACCTGAACCCCGTACTCTGTACTCCGTGCCGCCACGTGACATCAAGGTCTAGGGCAGCTGGCAGCCCTCGATTGCCGCGGCGGCCTCCTCGGAATGACGTCACACCCCATTCGTCGCCGCGAGTCCCGCGACGAGCAACTGTTCGTCGAAATACGCGCATTGAAAGGGCCTGCGCCGTCACGTCAGAGCCAACCGGAGGCATCAGAGTCGACCGCCGCGCACGTTGGAGAGTGGAAGCTTTCCATCCGTCGTTGCAACTGCGCCCGTTTGAATTCTACTTGGCCATTCGCCGCTGTCCGACTAGAACGCAACCCTCACGCTCAAGGAACAGAGGGAAAGTGACTCGGTACGAGGTCCTGGAGCTTGCCGTCGAGCATGGAGTCGTAGTCCATTGTCCCGATTTCCCCCGGCAGAGTACAGGTGTACACGTCGCCATCCGCACGTGTGTCGTCGGCATTGTTTGGAAAACCAAAACCCCTTCCGGGACGGGTCTAGCCAGGGCACCCCTTTCCAGCACGTCACGAATCCTTGTTTGGATCTGTCCCGCGACGGTGCGTTTCCTGTTGTGAAAAACCAGTGGGATACCACCGGCGGTCCGGCCTTTCTGCGAGGGAGCCACTGTCAGAGGACGTTCGTTAGGCACAGCCGAAAGGACGACAGAATAGTAGACTTAGCTTTCTGCTAGCTTAATAAAGTGCTGGTACTAGTAGATTAATAGTTTATAGAAGCTGCCGCAGACGTAGGTTCAAATTCCTGGCAAAGGACCGGCTCCGGGTGCCGTATTACGCGGCTCATTTGATGGCAACAGGTCATGTCGTTTGTTACCCACTCACTCGTGTACGACCAAGAATATTTTCCGTCGAGACATCTTTCCGCCCTTGGAGGAACACGGGGTCTGAGGTTTGTTCTAGCTCCCACCGCGTCCTCGGGCCAGGGAATTCAAACAGCAGTAGACATTGGAAGGCAGACCAGTAACAGGTATATTGGAAGGTCGTAATATATTTCTTGTGCTCCCTTTTCCCTCTGCGACCCCAAGGGGCGACTGCGTCGCTCGTATCCGTATCCGGTTTACGCGTACTCGGGAAAACAGCACCGGCTGCATACTTGGTGCCGGGCTTGCTGTTGGCCATTGGTTCTTGTCAAATGCTTCGCACCGTCAATGTATTGGACAACAAGAGGTCACTGCCAGCTTCTCCCCCGTTGAAGCCCATCATGTCCTTGTTGCGTCCAAGGGCCATGAATCCGGCCTGGCGCGTAGTTCTCGCTCAGGGCCGCGGGGCTGTGCTTTCATCAAACGGAAGCGCAAGCGCAATATATTTGTACCAAGAGGGTGCTCGTCGTTCCTGGGACCTGCTAGTGCCCTGGTTTCAAGACGCGCGCTGCTGACGACTACATCACCGAGCGTTCACGGGCTAAAGAATGGCGTGAGAAGTTCCCGCGTGGTGATATTGACCCCTTGACCCATCGTGGCACCCGTCGTCTTCCTCACGCGACCGTGTCCGAGCACCAGCCCAGCCCTCTTTCCAGTCAATACCGACTTGACCTAGTTGCAGGCCACGACAGCTCTTTGACTTGATCAAATGCGCGTCAAGGCTAAAACCCGCCCAGGCCTTCCATCTTGCTCACCATGCCGACGACGCCCCTGACGAGCCCCTGGACCTTTCCGGGATCGCCCATGTACCCCTCGCCGGGTTGCCCATTCTCGTCCCTCCAGAGTCCGTCGGCGGCGACCCTGCCAAAGGCGCTTGTGTTCTGGTTCCTGTCGATCCCCGCCCGCCACGCACGACAAATCTCCTCGCTGTCGACCATGACGTTGACCTCTTGGCTGTGGAACCACGACTGCGTGTCCTGGTTGCCGCTGCCTTGGATGCCGACGCTGCCGTCCGCTATGAGCAGCTTGATGTGGCACGAGCGCGCCCTGAACCGGTGGTGGATGGGGCGGTCCTGGTCCCTCCCGACGTAGTTGTACACCTGCAGCAGGGCTCGCTCCGGCCCGTCGGGCGGCAGGGAGCCGACCAGCGACCGGGACACTTGGTCGTTGGTGCCGCCCTGGCCGGGGATCATCTCGCCCAGGTCGTTGTAGCCGAAGCACACGTAGTACGTGACCTGGACGCCGCGCCTCAGGGCGGCCCTCAGGGCGGGAATCAGCGGCGCCGCGTTGAGGTCCGGCGTCTGTATGAAGATGCTCCGCTGGGCGTTGCGTATGAGCGACAGCCACGCCTCGTTTTGCGGGACGTAGCCGTTGCTCGAGCCGAAGCACCCGTAGGGGGGGCGCGACACCATGGCCATGGGAACCGGGCCCGGCGTGGCCGTGGCCATGTACGGCGTCATCTCCTCGCCGTCGGCGACCTCGGGGCCCGTGGGCGCGACGGGCGTCTTGACCGACGTGTTGAGCTGTCGGTTGACGGCCTGCAGGCGCGTCTCGTTGGGCTTGGCCGAGTAGCTGCCCTGGACGCGGACGACTTCGCCGGCGAGGTCGTGGTCGAAGTGGGCGTCTTCTGGCGTGTGCTTTGCGAGCGGCGCCTGCGACTGCGCCCGCGCCTCCGCCTCCCCGACGAGCGCGACTTGGCTCGCCGTCGGGCCGCGCGGATGGAGATGGCGCTCCGCGTGGTCCTCGGTGGGAAGGCCGCCAGCGGAGGCCGGGAGCTGGTCCTCGGGCGGCAGCGACGACGCGAGACTCTTGTACCAGGTGATGACGGCGGTGTCGTGGATGCTGTCGACAATGGGGCCCTCGAGGTGGATCATCATTTCGAGATTGTCATTGTCCTGCATGTTGTTGCTCATGACCGCCGCCATCTTGCGGTCCACGACGCAAAACTTTGCGTGGAGCGTCCCCAGCGGCAGGGTGTGCAGGCTCGTCACCTCGAGGTCGACGTTGGGAATCTCGTCCGGGCCGGGAAGCTGCACGGATTTGGACGCGTAGGTCCCCGGCCTCACTCGGTGGTGCGAGTCGGCCAGGTTGGACGGCCCTGCGCTGTCGTACATCAAGTTGACGGTGACGCGGCGCCCTCGCGCGGCCGACCTTCGCGACAGCTCCAGCAGGGAGGCTCGGATCAGCCCTTGTGCGACCGAAGGCGACCAGGCGCAGGTGATGAAGAAGACCTCCCTCTCGGCGCGGGCAATGAGATTCGAGCAGTGGCGGACGACGTCGGCCACGGGCGCGATGACGGTCAGCGGTATGGTGCCGTGCGATCCCATCAAGGGCGGCGACACGACCCCCGAGAGCGCATCTGCGTCGAGGCAGTTGAGAGCGTCGGCAAAGGCCTGCAAGAAGAGAGGGCTTGGTTTGGTCGGCCCCCAGTTGCCGCAGTTCAGCGCTGCTTGTTGTGCCTCTGCAGAGGCAGGCTGGCGATACTCGCTTCCATCGCAGTTCCGGTCCCGTCTGAGCGCGCCGTAGAGCTGCTTGATGATGTCGCTCGGGGGTCTCGAGGGGTCCTGTGCCCAGACGGAGGTGACGGTCTTGGTGTCGTGGACGAGTTTGCGGACCCGGTCCGAGACCATGTCGTCGATGGATGAGATCAAGGACGAGCCGATGCTATCTGGTTGTTGTCTGTCTAGGACACGACAACGTCTGATGCTTGTCCGTCTCGAGCATCTCGCCGCGCACTCTGTCAACCAATTCACCTCCACCACGTTTATACCAACCTACCTGTTTGGTCTCGGCCGGCTAAGCGGCAACCGAATAACGTCATGACGTGTGGGTTGTTGTCGTTGCGAGATGCACGGCACAAGTTACGACGGAGAGTGTGGCTGTGCAAGCTGGGCTGAGACGTTGCCACACCCGTTTGGCGTTCCCAATTCCCACTCCACCTTGGATGCTACCGCAGAGGGGACTTTGCAGCCAGTCACAGACGCCGGCGGCATCTTGTCCCCGTTGCCCCAGCACGTCGGCGGGGTCCGCGGACCACGACGACTCCTCCTCCTCCTCCACACGCGGGTCGCGGCTCGCGGCTCGCGGGTCGCGGCTCGTCACGACCCTTGTCAAGCTGCCGAGCTGGCGTCCCCCGCGAGAACGCTGTACATGTTGCCATGGCCGGAAAGATAGCTCGCCACGCCGCCGTCACCGTCGTCCTGCTCCTGCTCCTCCTCCTCCTCCTCCCCCCCCGACGGCTTCACCGACGCTTCAATGGCCCAGGCGACTCGTTCCGCCCCCAGCTTCGCGCCGCCGACGTTGGGAGCGGCCGGCCCCAGCCTCAACGCCGACAGCCTCCCCAAGAGGAACAGCGGAACCCCGTCGTTCCACATCAAGTCGTCATTGATGCAGGGGAGGCCCCCGTGGGTTTGGATGGGGTGCTTGTCCCGCATCGTCTTCAGATAAGGCAGCCTGGACACGTCGGTCTGGATGCCGGTCGCAAAGTAAATGTAGTCAAAGGACGGCATGTCTGCCACGGGCGGATCCGTGACGACGGTCCACGCGCCGCCCGCGCCGTCTTCGGCCTGCACCAGCGTCGCATCGAGCAAGCGAGTCCGCTCCAGGAGCACCAGTCTCCCGGCCGCGACATGTCTCCGCAGGCGCTTGTTGAAGAGAGGCGTGATGCTGCCGCCGCCCCGGGCCGCCTTGATCATGGCCAGCCTCTCCTCGTCCGAGTCGGCAAGCCAAAACCGCGCCTGCTCCGTGTTCTTGTACTTGCCCATCCACTCGAGATGGACGTCGAAGTGCTTCACCCGGCACGGCCCGCGCATCATGTGCCACACCTTGGTCACGCCCCTGCGGATCGCGAGGTCGGATAGCTGCGCAGACGTCAGTCCTCCTCCCACCACCAGGACGTGGGTTCGCCGGCCGGCAGCCATGCGTTGCCGCACAACGGCGTCGGGAAACGTCTTGATTTGCATGCTGTGGCACGCTTGGCCGAGCTCCCCCGCGCCCTCGGGCACGGATGGCATCCGGGGAACGTCTGGCTCGTTGGCGGCGCCGACCGCGAGGACCAGCGTCTTGCAGTGGAACCGCCTCCCGGTGCGAGTTGTCACCGTGAACAGGCTCTGTTCCTGGACCGACACGCCTCGCACGACGCCGTAGTCGACGTCTACCAGCACCTCCTTTCTGATGAGGCCCCGATCCAGGCCATATCTCGTCGCGACGCACCGGCAGTGGTCGCAAAACAGCGACTGCGACGGCGTGTAGTAGTCGTTCTTGTCGCGCAAGTTGATGGCCACTCTCGCTTCCTGCCTTTTTCACATGTCAGCCCGGATCACGTCTCTCCTCGAACGGCTCAAGAGGGCACCCACTTTTTGCCGCAATGCCGACCTCCAGCTTTCTGCTTCTTCTTCTTCCTGGCATGCTTGCTGATCTCCTTGCCAACGCAGTTGCGGATCTCGACCAGCTCGTCCTCCCGCCCCTCAGAGTACGCGTGGGCCAGCAGCGAGTCGCGGTCAAGCGGATCGACGTGCCACAGCACCGGGCTCCTCAGGTGCGAAATATCGTACAGGCCAAAGAGCTCGTTCCAGCGGCCGAGCCACTTGTCGTCGGTGCCGTCGAGCACCATCATCTTGTACTCGGGGCGGCACGCCCCGCGGCGCGGCGAGGACGTCTTGCCGCTGCGGACGTGCTTCAGGCTGACCTTGTCCCCGTACTTGCCGATCCAGTGAAACCGGCGGTGCTCCTCGTCGGTGAAGAGCGCCGCTGGCGTGTGCTCGCGGAGGCGGGCGGCCGTCGCGAGTCCGCATGGCCCGGCGCCCACGATGATGACGTCGTAAACCTCTGTGTCGGCCATTGGGGGGGAGGTGATAAAATAGGCTGTCAATAGCGTCAAGCAGAGAACAGTTCGAGGGGCGGGATGAGGACACGGGGAGCCGGTTCCGTGGTGTGGACATTTATATCGGCTGGGGGGCCTCTTTTAAGCGTCTCTGCCGATGAGAACCCTTGTGGGCTTGAGTTTGACGATTTGCCGTCATTCTGGGGCTTGCGTGCTGTGCCGCACCGTTCCTGGCCTACCTTGATGGTCTTGTAGCCATCAGGGTTTCTCGGTTCAACTTTCTCCGACGTGTAGGGCCTCAACTACGGAGGAGAAGACAGAGACTGGCCGAGAGTGAGAGAACAAGCCCTGTGTTCTGTGCCTTCTCGGTCGTTCTGCCCGTGCCGTGTGGAAGTGTTTTTTTACGAATAGCAAACTTATAGAAACTGCCCAGTCAGTCAGCTAAAAGAACCTTTTCTAATTACAGCTTCATGCGGCCGACACATGTCCACCGACTCGTTTGGACAGCAGAGGCCAAACCTCCTTGTCCGACAGCACGGGAACTGACGCAGCAGCAATGCTGCGATCCGGCGAGCAATTTCAAGTCGTGTACTCGGTGCCTTGGTCGTCTGAATGCATGCAATGAACAGGCGCGGTTTTGGTCGCGACCACGAAACATCCGCGCGTCGACGCACAGCAAGTGTTGTATTCAAGAACCAGCAACTCGGTGGCCGTCCACATGACGCTCGGCTTCGGCGAGACGTTCGTCTACCTCAATCTCCTGTACTACGTGAGGTAAGAATCCCCTTCCCACAGCGGTAGCGGTCGACGGGGCTCCCAACTTGCCGCCGCCGCCCCTGCTTACGCCTTGTCAGCACCCTCATGCTTCACCGCGAGTACTTCCCCTTCCTGCCGACCCCGGAGTCGGAGCCACGGGGTCCAGTCGACCAGCCCATGCTGGGGGCGCCCGCCCCCGAGGGCTGGTGGGACGACAGCTCCCGACTCCTCTTCGGCGCGGCAGAGCACATCGCCGCCATTCTACACGAGGCCTCCGAGTGTGGCGTGCATCTCATGACGCCCTTTGCCGGGTTCTGCGCATTCTCAGCCGGCTACCTCAACCTCTACGTGGCGAAATACCCCCGAATGAACCTGGGCCGCAGCCCGCGAGCAAGCGACTGTCTCAAAATGTGTCTCGACTACCTGGAAAAGTTTCGACTTGTCTGGAAAATCGCCGACGGATGGGTAAGCCGCCCGCAAGCATGACACGACCGTGGCCACCGTTGCGCTAACATTGAGAGGGCGGCACGCGCAAGATCAAAACGATACACCATGCATCCGTGCTCTACGAGCGAGCAACCGAGGACCGGACACGATACCAGGGGCGCACACGAGCAGACTTTGATACTCTACACCAGTCTGTCCACGAGTTCCGTGTCGTGGATAGATCCGACGCGCATACTCGGGAGATTCGGGGCGCGGAGCGGCCCTCGGCGCAGGCGACTTGGCCGGTTCAAGGGCACGAGCACGAGCACGAGCACGAGCACGAGCTCGACACTAATACCTTGTTGAACCAGCTTTTCGCGGAAGTCAGCAATAACCTCGACGAGCAGGGGGCCTGGTCTCAATGGTGGCCGGCGATTGATCAGGTGGATCTTTAATGAGCTGCGTAATTACATCCGGGGTTTTTTTTTTCGTTGAAGCTTCCAATGAATGAGTGACGACCTTTGATTTTTTTGATTTTTTTTTTAAAAAGGGCTGTAATATCTGGTTTTCTATACATGTCCTATTTTTATTTCCCGGTCTAGAAAAACAGTCAACAGATAATGCACCTCTTCATATGGCTCCCCTCCCGTCACCGCCAACAAATGCATACCTGTCGCGTCAACCATTCGCCGTTTCTCCTTCCAATCACGCCTTTGCAAAGACCTTTCTCGAGTTCATCAGGCGAACAGCAAGCATAAAGAGCATGCCGACAAAAGGCGCCACAACCACGCCAAGAGGACGTTTTTTGAAGCAGCTAAAAAGGCACGTAAATGGCGTCTGGATTCTGTACTAGATCTACTAGAAATTTGGGACGAGAAGGGTGTACATTATAGGCGAAGAGGTTAATAGCGTTATTAGGTTGAAAATTGGCCCGCCTTGGTGTCCGGCCCGCCTTGCTGTCGAGCACCACCTTTGGTGGTGAGGGCTTTTGCTAGCCGAACCACATAAAGTGGGGCGGGCACGATTAGCCCCAGCAAACGTATCGGGCGCGCGTACAGGATCAATCCTTGCCTGCCACCAGCATCTTGTCGTAATTTATGACTGCCTGCAACAACACCTGGGCCCCGATGGCGCTGCGCCCAGTCAGTCTGCGGTCAGCAACCGGGCACCTGTGCCCGCGCAGCAGGAGCAAAGAAGGACACACGTACCAATCCTCAGGGCTGCAACACTCCTCGGGGTGGTGGCTCACGCCGTCCTTGCAGGGGACGAATATCATGGTCGTGGGGACCTTTTTGCTCGTACACACGCTGTCGTGGCCGGCTCCGCTCGTCAACGCGGTCCATCCGTGCGGTCCAACGAGGTCGTCGGCCGCCATTTCAACCGCCCTGATGCAGTCTCCGTCAAACTTGGTGGCCTCCGAGTCAGTGTCCAGCGACCAGTCGTACTCGACGCCCCTGCCGTCCTCGTTGCGGATGCAGTCAAACGAGGCGAGACACTCGCTCAGCACTTGCGCGACCACGTGGTCCTCGGGGTGGCGGATGTCCAGGGAGAAGGTCGCCGCCGAGGCAATCGTGTTGGTGGACGAGTTTGGCGGCATCTTGACCACGCCCGTGGACGCGAGCGCGCCGTGTCTCCTGGCAATGGCATTTGACGAGGCAATCATCTTGGCCGCGGCCAACAGCGCATCGCTGCGCATGTCCAGCGGCGTCGTTCCCGTGTGGGCGTCCCGGCCCGTCACCGACACGGTCAACCACTTGTAGGCCTGCGCCCCCTGCACGACGCCAATCCGTCTGCCTGTTCGTTCGAGCACAGGCCCCTGTTCGATGTGCAGCTCAAAGTGCGCCGTCAGCGGATATCCCGCCGCGGCGTCACTCGAGCACTCGACGCTCCCGAGGTAGCCGTGGCGCACGAGTTCCGAGTGAAGAGTGACGGACGGGTCAAAGATGTCGGCGAGGCCCCATGCTTTCTCGATGGGGACGTTGCCAGCCCACACGCCCGACGACACCATGGAACTGGGAAACCGGGCGCCCTCCTCGCTGGTCAACAGTTAGCCGAAGCGTGCCCGGTCTCGGTCCGTCCAGCACGGAGCAGCTGGCGCGTGGTGAGGAGGAGGAGATAGTTACTTGGTCCAGTTGATGGCGCCAACGTCGTGGTGTGTCGTGTGCCCCGCGTCTTTCAAGGTCCTGAGCACCTCGACGGCCGCGAGGACGCCCAAGATGCCGTCGTAGCGACCACCGCGCGGCTGTGTGTCGAGGTGGCTTCCCATTGCGATCATCGGTGCGCCGGATCTGGACGATCCCGCCCGCCTGGCAAACTGGTTGCCCATCTTGTCAACCGTCAACTGGCAGTCTAGCTTGGCCGTCTCTTGGGCGAACCATTGCCGGACGCGCGCGTCGTCGTCGGACAGGGCGAGCCGCGACATGCCGGTGTCGTTTGGGCCCCTGTGTGTGTCAAAACATGTCGTGAACTCGAGGCTCCTTCTCACAGGCCGCGGGCCAAAGTCGACTCACTCGCCGTATCGATGGGCCGCGCCCCATTGGCACGTATGGTGAAGTGTCTCGTGGAGTCTGCCCGCATTGATCCTCAGACCGGAGTCACCAGACCAGGAGGTGGAGAACAGCCGCACTGGGCTCGTCATCGAGAATGCCGCAGGCGAAGCACGGCAGAGGCGCCGTGAAGCGTTCATGATGATTGCGGCGATCCAGTTCGAGGCGGAGACGGGGAGAGGACGATGGACTTGCGCAACTCTGCGCTGAGGACGCGCGGATATTTAAATTGATGGATGCCCCGCACGCGGGTGTGAGTGTGGAAGCACCAAAGTGATGCCTGGTACACGAGTGCACGCCCTCCGTCTACAGCGTGGGCTTCGCCCTCCTGGAACACAGTCTTCCGACACGATGCCGGCACCTCACACCCGCGCAGCTGCCAGGACATGTCCAGCGCAGAAGCGGCGAAGTTGGAACCAAGACAGGAATAATGACAAGGTCTGGTGCCAGCCGATGTCGGACTGGCAGGGCGCGACGTGCAAATCGCTGCCGACACGCAAACAACTTCAACACACGCCGACACTTTATGCTACTCGTCTTCCCGGATCACAGGCATCAAATGCACGCTGAGGATGGCAGGCAAACGAAAATCTAAAGTGGTCCAAGCTTCAGCTTGGCAAATACGCATCTTCTTCTCTTCCCCCAGAACAAGAACTATCAGCGCACGGGCAGCATTACCCACAAGGAGAGCCGGTATGGTGACGCTCTGAAGTGAGAGCATTGATGTGCCCTCCCATCACCGCAAATGATATTATGAGCATGCTCAGATGTTTTTCGGGGCGCCGTCGCGCCTTTTTCGTCTTCCGTCGCCCTACTACCACGTCGGGGCTTTCTCCATCGCTACCTCGCCGAAACATGTCGCTCGTGATGAGATGAAAATGCCGTGTACGTCGGGACTTTGCATCCTTATGCAGCACCCACAAGGATCTGGTTGATAGGGATGTGGACTGCAAAAACAGAGGTCAGCGGAGGGGTGGGAGGCCAGGGGAGAGACCGCGACACGCCAAAAAGGGGTCGCGTACTCAGCTTGACGACGTATCCGACAACACCCATGATGACGAAGCCAGTACCGACGGCCTGGCAAATCTTGGCAAACTCTTTCTTGTCGGCTGTGTCGGGGAAAAAAACGTCAGCAACTTTGTACGGGCGGGACCGGCGCAAAGGTCGGGGGCAGTACGCTTCTGGCACTTGTTCATGAATTGGACGCCTTCCCTCACGAACTGGCTGGGGGTCTCGACGAGCTCCTGGATCTGATCGGACATGTTGGCGGGCTGAAGGATGCGTGGGAGACTGGCAAATGTCTTGAGGGATGGATTCACACTTGGCGGACGAACACGACAACCGACGAACCGTTTGTCAAGCTGTCCTCAATTTCTCTGGGTCGGGTCGGATAAACCATCTCCGGGACGGGCTGTCAAGGCAGGGACCCGCCGGCGCTCGCATAACCCTAACCCTCGCAACCCTCACCGCAAACGCAGTCTAGGTCCAAGCAGACCAAGTTGACGCGGTTCAAAGTCCGTCATCAAAGGGGGCGCACCATGCTCTGCGGGATATGCCAAAGTCCTGTCTGTCAGCTTCTTGCCCGCGCAAGTACAGCGTGACGTCAGACGTGCTGACGTCTTGGAACAAGATGGTCCGAAAACTCGCCGCCACCAGCGCCTCCCTCTTGTGAAAAGCCATCGTCAGCAAGCGAAACACGGTTGTCGGGACGTCGACCCTCGATGTCGACGTAGCACAATGACCATCCAGCTCCCCTCGCGTACCTTCTTCGAGGCGTCAAAAGGCCGCACATACTCGTACGTGCACATTCGCCCGGCGGGCACCGCAACTCACCCGACTCTCCTCCTCCTCCACGGCTTCCCATCACACGTACCCGACTGGACGCGGCAAATTGACCACTTCGCCCGGCTTGGCTACGGAATCATAGCCTGCGACCTACTCGGCTTCGGGCAGAGCAGCAAACCCGCAGATGCATCCAGCTACCGTCTCAAGCCAATGGCCGACCAACTCCACCGGCTACTAGACGCAGCTGGCGTGCAAAGGGTCGTAGGCATCGGGCACGATATTGGCTCGACGCTTCTCTCCCGGTTCGCAGCCTACCACCCAGACAGGTTCATGGGCCTCGTCTTTCTCGCCGTCGGCCCGCCCAAGCTAGGCACCCGCTTCGACCTCGACTCGGTCAACGCCGCGACCAGGCGGGCCATGGGGTTCGAGCTACTCGGGTACATCAACTGGCTGAGCGACGGCGACGACCAAGGGCAGCAGGCGCAGCCGGTGCTAGAAAGGAACGCCGCGTCCGCCATGAGCTTGCTGTTTGCGCGTGACCCCCGAGCCTGGGACGAGTGGCTCCGCCCCCTGAACAAGATGCAGCAGTTCGTGACGGAGGACAGACGCGTGCCCCTCGGTGAGTGGTACACGAGCGACTTGCAACGGCGGCATTTGGAAGCATTCGGCAGAGAGGGCGGGCACACCGGCTCTACGCGGTGGTATCGCATGTGGCGGGACAACCTGTTTGCGCCCGACGAGGAGGGCTTTGAGGAGCTGCTCCTGTCGCAGCCGGCTCTGCTCGTCGCGCCGACGGGGGCCGGACAACAGGAACAAATGCTGGCTGCGTGGGCGCCGCGCTTGACGGTTCGCCATGTCGACTCGGGACATTGGCTTCATCTAGAAAAGGCTGCCGAGACTAATGCCGCCGTACAAGAGTTCTTGGACACTCTGGGCAGCGGTGCGTGATGGGACGCCGGCCAAGCGCTGCTTTGGGCGCCCAAGGTGATGTAGACACGGGGGAAGCAGCATAGACCGCTTGCTTGTTCGCATTACGCTGCAGCCGCAGTCATACTACGTTCCTCTTACGCTCCGTCGCCGTGCTGGGTATGCTATCGGGCTCAGTGCTGCTGTTTCCGCCCGTAGCAGTGACTGACTATAGTCCGTGCAACGGTGTTGACTCGCTGCGTGGACTGCTATGCTTTCTTTCCCTGCCTTTACCTTTGCTTGCGGCATCGACTTGCCGCATTGGCGGACTGCCTTGCCCCTCGACTTTACGTGCTGCGTTGGATTGCCAGGCGTGATGTGTGCCTCGTCGCGCAATTACATGTAATCACTCGAGACGTCTGTTGCCATGATACCGGCGCCGAGGCTTCCAGCGGTGTATTAATAAACGCGTATACCGTCAACACCGTAGCACTGTCGATTCGAGAGACGATGGCTCCAAGCCAGACAAACTCGCCATGAGCCCTCCCTTGGCAGCAACTCCCAGCGACCAACGCACCGCAAACATTGATTCTAGGCCGGCAAATGGCACACCGCCTCAATGTTGTTCCCGGCAGGGTCCAAGACAAACGCCCCGTAGTAATCGGCGTGATAGTCGGGCCTCAAGCCCGGCGCGCCGTTGTCCGCTGCACCAGCCTCGACCGCGGCCGCGTGGAACGCATCGACCGCGGCGCGGTCTACCGCACGCACGCACGCACGCACGCACGAATCTCATCAGCGTCACGGGCCCCCTCGGACAAAGCCTGGCGGAAGAACTTACCCTGTGCTCTGAAGGCAATGTGCAGCCCTGCCGCCGCTGCGGTGTCCTTTGTGCCCATGACCCAGAAATCAGTCGGCTTGTAATCCTTGGTCGCCTCGTGCTTGGACCCCAGCCCGACGAGGTGAGGGCCGAATTGATAGACGACCTCGTAGCCGAGTGGTTGGAGGGCCGCCAGGTACACCGCGAGGCATTTTTGGAATTTGTCCTCTGGGACGCGGAGGCTTGTGTGGTCAATGGCCATGTTGGATGTACAGCAGTGCTTATCGGGTCTGCGAACACGGGATGCAGGAGGGTTCTGACACTTCCAAGCCGGACGACAAAATATCGGGTGGCCCGGCCAAGATGTACAAGTCGACACAGCGGCTGGCGGCTCGCAATATCCCACTCACGCTGGAAAGCTTAGTATCAGGGGCGACGCGTGAGGAGCCCCCTCGCGGTCCAAGTGGGCGTCGCCGTCGTCACGTTTCGTGGCGCAACACGGCTCCGTTGGTTGCGCTTCCCCGTGAACTGTGTCGCGGCCGACGAAATAAGCTGCACATGGTCTCGTGTTTTATGGGTGGCGGGGGTGACAACTTGAGCTCGCCGCGACTCCGTGAAAAAGCAAGGCTGCCGGTTAAGTGGGAAGCGTAGTTACCCCGTGCAGTTTTCGGCACTCAGTCAGGTCACGCACATTCGTCATTCCGAAGCCCTGTTCCCATGCAAAGTGTCAAATTATGAACAATAATATGCAAGTCGAAACAAGTGCCCATCGCTATTCATGTGCCACCCAGCCGCTGCTTTAGACTCGTCAACCTTAGGGGTCGTTGTCCATGCGTTTAGTGCCTCTCTTGCGTCTTCTCGTATCCGTCGAGATTTCCCCCTCCCCCGTCATCTTCGGCCTTTGGCGCCGAACCGGCTTCAACGTCCGTAGCCCTCGCATCAGCTTCCGCCTCCTTTCCCTCGGCTTGGGCGGTTGATGACCCTGACTCCTCTGGAACAGACGGCAGCATTGACTCTGAGCTGACAGATCTGCTGTTCGGGCCCGCCAGTCGTGGTGTTGTCGGTAGTTCAGGAGTCAGAGGCTGACTCTGGGGCAGTGCCGCAGGCATCTGCCCTGCTGCATGGCTCGTGTTTGTTGGGGGGACTTGGGGCCAGTTGCCATTCCCGCCGTACAAGTCTCGAATGGATTTTCCCTCTTGAGCGGGATCTCCGTATATATAACCCGGGTGAACGCCCAACAACTCCATAGGATATCTATGGCGGAAGCCCCATTGCCTCCATAGTGACAACTTCTGGCCAAGTGTCTTCTCCGCCCACAGGGCCCGTAGTCGTTCTTGGTCTCGTGCATCGCGGGCTGGGATATATCTTGTCAGAAAGATGGACGGGAGACACAGCAGAATCCACAGCACTGTGCTGCCTCGAAGAGCGTCCTCGCCAGACATGAGGCAGGTGAACCAATGGTAGGATTCAAAAAATCCAATGAGACAAATTGTAGGCAGGACGGTGACGATGACTACCCCCCAGTATGGAGTCTTGCCACAGTCGCGCCACGCACAGCTGCCCCTCATATCAAGAAACTGATTACTGCTGTCGCCACTGCTGTCACTGGTTGGTCCCGAGGACGATGTTCGGGTGGGATTTGGAATTCTGCATTTTGTCATGTAGACGCTGTAGATGGGATGGCGAGTTGCGGCAGCACCAGTGGGATGATGAGTGCTTGCCAAGTATGCCGAGATGAAGGTGTAGGTATAGGCGTTGTCGTCATCGTATTCGGTGGTAGCGATGCTAGTAGTTGCCGACGTGATGGAGACCTGATCAGCTACTTGCCGAGGCACTGAAACCTGGGTGGTTGTCGTGACTGTAAATGGTGTCGGGCAACTGGCAGGGGCAGTGAGTTCAATTGTCTGGAAGAAGTAGGTACTCGTGAAGTCCCTCCGGTTGTAGGGAGTCACGGAACTTGTCAGGTCTGAGGTGGGAATGGCTCCTAGTGGGTAATAGCGCTGGATGTAAACAGAGTCGTCGGAGCCACCGCCATACACGTAGCTACTGCCGTCGTAATAGGAACTGCTGTCTGTTGTTGTGTAGACCGTGACTGGCGTGACAGTAACGGTGACGGAGGGTTTGAGGGTGACGGGCGTGTAACGCGTGTATGATGTGGTAATGGTCTCGGTTCTGTCAGCATACCTGTCGGTGTATGTGCGCTGCAAGACAGTTTCGAGATATATGTCGGTGATGGTCCACCTTGCGGCGTCTACTGCGCTCAAGAGTAAAAGTAAAAGTGCTTGCCAGAGACTCTCGGTGCGAACCATGGCGATAATGGTCAACGTGTTGAGACGAGCGATGGGATCCAATGTTACCGCAGGTCATATGGTGAAACTTTGAGAAGTTGCCAGCAAGCCTTCAATGTTGTTTCCGTCTCTCCTTATTAGTCAGACTCAAAGGGTTCAGGCCCCTGGATCTCCTGCTCTCATCATGGCGACGGTGAGCCTTTGCAGCCTTTCCTGACTAGACGAGGCTGCCATTCATTTCGGCCGCTGCACAGTTAATTCACGAGGGAACAGTTTGCGGTAGCGAGCCAATGGAGAAGCTGTCGGACGTGACCAGGGTGAGTCTTGAGGGACGCGTTTATCGGACGGTGCCCTGCAATTTCGGCTACAGTTGGGGTTCGTGGTGGCCGGTGAGATGCAGTTGTGGTTCTTTTTTTTTTTTTTTTTTTTTTTTTTTTTTTTTTTTTTTTTTTGCGAGTCCGTCGCGGTGACTGGGGTCATATACTGCAAGTGCCGGCCAGGGGTGCGTCGCGACTTCCCTCCGGCAAGCAATACTTGAACCAAGCAACCAAGCAACCAAGTGTGTGGCATTATTTTTTCCTGTCAAAATTCATCACCTCAAATCACCATCAACTCAACTTCATCTCTCCAGTTGCGCCAGAGGTTCATTTCGCACACATCAAAAGCAATTCCGAAGCGGAGCCCCTTGTTATTCGCTGGCATGGCCAACCAGTCGCGTTGTGCATGCGCCTCGCACAAATATCATGCACGGGATATTAGTACAGGGCTTATGTAACGACATTTGATCCTCGTACAGCTTCTCTTCATGAACGAGTCAATGGCATGCTGAAAATCAGCCTGCCAACAAACCAACTGTCAATGCCTTTGAGTGACTCTTTTATACCTTCAAACCCACATGCCTTGCCGAGGCGCCCCTGCGTTTGCGCAAACCGGAAACTACGCGTATAAGTGACGACATGTTTTTGCTAAAGGTTTGACATGAGAGACCTGAGTCGAAGTCGCCTTTACTCACTTTAGGATCCCTGAATCCGGGAATCCGTTGCCATTTCAAGTCGCGTGAAACCATATTTATCTTTGGTGACTCCCTAAAATGGGTGTATCATGATGGAGATAGATTACCGAATCCGTCTCGCTGCCACCTTGCCGACCCCTGAAAACTCCAATTGGATTTACAAAGGACAGAGATCCTGACGATGGGACATGCTGGGCCCATATCTGGAAAGATTGCATCACCTCATCTGAATGCCAGCCACCAATGCCCAAGAGCCTAAAAAATCAATGAAATAATGTTGTATAGGACCGCAGAGACGGTGTGATCTATCATGTGACAGCTAGCGGGCTGTTACCCGCTGAGAGACTGCGTGTCAAATCACCATCTAACGCTACTAAATAAGAACTGTGGTTCATTCGAGTAACAAGGCCCGATGTGGGAACAAGAGAGCTCATCGCAGCTCATTACTGATAACAGCTACTCGCCGTTCGGAGCCTCACTGCCACTATCATCTCGAGTATATACTCACATTGGTGTTTGTACCATATAGCGTATTTGGCAAACGGTCATAGGCTTCTAAGGACCTTCGAATGGCATCGGAGCATGTGCGCAAGCCATCCATCTACCTTTACAAAGTGGAATCCAAGTTTGGGAAGATTATTGCTGTATTTTGACGTGCTGAAAGCCTGTGACTTTCCCTCGTCTACTACGGCGCCAAATGCCAAAGGCAGCGATAAATGAATACAGCCACCATGAGGTGTACATGCTTACTCCATACTCCAGGCCCTATTTACCAAGCTACTTGGCCGTCGCCTTGACATGGGGCCCGCCCTCATGGTCATGATCAATCTCATTGAAATTCTCGTCATCGTTCGCACTCAGGTCTGCATGGCTGCCAACTTGGGTGCCGGCCCGAGCCACGTCTTCCCCGCTGGCTTGCACTCCCTTGGCCCCCAAGACCTCATCGACAATGCGCTTTCCTTCATCAGCTTCCCCGTTGGAGCTGCCGCACCCCATGCAGCGCCACGTGCCTACCTCTACGAGGCTCTTGGTGCCCGGCGGCGCCTGTCCATTTACCAACCTGCAGCTGTGGCAGATGAGTGCGAAGCGGTTCTTGGCCGCCGTCTCGTCTTCGCCAAGGAGCACGTCGAAGATGCGGTCGTACCAGTGCGTTTCGGGGACCATGTACTGCGTGCGGGACGGAGCGGGCGGGGCGTATGCGTTGGGGGCGAATTCCGCATCGACGTCGTGAGGCTGCGGCTGCGCATCAGGGCGGGCAATGTTTGCTGTCGGCGGAGGGGGCAGGTTCGTTCGTCCGGTGCTGCTAACGTGGGGTTTCTTTTTCGCCTTGTCGTGCTCCCGGCCCTGTTTTGTGCCGTTTTCCTCAGACTTCTCCTCATCCTCCCCCTTCTTCTCCCCGCCGTACTTTTCGATGAGCTGCAGTGTGGAGTCGTACCTGGTGGCATCCTTGAGCTTCTGGATTGTCTTGGCGCGATCGTCGTGGTAGCCCTTTAAACGGGTGGTTTCCGATTCGATTCTGAAGTTGAAGTAGGCGTTGATGAGGGCTCGTACTACGTACACTCTGTTGGTTCTCTTGGTTAGCTGTGCGGTGCTCCGGGAGCGTGGCAAGGGGCGGAAGCCCACAGAATCGGACCGCCTGCCATGCCGGTCCATTCATAGGCGCCGAGGTTCTTGTGGCCTACTACGAGGAGCAGAACGATGGCGTAGACGACGTATGCGAAGCCGAAGTAAAGCGTCCATAGGACTTTGACGCGGCGCGCGCTGGTGTGGAGTCGGTCCAGCTGGGACTGGGAGGTGGTGATCTTGGAAGAGAGCGACGACAGCGTCTTTTCGAAGGACGCAGGCGAGGAGTCGGCGCCCTGGATGGTTTGGGTTTTGGAGTTAGTTGCAATATTGAGCGGGGGAAAGGGAAAATTCTTGCCTTCCAGGGCCAGAGGGAGACCATCTCGGGTCTAGGGCTCTGGCAGGTGGACGCGGAGACTGACGAGGGTGATGGTGAGAGGTGGTGATGTGAGGCTCGAGCTGAGCTGAGCTGAGCTGGCAGCTTGAAAGTGCCAGGTAACCCGGACGGACCTAAATAAGACTAACTACTTACCTAGGTAGCTTGGCAAGAAGGACGGACATGGGGCGGAGAGCATCATCAGCCACACTTCGTCTCGGGCAGAAGTAACCACGAAGTATTCCGCGGGCTGCTTGGTTCGAGGCCTATCTTGACAACTAGAATGGATATAGGCCAGCTTGATGAACAAAATATGTCAGATCACCATTTCAAAGTACAGGGTTCAGTAGTGCACCATAGTCTTTGGGCGGATGACAGCCTGTGTGGGCCAGCCGGATCATTGTGGCTCAGCAATAGCATCAGCCACGGCTGCAAGTCCTCGCTATGACCAGGGGAAGGACCGACTTCCGGAAAGTGTCAACCTCACAGGATCGTCACTCTGCGCAACGTCAACGTCCGTTTTTCGACAGCAGGAGCCATGATTGTATAGCATAGTCACCCGCGCATCTCGTTTTGTACTCCTCTATCCCGTTCGTTCAACCACTTCCCTTGTATTCCTGCTCTGCGTTCCTTATGCCTGCGCATTCCGATTCCTAGACACTAGACACCACTTGTCTGTCAACTGATCGCCCGTGGCCTGGCTAGCGCCCACGAGCACAATGTTCCAAGTTGGTCTCTCTGGCCCTGCTTACCATCTAGACGTCCTGAAAAGAGCCTAGTCACATTGTCCGTACAGTTACTAACCGCCCTTCTCCTCCCGGCAGAGAATCAGAGGCGCCATCGACCGCACCATTGCCGAGGAGCAAGCCCGCCAGAAATCCCTTGAGAGTGCAACCCCTTCAAGGTCCGGATCGACTTCGTCTCGCAGAAGCGATGCCGATCCTACTGGACGCAGGGCCCGGGCAAAGAAGCCGTCCGCCGATATAACCGATTCAACGGTCCCAAACCCCGATCCGGCCGTCTTTGAGGCCGCCTTTGTCATCGACGACAGTGACGAGCCCAGTCGCTCGGGGACACCTGCACCGCCGCTGCCCCCGCCGCCTCCTGAAAAGGATCATGTCGACGGGGATGGGATGCACGCGTCAAAGATTGGGCAGGCAGACACCTCTCAGACCAATGGCACGAATGCGGATCAGGAACACGCGGATGGCAATGCGAAAGAGGATGGACATGCTGCTGCGCCCACGGGGCTGAGCCCAGAGATTAAGCAGCGGCTTAGGAAGCTAGAAAAGTTGGAGTCCACGTATCCGGGTATGAGAGATGTATGGCTTGTGTTCATTGAGTGATGTGCTGATGTGAGTGTGCTGCAGAGCTCCTACGGTCATATAGGGTTGCGCATAAACGCGCAACCGCCATTGAACCCTTTGAAAAGGCGCTGCGTGAGAACACGCCGCTTACCTCCATCAACGACCCAAGTTCTCTGGTCGAATATCTCAACCAATTGAACTTGAGGGGTGACATGGTCATGGATGAGCTAAAGAAGGTCTCAGCTGACAAGGAGGAACTCAAGAAGAAGCATGCCGAGACCGAAGAAAGGCTCAAAAATACACGGGAAGAATTGGAAGCTTGCAAAAGCGGTATATCTACCAAGGCTGCTGCCGATCCAAGCGAACGCAAGCCTATCGAACCACCTGCCGGCACCAGCCTTGATATTGCTGCTGAGAAAGCCAAATCCCCAGTTGCGTCCGTCATTAGCATGTTCTCACCCAAACAGAAGGCACAGGACACCCACCAGGGCAAATCAGAGACCGAGGACTTCTTCTCTTACGACGAAGAAATCCCCCAATTGCAGGCTGAAGTGGCGTCCAAGGCTGAAGAGATTGAGCACCTCAAGCGCAAGGTGGAGAACCTTGAAAAGGAACTCTCCGTCGCCAAGGAAAGTAGTACTGGCTTGGCTGAAAGTTTAGAGCAGACGAGCAGGGCATTGAGCGAGTCTCGGGCGTCTTACGAATCGCAGGCGTCGCTACACACGCAGCTCGAAGAGCGGAACGCGGAAATCAGGACGCTAACTGAAAGGCTTGGCGCGACACAGTCGGCGCTGAAGAAGCTGGAGGACCAGGCGGACAAGGACAAAAAGGAGCACGCGTCGACGGTCAGGAATGTTGAGTCTTGTCTTGCCAAATCGGAGAAGAAGGCAGCTGAACTTGATGCCGAGCTCATCAAGGCTGGCAATGCAAAGTCGATATCCAAGAAGCTGATTGACGACCTCAACACCCAGATCAAGTGTCTGGAACAGGAAAAGTCGCAGAGTTTGGCCAAGATCGAGTCGTTGACCAAGAAAATGGATTTGCCTGCTGCCACGTCCCAACCTGCAGCCGCTGAGGCAACTGCTGCAGCAACCCCTGCGGCTGGTGTCTCCAAAAAGAAGAACAACAAAAAGAAGAAGGGCAAGGGTGGCGGCGGCGGTGGCGCAACGGCTGCTGTATCCCTAGCTGAAGCGGAGGAGACCAAGGAAGCCGGTGACAAGGCGGACAACGCAGCCCCTACTTCCCTCAAGGCTGAGATTGCCAAGCTCAAGGTTGAAGTCGAGGAAAGGGACGAGCAAATCGAGAAACTCTCCAAGAAGCGCAAGACAGAGGAGGATTTGCGAGAAGAGATTGAGAACCTGCAAGAGAACCTGGTCAACATTGGACAAGATCACGTCGAAGCCAAAGAGAAGATCAAGGGTCTCGAGAAGGCAAAGTTTCAACTAGAGAAATGTATTGCCGAGCACGAGGCTCAAGTTGGATCGTCACAGTCGAATGGAACTGGTCATGCAAAGATTCAAGGTGACCTTGACGCTCTACGCAAGGAGTATGACGATCTCAAGAACAAGTCGACCGCGTTGCAGTCTGATTTGGAAGCTGCTCAACGACTAGCTCAGGCGCGATTCAAGGAGCTGACGGCCCTCAAGGAAGTCCTGCAAAAGGCACAACCGGAGCTGAAGAGTTTGAGACAAGAGTCAAGCGAGTTAAAGACAACCAAGGAGGAGCTTGCCGCCAAGGTCAAGGAGCTGCAGGCGGCGGAGAAGCGGGAGCAGGACTTGAAGCGTGATGTCAGCGAAGCCCAGCAATTGGCAACTGATGGCGAAAAGGAGTTGAGGAGTCTACGGGAGAAGCTCAAGTCTGAGGGGAGCAACAAACAAAGGGCGGAAGACGGCAAGCGCACAGCCGAGAGGGATCTGCGGCGGGCCGAGGCCGACAAGATCGAGGTCGTCGCCAAGACGGAAAAGATGGAGCGCGAGCTACAACAGGCCCGAGTCGAGCTCAACACGCTGCGGCGGCGTGTCAAGGAGCTGGAGGAGCAGACGCACAAGCTGCGCAGGGAAAAGGCTGCGGCGCAAGAGGAAGCGGAATTCAAGTCGCAGCAGTACAGCAACGCACAGGGCCTGCTTGCCAGCATGCGCGAACAAGCGGCAGAGCTGTCGGTGCAGCTCAAGGAATCCAAATCGCAGGCAGAGTCGCTGGAAGAGGAACTGGTGGAGGTGCAGCGGCTGCTGCAGGAGCGAACGCGCGAGGGAGAGACGATGCGGCGTCTGCTGGCCGACGTGGACGAGCGCGCAGACACCAAGATACGCGAGATGCGCGGGCGGATGGAGGCGGCGATTGAAGAACGCGAGCGCATGGAAGACGAGTCGAGCACGCTGGCGAGGCGCAAGACGCGCGAGTCGGAGGAGCTGAGGAACAAGATTCGCGAACTGGAGCGCGAGGTCAAGTCGCTGAGCAACGAGCGGGATGAGCTCGAAGAGCGGCAGAGGGAATGGAAGCGGCGGCGCGACGAGCTCGAGGCCATCGAGTCCAAGGCGTCGGCAGAGACGGAGGAAATGCGCACGACGGTGTCGCAGCTGCGGTCTGCGCTGGACATGTCGGAGACGCAGCTGCGGGATGGCGAGAAGCAGCGCGGCGACCTGCGCAAGATGCTGGACGACTCGCGGGTGCGGTATGATAAGCTCGCCAAGGACCTCAAGACGGCGCAGTCGAAGCTGGTGGTGGCGGGCTCGAGTCGCAGCTCCATGGATTCGATGCGGAGCAGCGGCAACGGCAACGGCGACACCGCGTACCTGAAGACGATATTGCTGCAGTTTCTGGAGCAGAAGGACGGGCGGTTGAGGGCGCAGTTGGTGCCCGTGCTTGGCAAGTTGCTCAAGTTTGACAGGTAAGTGTCTGGTGGTGCTTGTACGTGTGCGTGAGGTCTCGCGGAAGGGACGAGGCTGACCTTTTTGCCCTTGCCCCCGTCCAGGAGCGACGAGCAGAAGTGGATGAATGCGGTGCAGCACATGGAGGTCAAGTAGAAACAGGCAAAGGGGCCGGTTGGGCGCATGCGGTGCTCGTCACGGGCAGCATATCTGGAGAAGCGCGGCGTGGCGAGGAAGACGAGTCGGAAGAGCGGTTCGTGTCGACCACAGTCTGCCGCGCCGGCAAGCCGAGACGTTGCGACGCCACTTGACGGCCTTGCCGAATGCTGTCTCGGTCTATTTTATATACAACTACTATTCGATGACTCTGTTCCACACCCTACACTGGCAGCGAGGGCATCCCAGTGAGACAGTCATTCCCCCTGCCCTCGAGGGTCGTGCCAAGTCCAATTCCTCAACAAGCCCGACATGTCTCAGCTGAGCGCAGGGCATCAGTAGCAGCAGCACGCTTGCTCGCATATAAATACCCAGGGGGGCCAGGCTCCCGCGGCCGAGGAGAGGGGGACAAGGCAGCAACAACAAAACAAAACTCCAGTCCTCCGGTCACACTCAAGCACAGCACAGCATCTCAACAGGCCCCGAGCATGAAGTCGCTTACGCCCGCCCTCGTCGTCGTCGCCGCCGCCGCCGCCGCCGCCGCCGTCCCGCTGGCCTCTGGAAGCGCAGGCGTCGGCTCCTACGCCTGCTACTCGGAACCGGAATACACGCCGCCCTGCGCGCCTGGACAGCTGTGCGCGCAGGTTGCCATGCCCGTGGAAGTGTGCTCGTGGCAGTGTGGAGCGCCGCCGCCCTACGCGTGGAGGGAGCGCTGCAGGCCCTGTCAGGCGGACGTTTGTCGGGCCATTTGCACGTGCGAGGTCTTTCGTCCCAAGAGTGCGTAGAGGGCCAGGCCACCACGGCTACGGCTCGGATGCCCGTCGACGTTGACGCTGGCGGGAGTGCAGTTGGAAACCATGGTCAGTCACATCTCGTCGTGTGCGCAGTGCATCCTTCCTGCCCGGGGCCGACGTTCGTCAGTACAGGATAACTACCGGAAGCAACGTGGAATTCTGCGGGGGGCAGGGGAGGGCTTGCTCGCGCCCGTTGGCATGTAAACTACAACCAAGTTACTATATCCGTCTCGCCTCGCCGTCGTGCCAGGTTCCGTCTCTGTCCAAACGATCTACATGCCAGTCGCCCGCGCCGCCCCAACAACGCACCGAGTATGTTGCATGCCCTCGGTAACCCGTGACGCACGTAAACACCTCCCTGCGCCGGTCCTGCCTACCCTGGACATGGCTACCGTATCCCCATCGCGCCGCCCCCAGGAACTGTCATTTCCGCGCATCACGCACATCGTCTCCTCTCGTCTCCTCTCACGCGACACGTGTAAACTCGGCGCAGGTTTCTCCTCTTCGTTCAACCACGTCCTTCGCGTCATTCAATGGCTGCACCCCCACCTTTCCCTTTCCCTTTCCCGGACCCGTCCCGTCCATGTATCTCCATGTCCTGTATCGATAAGCACCCCCCCGGTCATGCTCCCTCGTGGCAGCGCTCCCACGCCCCCCCGTTCGTAGGGCTGAAAAAAAAATAGTACCCCCCCCCCCCCCCTTTCCCGTGAAGCGAGATCTGGAAACTAAAAATCCTGGTCTGGTTAAACGACATGCATTCTCCGACGCAGGGTCCTCATCAACCGACGCTGCAACACGAGATCCCAGCCCGCTGCCACGTTGCTGACTTGGTTCCATGGCCAGACTGTCGGGCTGTCGGCCGTCGACTCTTCACTTCCCCTCTCGCTCACATCACATTTGCCCGTCGCACCCCGACCTTGAACGAGAAATTAGCTCAGTTATGGTTGCAACGGTGGAACCACCATCGACCTCGCTATATACCTATTCAAGTTCGCACAACGAGAGTATATATGCCAAGTGGGTTGTGCCACTGGCGACCCTCGGGGAATCTCCCATACCAAAAACATATCCTTGACCAGCGCAATGGGATGCTGCCCGCCTCTCTTCATGACAAGGCAGTGCACCACTCTGTCATCACCCCTTCCCCCATGGGCCTCATCAGGAAGAAAAAACGCCATACATGCAATATCCTGGAACATACAAACTAACCCATGAAAACAATGTCCAACCCGGTCGTTGGGAAACCAATCTCAAAGGGGAACAGAAGGGGAAAAAAGGAAAAGGAAAAAGAGAAACGACGCCCTTCAAAAAGGGGTAAAAAAAAGGCCAGGAATAAAACTGACGTAAGAAAATCGATCCAAATCAAATCAAAAACGAGGAGTGGAGTGACGAGATCGCAATGGGGGCAAACTTGAATTCCACTCCGGGGTATCGTGATGTTCCCTAGTGCTCTGTATATCGAGTTGTTCATTTGTGCCGTGCCGTGCCGTGTGATGCAATGTACCGAATGCGTTCCAAAAACCCTCAAGAAAACAAAACGGAAAAGCAATAATGATAGGAATATGTCCGCGGATAGAATGAATCAAATGCTGTAGGCGGGAGGGTCGTCGGCTGATCCGGCACAGCCGAATCCACGTCGCCCAATGCCCACCGGTTGATTAAATCAACGTATCGAAAAAGCCAGGCCATAAGCGCTGTTTGTGACCAATGTGAATCCTTGCGTGTCATGAGTGTTTTATGTGTCTGCACACAATCTTGTCGTCATGAAATCAATTGTTTGTGGTTGCCAGGCAGTCTAGACAAATGGACGGACCCAGCTTTGATCCAGCCAGCCCACCTTCTCGAAAGCCGTCCACAATTTTGATGCCTTGTTGACATCAATCTTGCAAGCCTGCTGCGCGTCCGTCTTGCGGAACTCTTTGCCCGTGCGGAGGCACTGGAGGCGACGCTCAAAGATGCGCCGCTTGCTTGTGAGATACGTGGCACAATCCAAGCGCAGGTTTCCCGCCAGCAAAAGCTCGTCGGGGTGAAGCAGGGCGGCGTGTGCATCGCTGCTGAGATCAATTGGCTGGCCCTTCCAATCCACCTTGAGACAATTGGAGCGATTGGGAAGCGAGTTCAACGGAGGGCAATAGTCAGGCAGTGAGTGGAAGTCCTTGTCCTCACGATTGGGAGCCACGACGCGACGAGAGGGTTCAGGAGTTGCGCTAGTGCGGCCCGCAGGTCTTGCTGGGGTAGTTCCAACCATTGTGGTGTTGGTGCGGATCGGCCTCGGAGCAGCGTGAGGCTTGGAGACCCGATCAGTCCGCTGGGATCGGGGAGGTTTGGCAGCAATGGGCTTGGCTGGCATAATCGTATAATATCTCTGGGCGCCTGCCCGTCTGTCAGCCTCGAGAAGGGCCCGTTCTTTCCGGAGCCATCCTCTGCGGTTCGTGGTGAAGTGCTTCATGACCTGGGATCGAAAGGTGAGGACCAGCTCGTAATCCTCTCTCTTGGGTGGCGCGACGCCGCTGAAAATGCTCTGCGACCTGGCGCGAACGTGCTCGTCGACAATGCGTTGGTGTTCAAGCTCGGCGGGAGCAAACAGAGGCGGCTGCGGAGGACTGGTCGGTGAGTGCTCGTCGACAGGGTACAAGACAGGGTCCTTGATGGCCTGGCTGTGTGGAGTTGCCGGCGCCGCACTCGTCGTCGAGATGGGCTTGCTGTAAGGCGATATTGGCGGCGACATGGGCAGCGGCTGCTGCGATGATGATTGTTTGCCATTGGCACCGCCCGACTTGTTCAACGCGGAACTGCCATGATGAAAACTGTCGAGCACGGCGTCTGGCGGTGACATTAGGCTGATAATGTCGAATTTCTTGCAGTCCATTGGCGGTGGAGGCGGAGCCATTGACGAGTGCGCCTTGTCCGCAGATGGGCAATTTAATGCCATGGGAGAATTGGAGAATCGTCGTGGGAAAGAGGGAACAGTTGAAGCAGAGAAGAAGGAGGAAGAAGAAGAGAGATGACACGAGGGAAAAGCAGGTGATTGTCCTGTTGCAGTCACGGGCGGTTGCTTGTTCTTGTCGAAGGTGGTGGAAGTCCGCGCCTGACTGGGCATCGGTTTGTCAGCCATTAGGTTGTCAAATACTGTGTGACGTGGACGAGTGGCGAAGACCGCTGGGGCCGTGTGAACAGGCAGCAGCCACGGTCGGAGATACAGTTCCCGAGTCCGAGAATTACTATTCGTCGGCGGCTTGCAAGCTTTGGAAAACGGTGTAATAAACTAAGCTTGTACAGTGAAAGCCAAATCTGACAAAGAGAGGGGGGAGAGCCCGTCGTCTTTATCGTTTTGTGCTTTGCTCTGATTCTGCGGTGGGTGGCGGTATCGTAAGCTCAAGGGGAGATGGATGGCCTTGACCGGCCGGGAGGAGAAGAGAGGGGAGGGGGGTGAGCTGAGTGATTGGATTGATTGGTGGATTGATTGGTTGGTCGTGTGCGTTTGATGTGCAACTCGCACAGTGGCTTGAGCCTGAGCAGATGATCCAATCAGCCGGGTCAATTGTTCAATATCGGCAGCGGTCGCTTGCCTATATGACGAGGAAAGAGGCAATTGATTCCTAGGGCTATCGTGCCACTTGAAGTCGTCGATGCAATTGGGACGGGCGACTGTAATAGGGAACAGGTGCGACCAAGGATGCCTGGCCAACAAACAAGCGGCAATGGGGCTTGAGAGGGGCTTCTGTCTGGGCTTCGCCTCGTCTTTTGCGGATGGTAATATGGAGGCAATATGGTCGGTAGCCTGGCAAATGACTGAGGGGGAGCGATGCCAATGCGATGACTCTGACACAAGGCAGGCGTTCGTTGGTACCCAACGCGGACGATGTGAAGGCAATTGCGCTGTGACGGCCAGCAAAGGGAAACAGACGCAGGCACACGATGAAACGCACACCCCCTCGAAGACAAAGGGATTGGTGTGAACGGGGGTCGCAGCTCGACTGGCTGAAGAAGCTGAAAGCGAACCCAATAATGAAAGAGGCGGATAGACCTGGAGGCAGCGGCAGATTTGAGAGAAGTGAAAGGCGTCGGGTTGACAGAGGTAGCAACTTGTAAGATGGAGCTGTTAACGGCCTTGTATCGAGCATACAAATACGGCGTACGGAGTAATAGTAGAGTGGCCTATGTATGCTGCTGCCGACAATGGGGGCCCTGGTTGAGATCCAATGAGCGACGTCGATGGACCAGGACTGCGAAGGACGACTGATGAACGGGTGCGGGATTCCCCTAGAACAGCGGCAGACGATTGTAATGCCAAAAGAATAAAAGGAGGCAAGAACAAAGCTTCAAGTAGTTGCAGGAAGAGATGTCGGTCGAATCAGAGGCCGAAAATCTGTCGCTGATCAGTCCAAGTCATGGGGGATGATGGAGTCTCAATGCAGCGATCAAGAGACTCTTGGAGTAGAAACAGCCGTGAGACACTGGCAAGACGGGGCGCGAGGTAACGGAGCAAATCGAGGGAATGGGAGACCATGCATGTGTTTGCCAGAGAATTAGAATTTTTGCTACGAAGCATAAGGTAAAGACAAAAGGTTGTGAGCATTGCGTTTGCGAGTCCAAGCAAGAGGAGTGCCAGGTTTTAGTGCGGAGCGAGTGATGGCGCGAAGAAGTAGGGCCGCAGAAGCGACGACGACGAGGAAGAGGAAGGAGGGCGCCGGGCGGGTGTGCGTCTAGTCATGGAGGGGGAGGGGCATAATTTTAGAACGTAGCCTGTAGTGCTCCGTACTCCGTACCGGGTAAGTACGGAGCACGGGGTGCCCAGAAGCCAAAGCCCAACGGCTCGAGCGAGCCGAGAAACAAGGCTTTGCAACAAGGACAGACAGAGCGCAATGCGACAAGATTATCCTTGGTCCAAATGGGCGGTCCCTGAGAACTGTCATGCAGCGGCCAGAATTTCCGTCGAGGACGCGCCAAAGCTGGCTGAGCCACGCGTGCGGAGGAGCAAGATACGGAGCACTTTCACCGGTGCCTCGGGCGGATTTCATGATGCAATGCGCAATGCAATGTCCAAGGTCGCGACATTGAGCGAAGCAGAAGTGCGTTCTAAAATAGAAGGACCACCCTTACGGTGCGGGAATGCACAGTGCTGGTGCGGGACGATGCCGCGGAGTATAACCACTATAGTCTATGCACTAGCAAGTCCTCGGTCCTTGGTAACTACCTAGGTACATACTAAGTACATTAAGTACTTACATACGTGCTCGCCTACAGTACTTTAGGTGCCTACTTAAGTACCTACCGAGGTGCCCAGTACCCGCTACCTACTTAGTACTTGCTTAAGTAACCTGACGTATGTCTGCAAAGTCCTTGTACGGAACAATCCGCGCCAATGCATGGTATGTCCCAAACTCTTCACCTCGTCCAGCTCTTTGTTCTTTGCCAATTGCCTACTCTTGCTACTCTCAAGCATCAGTTGAGCATTGATGCCAGAAATCGACATTCCAGGATGCGGACAGTTTGCATTGATGCGCGGCTTGAGATGTCCATGGCCTCTTTCCCTCCTCGTCCTTGTGGTCCCTTGAACTTGCCCCGCTATCCACACTCCCCACCCTTATCCGCCGCCCCCATGAGCCAGTCAGGTGCTGTCGCTAGCTTAAGGTCATCAGGCACACCAGTGAAGCGGGGGTGTGATTCGCTGCGACCACGGGGGCAATGGCCTGTTATCGATACGGCCAATTGAATCGAGATGAAGTCGCTCAGTCAGTGAGATGCATGGCAAGACGAAGCGACCAATGTCAGATTGCCCTGTAGTTTATCTCCATGAACGGCGCCACGAGGTAATGCCGTGCGTGTGTCCGCCATAGTCAGTATGTTTGGCTCATGACCGCCAGTTTAGACGTGACGGCACAGAGTTGAAACCGGCCGTCACCCAGACCCAGGGGCCAGAACAAAGGTTTCGTCGTATAGTCCGACTCCCTATTAGCACTGAAATGTAGTTTATCTTGGGCGGACGTGCGCCCAGCAGTCAATCGGACGCGTTGGAAGGTGCCTCTTGGGTACTTGTTACTGGCAAGTTGGGAACGCTTTGGGAATATCGAGGGTGGGAAGCTGCCATCGTCTCCTCCTGCCTTTTGCAATTGTCAGTTGCATGTGGTACTTAAGCATGTAACTACCTACCAGGTAAGTAGGTAAGTACTAGTTGGCACCGGGGGAGAACCTCGAGCGATCAGAAACGAGGCTGCCAGACGGCCGCGTGTAACCAAGTCCATTTTTTGGCCCTTTTTTTTCCCCTGCGGCAACGACGGGCACGGCAGCATTGCTTATTGCTCCGCAAGCTCGAGGCCGTGCAGAATCGGATGCCTGCCAGATGCGCCCTGCGTACAAAATACACATGGATATCTATCGTCAACTCATGTAGCCACCATCTACGGAGTATCTGCACATGTTTCCACGGCCAGCGCTCATGTGATGTCTCGCCAAAGTACCACCGACGCCCGTCTGCTCTCGAGTCTCAATCTCGACGAGCCAAGGTAGCAACACGCAAGATTCACGAAATGGTACCTGGCATAAGCCGTCCTTTTGCCCACTGACCGTCCGGCCAGCGCTTTGCCTCGACACCCTTTCCACTCTTTCCACCCATGGCCCGCCTCCAAGGTCCGCAAGTGGCCGTGATCCGGGGTCGCGGCTGCGTAGCATCCAGCCAGTCCAAGGGGGGGCCGACGTCCAGGAGAAGGCTGTCATGTTGGCATGGCCATGACGGCGATCCAATCCTTCTTTTACGTGCTACCGCTTGACGCGGCGCGCCGACCTCCTCCCTTGTCGCCTTTTCCAGAGGCTGGGCAAACTCTCACACAAAACAGGATCGAACCAGACAATGGCCCCGAGAGATGACCGACTGCACGAAACGCAAGGGGAGCTTGATACTGGGGCACATAGGTTATAAGTACCAATTACACCATACGGAGTACAATACTCAGGATTGGAAATAGAAACTGCGGAGCCGAATGGGCCTCTGGCTGCCCAACTCACATCCCAACAGTGGACCACACCCCATCGGTGGTGGCCTGGAACGCTGTCATTCACCAGACACGGCATATAGTGGCTCTTCTTCTGCCCAAGACGGATACATCATTCATCAAAAATACTATACAGGCAGCTTTGGGGGTTTGTGTCGAACGGCCGGCCATTCTCGCTTGCCTTTGAAACGGTTGGAACACGGCAGTGGACAGACAGCTCCAGAGGGGCACCCAGACGCTCTCGGTAGACAAGACGAGTAGGTGGACACGAACTAACTACCACAACGGAGTGGCTGGTCTGGATGAGGCCGACTGTCAAATTCTCGCTCCCATGTGGTGTACAGGGACCTGCACCAGGCGGGCGTGAAATTGCCAATGGACGGAAGCCTCCCAGAGAGTCAATTGACGGCTCGGCGCCTCTATGAGGAATCCACTGGCCAATGCTGTTTCTCGCGCATCCAACGAGAGCGGGCCGCGTGACAGCAGCTGTCTGATGGCATATCACTGTGCGCAGCAGAGCCCACGATGAGAGAGCGCCAGGCAGGATCACGCCAAGCGGCTGCCTCACCCTCTCGATTGGGTGGCATGAGTTCTGAGCTGATGCTAAGAAGTTGCCACCTATCCCTACTCAGAGGCGCAAGTTTTTGACCGGATCAACAAGAGCGAGAAAGCGAGAAGGCGGGAAGAGGCACAAGAAGCGTCTCATCAAGACGGCTTATCGGCGATGGGTCGGAACAGCAACTCCGTACACTGTATGGAGTCCGTGGAAGAAGGTCAAGACTCAAGAGCGTCCGTTGGAGTCTAATAAGAGGTGAGTCACAAGATATGGAGCATGAGAACCACCAGTTGGGAACCGAAACAATGAGCGTGACGATGCCGCTTCAGGCCTAGTGTCCTAGCCAGGGTGGCGCAGGTGAGCGACCAAACGGGCGGCACACAGGATAAGACGATGCGCGACATCGTTACTATTTGTTATTTGTTACAAGTCAGGACACAGCAAGGCCAGGCAGAAAACAACGACAGGACCGACGCCGACGGAAGGGGGGGTGTCGTTCCAACTTCTCCAAAGCCAAGCCAAGGCAGAAAAGCCATGAACGGGTCCCGAGTCCCGACCCGACGGTGGATATGTGACAGCCGCACGCCGCCTATCGATAAATTGATAAGCCAAAATGCCGTGAAGCGTCAGCGTGGAGCGCGGGCAGGGACTCGGTACTCCGTACTCCGTACTCGGTAGCGTAATGTCATGTCATACGTTTGTTCTGCATCTGGGCTCAGTCGCAAAACCTCAATGGCACCGCATCAAGGCGAATCAAGATGGGCAAATTGGGCGATGGCTGCGCCTCGACCCTGCGCACCCATTGCCGCGACAGGCAGAACAATTCGACCTGGAATCACAGGCATTGCGGCCAGAAAAGCAACCCGCTCCGACGACGAGAGCGAGAGCAAACGTCATCTCAAAGCAGCACACCCTCTTGCAGCGCTTAAAGCGGGCTGCAGCGTGGAAGGGGGAAGGGATTGGGACAGGGAGTGGCGGCGGCGCGCCGCGGCGCACGGCATGTGCATCAACCAAGACCAATCATGGCCCGAAGCTATGCTGGTTACTGTTGTGGTTCGAAGCAAGCCCGTGGCATTGCGGAGGGCTGGACTGGGCTGGGCTGGGCTGGGGGCGTTGGAGCCCGGATGGGCGCCGACGGAGGGGCGACGGACGACAGACGACGGACGAGAAACGCCCAAGCCTGGCACTCGCTGCTGTGGGCTGTCGGTCGTGGCCGGCCTGGACGTTGATTTCATGGCATCCCGCACCATGGATTGCAACTTCGCCATGCCAGCCGCCAGCCCGAGTTTTACAAATCGAATCGTCCCGACAGCTCCGCATGACAGGCAAACACGTAACGCTGCCGCCTGGATACGTCGACGAATCCACGGTACGGCTCCCTCGGAACCTGCCAGACAAGGCGAATGAGAAGCCGGTGGCCTCTGCTCTGCTCCGTATGCTAGGGGATAATGCCCTTGCTGAAGCTTAACGCCGGGCATGTTTGTCATGTCGTGCAACGCAGATTTAGGTTGTGTCCTGCGGGAGTTGAGAATCCCACATGCCTGCCACAAGACACCCAGAATTCGAATGGGGTAAAAAAAAAAAAAAAAAGACCGGCCCGCTTGAGCTGGTCGCTTGGCCCTTGGCTCTCCACCGCACGCCACCCACCACGAGCTTGACAGATTGATTCAGCAACCCAACACGAGGGTCTGTGATGCGACGACGTGATGTAGGCCGGCTGATGATGGCTTGCCCACCAGATAGTCACTTGACAGTGTGTGTTGCAACCCCCGGAAAGCCCCGATCTTCCATCACGCTCGAGAGACCCGGTGACACAGATATCGATGCCGAACCAGGGCGTAGTCGGGTGGCGGGCCACTCGATGAGGGGACTGCTCAACGCAAAGTCGACTGCGCGCGAATGGGAGTCATCGCCACTGTCCAGCAATAGAACGACCCCAGCACTGCATAGTTGGGAGTTGGACAATGTCCCTGCGCACTTTGTCCGAGACTCGTCCCAATTCCAACGGAATCAACAGTAGAGAGCTGTGGGTTAGGAAATCAAGGCGTGGCGTGGCGTGACGTGCCTCAACAATACTAATATGCAGGCTAACCTACTCAAAGAAGACTATCCCGCTGAGTCGCCTGGTCCGCTGGTCCACAGTCCGAGTCCCCAGATAATTACAGCTATGACTCTATTCGCGTTCCTTCACGCCAACATGACACTATTCGAGACTGCCAGGTTGTTCATCACAAGGATACAAGGCACGGGCGACGTGCAGCATCCACGACAGAGCCCGCACCACCAGTCGCTTGTTCCAGCCGTAACTGCCACGACTGTATTCGCCTCGTACAGGGCTGTACGCAGGGCGTCTATCTTCAAGCTACCACCGGACGAATGTTAATGTTCCCCCTTTGTGCGCTTGTGCTCATCAGCCCGTGTATAACCCAATCCATACTCATCCATCTTTACGGGCATGCCACCAATCCGTATATCCGTTGTGGGAATGCAGGATCTGGGATTTCCTCAAGATGCATGCTGAAAGCTTCGTGAGGGCAATGATCACTTCCTACTTTTGAATCCAGAGTCAATTGACCCACGCCCAGTGGTGATGCTGCGTCCCCAAAGTTGTTGCCCTTCATTTGCTGCACTCATCGTGTCGTGTCTCGCAAGAGGCGAAAAGCTGACGCGTTTGGCACTCTCCCAGGCAGCAGCTTGAACAACGTCGCCACTCTAGGCTTGCACAGACCGTTGCTCTGCAAGACGTCTTCAAATGTACAAGGTCCCCGTTATTTGTCCCGCCATGCATTACAAGTACACGTGAGTTGGGTTGGTGTGCGCGTCTCCCATGAATGCCAAGCACAACACCCGTGCGCCCGAGCGAGAATTCGTCGTCCAAATGCACGTTGCTCCGGGAGGATTCACGTAAAGTCGTAGACCATCAAGCTCTCTCGTCCGTCCCGGGCCTCCTTCAGCACCACCACCATCTCCTCGTCGAAACCCACCCAGCTCTTTGTGTCATCCAAGCTGGCGACGGCCCTTGTGGTGGCAGAGTGCTTTCTCTTTACATGTTGTTCCGCGTCATCACCCGACTGCCTCGGCCGCAATTCGACGCTGCTTCCGCCCACGCGGCCTTCAAGCTCCCAAACCCGAATCTCGTCGCCGCGCGTGCTGATACTAACCGCTTTTCCTCGGGGTGTGATTTCTGCGTCGGAGATGCCTGAGGTGTGGCCCCATAGGCGGATGCCTGGCGAGATAGAGAGCGACGAGGCGGTCGAGGTGCACAGGTGAAGGACTAGGGTATTGTCGGGCAAAGTGGCCAGCAGATAGGGGTGACTGTAGCAGAGTCGTATAGGCCCGTCTTCCCCAGGCTCCAGCGGTGCTGGAGAGCGGGCCCGCGAGTTGGAAGGTGAAGACGGCGGAGATGATGTTGCTGACAAGCGGGTCTGCGTCGGCAGGGTGTAGGCAACTCGTGAGGTAACAATGTCTGGCGTAGCGAATCCAGACGGCCTAATGTCCAGGTCCTGTATGCCAATGGACCATCCTCCGACGGCGTCAAAAGTGTATGCGATGGATGCAACGACTGAAGTTGTCATGCGGCGAACTGATAGGGCTAGCGGTGGCCCTGTGGTGTGAGACTTGAGTGAGGTGAGAAGACGCGGCTGGGTGAGTGGCGCCCTCGGGGGAGGAGCGGTTTCTTCAGGCTCAGGCACTGACGATGGCATGGGCAGACGGCCCTCGGGTCCTGTATTTGAATGCTCCCGTATTGGAGCTGTTTCGACTTGTGGGTGGTCGAAGGAGAACAATGAAACAAAGCCAAGCCTCGAGGCCGTAAATATGTATGGATGTCCATACGCAATGGCGACAAGTTCACCAAAGTAGTTCTTTGCGTGCTGGTACAGTATACCAATCTTTCCACTCTTGACATTCAATTCCCAGAGAGAAAAGGTGCCGTCTTCGAACCCCACAGCCACGTCCAGTCTCCCAGTGTTGAGCAGCAAGTCATCGACTGCCAAGCAACTGGGCTGATTTGTCTCCTTGTCGTTTCCAAGGTCTGCTTGTGCGATGAGCCGCCTTGTCTTGAGGTCCCACGCCCTGATGCCGGCGGTGCCATCGACGGTCACAGCAAGACCATCAACCACCTTGACCATGGTTTGCCACTCTGCCGCAGGAGTGTCTCGTTCGACACGGCGGACCTGAACTTCGTCGACGGCGCAAGCACCGCGAGCCCAATTGTGTCGCAACTTGTACTGCTTCTTCCAGTCTATCAGTTCCCGAGTATCGCTTGCGGCCGTCTCTCTTGGACCGCTGACAAAGCCGCCCCTGCGACCCCATCCCCCATCTGCCCAGATGGTCTTGCCGGTCGAGTATCGTAGCTTGCTGGAGCTTCGGGTGAATCCGGTGCGAAAGCCTGGGATCATGTGGGCACGGGGCAAGATGAATCGACGATAGTAGTGTGGCCGCCATAGCTGTGAATCGGAGGTGATGCGGCTGAAACGTCTAGACACGGGAGATACGCCAAGCAGTGTCTTTTCGTCCACGAAGGAGAGAATTCGGATGAGCAGCTCGTCGGACAGTGTAGATATAATATCACGAGTACGACGCGGCGTCATGGTCCGAAGGCGCTTGGACACGGGCCGTGACGACGGATGGTTCGGGTTCGCGTCAGGACGGGTACCGGGGCAGCCGTCGTCACGGTCTGGGGCCTCGTCATCATGGACGAGTCTGCGCTTGGTCGGCATGGTCATTGTCGTAGGCGAAGCAACAGCAGCTCGACAGACGCCACCACGTCTCTATTCCGCGGGTAAGCAGTGGGAGGACATGCGTGGCAGAGGAAAAGCGGACGTGAGGTTTGGTGAGGGAACGGTATGGCTAGGCCCAAGCGGCAGAGCTATCAGTCACAGGAAAAGAAGGCGGCCGGGGACGAAGAGAGACTAGCCGAAGAGGCTGACGGCGGTCGGTCGACACAAGACACGTCGAGACAGGGCGCCTAAGAAGAGGAGCTTCAAGGCAGTCGTATATAGCATTTCCCGTCGGGTGCGGCACGAAGGGAAAGGAATATCAAAGTTGCGGTCGACCAAACAGTCGTCGCGGACTCGTCGTCGGTGGTGGTTTAGGTTTAGTGGGGGTTCGTACCTTCCTACCCGTGAGTGGACGCCATCCGGAAGGAGCCAGACAGTGAGCTCAGCCACAGGACAGGGCAGGTGCCGGTGAGACACCACGGGCGGGAAGGAGCATCGCACGCCGGCGACGTGGAACCGTAAAGAAACATGGGCACATCCTGAAGTGCCTCGCTTCGCTGCCGTTGCCAAGTGCCAAGTTCCACGTCCTCTCGGACACTTTCCCGTCTGTGCCCTCCTCAGGTCTGCCAACTATCTCACGATGCACTACTCCGTACGGAGCATGATGCTCTTCAAGTTTCCTCGGTAAAAGCGCATGCAGCGTAGCATTGCGTTGCCCGTGGACCAAGGCTCAAGGGTGTTCATAAGTCACGTTGGGCCATGTCTCAGCTCGACGCTCGACACGGACAACTCGACGCTTTCTGTGCCCATCACCATATCCAAGGAACCGCCCAAGCCAAGGTAGCGACATGTCTTGGCCACCCTACAGCCCGCCCCACAAGTCTTTCCGTCAAATCAATCGTAGCTGATGGTGCCAAACTAGGCCTCAATTCTTGCGAATATGATAGATCGCGGCCTCCCTTGGGCTCTCAGCTCAACCCTCCAAAGCACAGAGCACAGACAGAAAGAAGCCCGCAGGAAAAGCAAGGGCACAGGCACGGCTTACTAATTCAGCCAATTGAGCCGCGAACCAGCACCAAATGCCTCGAGTTCAACCACACCTTAGTAGTATTGTGTGCTTCTAGGTTGCTCCGTACCAAGAACAGAGACACACACGGACCCAGCAAAACGCCGAGCACAGACTATGACTATTCGAGGTCAAGACCGGAAAGCAAGGGAGGGCGACGTGATTGATTTTGCTTTTTGAAGTCGACTGCTGGCCAATCATAGGCGCAGGACTAGGGTTGCTTCGCTTTCTCAAGGTCAGGACCCCTGTTTTTTTCCCGGCTGCCAGTACGGAGTAACGTACGGAGTATATCACCTTGGCGTTGAATCCGTACCGACGGAGTAGCTCTCTCACGATTGCGCCGATGTTTGATTGTATTGTATTGTATTGTATTGTATTGTAAAAAAAAAAATGAACATTTTCGCCAAGATGCCCCGAAGAGCAACTTCCATCACTGGCGCTTTGCCATGCTGCTGCCCTATCGTACAGTCATCATCGAGCACATTCCGCTGTATGACTGCCACAAACACACCTCTGATGCTATCTCGCTTGCTTGTCCGACAATGAATTGCCGTCGTGATGGACTCTTACAGCATGCACTATGCGCGGGTACCAGTGCTGGATGTCAAAACGACGAGGGTTCCATAACCCAGAGATATGTATGAACATGTACGGTAGTGCAGCGCATCTACGTGAAGATGCTGACCGTGAAATCAGACACCGCCGGCTTCCATGACTCAGTCGACCGAGTCGGGAGCGACATCATGACATGGTGCAAGTCGCCGCCGTCTCCGCCCTTTTCCACTCGCGCAACAAGAATAAGCTTCCACCCTGCGTCGGAGAGAGCCATTTCCCTTCAGCCCGCAACGGCCACTCGACGATTTGGTCCGGGAACGCCCCCGACGTGGGATGTGTTGTTGCGTCAGCTGCACCGTTGGGCACACTCGCATCGTCCGCTACGTGCAGATCTCGGGACGGCGTGCGGAGTACTCCCTTTGAAATCTCGCCGACTGCTCAAGCACCCGAGTGGCCCCTGACTATACCTTGATGGATCGTGATAGATAGAGCAGAGCATGGAATGGGGTAGTACTCGGTATCCTCCTGGGAATGATTGCCAGATTCAGGTCATGCTATGACATGCCATGCTATGACATGCCATGCCATGCCATCACATCACATCACATCCCCACACGTTCAAATAGTCCGTCGTAGACGCTCGCAACCCAGCCATCCGCCGGTCCTCCCCTCGCAAGCACTCCCAACCCCCCAATCGCCCACAGAGCCGCAAACCCAACCGCGAGCCCGTGAAGGGCCAACCACTTCCTCATCCGCCGTGTCCTCGTCGTCTTGTCCACGCCAACGCTCGCCTTGCCTCTCCAGCCCTGCGTCGACGGCGCCATGCCAAACCACCGTGCCGCTCCCCAAACCATGTGTCCGCCCGCTGTGGCCAGCAGGCCCACGTATGCAAGCCCCGACATGACCGGGTGTCTGGCAAACCCGTGCGCAACATACGCCAGCCCAATGTTCGAACTGTTCCCTTCCACGGCGAGCGGCAGGACCCTGTTGACGAAGACGTGCGCGCCATAGAACAGCGTCAGCGCATACCCGGAGATGGAGATGTACGACAGTGGCGGCCACAGTCGCACCGGCCTGCCGCCAGACTCGCCGGACTTGCCGGACAGGGCCTCGCGCATCGCGTGCAGCGCGTGCATGCCGGGCGTGCCGCCCCCGTAGCGCTTCATGTTGTGCCAGCGCCGGAGGAGGCGCAGGGCCAGGCCAGAGGCGACGTGTAGGGCAACGGGGAGTGCGACGAGGACCGGCTCAGCGACGGACGTCTGGTACAGCTCGCGCGTCATGAGGAGGTAGGTTTCTGAGCCGGCGACGGACTGCGTCACCGCCGGGATCAGGGACACGTTGACGAGGTGCAAGGCCGTGAAGATGCCCGTTGCGTAGGACGAGTACTTCTGGATACGGGTGACTTTTGCTCCTGGTCAGCTGTGCGTACCAAGAACAAGAGAATCGGGGACGTGGGAGACGCGGTGGACTCACGGTAGTATATCGAGCTGCGGCCGCTGCTTAGGCCCAGATGGCTTGTCGCTGTGCCGGCTGCGGCAGGCTCGCTGCTGCCATGGTTGTCGTGTGCTGCGGTATTTTCATCGACGTCGGAGAAGCTGGTTTCCTCGGCGGCGGTGGAGGGTGATGGCGAGTCAATGGGGTAAGGGTCGAGCTGGAGGAGGGAGATGAGCGTCGCCTGCGAGTCCTTGCGGTTGAGGGTTTGCCCCAAGCTTGGGGTGTCCATGGGCGCTTCTGGATGGCGAGGCAGGCGGACTGAAGGCGCCCGGTGACTCCTAGATGAGATGTTGTTTGGGAATCAGGCGGGAGTGTACGGAGTAGTAGTCAATTCGTGCACCAACCTTTGAATAGGCATCAATCAATCAGTTAAGTTACGTAGTTGGTTGGCGTCGGCACCTGGTGTGGTCAGGCCAATCAGGGCGCCTGTCATTGGCTGTGGCCACGTGGAGCGGAGCCACCCGCCCAGCTGACCTGGTGCCCACTTGACTGCTACCTGCCTCGAACTGGTGGTTCCTGCTTCATCCCATCCGACTCGAACCCCAGCATTGCGTCGTTGGCGCCAGTCTTCAATCTGAAGACCAGCTCTCTCGTCTTCAAGGACAGTCGAATCCAGACGGCCCTCACCGACAACATGCCCCCCGTACGTCTCGCTCGTCGCCGTCGCTCGCAAGTTTCCTCAAGCTAACGTCCGCAGCGCCACCAGACTCTGCCCCCGGCGCAAACGTCGTCGGCGCGCGAGGCCCAAAAGTCCTTCTACTGCAACCTCTGCTCAAAGGGCTACTCTCGCATGAACGACTACGAGGCCCACCTCTCCAGCTACGACCACTCCCACAAGCAGCGTCTGAAGGACATGAAGGCCATGGTGCGGGATCCCAATGCCGGCGCGAGGGCCAGGAAGGCCGAAGCTAAAGCCGACGGCCTCGTAAGCATAAAGCTGCCCAGCCAGGAGGCCGCTTCCAGCAGTGCCGGCTCGGCCGGTTTTAAGAAAGGCGGCTTCAAGAAGACGGGGTTTAAAAGCGCCTTTGCCCCCGCTGACGGCGTTCAGAAGGCCGTGCAGAGTGCCCCCAGCCCGACCCTTAAGCCGGTCATGAAGGACTCTTTGGTGGAGAGCGATACTGAGGATGAAGGCTACGAGGTGTACGACCCGCGCTATCCGACTGATTAACTCGCTCTCTTCTTCTCAATGCCGCGAGCATGACACGACGGTAAGGGTACACTCGGTTTTCTGGCGCGCAACACCCATGTCGTTTCTCAGCAGGGAATCTATTACACGCAGCGCAACCGGTCCCTTGGCCCTATTCGCCAGCCAGCTTCATCACACAGTCCGAACTCGCGCCAAGTCGAACTCGACCCGGTATAGGTTCACACGCCATGACTCACAACTACGCTTTGAAACCCATCTCAACCCAGACACAAGAACAAAGATAAATCATTCATGCTAAATCAACGCTACGTAAGAATTCATTGCATGGGAGAGGTTTGCTGTTGCGCCAAAGGTACCTGCGGAGACGCTACCTGCTGTTGCTGCTGGTGTTGCTGCTGGTGTTGCGGCTGCTGCTGGTGTTGCATCCAGCGATATGAATCAATATGTGACAAATCTTCCTCCAAGAGGCCCATCATATTGCGGTTGCCAGAGAACCAGTCGGCCAATTGCGCGGCCTGATTACTAAGTGGCGGCGGACCGCTGCCTGTACCTGTGCTTCCCATGGCCTGGTCCTCTGTGGGCATAAAGCCCAGCTGGCTGAGGTACATTTCGAACTCATCGCCGATGGGGACCATGGTCTGGTCCTGTTGCTGTTGGGATTTGGCTTCCACGTAGAGGCTGGCCACGTCGCACATGACCTGGCATAGACGGTAGAGTTTCTCAATCGTCTCCGAGGCATCTCTTGCCTCGTCGAGAGAGTCGACGAATTCTTGGAGTAATCGGAGGTCATCCAGGGAGCCGGTTTCAATGACATAGCAAAAGAGAACAAAGAAGGGCGCGAACGGGGTCAGCAGAAGATTCCTAAAGAGAAACCTACATTGAGCATTGTGCATCATTTCAGTCATAAAGGATGGGTAAACAAAACCTACCAGTGGATGTAAATCGATCTGAAGTAGCCGCCAATCGTAGACCTCCTGGTGCACTCTTGGTGTACCTTCATGGCTTTTCGAGCTGTTGCCAAGCACTCGTCGCAAAAGCGACTCACTGAGCCCTCAGGGGCAGGAATGACCCGATATACCAGTGTCAATGTGACTTGGAACTGGACCTCGTCGCCTCGCAAGAACAAGTCGACCAGGTCAGAGGAATTGACCGCCTTGAGATAGTCGTACGTTTGGTTACGAGCCTCGTCGGCCTCCACTTCGAATTTTCGACACTCGCTAGCCAAGGCTCTTGCTCGTTCCACCCGTTCCACCAGTTCTGCCGGGGGGCTCTTCAGGGCGCTCGGGCTATATAATTGCTCGTATATTCGACTTTGCAGGTAGCTCATCTTGATCCAAAGGGTTGGGATCGTCGACGAATCCTCTTGCCCTAAACCATCAAACTCGAACACGCGCGGTATGTCAATGTCGCACTCATGTATTACTGGGGAGCGGCCAAGCCTGAGACCTAGACCTTTGTCAACAGTGTAAACATGCCAAAACAGTATCCGCTTCAATTTGGCTGTTGCTGGCGGATCGAACTTGAGGGATTCCGAGCGATGAAACCCTCCGGTCTGGCAGAGCTGAGCTGCCATGCAGGACAAATGCCATGCAACTGAAGGGCGGGATACGTCTACAGCATAGAGAGCCTTGATTGAACGTTAGCAAGGCACCCCATCATCGGTGATGGTCGGGTGGGGGATAACAAACGCCAAGTAGCAACGCTTGAACGTTTTCGACTCTTGTTGCCAGGAATAAGGATGTATTCGCAAGAGCAGTCTCAAGATTGGCCTGACTCTGACGCATGTATGCGTGGTATTCATCCCGTGCCGCGGGGTCGGTGGCAAGTGAATTTTGCTCCATGAAAAGATTGTAGAGCATAGCATTCACAATGAGGAATGTGGCATCTGAAAACTCCTCCGTCGCAAAATACACCCTGCGACACAGGGCAGTAAAATCTGGGAGCCCGACGAGGGAACACATGATGGTGAACAAGGTTGGCGGAGCACCTTGTGGAATGTTAACTGGTGTTGTAACGATAGGAAAAGTGAAAAGGAAGAAACACAACACACACACACACACACACACACACACACACAAAAGAGACAGAGAGAGAAATAGAGAGAGAGACCGACCGTACCTTTGGCATGCTTTAAAAGGTTCACTACTGCCTGCATTGGCGGCATGGGTAGCTTTGAAATACCGCCTGGTGGCACTGGCTTCTGAAGAGGAAACCGGGGACCATGACTTATTGACCGACGCTTTTGCATCTCAACCAACTGGCTCAGATTATTCAGACCGGCAGCCATCTTAGGGTTCACTTCACGAAGCGACGTCCTTCTCACGGCGCTCTCAAGGAACTCGCTGGCAAAGGTTGTATGGGCAACCAAGCCCGTATCCCCACCGTAAGCGGATTCATCGTCACTGCTGTCAAAGTCGCCGCTTGAGGCAGCAGTTGGAATACTGCTGCTAACAGTTTGCGGTGTGTTGCCTACTGCCGCTGGGTCGTAGGAGAACTGAAAGGGTGCGGCTGGATTGGCAATATTCTTGAGGAGCACCTCGATATTGCCTAGGCGGCTTTCAATCTGATCAATCTTCTTCTCACTGTCGGTGAGGTTAGGATGGGTTTCTGGGTCAGCATTTTGTTTCTGCCAGGTGGGGACAATGGGATACGTCAGGGAGAGTCGGGTGAATGAAAGGTGCATGGCAGCGTCGTGAGACCATGACACAGTCATTACGCCAATAGAGGAGGAGCAGCAGCAGGAGAGGAGAATGAACAGTCATGTTGCAAGGCAAATGTGAGGGGGTGCTCGTGAGTGAGGCACAATGACAAGGTTTAGGGGATATCGAGGTAAGCAGAGGGAAGATGAAAAAGATGACAGACTGACTATTGAGATGAAATGAGAACGCGTTGTCGAGGTTCTTTCGGCCGCTGCCCAGCACCTGTGGAGGTGCAAGATCTTTTGGCCGTGCGGCAATTTGAGCATGGCCAGTCTTTGTCACAGCGAATCTGCACATGACGGACGATGAAGCTGAATGTCAGCCTCGTGGGTGATGAAGAGGAGGGGGCCAGGGGCGGCCAAGCTGCAGGGCCGAGATGCATGACAGCAGGAAACGGCAGCCATGATGAAATGTCAAGACAAACGCAGGTCATTCCATACAAAACCAGAGGTGGATGGGAATGAATGCTTGATTGCACTCGATCCCCCATTGCCGGCCACCCCGGGGATGTGAGGTGGTACTATGACGTACCTTTCTCAATCGACATTGATCGCACTGCAGCGCGGATAGGCCTAGGAGTTAGCACATATGCTCTTTCGACCCATTGCCAACAATGAATATCGAAGTCGGACGGAATTATGCAGCAAAGATACGCGAGCATGGCAAGGGACGGGACCCCAAGCCCACAGCACGCCACGTCACGACGGCGACGGAGAGCCGGTGACGGCCGCGGTACACCGGGTCTAAAGACGGCAGCAGATGGATGACGCGACCGTTTTCACTCGTCAAGGGCGTCTTGCGTCCTCGGGCGTTCGCTCGAGTGCAGACACGACTTTGGGTTGCGGCTGGATCACAACTTACTGCTCGTCGGCCGGTGGGATCGTCGTCGGCGGCAGCGGCAGCCACCCCCCCGTGAGCCAGAGCCAAAGCCTGGGCCGAATTCTGCATGACCCTTCCTTTTGCAGTTTTCTTGTCCTGGGACGGGAAGCGATTGGGAGCCTCGTGTCTGTGCCTGGTGCCTTGCGCTAGTTCCAGTCCCGGCCCTACCACTGTCAACGAATGAAGGCGGTTTCAACGGATATCGGTGTCGGATTCCATTCCACATGGTCCAAGGATTGGCGGGGACGGGTGCCACGGAACATGCGAGGCCGACAGAGTGCTTCTATTGAAAAGATGGTTGGGATTTCGTACTCAGACCCCAACCGATCAGCCTCTTCCTTTTGTCTTTTGCGACAGGCCTCGGCAGCGGATGGCTGATGGCTGATGGCCAATGGCAAGCAAGCGGCTAGTCGTAGATGGCAAACGCAAGCGCAAGCGCTGCCGCTGGCGATGGAAAAGTGAATGGTCGTGTCCACGAGACAGAGTTGACGATTGGATTTGGGGCCAAACTCGCTGGGCGGAGGACAACGTCGTTGACAACTCTGCTATGTCGGCATCCGCGGACGCCGCGCCATCCGCAGAGGCTTGGGCCAGCCATGCTGCGCCACTTGCCAAATACGGACAAGCCTAGACGCTGAGAGGTTCGACAGAACAGACGCCACCCGCTTCGTCGCCGCGACTTGTTTTCAGTCTCGACGCAGCCTATTCTCCGAGGGATGTGATCGAACCAACATTGCTTGACATGACCAATGCGATCGTCAACGGCCGGACCACCAACGCATATCCCTAACGGAGTACGCGGGCCCCTACTCTCCGCTATGCCCGGCGGGTGGGTGGCCGACGCCGCCTCTCGAATCCCGAGTCCTGGGACAAGTAACAAACCCTCCTTTGGTATTGATCCGGCATTTAGTTTTCACATCATCAAGTTCAGTCTGTCCAAGCGCCCTCAACACGTTTCTCGTATCTATACTGGTATAAGATGACGATAAACTGTGCTCCGTTACTCCTCGACTACGCATCTACACATGGCCGCTGGACACAAAGAGGCGACCAACTTTGCCTCCCCGCCTTTGGGGAATCATCATGAGTCTGACACCATATCTTCCCAAGGTGGTAAGTCTGAAGTACGGTTTGATGAAGAATCCAACCCAAGTCCAAGCGGAAAATCCTTCATCGTAAGCCACTGTTGAGAATGTCCTGCCCCGATTCAGGTGCAGAAACCAACGGGAATGCAGCGTGTCTTCTCGTACAGCGATTCGATGGGATGCTTCTTAAATATTATCGCCTTCCTTGATATGATGGGTGCAGGCGTAGCCCTTCCTCTGATGGATGTTGTCTTTGGGCGTTTTGTTGATACAATCCACAACTTCGTCAATGGGAAGCTGCCAGCTGACGAGTACATGGATCAAGTTGGCGAGTTGACGTTTGTCAATCGATGCTGTCTGTATGTCGCTTGTGCTGACGCGGGCCTTTGAACAGGCTGGACTTTGTATATCTCTTCGCCGGTGGATTTTGCTCGACCTACCTCTGGACGGTTAGCTTCACCCATTGCCATTGCCGCGCCGTAAGGCCGGACACTGACTGATGTATCCACGGCTGACACGCGGAAGCGTCATCTTTGCCCTACTGGTGGCAGCTCAAGCCCTCACACAGATCGCACCACAGACTGTTGCCATTTCCAAGGCCATGGCTGCTGCTCAAGATCTCTTGTCCATCATCGACCGACAGTCCGCTATCGACCCCCTTTCCCAAAGCGGCGAGACTATAGAAGGCTTAAGAGGTGATATTCAACTGCGGAAAGTGCGATTCTCGTATCCCTCCCGTCCTGGCGTTCCAATATTACACGGATCGGACTTGGATATTCCGTCATACAAGACCACTGCGCTATAGTAGGTGCCAGTGGTTCCGGAAAGAAAGAGTACAATATTTGGGCTGCTAGAGCGTTGGCATGCCTGCTCTGCCGGAACGATTACAATTGAAGGTGTTGAGTTGGAGGACCTCAACCTGCGTTGGCCGAGGACTAATATCCGACTTGTTCAGCAGGAGCCTGCTCTCTTCAGTGGAACCATCTACCAGAACGTTGTCGACGGTCTTACGGGCACGGATAAAGAGCATTTGCCCGACGAGATGCAGAGACGTCTTGTAATCGACGCCTGCAAAGCTGCCTTTGCGCGCGGCTTTGTCAAAGACCTGCCAGATGGGTACGACACCTGGATTGGCGAGCGAGGGGCGTCGCTTTCTGGTGGCCAGAAGCAGCGTGTTGTCATTGCTCGCAGCATCATATCCAACCCCAAGGTGCTCTTGCTAGACGAAGACACCAGCGCGCTAGACCCGAATGCCGAGAAAGTCGTACAAGTTGCACTGAATAACGTTGCCAAGGGCCAGACCACGGTTATTATTGCCCATCGACTGTCGACGATTTGTGATGCGGATAACATTGTCGTCATGTCAAAAGGTGAGACGGTCGAGAACGGAACGCACGCTGAATTGATCGAACAGGGGGGAGTGTACGCCAGGCTTGTTCGAGCTCAGGATCTGGGTAAGACGTCCGAGTCTATCGTGGACGAGTCCGAGGACGACAAGGACGGGGCCTTGGTGGACATGAAGCAAGTGCTCACACAGGTCTCAACGACGGGCGCGCCGCATGAGGAGGCGAGCAGCGGAGGGAAGCGTTGCGGCCTACTGCGCGGACTGATTCTGTTCCTGAAAGAGCAAAGGACTCTGTGGTGGCCAAGTTTTGCCATTCTTCTGGCCTGTTTTGCCGGAGGTAAGCCATCCCAGCCATGTGCTCTCGTCGCTTGACGCTGATGATTCTTTGCAGGCGGTACCTATCCGGCCCTTGCCATCTTGTTCTCCAGGACAATGAGCGCCTTTGAAACCATTGACGCCGACAGGGGCAACTTTTTTGCTTTAATGTTCTTTGCGGTGGCCTCGGGGAACCTCGTGCCGTACGCCGTCGTAGGCTGGATGTCGAATATTGTTGCGCAGACTACCATGAAGCATGATCGCGGAGAAACCTTGAACAACACTCTCCGTCAAGACATGGCATTCTTCGATGAAGCCAAAAACGGAACGGAACAGGGGCAGAACCACCATTGCCGTTGCGCATCGACTGAGCACGATTCGCGACGCAGACGTGATTGCTGTGCTTGCCGAGGGGAACATTGTCGAGTCGGGGACACATGACGAACTGGTGGGCAGGAAGAAGGGTTTGTGCTTTGAGATGGCCCTGGGGCAGTCGTTGGACCGCGAAGCTCGACACGGGTCTGCAAAATCACCACTCCATAATTTTTCGGCATACTTGCACTCTGAGCCATGCGTGATGGGCCAGGTGCAAGGTCACAGGCGGATCTAGGGCGGAGACGACTTGTGCAGTATCTGCATTTCCTTCCCCTGCCAACCTCCTCTTCATAGACCACCGACTACGTCGCTGCCGGCTGGGGTTGATGGTGGCTTTTGTGCCAGCCGCCAACGTTAGCTTGCCGACAACAACTACAAGCATCACGCATCACGTAGAAGCCTCTGTCGGCTGCAACGTCTATGCTTTGGCGTAAACATCCTTGCTTGCGACACCGCCTACTGCCTGGTTGCCCTGGTCTGGTCCACGACACTATTGACCTTGCTGTTGGGGACATCTTCTCGACAGTTCCTAGTTGTCATTTCGGCTTCCTCATCTGAAAGAAACCACACAAAAGACGTCACAAAATCTATCGAGACAACAAGCAAGTAGTTTCCGAGTCCATCAGCGGACCAAATTGCGTGACGCATCAAGAACCTCGCGTACCCCCCAGACTCGACGGGATAAATCCAGCTCTACACGAGGCGCAAAATACGTGAAGACATAAAAAACTATACAAAGAAACATGCAAAGTAGAAAAGACATCCCAACGACTCTGTCGTGCTTGTCAAGAGCACTTGTCGCTCCTTTATGATATTACAGCAGCAGTCTTGCTGGTCCCTCCCAACATGACGTTGAATTTCCCTTCTTTGCGTGCCTGCGTCAGCCCTGCAGCCACAGGAACTCAGGGACCTCACGTCCGTGACCTACATGTGAATCCGACGTCTTGCTCCACGCCCCGGCCGCGGGTGTTGCGCCCGCGAGTGCTATGGACTTCCGCAAACACGCTGCCCCGGTCTCGGTCAGCACAATGGAAACGAGCGGCACGGAGGGGCGAGCGGCGTGTTCCGAACCTCTCTCCTGTGCCTGAAGTCGGTGTAGATTCCGTTCCAGATATCCCTCTCGGAGCAGGACTCGGCGCCGTCACGCACGTGGCACCTGGGCTGGAACTTCTCGCGCATCTCGTCGGATATGTTGCCCCAGGGCTTGGGCAGGGGCGCCTCCGAAAAGTGCAGATACTTGAGCTCGCCGAGGGCGGCGACGGGGTCCCACGCCTCCCTGTCCGTGCCGAGATATGCCTCGTGGTCGTCGGGGTCTCGCGCAAGCTCAGAGGTGAGCATCAGATACGGCCGGTGAGGCAGGACCAGGGCCCGGTCCCCGTACAGCGCGTTGACGACCTCCATGTCGTACTCGCTGCGCCCGGCCTGCTCGGTCTCGGCCATGTTGCGCTCAAACTCGGCGGCGCTCGGCTGCACGAGCATCAGGGGCGACGCGAGCTTCGGGTCGTCGGGGTAGAGCCAGTAGGCACGGGGCATGGCCACGGGGCAGGGCGGCAGCAGGAAGAGCTCGTCCATGAGCCGGAGGACGGTCGCGTCCGAGTCCAGGTGGAGGACTCGCTCGTACTGCGTCTGGTTGAAGACGAGGAGCTTGGTGAAGGAGTCCTCGTAGTATGCTGCCGTCCGCGCGAGGGCCTGCTTGTCAGCGAGCCCGTGGACGTGGACGTGGACGTGACGTGACGTGAGGCGACGCCTCTGGTGCGTGGCCTGCGCGGGAACGGCTTCTGCCTTGATTCGACTTACTGTCCAGGACCGCTCTGTGTTGGACTTGGGTCGGCCGGAGGTGCACGTGGTACTCGTTGCGAGCCCTCCTGAGCAGACGAGCGTTGTGCGAGTCGTCCGTCTCCAGGTCGCCCGCGATCATTGTAGATGGGTACACCACGACCTTTTCGGCTCGAGTCCCAAGGCGATCGAGTGTCTCCATGATCATGACGGCGTTGCACAGACAATCGCTGGTCGTCACGTATTGGAAGTATGCAAACTTGGACCAGTCGGTGACCCCTGGGGACAGCGAAGCAGAAAGCTCGCCTGGTGGAGGTGGGAAAACGCCTCCATCTCGCACTGCTGCCACCAAGAAGTAGAGCAGGGCGATGATGGGCACGAGCGGGACAAGTCGACAAATCTTTCGTGTAGTCACGCCCATCGTCTCGAGTCGGGCTTGGGAGTAAGCAGGTCGGGCAATGGACGGCAGGCCGGCCGTCACGGCGATGCGGTTACGTACGTGTTGTCCCAGTCGATTTCTTTCTGGTCGGGTGTATGATTTGCGCGGCGCCCTCGCAATCCTTCAATGCGATCGGAAGAGAGTACTGCCCTGGTTGCAGAGCCACACAAGGGAACGCTTGATCAAAAAGGCGTCCAGCTTCGCGACCTCTCAACTCTACCTGGGCGTCATCGAGGCTCAGCCGGCGGCTTGCCGGGCCTTTTGGCCTTGGAACCTCGATGCCCGTGCTCCCATGTGGCCAGTAAGAGCCATTGCGGCAAGTCATCTGGTCGAGGCTTGACCGCAAGTTCTGTGTAACAACGGCCAACAAAGCTTACAGAGCACGACAAGGGGGCTTCGGGCGAGCCGTCGTGGAGGCTTCAGGGTAACTATATGGCGTCAGGGTACACTGATGTATATAGAGGCCTTGGGGCACGGTTGCCTCGGGACGAGTCCAGATTCTACAATGCCCCCATCCTGGTCACCAGCTTGGCTGGAATGAAGCCATCCCAAGCCCAGTCAACACTGCTCTGGTCACATTGTGAGGCGCACGGGGTCCTGGCCAGAGCCGTGCGTGCTTGGGAGCTGACAAACTTCCGAATGGGAGAGAATCAAGCAACTCTTGGAAATCTACCCAGGTAGCCATCTGGTCATTTGAAGCCGAGGAGCGTGCTATGAGAACTTCACTTCATATCGCATCAGCTCAAGTGTGAACTAGGTCCACAGTCGCGACTGAGGCCTTTGGCTCAAGTCATCTAAATGATGTACATGAAAGGGGATGATGAATCGATTTGGTTCATGGAAACACTCCTTTGGAAACTTGAGTCCAGCAAGCCTAGCGCGGGGGAAGAGTCGGCGACATGCTCTGTGTGACAACTTACAAGGGCGTTTGAGGGCTTGGAGCACTTTGGCTCGGTTCGCACGCAACGTGATCTCAAGGTCCTTGGTTTTCCAAAACGTCTCGGCGGCTAGAGGCTTTTATTTATACAGCAGCCTTACGCCCTGGGTCTCGTGACCATGGCCCCTGTGTCACCAACTCCCGCGTGACAGCGACAAGGGAGAAATGGTAACTCGTGTATTGTTGCTAAATTATCCCAAGAGGTTTGACTTGAAATCCAGTACTCCCCTGCTCTTACTGAATCTCTCTGATAGAGTAGTCGTTTCGTGTCAGCTCTTGGCCTCGTTCTACCGTCGGGCATGATAGAGCTCCGGCCAGGAACTCATGAAGCGTTGACGAGGCTAACCGACATGATTGCACCGACCGTGTCTCAGAGACAAGTGACGCGTACGGAGCTGCAGACAAATGCCCAAAGGTCCCTGTCGTTCAAGCTGCCTTTGTTGAGGCCGATCTAGTCGTCTAGATCCACGCACACATAGCCCACCCACAGGGACATGGGACGAAGAGAAGCGCGGAACCTCCGAGTGGAATCGTCTCGACATGATTGGAATCTGTCGTCCAAGGCCGCACATGCCGTCTTCCCCCCCGAAAAGGCAACACAGCGCAGTGCAACGCCCGCCCAGATGCCACACGGGCCGGCCCATGCTCAATCCTCCGCTATTGCGCCGAATCTCGCCAACAGAATCTGACTCAACTCGGCCAACTTGACTGGCTTGGTTAGAAACAAATCGATCCCGCTGGTGAATGCCTCTTGCTGCGCGTCCGCACTTGCCAGCCCCGTCAGCGCAAAGATCGTACACCGATGCAAACTCTTTTCCGTCTCCGTACTGCGTATATGCCGCGTTGCTTCGAAGCCATCCATCACGGGCATCGAAATGTCCATGAAGACGCACTTGTAGAGACCGTTTGCTTCGCGGAACAGGTCGACTGCTTGTTGGCCGTTTGTGGCGGTGCGGTAGGGCAGCCGGAGCTTCTTCATGTACGTGGTGAGGATTTTGAGGTTGATGGGGTTGTCATCGACAAGGAGGAAGCTCGTGCCTGGTTGGTTCGAGTCGACGTCGGATGTAGCCGAGTCGGGGTACGTTGCGGTGAGCGGAGTCGAGCGACGGACTCGCTCGGGGAGGGAGATTTCGCGAAATATGTTTGCGGCCATGAGCTCGGGTGTTTCGTCGCCGCGTGGACCGGCTTCTGGGGCCGTGGCCGTGGCCGTGGCCAACTTGGCCCTGTCGGTTGGGCGACGGGGGCCGTCTTCCTCTTCGGGGGTCTGAGCTGCCGACAGAGCAATGGGGTTGAGGGTCGCTTGGTAAGTTGTCCATCGCTTGAAGGTCAGTGCCAGGACCTTGGCGAGCTTTCGAGGGCCTACACTGAAATAATATCACGTCAACACCGGGAGGTCCGTCCCTCCATGCCATCGGGGCAGCTCGTTGACGAGACTTACGGTTGGGCGCTAAACTCCCACAACTGGTCGTTGGGTCTGCGCTTGAACAGCCTGTTCTCGGCCAGATCCCGAGCGGATACCGCATTCCTGCAAATGACCACCGCCGGGGGTGACGAGGCGTTTCGCTGCGTGTGAATATGAGAGTTCAAGTGCAGATACGTCTCGTCGCAGAGCAAAAGATCCGGCACGAGGGTGTTGCTTTCGGATGGCTCAACCACCTGCATTTGCAGCCAATCTCGGCATATATTCGCAATTCCCTCGCTTTCAACCACGTTCGTTCCAAACACGCCGTCGTCACTGTCGACGGATGGCGTGTCGCGGAAGCCCAAAAGAAGCACTCGCAATCCCCGCAGGTCGTTTCTTTGGGCTTCAAACTCGTGGCCGGGATTCCGCAACCTCGGGATGGCGCTTTCTGGCACCACGGCAGGAAGCGGCAGCGTGACCGACACGCTGGTACCTTTGTCGACCACACTCTGTATTGAGATGGACCCCTTGAGTGCCGTCACAATCCTCTCCACGAAGCTGAGGCCCAGGCCCATTCCCGGCTTGAGACCGTCCTCCTGAATGAAGGGCGTGAAGACGTCGTTCTCGAGATATGATTTGCCAATTCCACACCCAGAGTCCGTTACTGTGAGTCGCACATACGTGCCCTGCTGCTCCCCGACAGAAGGCACAACGTGGGGCTGGTCTAGGGAGACCTTGACAAATCCCTTTGTCGTGAACTTGAGGGAGTTTCCAACCAGGTTCATGACGACGCGACGCAACGCACCCGGCTGTGTGTAGAACTCCCACGAGGCGTTGGGTTCAATGTCAACGCATATCGTAGAAATGTCCGCCTCCTTTTGTGCTGCCAGGCAGTCAATCAACTCATTTGCCTGGCTTGCTTCCGAGCTGGTTAAATTCGACCCCAGTGTCCGGAGCTGAAAAATGCGTCCGGCATAGACACTCTCCACAACCTCCTCCACGATCAAGTCCACACTGACGCGTGACACGATGCTCATCATGCCAGACTCAATAGTTGCCGTTTTCCCCGACCGCAGTCCCCGTTCCTCCACGTCGCCATTGTGTTGCGGTACGGGCGCCGGCGAGAGAAAGTTATTGACTCCGCTCCAGTCTAATAGATGGTCAACAGTGTCAAGTAGAGTGCGGCTGCAAGTTTCCATCGAGTGCAGCAGGTCTCCCTGAAAGGCATCCAAAGCAGTGTCATGCAGCAATTCCGCTCCCAGGATGATTCCGTGGAGAGGCGAGCGCAGTTCGTGAGAAATGGAGCTCAGCACGTCCATTTTAGACTGTTCCACCACCTTGGAGTCTATTCGGAACACCTCTGCCATGATGACGGTGCCGAAAGCCAAAAGATAGCTTAATTCCCCGTCTACGGACAAGACGCGCGATGCTTTCTTTGTGTATGCGAAACCGCCAGCATACCACCGGCGTTTTTGATGATCCCAGAGTGGGAAAAAAGCAACGTTCCGGGCTCCAGGTAGTAGGTCCCTCACAAAATCCTCCATGTCGTATTCGGGTTGCGTCGATTCCGGTGTCTTCGTCTTTTGAAGGTCCAGATGAGGTCCCAAGCTATGTCGGGGAACGTCTGGGACAGGCTGTGTTGCCTCATCAGAGACAGTTGTCGCGTCGTTTGGTGTGTTGAGCTCGTTCAAGGAGATGATGGTGCCTCTGGAGTACATCTTCAGAAGTTCTCCCAAGGCATGCTCGGGGAGCTGCTTATGACACTGCTCCTGATCATGCCCGTCAATGCTGGAAGAGTACGACGTAGAGAAGCCGAGAACCTTGCAGCATGAGCAGTTGTTCGGATTCCCCGCCGCGTAATGCATGCTTGCGGCGGATGCACGACGCTCACCGTCGGGCCTTCCTGAGATGCCACCGATGGTAGCTCGTCCGCCAAAGGATGAGATTCCAGCGTCCAAGAATAGCACGCCGTCGACTTCGATGGACTCACGTATAATCTTTGCCGCCTTGGAAAAGATGTTCTTTGCAGATTTCGGGGAAGCATCGTTGACGTGGTTCTTCTTGTCCTTGCTACTTGGTGTTCGAGCCGTTGAGTCTGCATCCTCGCACATGTAGTCAGTAGCATACAACGCATCAAAAGGTTCTAGTGGGCACTGACTTTCCTCATGATCACGAGGATTTACCTCAGCCCGTTCTTCCACCTCATCTGCACAAGGCGCAGCCTCCCACCCCGACGTCGTCGACTTGCCCTGTACAAAGCTCCCGACACCCTTCACCATCCTATCGGCCCTCCTTTGGCCATCCCTAAACCTTCGTGTCTCCAGGTATCCCATAATCGTTCGTGAAATGTCCTGCATGATGAGTGAAATGTTGGGGTCCTCTTTCTCCCGGCGATCCAGGTCCAACACGCTAAAGACACCAATATCTATTCCCTTGGAAGTTCTTAGCGGAACACCAGCGTAGAACCTGTAAGCGGGCCAAGTTGAGAATGCGGCTCTCCCCTCCATGAATGGGTGGTTTTCTAGGTCACCTATGACGGTCACGGGCAGTTCCGGATAAGACTCCTGGCCGCACTGCAGCCGTTCAGGGGCAACCCCCGGGGCCAGGGACGTAAGAACATGGTCGCAAATACTGCTCGACCGAGGTAGGGAGGTACCCCACAGCAAGAGTTGTGCCTCAAGTCCATCCCGTCCGCCGGGTTGCTGAGCAGCGCGGCTTCCGGGCGAGAGCGGAGTGGTAGGCGTGGCCTCGGCGACAATATACTGATGTTGCCTGTCGAAGAGTGAAACGAAAGCACGGCAGGCGTTGAGACGGTGGACCCCCAACTCTGCAAAGGCAGTCAGGGAGGGGTCGGGAGTCAGCTCTGAAGGGAAGATTGGCGCATCGTCCGGGTTGGGAAACACTTGGTTGATCAAAGACGAGTCATATCTACACTCAAAAGGTTGTTAGCAGGTGAGATTCAGTAGCCATGCCGAGGTTGCCTCAGGGAAGAGAGTACCGAAAGGTCTCGCGCTCACGAGCTTCCTCAGCTACGGCGTTGGCAGCCATGGCCTCATCAAACGACCCGACACCCAAGCCGTCACGATGAGGAGAGACGAAATACCATGACAGAGTTGCCTGCGGCACAGCGAGGCTCGGTCCTTGCAGCGAAAGGGGCGAGGAGTTTTCCAGTCGAGCGTGAGGGAGGAGCCCGCTACGGCTAATGGGCGAGAATGCTAGACAGTTGAAACGGGTGAAACAGGCGGTTGGGATTGAGTATTGTTTCTCACCGTCGTCGTCGCCCCACCAAATTTTACGCCCAGCTGGTCGGCACCCAGGGTCGTAACATTGTCATCTGAAGACGCGAGCCGTTGAATCAAGTGGAGTCAGGGTCCATCTTCCCTCGCTGTGACACCTGGGCCACGGTTTTTCGGTGGCATCATGTGCCGCGAACGCGAAGCCTGACGATTCAAAAATAAACGCCACGGATAGGTCCGGATGTTGATCGATGCACGAGCCATCTCAATACAAGGCACTGCAGCGAGGTCCATCAACCAGTTCCCATGTTCGTAAAACACATCGTCTGGATGAACATCCGAGTCCACTATGACACTGTTTTACCCCTTTCCCCAGTACAGACGTAATTGTTGGTCCCGAGCATGCATTCGAATTCACAGCCTATCCTAGCCCTGAAATACAATGGTCAAGCACTATCTAAATGCGGAGATGGGTATTGTTCAAAAGGGACGAAGAAACGCAATACACTCGATAACAAGTCTCGATGCAAGAGCTCCGAGGAAAGAAACAAATCAGCCTAATCAAATAGGTTGAAGCGAAACCCTGTAGCTTTGTATCTCCAGTCTCCATCTCAGCATCTTAAAACCCCAACTAGCAAGACGAAGGCTGCTTGGGCACATCTTTTGCGGCGCGAATTCGTCCTCGTCGTTTTGCGTATACTAAGCCACACACATTACATAGGGTCCCAGGACCAGCTGGGCCATTTCGCCACTTCGGAGTGTGGTCTGTCAAGCATATCCGGCACGTAACACTTCGTCGTCGCTTCGCGGGAATTCGGGGAACTGGGCGCGAATCTTCCCCCCTCCTTCTTCTGGGGCACAAGTTCTTCGCAAGGTCGGACTCGTTGGGCTGGTCGTTCTCTCCCGCGCTAGTAGGGCCGTCTTGCATGCTGTCGCTCTCTGTTGGGATCTGATTCTGGTTTCGGAGGGCAAAAATTTTGTCAACGTTATTGCCTATGTTTTGAGACAATTCGAGAATCGCGTAAAGGTCATCTTCGCTGACTCTCTCGCCAGTCGCCCCATTTTCCTTCGGGAAATGCCCAATGTGCCACGCGAGGAGTCCGACGTCGAGTTTGATCTAATTCGACACGGTTAGCATTTGCGCAACAGAGGCGTGACGGCCCTCGACGAGGAGAAATGGGCGACAGCTTACTGTGTCAAAACTCTCGCCCAGCCTCAGGTCATTCAAAGAAAACTTCACGCCAGCCGACTTGGATGACAAATTAAGCGGGGCATCACAGCCTCGAAGAGGACTTCCATGATGGCACAATGCCTGCTCGCTGGCAGCGTTGGAGGCGACAACAGACATGTACGGCCCGGCGTCTCGGTGGCGGAAAAAAGAATATGCGATGTCTGTTTATCGGTCGAGTATTGCAAGGTAAGGCACCTCAAATTGATATTGGCAACGAGACGGCATGGGGAGGCTGTTAATGAAGGGAGCGTCGGGCAGGGCGAAGAGGGGTAGTCGGTAGGGTCAGCACTCGCCACAGAATACGGGGCGAAAGGGTAGAAGCGATATGTCCTTTGACGAAAACAAGTTGACAAGGGAGAGGAATGAAGGCCTCGGCACGGACAATAGGTCAGGCACCGAACTTTGATGGCAAATGTGGAATTCTGATAATGGGAAGTGGATGGGAAAGGATTGAAAGGCCCATGGTTTGTCAAAGTGGAGAAGTGAAGCTCGTCAACGAGGGTCCACTTGGAGTATGAAGTACCCGTGTCTGCCTAGGTACCTATTTCGTGGGCTCCTAGGCGGTACCTACTAGTTACGTTCCCCAGGTACGAGGGAGGTTCTTGTTAGTGGTGGGTCGGATGAAGACGAGCCGCACGCAGCCTCATGTCGAGGCGCGTGTCGCCGAACTCGGCAAGGCCCACTAAATATGCCACACCGTCCTGCCACTATCAACCGTCATCCTTTGAGGGGGGAGGGGGGGGGGCGAGTTGTTGTTTCCAACCAGGACCTCCAGAGGCATGGATTCAATAAAAGGACAGAAAAGAAAAGTATTCTAGTGTAATGTAAAGAGCAGAGCGAAATGTAATTTTTGTCCCCCACTTGTCTAGATGTGCATAAATGACACGTCTAACCCAACCGAGCTTCACGGTCATACGTCTTTCGGGTCGCCTCAAGGGACATGCACCTAGCCCCATATACTCACACCAGGGTCTTAGCTTCGCCATCCTTTAGCTTGCCCGCATCAACAAGTCTTTTGACCTCACCGCTCCAAACGGCCTTGATCTTGTCAGCCATGCTGAGACCATTGAGCTTCTCAGCCAGGGCGGCAATCTCGTCGGGGTCAATCTTCCCCTGCACAAGCTCGACATCTCCCAAAACAGCGTCGATTTGGGCAGCTGAAGGATCTCCGCCCGTGGCAAAGTAGTTGGCATCCTTGACGGAACCCTTGAGCACGCGCTTGTTCTTCTTTACGGCGTTCTTAGCTGCCTCCTTGGCCTTCTTTGCAGAATCGCGGCCGGCCTTGGCGGCAGCGTCAGCCTCAGCCTTGGCCTTTTCCTCGGCCTCTTTCTTGGCCTTGGCTTCCTCGACGGCCTTCTTCTCAGCCGCCTCTTTTTCCAGACGCTTCTTGTTCTTGGTGGCATTGGCTTCCTGTCTGAAGCGCTTGATACGCTCGTCACCGGCAGATGCTTCGTCCAGTAGCTTTCGAAGACGCGCGTTATCTTCGGCCTTCTTCTTCTTGCGAGCATTGGCATTCTTCCGCTCAACGTGACGCTTCTGGTCACGATTTTCGTTGTCATCGGGGACATCCTCATCAAGATACTCGAAGCTGCGCCACGAATCAAAGTTGTACCAAAAGTTGTAGAAGTCTTCAACATGCTCTTTGGTGGAGTCGGCGTTACCGAACGTAGGCACCGGGTGAGTCTTGGAGAATCTACCCTCAGACTTGAAGACCTTGCCCCAGAGCTTGTAAAAATCGCCCTTTTGGAGCTGCTTCTTGGTGGGGGGTTCAACATCGGCTTCCTCGTCAACGGAGTCGTATTGGCGGCGCTTGACAGGATCAAGGAGAACCTCGGTGGCTTTTTGGATACACTTGAAGAATTGGTCGTCTTCGGTACGACCCTGGGCGGCCTTCTTGTCCGGGTGGTGCTTGAGGACCTTCTTGCGATGGGCCTTTTTGATCTGGTCCTCAGTAGCCTTCCAGCGGTACTTGGAAAGGCCCATTATCTTGTAGTGGTCTTGGGTCTGTGGTAGCGACAGGTTAACCTCCCAGTTCGTAGTGTACTTGCTGCATAAGACAGCCATACCTTCCAGTCCTTGGCCTCTCGCTGCAGCATCATGGGATCCTCGGGCTCGCTCTCCTCGCTTTCATCCCCATCTTCGACTTTCTTGGCACTCTCCTGGGCCTGGATACGATCGTCCTCGGAGAAAGTGCGCTTGTGACGAGCTCGGCGGGCGTGAGCCAGGAAATGAGGGCCGACGGGCTCGATGCTGCGTTGCACGGCACCAGACAGTTTCCCAACGGCCTTGAAGTCCTTCTCGGCACTCCATCCCTCAGGAAGAATGGGAAGAGGGAGGTCATTGACCTGCATAACGGAAGCCATTGTGGTGTTGCGCTTCGGTAGCCAGAAAATGGATGAGATTTAAAGCGTGGACGCACATTTTTTTCTCGCGACACATGGTGGGGCCATTCTCGCTGCAGATCGGCGGGCCTCCGCGAAAATCCGTTCAACGGAAGACGGCCGAACCTGGCTCCGTAGCCTCTGCATCGCCCGATTTGCCTTCAAGTGCTAATTTTGCAACAGAGCTCGACAAATTTACAACGCAGGGTGCTATACCTTCACAGCATCTAGCCATGGCTCTGGTGGCGTACAGAAATTTAATGCGCGCCGCGCGCATCGCCTTTGAAGGTATGCTGACTGCATGGCTTTTCCCAATTCATGCTGACAGATAAGCCTGAAGGTGACGCCCCGATCCTGGCTGCCGCTCAACAACAAATTCGCGACGTGTTCCGACAAAGATCGTCTCTCGACTCATCCGATCCTTCTACTCGAGAAGATATTCAGCGTGCGCAGGAAATCGCTGACTTTTTGAAAGCGAACGTTGTACAGGGAAAGCGCATGGAGGGAGGCGACAACATGTATCGTAAGTTCGCTGAAAATGCAATAAGATGAAAATTTTCATCAGCTAACCGCTATTTAGGGCTTCGAATCCATGAACACACGGAAAGAGGCGACAACGATAGTATAAAGACTGCTGGAAGTGGCGTGGTTGGTGGTGGGTGCTGCGGGGAGTCGAGGAAAATAGGCAGACTTGGCAAGAACAAGAGGAAGCACAAGCGTGTATGATAGTGTATAATTACTGCCTGGTTACGACGATACGCCTCCATGATACATCCGCAAAGCATAATACTATGACACCACGCCAATTTCAACCGTGAAACCCGATGATAACCGCTTATGCTCTCCAAATTGTCCATACGTTTCCAACGCCAAACGCCACATATGCTTGGTTACTGCTGCTGGAGGGTTTCAATCCCCAGAGAGACTTGCGTAGATGGGGGAATCGTCAGCGCCAGGGGGAGCAGCGACGGCGGAACCGGTAGGCGGCAATGCTTGAGCAGCTCCCCGTGAGCTGGCCTCGATACCGCCGCGCTGTTGTGGCTTTCTGGAAATCCCAACTCGGGCGTCGCGGAGCATGTGTCCCCTCTCTTCCTTATTCATCGTACCAATTGCCTTGGGCTGACCCCATCGAACTCGCAACGGACAACCTGCAATTACAGCACGACCTTGGCAAGCGGCGGCGGCCTTTTCGGCGGCGGCGCGAGTTTCGTAATTGACGAAGGCGCAATGCGACATGTGCGAACACACTAAGCTCTTGATCTTCCCATGTACATTGAAGAATTCGCGAAGCTTGAACTCGGGCAAATCGTCCTCCACACCCGTGACAAACAAGGACATGATATTCGGATCGTCCGGCGGGAGCCAGTCCTTTTCGCTCGGGGGCAGTTGCGCAGCGCTCGGAAATGCCTGCCGTCCTTTCCCACCTCGTGGTCTAGCTCCCGCCGCCGCTGCGGCCCTACTATCTCGAGTTCGCACGGCACCAGGCCCGCCTTGTCCAGCCCCAGTAGCTATATTGCCACCGGAGCTTTTTCCTGCTATTTCTGATTCCTCGACAGCTCGACCCTTTCTGAAATAGGGCTTGCTGTTTGCCAAACGACGCAGCAGCTCTCGTGCCTTGTCATCAGTTTTTTCGTACTCTTCTGTCCCTGCTTTGCCTTCTTCGATGAGCTTCTCGTTGTTCTGGGCGAAATATTCTCTGTTGATGTCGGATTGCGGACCAGGGGCAACCATCTTGAGCGCAGCATCTCGAACAGCGATGGGTAGTCCGAAGGACAGATCGAGCATACAGCTCTGACAGCAGTTCTTGAGTCGGGCGCAAGTCAGGCAAATGTTGGTCTTCTTCCGTCGGTTTTGGGCCCGGTCAGCTCCGTTCCAGCTGAAGACAGTAAACGGTCTCGTGCACTGACTTGATCAGTATGAAGTTTGTCGAAAAAAAAAGGCGCTTGTAAAGGATTTGATACATACCAGTTTGCATTCAGCACCGTAATCTTCCTTCAGCATCTTGACATACGGATTCTCCGGTAGACAGTTTTCGCACACCGAGGGGAAGTCTGTGCTCTCCCACCCTGATCTATTCAGATCCTGCTTGATTTGGGGCGGCATCGTGGTTCAGCGTGTGGGAATCAACAGATGATGCGCAAGGAAAGTTTGACGATGCTCTTCTATGTTCAAGTTCGATTATGCAATGGGATCTGCCGCCCACTGCTCAAATCGCCATGGCCAAAGTTTCTGCTGACCTAACCGGCCGTAGCGCAAACATGATGGCAAGGCTACCTAGGTAGGTGTGACTAAGCACGAAAATCTGGTTTCTTGACCTCAGCCACTTAAGTGGAGAAGTTCCTAAGTGTGGTGCAACGCGGCTCGCTTTCGTATTCGTAAATCTTGACTAGACCGCCTTCTATTTCCAGCCAAGATAGACCAATAGGAGCAAGTGGCAGATCCCCATGCGCCTTCAATGGCCAGCAGATGCGGCCGAACAAGATGGTCCAATGAGGGGACCCCATTGCAAGCCCATCTTGTCAGGGGCCGCCAAAGGGGCAGAATGCATGTGAGGCAAAAGCAGACGAGACTATAAAATCTCGTTCAACGTCTCCCGCTTTGCCCGTAATTTTTCCAGGACGCTCTTGGATTCTCTCAGCCCTGCCCGTATTGTCTACCGCACAGTACTCGTCACGAAACCTTCAACATGGCAAATCTCGAACGCGAGAATCACTCCCGCGACGCAGCCTTCAACAAGGCCATGCACGGCAAGTCCGCCCAGGCTCGTGGTGGCATTGCAGCAATGTTTTCCAAGGGTGGCGAAGCCAAGAAGGCTGCTGTTGACGAGTACTTCAAACACTGGGACAACAAACCTGCGGCAAACGAGACTGCTGAGGAACGCGCCGTACGTGTTGCCAAGAAACGCCGATACGCGGTAAATCAAGAGCTAACTCCTGGATAGGCTCGGACTGCTGAGTACGCCACATTAACTAGGCAGTATGGTCTTTTCCCTCGATACACCGTCGACAGTCACAGCATGCTCATTATGTTCTAGCTACTACAACCTCGCTACCGATCTGTACGAATACGGCTGGGGCCAGTCTTTCCATTTCTGTCGCTTCTCTCATGGCGAGCCCTTCCACCAAGCCATTGCCCGCCACGAGCACTATCTCGCCCATAGCATAGGTATCCAGGAGGGAATGAAGGTCCTCGATGTTGGTTGTGGTGTCGGCGGCCCTGCCCGTGAGATTGCCAAGTTTACTGGTGCTCACATCACTGGCCTGAACAACAACGACTACCAGATCGACCGTGCTACACACTATGCGCAGAAGGAGGGTCTGTCCAGTCAGCTGGATTTCGTCAAAGGCGACTTTATGGTGAGTCTAGAAGTTGCGAAAGCTGCGCTTTGGCCTCGTCAAACATCAGCTCACAGGCCTGCAGCAAATGTCCTTCGAGGATAATGCCTTTGATGCCGTCTACGCCATCGAGGCTACGGTCCATGCTCCGACACTCGAGGGCATTTACAAGCAAATTTTCCGTGTCCTCAAGCCCGGCGGTGTCTTTGGCGTTTACGAGTGGCTCATGACGGATGAGTATGACAACGACAACCTCCACCACCGCGAGATTCGCCTGGGCATCGAACAGGGTGACGGCATCTCCAACATGTGCAAGGTGTCTGAGGCCCTAGACGCCATGCGGGCCGCCGGCTTCGAGCTCCTGCGCGCTGAAGATCTTGCCGACCGGCCTGATCCTCTTCCCTGGTACTGGCCCCTGTCAGGTGAGCTCCGCTATATCCAGAGCATCGGCGACTTCTTCACCATTGTCCGTATGACCACGTGGGGTCGCACGATTGCCCACAACTTGGCAGGTCTTCTGGAGACCCTGCGTCTGGCCCCCGCCGGTACGAAAAAGACTGCAGACAGCTTAGCTCTTGCTGCTGACTGTCTGGTTGCTGGTGGACGTGAGAAGCTGTTCACGCCCATGTACCTCATGGTTGGACGTAAGCCTGCCGAGTAAACAGGCAAGATATAATCCCGATTACCGGACCTGAATAGGAGAGAGGGAGGCGGATCCAAAACATGGCATACCATGGACGTGAAGACGTGAGGAAGCACACAAGATGAAGCAGCTTTGGTGGGCGAGATGAAGCAACGCATATCCTATTACCTGTCGGACAGCAGGCTGGCGCCGTTGAGGCTTTCCTAATACTAAATATGTAATATATCACGCGCACGCTTGCAATGGCATTACCATTTTCTGTTTGGCAAAGCCTTCGTTCTTCTTCCTTACCCTTGGCCCTTTTTTTTTTTCTCAACAGCTCAGTATTCATTGTAACCCCAGGCATCGTCTTATGATCTCCCATGACTACCCTGCTGGTCTTCCAGCAGCAATGGCATCAAGGAATGTCCGTACGCTGCACTGTGCGAATCAACAAACCTGTGCTCTTGACGAGCGCCGAACGGATCAAGGATCAAGAAAATTGACCACGAGCAAACCTTTTTTTTCGCCAGCCAGTACGGGATCTGCTTCAAGGCGGTGGCTGAAGATGATGACCTAGTCTAGTCATTGCCCGCGTGTGTTTACGACGCCATCCCGACTCGCCTATGGTCAGTGAGCAAGATGAGAACGATGCCTACGCGATCGATAAGCTGTGAGAAGGTAGCAATGCAGTATGTCGGGCAGAGCTCTGCTATTGCTGTCGCTTCTGTATACGCATACAAAACCGCAGGTCCGTCACTTGCTGTGAACGCTGGCCCGCACACATGCTCTTGAAAGGGTTCCTCGCCGCGGCTGAGACTGACTCGACGGTACGGAGTAACTGGATGATGCCATCGGTCATGTTAAGCTGCTCTGATTTGTTAGCGGCCAACAGGTAGAAGTAGCAGGCTTCAGCAGAAGCAACGCGAGCAGCTGTCTCGTTGGTCTTACTCGAGTCAAGATACATTTCATTGCCGACAGCATGCGGAGTGGACGCACGCCGCGGCGAGTCTGTCACAGATGACGTGCGCCAATTATGAGGAAACACTGGCACGCCCCCGGAAGTGCCGGCGCATTTGGCGTCGGTAAGCTCCATTGCCTTGGCCGCGTGCCATGAGCGATGTGCGAAAAATGCATCCCGCCATGCCCTCCACACGCCATCCAGCTTGGAAAGCAAAGGCCTTTGATGACGTGACTGGTCTTTTGGGTTCAACATGCTCGCTTTGAACATATAAGTGTTACGTAACTCGCCGCCGCGAATGCGCAAACCGCGTTCCATGCTGCCATTGACCGTCTTTGTCATTTCTAGCAACGACTGATGAGAAATCAGCTCAGCGACCGGGACTGGTTGTCGACCCGGACGGCACCCACCGGACGGAGGGCGACGGTGTGCACGCCAGACCAGGACGTCGCCTGGGCGGTGCGCTGTCGCTGTTTGTATCCGAGTCGGGCTTGACGGCATGGGCGACGAGCCCCGATCCGGGCGGCGGCCACGTGGGATTCCTTATCCAGAAATATGTCGACGACTCACTCCGGAGTGTGGGGTTCGGAGTTCGGAGTTTGGAGTTGGGGCGGTGGCGGGATTGCCCGGGCGGAGGAGCGCGTGGCACGGCCGGCCCCGATGCGTGAGCTTGTCTTGCCGCTACGCAAAGCAATCGACGCATCCGCAAGAGGAGTTCCGTCGTCAGGAGAGAGTCCAGCGTCGGAGTCGATGTCCTCAAATCACATCGTCGCGAACCGTAACCCGCAAAAGGCAGTTGCTTCCACGGCACATCACTATCGACACTGTGCGCGGTCTCGACATCGGTCCATGATGCGCCGAATACGACGTTGGCGGCCAATTGATTACGGATACGCAAAGTTGGACAACTCGAGCCAAGCCACGTCGAAATCGAGGCCCGAAATGCCTAGCAGGCAGCCCCGCATCTGAAGCCCAAGTCGGAACATTTTGAGACTTGCCTGCCGCAAGGAGCAGCAGAGGTGCCCAAGGGAGGCTTGGGTTGGGGCATGACACCATCATGGCCAGATAGCAACCTCATGACACGTTATATAGCCATGTAGCCCCGACGGACCCCTCTCTTCTGATATGCGCCCAGAAAAAGGAGACGAGGCGAGTCTTGAGGGCGAGCAAGAACCGAAGCGCAACCCACAACAGGAACAAGCAAGTTCCCAATGGCAACACCAGTCGTCGCCGTCGGCACGGCGCCCACGGTGCATACTCTGCCCGGCACGGCAAATATTGTCCCTGCCCAATTCCCAGCCCCGGAGGGGGAAGCGGTCGGAGGAGACGCGGACCCCCTGGCCGAGGCCGAGAAGATGACGGGCCTCCTCAACGACAGCTTCGGCGATGCAACCTTTCAGGCCACGCAGAGCCTGTTTGCGAAAAACGGCTTCTGGCGCGACCACCTAGCCCTGTCGTGGAGCTTCCGCACGGTGCAGGGACGCGCCAAGATCGGCGAGTTCCTGACGGAATGCGCGCGGTCGAGGGACGGCTTGCGCATCAAGCACGTGGCCGTCGACGCCGGGAGCGCGGCCCGGCAACCGGCCGTGGCTCCGCTCGACGGCGAGGGCCGGGTCGCGGGCATCACGGCGTTCTTGTCCGTCGAGACGGTGCTCGGCGGCGCCGAGGGACTGATGCGGCTCGCCCGCGAGGACGGGCAGTGGAAGATATTCACCATGTACACCAGTCTGCGGTCGCTCAAGGGCCACACTGAGGGCACCTTTTCGCACCGCCCGCTCGGCGTCTTGCACGGCGCCCAGCCCGGGCGGCGCAACTGGGCCGAGGCCCGGGCCGCGGCGGCCGCCTACGGCGACGGAAGCGAGCCGGCCGTGCTGATTATAGGTGCGTCGATCCCCGGACCACTTGCTGCTGCTGCTGCTGCTGTTGTTGTTGGCTGACCAGACACGGCGACGTGCCCAGGCGCCGGGCAAGCTGGGCTGACGGCGGCGGCCAGACTCAAGGCGCTCGGCGTCGACGCCCTCGTCGTCGACCGCAACGACCGCATCGGCGACAACTGGCGCCGGCGCTACCACCACCTCGTCCTCCACGACCCCGTCTGGTACGACCACCTGCCGTACCTGAGCTTCCCGCCGCAGTGGCCCGTCTTCACGCCCAAGGACAAGCTGGCCCAGTGGTTCGAGGCCTACGCCGCCGCCATGGAGCTCAACGTGTGGACGAGGGCGCGGCTGGCGGGGGCGTCTTGGGACGACGCCCAGAAGCGCTGGACGGTGCATGTCGAGCGCGAGTCGGCGGCAGACGGCTCCGTCGAGCGGCGGACCCTGCACCCGCGCCACATCATCCAGGCAACCGGCCACTCGGGCGAGAAGAGCGAGCCGGCCATCAAGGGCACGGACGCCTTCCGGGGAGACCGCATCTGCCACTCGTCCGAGTTCCCGGGCGCGCGGCCCGTCGCCCCCGGGGCCGGCGGCAGGACGGCCGTGGTCGTCGGCGGCTGCAACTCGGCCCTCGACATTGCGCAGGACTTCGCCGAGAAGGGCTACGACGTGACGGTCGTGCAGCGGTCCAGCACGCTCGTCGTCTCGTCGCGTGCCGTGACCGACATCGCCCTCGGGGGGCTCTACTCGGAGGGCGGACCGCCCGTCGAGGACGCCGACCTGCTGGTCCAGAGCATGCCCAACAGCGTGCTCAAGGCGCTCCAGGTCAAGGTCGCCGAGGCCCAGCGCCGGCACGACAGGGACATGCTGCAGGGGCTGGCGGGGGCCGGGTTCAAGCTCGACGACGGGCCCGACGGCGCCGGCTTGTTCTTCAAGTACTTCCAGAGGGGAGGGGGCTACTACATCGACGTCGGCGCGGCGCGGCTCATCGCCGAGGGCAGCATCAAGGTCAAGCAGGGCGTCGAGGTTGCCGAGATACTCCCCGACGGTCTCCGGCTCAGCGACCAGTCGCGGCTCAAGGCCGACGAGATCGTCCTGGCCACGGGCTTCCGGAGCATGAGGTCGCACGCGAGGCAGATGTTTGGCGACGCCGTCGCGGACAAGGTGCACGACGTCTGGGGGCTCAACGAGGAGGGCGAGTGGCGGACCATGTGGCAGCGCAGCGGCTATCCGGGCTTCTGGTTTCACGGCGGCAATCTCGGCCTCTGCCGCTATTACTCCCTGCTGCTGGCGCTGCAGATCAAGGCCATGGAGGAGCACCTTTACGACTACGACGAGAACTAGTCTGGAGGTTTGGGGGGCTTGCAAGTTGTGCGGCATGTAATCATCGCGTCTCGACTCTCTACTCCGTATCCCGTTCTCTACCCCGTCTGCTGGGCAGGTAACGTTACCGTCCGACTGACCGTGCTACGTGATGATGTGTGCTTTCTGCACCCCCTGGACACCCAAGGGGCCATCAGGTCCATGTCCATGCATCCTGGTCCAGCATCCGTCCCGCCACCAACCATTCTAGACGTTCCAAGATAAAAGGCCGCCTTGTTTCCGTCCCACAAGTCACGTAGCCTGGATGCGCCCTCCCCTCCACATCATCTGCCCTGTGCCTGCGGATCCACGGCAAGAAAAGCTGCAACCTAGCAGGACACGCAGTTCCCAAGCGGCCTAGTCTGCCCTTTGCGCGCGTTCCGGCCTCTCTTCCTCCGACCCTTGGGTATCGACGCCGAAGCCAAGCTGCCGCGTGTCCCAGCCCTGACCCTCGAGATAGTCGCGGAAGCGAACGTCCTCGTCGGCAATCGTATCCTGCCCAATGTCGGGGACGCAGAAAAAGGCAATGGCAGCAGACAGGATGCAAAGGCTCGACGCGACCCAGAACGGGTACTGCGCAGACTGGACCCTGTTGCCGCCGGCGGCCTGGATGTACGGGAAGACCCAGGTGCCGATGAAGGCGCCGATCTTGCCCACGGCCGCCGCGATGCCGTAGTATCTGCCTCGCACGCCCGTGGCGCACGTCTTGGCGGCGAGCAGGCCAATGTTGTTGCCGGGGCCCAGCTCGCCGAGCGACAGGAAGACGCCGTAGACGACGGCGAACGCGGCGACCCTCGTCGAGATTTGGCCGTAGACGCCGGCCATGACGAGCCCCACGACGGCCTGGGCGCTGACGCCGAGCACGAGGGTGTGCTTGGGCCCCAGCTTGTCGCTGACGAAGGAGCCGATGATGGAGCCTGGCAGGTAAAACATGTTGATGACGGTGTTCCACCCGAACACGGTTGTCAGCGGCGCCCGGCCGCCGTACAGGCCGCTCAGGATCGACGACGAGTAGATGCCGAAGGCGTACACGGAGAACTAAGGGCGGCTTAGCATGGTCTGGGGGGACGGCCACCAAGATGGCGCCCGCGCGGCGCAGGGAACACTGACGTTGTACAGGAACCAAATCAGGCTGACGGACAGGAGGCGGAACCAGTAGAACCTGAGCACGAGAAGGTACGGCGTCTGCTTCCGCATGGCCTCCTTGGTGAACTCGGGCGGTTCCTTCAGCCGCAGACGAAGCAGGAGCAAGACGAGCGGGAAGGCAACGCCGACGGCGAGGCTGGCTCGCCAGACGGCACTGTAGTGCGTGTTGTGCGCCGCCGCCGCGATGACATCTGCCCACGACGAGAAGACGTCCCGAGTCAGCAGCAGTCGGGCCCCTCGACCGCGGGGAGGGAGGGGGAGAGCGCCAGTCGCGGACTTACAGGGCAGGAAGGCGCCAAAGACGAAGCCACAGTTGATCATGGTGTTGGTGAAGAGGATGAACCACCGGTGCCTGGTGCCCCTTTTCAAGTCGCTCGTCGACTCGGCACACCCGACGCTGCCGGCGGGATACTCGCCTGACACGGGGTTGTTAGCGGGATTCCTGGGCCAGCCGTGCGGCCTTGTTCTGTTGCGCACCTCCGATGCCGATGCCCACAAAGAAGCGCCAGGCGGCCAGCATGCTGAACATGCCGGCGGTTTCGCCGCGGTAGTACGAGGCCGCCGCGAGGGCCGTGAAGACGATGAGGATGACGGTGGACACGACGAGCGAGTTTGACCGGGACCAGCGGTCCGACAGGAAGCCAAACAGCAGCTGGCCGACGACGGTCCCGGCAAAGGCAATGTCAGCGACGTACTTGGCGGCCTGGGAGTCCTTGTACAACGGGCCATACTGGATTCCCAAGACCGTGTTGACCGACCCAATGACCTGCCCGACAAGTCAGTACGCGAGCGGCGGGCGCGGAGGGGAGCGAGGAAGCCTTTCGGCGGCGGCGGCGGTCCTCCTGGCACTGACGTTGTTGATATACCCGTCCGAGAACAGGCCGGCACCACACGCAAACACGGGCATGGCCGCTTGCCAGAACGTCTTGTGCTGCGCTCGGGACGACTCCACGTGCTCCTGGGCCTTTTCGTCCCGGGCCTCGGCCTCCCTGGCTATCCCTAGACTCATCTTTACGACGGCAAAGCAAGCAGGCAAGCAAGCAAGCAAGCAAGCTGGGCAGAGCAGAACGAAGCTTCTTCGCTGGGGGGCCCGCGTAGCCCGAGCACTTGTGAGTCGCCGTTGGCTTCCTGCTCAGCCGGACAGCTTTGGTTTGCCTCGGGGGCTGTCGCGATCAACAAGGACTGAGAGAAATTTGACGGGACATGGGACGTGGGGACGCGGGGGAGGCTGTAGATATACGAGGTGGCCACAGACTGACTCCGTGTTCAAGTATGTACGTATGCAGAAAATACTACGTACCACGACCGGAGGCTTGCGCCCCGTCGACCTGGGATTGGGACCTGCCTGCCCGGCACGGCCTTGGCCGTCGAACTGACGAATAAACGGGAGGCCGCGGGAGGGGACCATGCAATAACGCGTCGGCCATGGTGCCGGGAGGCAGGGTTCGGGCGGAGCGGAATGCTGGGTTACGAGGTTGTCGAGCTGGAGCTGGAGTCGACTCGGACGGGGGACGTCGAAAGCTGAAACCACCCAGTTGGTCGGTTGGTTGGACATGGATATGATACATGTAGTTGTGCTCGCAAAACTCCCAGCCACTGACTCGTCGTCGTACGGTATACCAGCCATGTCTGTACGGACAGCACGTACGTGCCGTACCGGACGTATGGCGTGGACGACCCACGAGGCGGCTCCGCCTTTGATGGAAGGTTTTTTTTCTTTTAGTCTCGCGGTACCATGCCCGCGGCTCTTGGCGGATCCCTTGGCCGGCAACGAACCGCTATTTTCCTTGCCATGTTTTCCTCCCGAATACACACTCGAGTACGCACATGGGAAGCGCGTCTCGTGGCGGCCAAGGTTCCGCGCGGGCATGCAAGGGGGGCGAGCACAAAGGCATGCTATGCTGGCGACGGGCATGACGCGGAGCTGGTGCGCTTGCGTACGTGGAGAGTGCGGAACAGGGAAAAAGTACGGAGTACAGTCTATTATTGAATATTGTTCATTGCCACGAGGCCAATCGGGTTGCCATGGAGGCATTTCGTCTCGCCCTCGGCCTCGCCCTCGGCCCCGTCCTCGTCGATTGCATTCTGAGCTCCGTTCAGTCCCACGAATCACACACGTACCCATGCACAAGTCCACGCCGGTGCCTTTTGATTCTCACCCGCGAAGTCGTGGTGCCATACAAGACGCCCGGCGCCTTCTACACTCCCCGCTCCGGCCAGGCTCATCGGACGCCGGACGCGGCCGCGGCAACACCACGAGCCAGTCTACCTACGACCGTCTCCTTGCGCTCAACCCCATCCTCTCGGCCTCAATGGCCGCCGTGACGGGCGGCCAATCCATAGCACTCACGGTTCGCGCGTTCCGCTTCCACCCCAGCTCCTCCGGCAGTCGCTCCTCCGTCAACCACACGCGCACGCGCTCCTTGGGGGCCCGCCACGTCCGCGGGTCGGGGAACGTAAGCGCCGACGGCACCTCGCCCTCCTTCATCATCATGAGCAGCATGCCGGCCTCGAAGTACGCCGTCTGCTGCCCTTGTGGCGAGAGCCTCTGCGGCGCCGACAGCTTCTCCACGCGGTCGCGGCTCGCGGCCAGAGACGCCACGGTCAGGTAGTCGGTTGAGCTGTCGTTGAGGAGCGCCGCGATCCGTGTGGGATCCGCGGTCAGGCTCTGGTCCGTGGGCGTCACGTCGTTGCGTGTCAGGGACGCAATGTGCTGTATGACGCCGGGCTTGTTGAGGTCCTCGAGGTCAAAGGTGCTTTTGCCAAAGCCCAACGCAAAGAAGCTCGCCGGCACCGTGCCGTAGAAGCGGTCGACGTTGAGGCCTTGGGAGACCGCGTCGGCACACTGGCCTGCCGTGATGTTTCGGCCGTTGTGTGGTCTTGCTGGTCAGCCTTTTCCTTCTCTCCTCCCCCCCGCAACGCTGTGCGGCGACGACGACGACGACGGGCCCGGGGAACGTACAGATAGCCGTGGTTAGCCAGCGTGTTGAGCATGGGACAGGGACCGCGAGAGTCATCCGGGCCCGGGGCCTGCCATGGTCGAGTGGTCTGCGCGGAGGCGACGGCCAGGGCGGCCGTGGCGGCGAGAACAGGCATGCGTGGGAGCATCATGGCGAGAAGCAGCTTTGGAGGGAGGCTTTGCTGCGGCCCGGAGAGGAGAGGGCCGCAAGGCCGACTTATAAGGACGCCGGCAGGCGGCATGTCCTTCTCGGCGGCGACGCATCACCTTCTCGGCGGCGACGCATCTCCTTCTCGGCGGCGATGCATCATCTGCGTGCTCCGTGCGATAGGATGAACCTGAAACCGGGGCCGTGCGTGTCGGGGCGGTTGATGTAGCGCAGCTCGCGGGAACTTAGTACTCGCGCAGCGCCCCGCTTTTAAAAGGCTCGCTAGGGCTCAGTGTCACCATCTGAGCACTCCGTGCTGAGCTCTATTTTCGACGCTTGAAACTCGACTTCGTCCAAACAACCAACCGACCAACTCGGTCGCATCGTCGACGACGGACCCCAAAGTTTGCCTCGGCAGGTGCGCCAGGCCGACCAACCGAGGCTTGTACCTTGGCCTTGGCCATGACCTCGACCTCGACCTTGCCGCTCAATCCTCAATCCTGAGCTCGGTCGTCAACCGTCATCGGCCAACCCAACAACTACGTACCGTGCGGTGCAGCTCGTGCACCCGGACAAAAGATAACCAAGCACCGAGGCCGACCGAGACCCTTTGGCATTTGACGAGTCACGAGGCGAAATATTGTCAGTCGACCCGGGGGGCAAAAATGGCAGACCAAATCACCCAAGGCCCAGGCCCCAGAGCTGACCAAAAGGTCGCCCTCGTCACGGGAGCCGGAGCCGGGGGCATCGGCGGCGCGCTCGCCACGGAGCTGCACGCGGCGGGCTACTTTGTGATATGCGCCGTGCGACGGCTCGGGGCCGCCAGCGAGCTCCTGAAGCCGGGCATCGTGGCCGTCGAGCTCGACGTCTCGTCGACGGCGTCGGTCTCGGCGGCCGCGAGGAGCGTCGCCGCCATGGCAAACGACGAGCTCCATGTCCTCGTCAACAATGCCGGGTCCGCCACGCATAGGCCGGCGCTGGACCTCGACGTCGACGGCGTCGTGGCCTCCATGTTCGACGTCAACGTCTTGGGCGTCATGAGGGTCGTCAAGGCCTTCTCCCGCCTCCTCGTCAATGCCAAGGGCGGCGGGTGCATCGTCAACATTGGCAGCGTCGCCCCCATTGTGCCGCTGGCCTACTCCTCGGCGTACAACGCCACCAAGGCGGCGCTTCATGCCTACGGCGACTCGCTCCGCATGGAGCTCAAGCCCTTTGGGTGTGTTGGCTTTCCTTGGGCCCGCCATGTCGAATTCTTGTCCGCAAGTCCGCTGACCACTGACCGGCCTCGTCGCGCAGGGTCGACGTCGTGACCGTTGTCACGGGCGCCGTCAAAAGCAACATAGGCGAGTGCTCTGCCGCCCTTGTCCATGTGCCTGCGTCGGTAGCTAACTCCTGTCGCTGACCAGTTCGCGAGGACGCGCCGTCTCTCCCCAGAGACTCGCGATACCTTCCCCTGCAGGACTACTGGCTGCGGCGGGTGACCATGTCTCAGCAGGGCGCGATGGATGCCGAGGAGTACGCTCGCAGGGTGGTGAGCGTCGTCCAGAGGAGGAGCAGGCCCCTTTGGTTCTGGAGCGGGGGTTCCGTCGCCATTGCCTGGCTCATGTACTACTTTGTCCCGCTGCGCCTGAGGCTGTATCTCATGGCCAGGCGCTTCGGGCTGACGGGCAACAAGGTCAAGCTTCTCGGACAGGGTGCGGCCCAGAACCGGCCAACGGCCTAGTTGCCGCACCATGACCATGGTGGTTTGCCGTTTTGGACGTCTTGACTTTGCCCGCTGCGAGAGGCGGGGCTTCTTTTTCTTCTTCTTCTTCTTCTACACCCGGAAGCGCTGGCACATCATCACCGAGACAGGGTTTCTTGTCCTTTGTATGTGATCACAAGAGTATTGATACAGAGGTTTCCCAGGACAGCAATCCCATGTCCACGACTGCAAATCCCATGGTAAAGCACAGATATAGCCGCCCACACCCGACACCGCCCGGGTTCCAAGCCGGTGAGCAAGTAAGCTTGGTCTCCCGCCAAGCTTTGACGGCCAACTTGCGACTCGAGATGCGCCAAGCGTCACCGCCAGCCAGCCCCCGGTTCTGTGTCCCGATCTGTCAGTCTGCATACATGCAAGATGCAAGATGCGCACCACTAATCGCCGTGCCGCGGACGGCGTGACCGGTGCCAGATCCATAATAAGTGCGCCCAAGGACGCCGCCCACTCGTGCGCGCAGCGTCTCCCTGCGAGGCAGACGGCCCGCATTCAGCATTGGCGGCGCGCACGGGAGGAAAACAAGACGGCCGTCATCCTGTCACGTTAGACGGCGAGCCGCGGCGCCGTCGGCCTGCCCACGACCGTGCCTCGCTGGCTGGCGCGCTCGCGTCTCGCGGCCGACAGGGGACGCAGGATCTTGGCGTCGGACTCGATGAAGACGCGGAGGTACGAGTAGCCCTTGTCGTGGATGTTGCTCATGACCCTGTCGGACAGGGCTGCGGACTCGGTATCGCCGACCTGCTGCTCAAAATACTCGTACGCGACCCGGAGCGGGAGGCCCAGCGACGTCGCCCCAAACAGCTTCATGTCCTCCCGGGTGAGGTAGGCGACGCTCTTCATGATGAGGACCGCCTTGGACCGGATGGCCTCCCGGGACGCCGGCCGCGGCTGCAGCTGCACGGCGTACGTGGCGCATATGATCCAAAACGCCCAGTAGTGCGTCAGGCTGTTGGCGACGGTGATGTCTGGGTACCAGATGTCGTCGGCCGTGGTCGCCGCCGACGCCGCGACGTCAGCGCCGTACGCGGCGCCCAGCTTTGCCGAGTACGAGCGGCGCCAGCCGTCGAGGCGCCTCATGGTGTCGAGCAGCTTGTCCAGGCAGGCGGGCGCGTCCACGTCCATGTCCATGGCCTGGAGCAGCGACGGTATGCAGGCCCCGATGGAGATGAGCTCCTGGAGCGGCTCCGCGGGCGACGCGTGGAAGGGGATCGTGCACCACTCCGGTGCCTCGAGAAAACACGCCCGGCGGTCGCATATGCAGTGGATGACCTGTGTCGCGGGTTCAAGCGGGTTCACGTCAGCTCGTGGGCGCTCGCCGACCAAGACAAGACAAGACAAGAACAAGAACAAGACGAGACGACGGCACGACGGCACGGGTTGGGGAGCAACGAACCAGTGAGGGGCGACACCCGATGAAGATTCTGTGTGGTGTCCCGTGGGCGTAGTAGGCCGGACCTCGCGACAGCATCAGCCGCGAGAGCCCGCCGATGTGGATGCCCGGACTCGTGTTGGCCGACATGAGGATCTGCGAGAGGGGAATGGTCAGCACGGTCAGTCGAACCGGCCACGCGGCGGCTCACCTCGGACAGGAACAGAAACATGATGGCGGCCGAGAGCTCGTCGGGGCCTTCGTTGCGGCCCCGGATCAGCGCGTGGTGCAGCGAGCTCAGGGCCGTCCCGTGCGCCGCCAGGGCGTCCACGACGCTGGCCCCGACGCGGCGGGTGCAGCATGTGATGGCAAACGCGAAGGCCTTGATGGACGACGTCAGCGCGTGGCCGTTTGGCCCCGACGTCTTGAGGTCCGGCACCACCTCGATCCACGACCCGCACACTCGGGATGGCGCCGTGAGTGCCTTGCTGTCCACGCCCGCTTCGTCGCGGATGGGGATGAAGTTCTGCACGACCACGGACAGGATGTCGTTCAGCGGCCACGAGAGCGGCTGGCGAATCCCCGGCGGCGGCAGCCCGGGCTTCGCGGCGGCGACGGCGGCGTCTTTGGGCAGCGCGGCTCGTCTCCTCCCGCCCGCCGCCCTTGGGCCCGGGGTCAGCGGCTCCGCGAATATCAGGTCGTAGTGATAGCCGCCGCACGCGAGGCTGCTCTTGAGACACTGCGAGCAGGATGGAGACCGTCCATCGCACTAAAGCCGACGTGTCAGTTCCCAGTGCCCAGTTCCGGCTTGCTTGCTTGCTTGCTTGCTCGTCTGCGCAAGGGGTCCAAGGGGGGACGTGGGCGTCGTACACCAAGCTTGCGTGCTCTACATGTGTGACAGATGGTGCGCTGTCTGATCTTCATGATCTGCGCCCCGTCGTGGTCTGGGAAGAACAACCACGCGGCTCTAGTCCCTCTTTAGCTGGAAAACCCGCCAAGGAGCTTGCGGTTAGGCTGGAAGGCAGAGAGCTTTTAAATACCAGCTCTCGTCTGGTATTGCCGTCCTCGCTCGGTCGGTTGTGCTTGTCAGTTGCCGGGGGGCCGGGGAACCCGACCATGGAGCCCACCCTGGCGCGTTGCAACAGCCACGAACCATCAGGGCAGCTGTCAAGGGTACGATGCTGGCAGATGCTGGTAGAGAAGAGCAGGTTGTACGGAATACAGGTTCCCTGCCACCATGTCGTCTCTTCAAATGGAAGTGCTGGACGCGGCCTCGCTCTCCACTTGCCCTCTTCAAGTCGCCCTTTCTATTGGCGTGTTGGCCGCGAACCACCAACTCAAACGACTCCCCCATCCATGTAAATCAAAGTTGCTCGCTGCTACTCCGTACGCTTCAGACCAATTACCCGCCATCACGACCCTGCTTGTTGTCTGCATCGACTCGTGGGTAGGGGGGGAGGGAATGCTGCCCGTCTCCCGACCCCCGGCCCCGACTGCCCAGGATGGCGGCGGCAGGTTTCGAGTAGAGTAGTGCGGAGAGCTATTGGAGAGTGCCTCGAGAATCCAAGCAAAGTCGTGGTCCTTTGCCCTTGCTGAACCGAATCAGATGGGACGCGAATTCCTCCGCCTAGGCTGCCAAGTTGTAGCCGCGTCGTCTGGACATCCTGGCCGCTCACGTCAATCGGCGGCCTTGATAGATGCACCGGCACTCCGCCGCTCTTACTTCCCCCCGCCGACGCAGTTCTTATATGACCGAGCAGCAGGGCTTTTCGCTTCTGCTCCAGTGGCTTGACCGTTCTTAGTCATCCTGGATGCATCTCCTCCTACAAAGTTTACAACCGCGGCGAATCAGGTCAAACTCCACCACGTCGGTCTAATCGACGGCCAGGATCACCCCCCCTCCCTTTTCCTCCTCCCCTTGCGTTCCCAAGCTTACGTCGGAGCCAAGCTCAGACGGATAGTCTTCTCCAAGGAGAGGTTCCGGAGCAAAATCAGCGTCAAGGGCCCATCGCGCGAGTCATGTCGCGCTGACTGACAATGGCCCCCGAGATCAAGCCGTTCGAAATCGCCGTGCCAGACTCGGCCCTGGCTGCCTTGCAGGCCAAACTGGCCACAGCTACGCTTCCCGACAAGGTGGACTTTTCCGACGACTGGAGCTATGGCGCGGCCCGCGACGACGTCGGGCGACTTGCCAGACGCTGGCGGGACACGTTTGACTGGCGGGCGCAGGAGCAGAGGCTGAACAGGCTCCCTCACTACACGACCAAGATTGCCGTCGACGGGTTCCACGAGCTCGACATCCACTTTGTCCACCAGAGGAGCGCCCGGCCAGACGCCATTCCGCTGCTGTTTGTTCACGGATGTGAGTGCCGCTTCCTCCTCCCACGTCCGCGTCGAGTCCCCGGGGTGGTGGTGGCCGGATCCCAGCCTGCTAACCAAGACGACTCGGGCCAGGGCCGGGGAGCTTCCTGGAAGTCACCAAGATGCTGAGTCTGCTTGCAGACCCGCAGCACGGACAGTCGTTCCACGTCGTCGCGCCGTCGCTGCCCAACTTCGGCTTCTCGCAGCAGGTCCGGCAGCCAGGCTTTGCCCTGGACCAGTACGCAGAGTGCATGCACAAGGTGATGGTCCGGCTCGGCTACGCCCGCTACGGTGAGTACACGCGGCGCGCCGGATCGACGACGACGACGACGACTTCTTGCTCGCCAGGGTGCTGACCGCTCGCTCGCCGCAGTGACGCAAGGCGGAGACTGGGGCTTCTTCATCACCCGCCTCATCGGCCTGCGCTACCCGGCGCACTGCCTCGCGTCGCACGTCAACTTCCCGTGCGTGCGGCCGCCCGGCCTCAAGTCGCTGTGGTTCGGCCTGCGATGGCTCCTGGGCCGGCACTCGCGCACGGAGAGGCAGGGCCTCGCGCGGACGCTCTGGTACCTCGCCGAGGGCTCGGGCTACATGGTGCAGCAGAGCACCAAGCCCTCGACGCTGGGCTTCGCGCTCGCCGACTCGCCCGTCGCCCTGCTGGCCTGGATATACGAGAAGCTGCACGACTGGACCGACGGCTACGCCTGGACCGACGACGAGGTCCTGACCTGGGTGTCCGTCTACCACTTCTCCGCGCCCGGCCCCGCCGCCAGCCTGCGCATATACTACGAGGCGAACCGCGCGCGCGCGGCGTCCTTCAGGGGCACGCGGTACGTGCCCTCGGTCCCGCTGGGCATATCCTACTACCCCAGGGACCTGTTTGCCGTGCCCCGGCCGTGGGCCAGGTGCCTGGGCCCCGTGGTGTACGAGGCGACGCACACGCACGGCGGGCACTTTGCCGCCTTTGAGGAGCCCGAGCTCTTCGCCGCCGACCTGCGCGCCATGTTTGGCCCCGGCGGCGGCGCTCACGGCGTCGTGGCACGCCTGGCTCTCGACTGTTGAGGGCCGCCCGGTCCGCTCCGTACCCGACGGGCTCTGTGCACGCAGCCGGCGTCGACGGCTGCCGTGTCCCCCATGGCCCTGCGGTTTCGTTTCCTCCTCGGCACAAGGGAGGCCTAGGCCGTGCTCCAGCGACTCGGGAAAATGGTCAAAAGCGGCGACGAGAAACTGCGTGTCGCTGGAAGGCAGCTCGACAAACGGGTTCTGTCGGCTCAGGCGCCAGCCGACGACTCCACCCGTCGAAACTCCCCTCCGGAGCAGTCCTAGGTGCCGTCAGGCTCCGTGACCTGGTGATGATTACACTTGCCTCAAGCGTGTATTGGTTGGGTGTGGACGCTACAGCAGCCACGTGTAGTTGAACGAGGGCACAATCCCCAGGTACGCCGTTACCAACTATGGTAAGTATTTTGGGCGTTGAAGCGTAGAAAGCTAGGACTAGTTATTGCGGGGACAAGAACGAGCAGACGTGAGAAGCCTAGTCTATACTTGGACCATACTCCACACGGCTTGATAAAGTAAAAAATAAAAATAAAAGTAGGAAGTAAAAACAAAAAAAAATCACAGATGTATATTCCAAAACGCCTAGAGGGAGCGCGCGCCCTCCCTCCTGGACTACTGTACAATGCAGATGCATCAACTGTGCAAGACCCAAAGACCAACTCCAAAACTCCGCGCCGCTGTCCCGGCACGACGACGGCGACCAAGGACGGAGCCTCCACGTCTCACGGAGACCATAGCATGGGACCCATGCAGACCTTCTCTTTGGCGTAGGAACGATAACGATCCAACACGTCGGTCGTGTCCAACCCGCCATCTCTCGACTGCGGCCCGAAGCTGTAGTGGGAGACTACGCCGCGGCCGTCGGCGACGGCATCTGCGAGCGCAAGGTTAGCGCCTCGGCCTCGGACCCGGCAGCACGAAGCACGGCACGGCGCGCCGCTGCTGGGCAGGGCAGGGCAGGGCAGGGACTTACTGCGGCCCAGCTTCTTGGGCATGGTGACGGAGAAGTGCTCCTCGTCGTCCCTGCCGATGGGCTTGGCGGCGTTGATGTCGTGGCCCATCATGGCGATGAACTGGATGCCCATGCGGAGCCGCTGGAAGTCCCAGGTGTTGAACTTGTACCGCCACAGCTCCCGCGACTCGAGGTTCTCGAAGAAGCTGTAGTGCTCCTGCGCGGCGACCTGCCACCTGTGGAGCCCCGTGCCGAAGGCGTCATACTGCGTCTCCACGATGGGCGTCTTCTCCAGGACGTGGTCGGGCCTGCCGCGCACGGGCAGCCAGCGGTGCTTCCTCCCGTCCGGCGAGTTCCAGGAGCTGGCGTCGATGTCGACGCCGCCCGACCCGTTCCACGAGGGCAACGCCGATGCCCTCCAGTCGACCTGGTGCCCGGGCTCGGGGGCGGGGTACTCCTCGCCGGCCCCGGGGAGGTAGGGCCGCACCGCGCCGAGGTTCCAGTGAATCCAGCTGATCATGGGTTGGTTGACGACGTTGGCAGAGACGACGTAGTAGTCTGGCCGCGCGAGCTTGGTGCAGACGACGGAGCGGATGGCGTCCTGTTCGATAAAGACCTGCTGAGCGTGAGCCGGCGGGACAAAGCGCGGGGAGGGGAGGGGAAGGGCGATGGGCTGGCTGCGACTGACGACATCATCGTCGATCTTGATGTACATGTTGGCGTCGACGACGGCGTCGTAGGAGCTGGCAAAGTCGTGTGCGTCGGCGTCGTCGACGACCTGCCTGGCGTACTGCGGCTCGCTGTTCAGCAGGCGGTCCAGGAGCGCGAGGTCCTCGGCGTTGCTCGTTCGCTGCAGCCAGACCACCTGGTCCAGCAGACCGCCGTTCGTCGCTAGGTTGCGCTGCCACGCACGCAAAGACAGGAGGGTTGCCGTTGAAGACTGCCGCTCTCCACGTACCTTCAGGTAGCAGTCGAGAATGGACACGGTAGCCCGTCTGCCGAAGAAGACGAGGGCGATTATCTTGGGCGCCGTGACGAGCTGATGCTGCCGCGGGCGAGCGGACGACTTGTTCTCGAACGAGGCCGACTGGCCTTCCCCGAAGCCGCGGGGGCAGCGAATCTTCTTGTGCGCAACGACGGGCGGCACCGCAACGGGCGGCCCTGCGCCCGGTTTGGCACGGACGATGGGCAGCAACTTGTCGATGTCGGGGAGCAGCTGGCTCTGCCACACGTAGACGATGAGGGCCGAGAAGGCAATGATGCCCGCAACGGCGAGGCGTTTCCCTAACGCGGGTGCCATCGAGTCGCAGCTGCAAGCAGTGGCCGTCGAGAGTCAAGACATGGAGACGCGCGAAGGTGAAGAGGCCGGGACGGGCCTTGACGGGGCGGGAGGCCAGAAAACGACGCAGCCAGACCAGACCAGACCACGAAGCTGACAGGTCGCGCCAACCCAACATGGCTTGGGCCACACGCTCGCCCCCGGGGGGTCTCAACCCGCAGCGGGTGCTGTGCAGCGCTGTGCGGCGTTCTGATGCTGAGCGGTCAAAATTGGACGGGCGGTGGTCACTGGTCTCGTTTTGTTGGGCGCTAGGCAGCAGCCGAATGGCTGAAAAAAACTCTACACTCGCATCTTTGCCGCAAAAGAAAAACAAGCCCTGCGTGCTTTTCCTGATTCGAACCGGCGCCATCTACGGAGCATGCACGCGTGTTTAGGTAGGTCCCCGTGCGTTCGCCTCTTCTCGGCAGTACGTAAGTTAGTTACGGAGTGCATCTGACAACGTTCGAACAATTAATCAAGGGGGTTGTTAATCAATCCTCCCGTCTCCACTGACAGGCTGCCAACCCCAACGGCTCCCATGCCAGGACCGGTGGACCGGATTGGTCCGTCACGGAGCGGAGTGCCACAGACCATACATCTGTGGTGAGCCCTAGCGAGCCCTTTTCAACGGTGGGGCGGGGCACGAGTAAGTCGTAAGTCGCGACACACGGAGATTCTGACCTCTGATTGAGCATGGCTCCTCGCTACGTCATCGGCTGGCGAGCCTTGCGTTACAACGTACGCGGGCTTTCCTCCTTGTTGCAGCACTCTTGTACTTGAGCCCTCGAGATGCTCGTCGCCAACGTGCCTGGTCTCTTCCCATCCGGAGTACCGATAAGCTCAGTGCAACGGACGACACCCTCGGAGACGTCTACGACCAAGTCATGGCGGTACGGCGCCCGGCCCTCCAGAAGCTCTACGCCGACTACTTCCGAGAGCGCCGCGTCGATGCCATCCACTTTCCCACGACCAGCGTCCCAGCCACACCCATGGACACGGTACATGGCTCCGGGAACGTGTCCATCAACGGGGGCCCGCCCATGGACGCCTTTGCCGCCTACACCAGAAACACGGACCCGGGGAGCAATGCCGGCATGCCGGGCCTGAGCATCCCCGTGGGAAATACGGCCGGCGGCCTGCCCATCGGCATCGAAATAGGCGGCCCTCTCGGCAGCGACGAGAGGCTGCTCGGCTTGGGACTCGCCATGGAGAAGGTGTTTGGCTACCTGGCCGGGTCGGACCGTGCCCCGAGTGGCAGGATGCAGTGCTCAGGCAGTACGGTCCCAAGCGCACTGCATGACGACATGGCTCGCGGTCCCGGATGACAGGGTAAGAACCGAGGGTGGGTGCGTTTCGAGGCGAGACGCGCAAAGTGTCTGATGAGCTGTGCATGTCAGGTCGGGACGATGAGCGGGACGAGTCTTGAGAGCACCAAAAACCCTGGTCTAAAAAGACAGCAACACAGGGAGAAATTCATGTACAGCCGCAACTTGCAGGTGGCAATTTGTAACAAGAGAAAGAAAGAGGCAATGTTATGCCGTTCAACGCCCCCGTCAAACCACGAATTCATCTAAACTCTGACATGGTCCCTCTTCCAGACCTGCTCCGGCGCGGCGACCGACCACGACCACGGGGCCGCGGTGCCCCCGTGGCGCCGCACCTCGTCGCCCACCATGTATTCCTCGCTGGCGCTCATGGCCGTCCAGTCCGTAGGGCCGTACTTGCCGCCGTGGCAGTGCGGCCGATGAGCGCGGCCGATGGTCACGACGGAGAGCGCCTTGGGGCCGAGGTCGCTCCCGGACCGGTCCCGGGACGACACGCTGTGGACAATGACGGTGCCCTTCCGGATGATCCACGGTCCCAGGATCGGCGCGTTGACCGAAATGATGCCCACAAACTGCGCGGCGGTCGCGGTCAGCAACAGACGGTCATCATCGTGGCTGGCTGGGCTGGGGGCGCGCGGCGTCTTACCGTCTCGCGGATGGCCCATATCGTGGAGACATCGACCTTGCTCGCATTCTGTAAAGACAGGACGCATCGCAGCAGACTCGCGACAATGACAAAGATGCCTGTCGTGAGCCAGAGCCCGTATACGAGTTTCCTGGTCGTCATTAGCCCAGCCCCCTGTGTTGTGTCTTCACCGGCCAAAAGGCCAGCGCCGTCGTAGTCGTACTTGGACCATGGAAGCCGCACGATCCACAGCAGCGGCAGTGGGATGAACAGGAGGAGCAGATCCGTGCTGTGTGCGAGACGTGTCAGATGCAGATGCGGCTGCGGATGCGGCTGCGTAGACACGCGGGCCAGCCAGTCTGGCCGTCATGAGTCTGACTCACAACACATTCGTCACGACTAGGGTGAGAAATATCTGATTCGGGCTGGCGCAGTTGTCTGGACCGGCTGTTGAGAAACACGGACGCCACGCGCGGATGGGAGCATTTCCCGGGACAAGGGCTGGTCTTACCACCTGGAATCGGGTAGACCTGCCAGTTTCTGCGGAACGGCAGGCACCGGAGCAGGACGACGCCGACCGTGGCAACGTAAGAGCACACGCACGCGACGGCGGCCACGGTGACGAGGCGCTTCTGCCGAGTTTCGAGCCTGCATTGCCGAGCGGCGGGCCGCGTCAGTCCGGCCGGAGAGGAGGGTTGGTTGTGTGACGTACGTGAGGCGGCGGTAGAAGAAGAGCATGCACGCCTTCAGGCACCATATGAGCGTGATGTACAGGCACCATCCGGCAATGTCGGCCTTGGCGCCCATGACGATGCGTTGCTTCTGGGCCCCTGTCAGGGAGAGGGCAAGGTCGTCGGTCAAGCCCACGATGGATCCCCATTGTCCTGGTTGCAAGCCGACCCGTCAGACGCGGCAGCGCTCGACACCGGACAGCTGGCTTACCTATCAGTTCAAGCATGGCGGTTTCTCCCTGTTTTTGCGGCCGAAGCGTCAGCGGAACTCGCGCAACACGGGCCGGACGGGACCGGGATCAAGAGTGCCGCACCGTCAAGAGGAGGACGGCGGCGACGGCGAAGAAGTCGTCTCCGTGCCAGTTCCGGCCCACGACGTGCACCCTGTGGGCAATCCGCCCGAGGAGAATGACGATGCCGATGGCGTATTCTATCCAGGCTTCGACCCGGAACGGTGTCGCGGCCATGTTTCCGAGTGACTGTCTCTTTCAATGTCGCAACGGCATCGACACCCCGACGGGCTGTGAGTGCCGCTCACATCGACAAATGCCGCCGGGCGAGAGGGAATTCGAGCGTCTTGGACAGACGGGGCGACGGCGCAGCATGGCAGGCCCTCCTTTTTAAAGCTTCGACGGGTCGTGGACAAGGTTTTTCTTCTCAGCGCGTTGCCCCGGCGTCTAGGACGCTCTGGGTCGCGGCCCATGGCATCTGAGTTTGCTGGCATCTCGAGTGCTCCATGAAGCCGTGAGCACCGGGCACGAGCTAGGCGGTGCTCGGGCGGGTGCCCCGAGGCGCGCCCCACTTGTCGCCGCTTGGCGGAGGGGTGCCCCACCATGGCTTGATTGGTCGACTGCCCATGTCCGAAGAAACGCTGAACAGGTCATCGTGGCAGAGACGGACCAGTTGACAGTTGACCGCTTTGGTAAGCTTCTGCTTTGCTAGCTTATGCCCGTGGACAGCTTCATCTTTGACTATCAGTGTTGAAACTGTTTCCTTCTTCACCTTGTATATTTCGGCAAGCCTTGACATGATTACATGGCGACATCAACGGCTCGCCAGCGGATCCGACAAATCTCGGACCATTGGGGAAGCCACCGAGTCGGATCGGACGACATGGTGATCAAATGGACGGCGGGGCCACCATAACTTGGTTGACGAGACGGCATGGCATGTTGGACTGCTTCGACGCGTATTCGTCACGAGGGACGGACGGAGGCCCGTTCTATTTAACCCATAAACGTGGCATCGGGCCACGCCATCTGTTGTGTCGCGGCGTTGCCTACTGAGGCGTGACCACCCCGTGTTGGACACTGCTGAGTAAGCGGCTGTGCCCTCAGCTAACTGCTGGTCAACACAGCTGCAAAGCCCGTTTTCCCAAGTCTTGACAGTAATGACCGTTGCTTTCGTTGCTCATCGAGGACATGCGGCTCCTGTAGCCCTGCGAAACCGGACGGCGTGCGGCCCCGTGGAGACAGATTCTCCCTCGTCACTTGTCACTCCGGAGTCTTGACCCCGTGGATCGGGGAGGTATCCGTGTCTAGTACAGAAAGACGGCAAGTGGCGCCGAGTATGACGTCAAAGAGCAGCCACCGCTTACAGCACTTTGCCCAATTCCCGGACCCTCGAACCGGAGTCCACTTGGTTGAGTTTGCGACGTAGACTGGCTGCGGGATGTACTGCACTGCTTCCTCAACTACGTGGTGTGTGCGAGCGTGGACCGTCGGGGCCGCCATGGTAAGGGATGAGGACTTGTGCTTCGACTCTCAGCACGCCACTTGGCTGAACAGCAGCGAAACTGTCTTTGAATATCTGCTTCTGCCATATCCTCGTTGACGGGCGGGATATCGGTCCCAACTGGCCGCCTTTTTTCGACCGCCTCCAAGATGTTTGGTCAAGTGGATGCGTGTGACTAAATTGAATCATGCGGTGCAGACGCTACTCGAGTACGTTGAATGGTGTCCTGCGCCGTGGCATTCCGACCCTGCTCTTGGATACGTCACCATGAACGGGATTTCACCAACCTCGGCGGCCTCTCCGCGATGGCCGCTGCTGAAGTAGCAGAAATCGTGACGGCTAGTGTGATAGCTTTGCGTGCCATTGTAAAGACGGGAAAGACTGGGCGCGGCGTACATACAGCAAGTGTTTCTTTTAGATGAGCTGCACCGAGTACTTTACACGAGCAAAGATGCGAAATTTGCCTCGTCACCCGTCATACGTTGGCATCAAGGCATCAGGCGGTGGGATCTTGCAAGCATCGAGTGTCAATGGCTCGTGAGAAAAGTTACACATGCTGTGCGCTCCTACGCGCGTCTTGCTTTAGCTTTGAGCATCCGCGCATCCGGCCGGCGTAGGACCCGTGTTCCTCAGGGGTTGCAAGTACTGCTGCTGCGCGCCTGGATATGATGACGGGGTCTGGCATGGGTGGTTGTGGTCTGGCACCGAAAAATCCCGCCTCGCAGACAATCATAGCTGGATATGCATTGTGCGTGACTTCCTATACTGATGTCATTGGCGTTGGGGTCTGAGAAAAAGGAAGTCAAGGGGTAAGTGACCCTTTCAGTGATTCATCCTGGGTTTCTGCTTTACTGACGAACACGCAAGCACCACGTACGGTTGCTTGGCTGAACCGAGTCACAGACTGGCCGCATCTTGACTCGTGGACAGGGATACCTGTGAGAGGCCACGCTTTCTCCTCCTCTACATCGGGCGACGGTGGTGTTGCAGGGATCAGGCAAACAAAAATAGCGTCCCGTGTCGGCGACGCTGCCTGTATCAGGATGGCAATCAGCCGCGGCAACCTGCATGTGCTGCTTGGCGATTTCCCCGTGCCTCGCTTGTAGTGCAGCAGGGGCTTCCAAACGACGTTGGGACGGTGTGCAAACACGACTTGTGTGCCCATCCTGAACAACTTTTTCCAAGATGGATCTGGATTACTTGGCACCTCACTTTCTCCCTCGTAAAGCTTGGCGCTGCTTGCTTCTGCTCGTCTTATACTCCCGGACTCGCAACAAACTTTGTAGCCTAAGCTGTCCTGAAGCTTGAAGAGGTTCAAAGCTAGCGTCCCTCAAGCGTCAAGATGAGCAGCATCGATTGCGGTTTGTGCATCGCCTCGGCGGCCCGCGGCCCGCGGCTTTCAACAAGGCCGCGTTCGAAGGATGCTCAAGGGAGCCCGTAGTCGTTCCACGGAACTTGCGGTCAGAGCCTCAGTCATCTAGAGCAGGGTTACACACACTGGCATCTTCTTGGACATGTAGCCCTTGTCAGCCGGGTTCTGCAGATGGACGCACCAAGGACGTTGAGACCCTACAATATTATAAGTGAATCTGAGTCTTGCTCTCTCCGACTTTTCGCAAACGGTGAGTCTCCCCCGAAAATAAGACCACGACCGCCATGACTAGAGACGTATTTGCGGTGGACGTGCACTTTTGGTGTGAATATGTAGACCTATCCTATTGTGGAGGCCCGTGTTATCGCTGGCTCGCATCCTGTCGCTAGTATACGCCCGACAAGGACAGGTAGCACGAACTGGTCGCGGGGCCTGTTTTGCGAATCCCCGAATCAATAACCTGGACCACTTGGCCGACACGCGGGAGAGTCCAAGAAGCGAAGGCAACACTGCAACTGGGGCCGGGTGGTGACTCGGTCGTTAAGCACCCGGACCGGAGCCTCCGAATAAACAACAACACGTCTCTGCCAAAAGGCCAGCCATGCACCCGACTCTGCGGCTGCGTAGAAAGCCGGTTAATATGCTTCGGGATTAATATATCTGATCTGGGCAACTTTTCAATTCTTGGTCTACTCGGTGTAGGGGTACGTGTTCCCGCTCCCGCGCATGCCGAGAGCCATATGACAGAGTGTTAAGACCGGGAAACTTGGTAGTTGGTTGGATCCTGCCGACTAGGCACCAGCAGACGTCTGGAATCCGGAGCGTCGGGCTGTCTGGGAAGCGTTCTCTTATCTGTAACGACCGGGTGGCCGACGCGAGAGTGACCCACGATGGGGAATATCATATCCCAACAGCTGATACAAGTAGGAAGATCCTAGCGCGCAGAGCTTGTACGTTGATGGGCTGATTAAACGGCAGATGTAGGGTTCAAGGGCCGGGTTCTTTTGGCGTTGTAGGCTATACTGCCCATGATTGTATTTCAAAACCGAGTGCGAGATTGTACGCAGGAGGAATATCTGCACCCGGCTTCGGCTTTGCCTTTGAACCCTGTCTATCGGCTCTACGTAAACTGCCGATTGGGCTGGCAGACGCGCAACAACGGTCCGAGGGGGCCAGGGCTGCAAATACTGGTACGGGTGTCCGATGGAAGTTGGCCTCAGTTGTTCGAGGCACGAGGGGGCATCTCGCGACAGTCCTGGCCGCTGACGATGGGACTAGCCCTTGTGGTACGTAGTACACGGGCATCCCCAGTTGTCTCCGGATACTTTTCATCTTTGGCCTCCGAGATGCCCATCGCCCATCCTTGCACGAATCCTAAGCTTGCAATTGCAACTGCTGGCTGCAGGAATACGGCCACAGTCCATGGTCTATCAAACGCGACAGTGGCACGGGAGTGCCCGAATCAGCTCGGACCAACTACTCCTGTAATTCTGCCGAGATCATAGCCAACTGGCCCATCGCTTAGAAAACCCAACCGTTGGACCATCGCGTTATGGGGTCGTGGCCGGCATGTGGCCTTCGCGGCATCAGAAAACAGCGTGGCAGAGAGGTCAAGCTACGTCATTTATGGCTTGGGCCTATATTGCTGGGGCCTTTGTGTCCCTGACGCAAGGAACCAAGCATAGCAGAGGGATATAAGACTAAAACAGGCTAGCACATATGACTATTGATATCACACCACACAAGTAGCATGGCTATAACGCGGCGCGTGGCGCTGCTTCCAGCCATGCAAGAGTCGCTCGGCATCATGTCGCTGCGCAAGGTGCGGTAGTCGAAATACAACGTCTCGATCACGGTCCAGGTACAAATACCTTGTTGGAGCCGCCCAGCTTCTTGCGGCAAGACATGGGCTCAGCTACTCGATCAGAGCCATATCCAATCTGTCAATATATCGCAATCACTGTTGGCGACAGCCACCTGTCGCTGCCATGATGCCCGCCTGGGCCTCGAGGGCCATGTTGTTGGCCGCTTGTCTGCCATGGCACGCGGCCGTGGAGGCAACACTACCGCCGTACACCATCTCCATGTCCCCTCCTCGCACCATCTATCTGGTTGTCCCAGAAGGGCCCAGGGGCCTCGGATCGCCCAGGGACTTCAGAAACCATGGCGGAATTAGCAACAGTCGTCTGCCTGCACCCGGCGAGGAAGAAATAACGCGAGAGTGGCAACGGCTTCGAAACATCAGAGTCCATATGGGCGAGTCGTCTGAAGAACTTGCCGACTTCCTAAACCACCTCGACACAGTCATATTCAACTTCCAAGAAAGCGAAGAGGTGGCGCGCACAATCGGATGGGGATGGATCGACCCGCGGCAGATTCGTGTTGAGCGGCGCGTCTGGATATACGAAATCGCAGCGGCGCCAACCATGCTGCTCCATTACCGCCAGCAAGACGGCGCTGAACGCTTGGATGTGCTAAACGTCGGCGGCATACCGTGGTCGCAGGTCATACGGTTCAGCCAGCTTGACCTCTCGCATCCGGGAGTCGTAGGCCCGCTGCAGACGTTGACTCGAAACGACCCCCGCTATCCGGCGTGGATAAACTCGGTCCAGCTATCGTGGATGCGGAACGCTGAATATGACGGCAGATGGGGTCTGTACGGGGGGACGGTCGGGATACCTCACGACACCTTTGATCACCCTGAGGGGACGACTCGTGTTGAGCGGGCGCGCGAGATCATGAACCTGGTCACGAGCAGCCATATGATTCCTGACCCGGAAAGGCGGCAGACACTACGAGAGCTGCTCGACTGGGACGCTGACAGGGAGCCCGACCGCACCTTTCCCCTTCTTCGCCATGCCCAGCGTAGGTCCTCATCACCATCGTCATCCGTGAGCGTTGTCTTTTGCCATGGCTAACCGACTTGACGCAGCTTTGGGGCTCGGCGCCTGGACACTGCCGCTGGTTGACTGGTCTCTGGTGCAGATTCCAGAAGACGTACGGCTAGCACTTGCATCGGGGCTTGCCAATGCCATCCAATGCCGTGCTGCGTTGCAGCCATTCAGGAACTTCTTCCTCGGCGGTCCCAAGGGCAAGAGAGAGGAGCCGCAGCGAGATGCGGATGCTGATGCGTGCGAGCAGCTGTCTGTTCTGGTCAAGGAGGCCATCAAAATCCCAGAACCGTGCCGCCGAATCAACAAGATCGAGATCACCATGTCCCTGTCTGACGGCTTCATGGCGGGAACGTGGGACAAGGTCGGCGGAACCCTCGAGGGCCCGGCTGGTACGGCCGAGTTTTTCTTTGCTGAGAGCCCCGACGCAGGCGCCCACGGGAAGATGGTCGTGGACATGCAAAAGTACTTTGGGCAAGACGAAATCAACATCACCGCTATTGACAAGATGACTCTCAACGCCCAGGGGGAATTTTGGAAATTAAGCAGCTTGAGAAACGACGCCTTCACGATCCGAGGTGAGACAGGAAACAGCTTGCAGAAGCTGCAGTCTACATGCTGACATCCTGCTTGAACAGATATTTCCATCCGCGCACAATGCTCCGATCCCGCCTACACGGCCTTCAACAACAGATACATCGGCCTCAACAAGGACCTCAAACATACCAGTGACAAGACGTTCTTGGGGGATTTCAAAAAATCGACTGTCGGAGTGCTCGAGATCCGCCCTGGCGACTGGTCCTTTACCACGCCCTGTCATGTCAGACAGCTCAGATATGACTTCAGGGTGTCAAGCGGTTTTGGGAGCGGAACTTGGGACAGCATCTACTTTACTCTCGGGCACAGCGAGCGGCAAATCGCGCTTGGCAAAAGCGTAGAAGCCGGCTTCTCCAGCAACGGCGTGGTCAACCTGAGAAGAGTGTTTGGCACAGACTCGGTCGACATTCGCGACCTCGACAAAATCGCCATCGGGGATACCGTTGGCACCTCTGTGCTCAGTCATGTTCTGGATGGCGATGCGTGGTCATTCCAAGGTAGGCAGACGGCGCCTCCACGACGAGCATTGGATAGATTTACTGACTGGATTCTTCCCGTCTTTAGGCATTACGCTCACAGCAACCTGTGCCGAAAATCAAAGAAGACTGAAACTGACAAAGTTTGAGTCGGTCAACAGCGTCGTTCAGAACCAAGACGACAAACCTGTCTGGGCGGGCGACGTTAGCCCCGAGGACTGGATTGAAGTGGCTTGAGGAATGGCGGAAGCAAAGCTGAACAGGCCACGGCTACCAGGAGCCACGCGAGGTAATCTTCCAGGCGCTGTAGACTGGTCTCCTGCTGGCTGAACAAGTTCCTAAGCAGCCATGCCTGAGCCTCGCAACACGCTCGGATGAGCTACTCCGGGCACGATACGGCACAGGGTTGGAAGAGCTGGGTCGCGTGGTAGCATAGCTCAGTTGAATGATTGACTTTGTGCCAAGTAACCTTGACGGAAGCCAAAGTAAAACCATCTGATCCCAGCCGCATCTCATACAGCCCTCTCGCCATGTTGAATCGAGCGACGCAGAAGAGTTGGCATCTGAAGTTTGAACACGGCAGAAATACGACTGGGGATGGGGCACGTTCCCTTCTTTGAGGTTGACTTGAGCATCCCACGCGACCAAGCCCCAGTATTCGGCCTCTGTAACCAGCTGCATTGCTGTTTTGACTGTTTTCGAATGGATAGTGCAAGGCACCTTTATTGTGGACTGCCTAGCGCTCGCCGTCACAATGGATTTCTTGAAGGGCTCTCCGGAAACAGGGTGCTCGTGGGGAATTTCCTCCACCTCCGGGGACGGGATGAAGCCACTGATCATGCTTAATGACTTGAGGCTGGAACCATTGCCCGAACCGACCAGCTGGCGACTAGTAGACGTAGCATCTTCTGTCCTGCGTCATCAAAGAGAATGGTTGATCTGTGCCTGCGACCACAGAGACCACGATGCTCGAGTGCCCTTCTCGTACTCGATTTTTCGAAATTTCCTTGGACATTGGAGAGTGTAGGTGACGCATATACTTTTGCTCTTTCCACGTTTGATGGCACGTAGGCCAAGTGTTTCAGATGTTCTCTTATTCTTTTTCGCCTTGGGTCAGCTGCTGTGTAGACCCAAGGGCAGAAGGTTGCTGCACAATAACGGTCTGTGGGCATGAAGGTCTCGTGGAAAACAAGGGCTTCTCTAAGCTACCTTTTTTCTCATTTTCTGTCAACAAACATGAAACCTCGTGCTCTCCAAGGCAGATTCAGGACGAAACAGTCATTACAGACTCCTTCCAACGCTCTGTCAAATTGGCAAGTCTTGTCAGCAAATCCACGTCCGCCTTCTTGCCATTACAACCTGACACGCAGGCTGGATCGACATAAGAAGGGTGAGATTGCGTGATTGTCCTTCTATTCAGCAGCCCAAGGGTTTCCATCCGGAAGCTGTCGCCTCACACGCCCGTTCTCAGCAGGACTTGTTGCTTGATCAGGCCTGGGCTCGGGGCTATCTGTGACGTGACCATCGGCGGTGTCGTCATCCCCGGGGCCTCCTGCGGCTGCGGGTAGGAGGCGAGTCCTCTCCGAAACCCCTTCTATTTCTTGATTGTTTGCTGCGTAGAGCACCGTCCTCCCCGGTGGAATTCTCCTAGATGGAGTGACAGGTGGCCTAGAAATCAAACTCGCAATCTGCCACGAAGGCGTGTAAGCTGACAGCACCGAATGACATGGCCTGGCCCACGTACCTGGATAATCCCAATGAACAGTACAACGCCAAAACCGATGCCCGAGTTCATCTGCAGTGCCGCACGCCAGGGCTGAATGCATGCCATGTCTCGCTTGTACGTTTCGGCACATTGTTGGGAGGTGTGCTGGTTTGGAAATGGCCAAGCTCTGTCTCTCACGGTATGAAAGCCGCAGCAGTTCAGGGCATCTTGAATGCGGCGGATCGACGCGGCGTCATGGCCGCTAAAGAGGCGCTGCCAGACGGTTGATAGTAGGCAGTCGCGGGCCGCTGACGGGAGAATGTTGGAAAAGAGGATAGTCGCCAGGACCGTAGTCAGGATTGCCTGGCCGCCTTGCAAGGCTTGGCCGAGAAGACGAGCCGGGTGGCGATCAGATCTGGCGAGTCGTGGATGAAAAAACATGTTTGTGGCAGCTGCGAGAGGGAGCAAAGCCGTGACGATGGTGACTGCCGGAGAGATTGGCAGGGACAGTGTTGTTGAATAGATGTGCTCGTATCTAGGATCGTTTGTTAGCAGGAATGGTGGTTGCTTCCAAGCAAAATTCGACCAACAGTGCCACGCCAAAGAGCGCCAAAACTACCTATTTGCCGTTAGATTTGGAGGGAGGATACTCGAAGCCCGGGTTCTTACGCCGAGGCAGGCCAGGAGCAATGCCATTGCATTCATCTTGCGCGCTTTGATGACATTCGAGGCTTGCCAGTGTGTGAGAATGAGAATGTTGTGCCCCTCCAGCTTCTGTTCGTTTCGGTTGACTGCCGTTTGCTGCCCAAATAAGTTACATGCTCGAATCACGTGCATTGCACTCGTCTCGCTCAGAGCAAAAGCAAACCAACTCCAGTGTTTCTTTTCATATCCATCCGATCCTACCTTCTGCTGCCGGCGACCAGACGTCAAGATGCTCCGGGCCAGGCAGCTCTTCTCTGAAGCTGGTACGAGTCACTTTTGCGATGCCACCCAACATCAACACTTTCAACGTGGCCGTGTCAAGGCCCTTGCCCATCTGATGTGCGGCTCTCCAGGGAGCTTCGTTCCCATCACGTCTGCAAGTCTTGTCGACCAAGTTGGCCTCCTTTGGCGCAAAGTCATCGTTCATCGGTAAAGCTACTTTTGCTAGTGCCAAGAAAGTGTTCATGTTGCCACCTCCAACAGACCGAGTGCCAACTGGGTTCGCTTCAGGCTTCCTTTACGCCACTTGGGTCCAGTCCTTGACCGCGATTTTGCCGCTCCAAACTGGTTTCTCACCTTGATATCCAACTTCTTGGTCGACGGCCCTGAATGTTGTCATTTCAACCTTGATGGATGACTCGGCGCAGGTTCCCTTGAAGGTAATGCCTAACATGGAAAGTGTTTAGATGAGTATGTTCCTCGCTTCTTCACGGACTAGCACACGCATACCTTGAAACCACCACTCATCAACTGAGTAAGTTCTTTTCTCGTCCCAAATTTCAAGCTTGTCAAGGTCTCGGATGTCGACAGTGTCTTTTCCAAACGTCTCGCTGAGGTTAATACGGACTGTATTGTCAAATCCCGATGAAAAGCCCTCTCCCAGAAGCACCGGTTTGCCTTTTCCAAGAGTAAAGGACACCTTGTCGTCAGTTCCGGCGAAAAGGTGAAGCGGTCCGCCGCCTACCTTGAAGCTGTATTCAAGGTCCTTGAGCGCAGCGCAAGGAGGCGCAAACTTCCAATCTTTGAGCGCGATGGGCAGAGTCGCCACCGTCTTCTTTTCTTTTCTAGTCAGCTTCCAATTGTCCGGATGACCGTACCAGTGGTTGATCCCGACGTATCTGTTGTCCTGAGCTACAAATCGGGGGTCGGCGCATTCGGCCCGGATTTTGATATCTGCATCAAGGCCAACCCGTTAGTCCCAAGAAAACAGCCCTCTTCCGATCCCCTCTTCTCACCTTGGACTAGGAACTGGTCATTGCGTCCCTCCCTCAACCAGAAGCCCTCTGCATTGAGAGTCAATTGAGTAATGCCGGTAATGTCGACTGTATCCAACGTAGAGGAACCACTTCGCATATGCACGGGAACCCATGTTGAGAATCCTGCTGCAGGCTCTTCGGCAATTTTGAATTCCGCCTTGCCCGCCGGGCCTTCGAGAGTACCGCCGACGTCATCCCAGGTTCCCTCTCCGATGTCCAAAATATTGGCAGCTAGGGTGAAACCGAACTCAATGTTCTTGATTTTCTGGCACGGCTTCGGAACGTCCTTCATATCCTTGATCAAAGCGCCCAGCTGATCACAGGCAGGCTTTTGCGCCTGTCTCTTCCTACCTCTTGAACCTCTGCTGAAGAACCAGTCTTTAAATGGCTGCAACGCAAGGTCGCACTGCACGGCATTTGCAAGCCCTGATGCCAGTGCTATCTGTAATGACGTCGGAATTTGCACCGTGGACCAGTCGATCTGCGGAAGCAGTCGCGACAAGGCTGAGGCGTCAAGTCTTGGAGCTGCGTCAAGTAGGTTAGCGATGCTCTGGGAACACGGCCGGAGGTGGACGGTGGCATACGTTGTACATGACGAATAAGAGGGAAATTGCGATCGGGCTCTCTTTCTACATCCCAATCGAGAAGCTGTCGCAAGGTTTCCCGGTCCCGTTGGTCAGGGACTATTTGGCTACTCGTGGCCACTCTCATGAGCTCCCGCGCCAACTGGACACGCGTCGTTCCTCGAGGGTTGTCAAAGATATCCGAAGGCAGTCCCCGCATGGCGCCATATCGCTCCCATTGGCTGTTATAGTCGGGATTTTGCATCCATGTGAACTCGACTGAACTCATCCAACTTGGGAATGATGGGTCCTGATCGGTTAAACTGGTGACGTGGTCTCTGATTCCGGTATGAGATAGGCTGAGTTCGGCAAACCGCACCACCTGAGACCAGACTATGCCCCCGATACCGTGAAAAGAGAAATATTCGACACCATGGTAGCTAGGCCCGTTATGAAGCAGCATATTCGGTGCCGTTGCTATTTCATATATCCACACTCGCGACGCCGGCGCTCTTGGATGCATCCGCGGATCAATATACGACCAAGCCCGCCTTCGCAACCTGTCATCGCCATAATTTGACAGGTCAAATAGCAGTATTTCGATAAGGTCTTCAAAATCAATATTGTCTTCAGAATGCTCAACTCGAATGTCCCGCAGGCGTCGCCATTCTGCGTCGAGCGCTTCCTCCCCAGGAGCAGGCAGTCGAGTGTTGCTTATGCCGCCTTGGCCTCTGAGATCGCTCGGCGACCCTACTCCATCATCGCCCTGCGGAATGACTAACCATGCAGTGCTATGAGGCGCCATATTGGCATTAGACGTGAGGTCTGCGGCCGCACGCCATACCAAACAAGCGACTATCCAGATAGCCGTCGAGGCCCGCGACAGGAACATCTTGACTACAGATGTTTGCTCGAAAGAGACGACGTGTCTGTAAACAAGACGTAGGAAGGATTTGGATCAGATAATTGACTCAAGCACATGTCTGGCAACAGAAATAAGGGCGGCTGTCAAGACATATATACCTTGGCTCAAATATTATATATCAGGCGCTATACACCACGTCACATATGTCGCAATAGCTGCCGGAAATTTCTCGTACGCTTTTCAATTGCCGATTGTTGAGCAAGAGTCATGCTATTTCTATAGCATGAAATTACTATTCAGGGGGTGACAGCGAAGGCCTAGGCGGCGCAACAACTTGCGCTCACAGTCGCCGGAACCCCGGGTAATGTTATTTCTAGGTAGACTAACAAAGACTTGGTCAAGCTTAACACCAGATATGTAGACTTTCTTGCTCCTGGGACGGAACAGCACAGAGTCAGGCTACTACAACCTGGCGGGTCAGTCCGGGACAGAAGCAACACGATTTACTTCTCGCAATCACGTCACATCCCGCTTATGCTACGGTACTAGAATCTGACGTCAAATATCTTACGTAGTCCCAAACCTATAAAAGACGGTTGATAACCAGCCCAATATTTCCGACATTATGCATTGTCTTCTGCCGTAAAGGGCCGACTGGCGGAGACGGAAAATAGTTGAATGTGTCATGAATTCTTTCCAAAAACCGAAAGCAATGCCAAGCGAAGGGATCATTTTCCTGGGCTGAAGCCCCAGTCAAGGCAATCGTTCAATTGTCTCGAGCGGCTTTGTCTACTCACGTGGACTCTATGCCCACCCACGTAAAGTGCCAAGAGGGTTGAGGCATAAACAAGCCATTGCATGCCTCGAGTCATTCAACACTACACTAGTCAAGTACCCTGTAAATTCCGGAAGATAGACTGTCATCCCCGCATATTAGAGAAATTGGCCGGAGTAGATTAGATAGGCCCGAGAAGCGTCGGGCTGCTCGCTTATGGTGTCGTACATGGCCGAGTTATTCCCGATCATTGCGTCGGGCAATGGCCTCGTCGGCACGGCTGTTTCATTTCAGCTCGTACCACAAGTCCGACTGTCAGAGGTGGGGACAAGTCGGCCTGCTTGGGGATGTAGATGTGATTTACAGATCTGGGCCTCTAAGCCAGTTGGCAGATAGTTGCTGGACATGAACGGGACATGAGAGCCACGTGAGGTGTAAAAGGGAACCGGGATGAATACAGTGACAGGACGTCTAACCCGATGCCGTTTCCTCCTATTCCGTAGTCAATATGCCATTATTGTCACACCATGTTCACCATGTTGGTGAGGTAAGTGCTGTGATCACGAGACCCAGGGCAGAAGGCTTCTGCAAAATAGAAGACTCTGGCCACAAGTATCTTTTGGAAAACCAAGGACCTTGTATACTCAAGTGTGCTATATTATGCGAATCCAGCCAAAGTGCTGCAACCCCTCAGACGAACCCTTGTCACAATCGTAGCCCTGCCTCAACAGCTTTACGGGGGCCGATAAGTAGTATTTTCCGAACTTGAAATCATCATCCGAGCCGAAACAATCAAGTACTACACCGAAATGAGTTGTCATTCTAGGTTATAATTGTGCAACATAACACAGAAGCCTCTTTTCGGTTGAAACACTAAGATGCTGGGTAGCCATGATTAGGAAATGACGAGTACTTATGCAAGCCCCTTGGTCTTTTCTTACATGTAGTCCAAACTTTTCTACGTAATAACTTTACAGCCTGCTTACATACTCTTTATACTTGTTTACCTACTATTCTATTATTTCCAAGGTAATTCTTCACTTTCTTTCGTTTGTCTTGGTCGATTTAACGCTAAACTGTTGCAAATTTTCACCACAGATTGCGAGAAATAAAGGCTGATCCGCCTTGCCGTGTTATGCTGTGATGAATCACCACAAGAGCTGACTTTATGACGCCGTGAGCTGGTCATTCTCGCTGGCAGATGTACGCAGCGCACATCATGCTTGCTGTGATCATGACTCGAATACTGGGAGCTGGAACAAAGTGTTTAATCCAATGCAATACCATCGTTGTTGGCGATGTGCGCTGCGGTCCTGCTTGCATTGATATCGCAACACATAATGCCCTTGGTTTCTTCATCCATCGCGATTAGCTGTCGATTCCTCAAAGCCATTGTCGCGGTCGGTGTCAACCTTCTCACGGCCATTCTCCAAACCCCCCAGCTCAACACCACGCAAATTTCCATCCACCGGATTCGAACTGATCGATCCATGTGACAAGGTTGAGGGAGAGCGGCTTCCTTTCTACAGGAGAGAGGAATACTATCCCATGAAGATCGGCGATGCGGTCAATGGCCACTACCAAATAGTTGCAAAGCTGGGGCTACGGTACAACCTCAACCGTGTGGCTCTCGCGTAATTTAAGGTGACATCTGCCTGCTCCTCTGCGGCTGATACCGAAGCATGCCTTCTGACTCGTATTGCCGCAAAGCTAGAGATCGGGACTATTGGGTTTTGAAAGTGCATGTCAATAGCTTGAAGTAAAACCACGAACTGGCTGTCCATCAGCACTTGGCAAAACATACCGAAGATCACCCCCGGCCGGAAACATGTCCGAGAATTTCACGACTCATTCAAGCTGAAGGGCCCGAATGGAGAACATGACGTCTTTGTCATGGCCCCCCCCTAGGTATGAGTCTGAGAAGCCTACAGGAGATCCAGGTGGAAGGGGACTTCCGCGAACAGCTCATTATTGGCGCTCTCCCCCAAATCTCCCTCGCGTTGGACTTTGTCCACGAAGCAGGGGTGGTCCATACGGTTGAGTGTGGCGATGTATTCCAAATTGCGTCCAAACCCATTGCTTCCAACAGCATCATGTACAGTAAATGGATCTGCGCAACTAACTGCTGCTGAGTCATTAGACCTTCACTCTGACAATCTCCTCATCGGTATCGGCGACAAGTCTGTTTTTACTGAAGTGGAAGAAAACGAGATGGAGAAACCATCGCCCCGTAAAGTGATCGGCGATACCGTCATTCAGGTCTCTCAATACATGTTGAATGGCAGAGGCCCGCTCATTCTGTGCGATTTGTTTGGGTCAAGCCCAAATTGGCAGCGAGCATCATGGAAACGCGATGCCCGTACCCTATCGAGCCCCTGAAGTAATTCTGGATATGCCGTGTGGATGCCTGGAGTGTAGGACTTCTGGTATGGCCCAACATTCCTCCGCTTCAACTCCTTCATCTAATAGGCCGCTTGTCTCTATGTCTAGGTATGGGACCTCCTCAGAGGAGAAAGCCTTTTCAAGGTGTACGACCATGAATCCCGGGAGCTAAACACGCGCAGTATCTTGCAGCTATTACGGCACTTATCGGTTCCCCCCCCCCTGAGGAAGTGCTGCAAAGCAGCGAAGAATCACGTAAATACTGGCATGTAGACGGTGGGTGCTCGTCCGTGACGAATCGTCTCCCTAGACATGGCATTTTCCGTCCATGCTTGCTAACGCAGGCTCCCTCGTACTAGGTTCATGGAGCGGCCTAGTCACTTTACCTCCAAAGAAGGATTTTGAATCTCTTTCTAGTGAGATCACAGGAGTGGATACGGAAAATTTCATCAGCTTTATGGAGTGTTTTATCGCTTGGCGCCCTAGCGATCGGCTTTCATGCCTGCAAGGCTATTTTCACCTCCCCCCTGACGCCTTAATGTAGCAAGACGAATAAGCCCGGATCATGTGGCGGCGGCAAGAGCGGCCAAGAAAGCTAAGCAGCCATGGAATGTCCCGCACTCTGAGCTGAGAAGAATAGTGTCATGATAAGAGACTGCCCAAGCGAGGCACCAGCTCTTCACTCGATCACTTGGAAGATCCCGATCCCGAAGAGTCTACTGTAACGGCACTTGGCCTTGGTACTTTGAATAAATTGTAGGGCTTGCTCCTAAACCAAGCTGCCATGTATTCGCTCTTTGAAGCAGCGGTCTGGAAACTTTTCGATAAGCAAGTCGCGCCTTCATGTGCGTCAATTTCAATGGTATTGTCGCATTTCGGCGAATCTCAACAAACTCGATAATACCATTGGCCTCGCCAACGATTGGTATTTACACTACAAGGGCAAACCCAAAAGCCCCAGATAGTGGTATTCACCACAAGACGCTTTTCACCAAGCTCACCGCACAAAATTGCAAGATCACATTGCGTCAAACGTCGTCAATGACAACGTCTGCTTAAGAGATTTGCACTCTTTAGCCCCCAGGACCTTGAATGCCAACCTCTTTTATGTGCGAATCGAGCCAAAGTGCTCCAAGCCCTCTCTTGCACTGCTGCAGACGAGCCCTTGTCACAGCACAAATCTAGATCCCCAGCAAAACCTGCAACATGTCATCACCAGGGCCGACGTCAAACACCAGTTTCACAATTCGGATTCCATCCTTCTTTAGTCTTCCTTCAAAGTCGGACCGTGGACAAACAGCCTCGACTTTGATTTAGTAACCTCTGCTAAGCACAATCTGATCCGTTTCAACTGCTGTTACATTCCCTCCATCGGCATGATGCGGTCTAATCGGCTGGTCCACTTCTGTCCTTGAAAATAACCAGACAAGACGTGAGCGAAGCAAGGCCCCTTCTGTATATCGCAACAAGGAGCATACTAATGCTTCTCTGGACTGGGCTTAATCAGCAGTAAGTTTGTATCGACGCAGGCATGCACGGCAACTATTGTTTATTCTATGAGCGGCAGTGAGCGATCTCCGGACCAGTCAGTTGACAGATGATTTGAACAAGCCTCGACAGAAAGACTGAGATCTAGGCTTGAAATCAGTCATACCTCATAATGACCGGTCTGGTGTTACGAGCGTCTTTAGCTTTGGTATTCTGCTGCCATGGATCAGGGTATATGCAGTCTCTCCCCGGATCAAGACGCGGAAAGAAATGCCGCTTTGATCGCTTTCAAACGTGATGAAAGGGGAGTTGTACATGGCCCAGCCAACCAACTGCCAAAAACTATCAACCGACAGTCAGCAATCAAGACAAAGACGCACAGCCGGCATGCCTTGCTGGATCACGTGTCTGACATACATGTTCTGCCGGCGATGACTCGATTGCCAGCTTCCCTCCTGACTTTAACCTGTCAACTACTCAAACAAGACTGCTCTCTGCTTTACGTCCCGAGGACGTTCACCGCACTCGGCATTGCCTCACAATACAATCGCCACAGACTCACAAGCAGTATGGACACCGCTGGGCTTCCTAGACACCTCCAAAATATGCGGACTTCGTTTGTCAAGGCGCAAGCCCAGTTCCCAATGGAGGACAAGTTTCCGCCAACTCTAGCCCCGGAAGATGGGCCAATTATTGCACAGCTCAACATGTATTACATCTCCTATTACGTCACGGAACGTGTTTTTGTCAAGCGGCAGCCCCATCAAGACGAAATGGGCCTGGACGTCCACGGTAGCCCTGTTGTGGTCTCTTATGTTGCTGATCGCCTTCGAAACGAGGCCGCAGTCCTAGACTTCGTCGCGGCACAGACAAAAATCCCCGTCCCCAAGCTGCTTAGGGTGTGGGAGCAAAACGGACTGGTACATCTGAAGACAGAATTTATAGGGCACGGCGTCGGGCTCGACGACATCGGTAAGGCCGATCTACCCAAGGCTCTGGAGGTGGTTTCTGCCCAGCTGAGGCAGGATATCCTGCCGCAACTCGACAGAATCCCCCATCAACCTCGCATGGGAAGCCCAGACGCTACTTTGCCTCTCATTCCGCCGCACTGGATGTGGGACTGCAAGGAGAACAGGGTATGGCCGGCCCAGAGAGCCATGGTTACATTTTTTCTACAACCAGACACGGCTCGCATTTCTCACCTCTCCCACTTCCGTCGACCATCTTGCCTGTGTCCTCCATCAATGTCAACTCTGATCAAACTTTGGTGGGCTAGTGACCGTCCTACCTGTATGCTGATGCATGATATACAGGGGGCAGTCTGCCGCAGTCAGGATGTTTGCACACAGTCCACAGATGAAGTTGGCATATCATGCATTCTTCGACTTGACTAAACGGGACTCCTTTTCCGCAATGCATGCAGGGCCTTGGCTCAGCCATTGTATCAAAAGCTGGTCAGTAGCAAAACGTGGTGTTTCAAAGCTCGCGGCGTAATGATGTTTGCGTTTACTGCAGTCATTTACGACGTGGCGAGGCAATGTATGTATATGCTTTCGTTTTCAGACTCTACATCACGTAGTACGCTGCCTCACATCCAGCCGGACCTTGCAGGGCAGCGAGCGAATACACTTCGCATCGCAACGGGGTCTTCTTTCCAACATGTTCCTGCCTCACGACCATTAGCCGCGAGAATTCTTGTGAGACGAAGCATTTGCAACGAAGCCAACGATGCAGGGTGGAGCAGCCAACAAGTCAACCTAAAGGTTTCTCTGTGCGTCACGGTCCAGCGAGCACTCCAAGCACCCGACACCGAGTGAACAGGGCAAGGGAAGGGGGGCGGACCAACAAGCCGCCAGCTCTCGAGGGCTTGGTGGCCGCCGAGTGGTGTGATGTGTACGAAGTACGGAGTAGTGCATGAGCTTTCCGAAAGAGCATGAGTCAACTCACGAGCCTCATGCAGGTGACAGGTTGAGCCAACTGCATAAACCGGCACGCAATGCAATATACGCAAGGCCCTTTTCTGCAGAGCTTCCCAGGTGCCACAGCCAGGATGCAGAGGGACGGATGATGACAACTGCGTCTCTGCGCTGGGCAATTCATGGAGGCTGCCGAGCAGAGCCAACCGCGTTTCTGGGCGCTCCCACCGTCGTCAGATCATAGCCAGCTCCCTGACGGCATGCATGGCCAAGGACGAGCTCCAAAGTCCGAGCAACAGAGCGGCAAGCCAGTAGGTAACTATTTGCCAAGGAGCACCAGCGGCCAAGGTCAAGTCGAAGTGGAATACATGTCGGTCTGTACAGCCCTCCGACGCCGAAAGAGCCGTCTCCATGGCCGGACTCCGAGGAGACATGCATGTACGTGCTCTAGGGGCACGGCCGCCAGCCTACGAATAGCAGATCCAAGTGACGATACACTGCCCTGCACGGCATCAAGACGACATATCACCAACGGAAACTAAAAAAGGGGGGCGAGAGAAGGCGTACGTCCCGCCCGAACCGGAAGCAACCTTCTGTTTGTCCGTCTTGTCGGAAACAGACCCTCAGCTCCCCGTCGGACCGATGCGAATGCTTTGACATGGTTGCCTGCCTGCCTGGGTCAGCACTCAGCACACCGAGTCGACAACTTATGGCTCGAACTGGAGAGGAATTGGACACGGAGAGAGGACTGATGGATTTCACTGCACACGGGCCGTTCCCCAGAAGCCAACGCGCAGAGACTACCCCTGTCTCGTCCTACTCTAAGCGTGAGAGGACACGACTGTGCCGAGCACCAATTCGACGACGGCGTGGGAAGACGAGGAATTGGAACCGGCTCGCTTCGTCCATGACAATCACTCATGGTAAAGTTGTCGGCGCAGAGTGTCTTGTTGGCCGTGCCGGCATGGCAGCCTGAACGGAGCAGGATTGGGCGTTTGGCCGGAATTTGGACGGCAACCGAGTCTTTGCCCGGGGGCTGTGAACCAGAGGCCACAGTCGGCACGAGTCCATCATGACGTTTTATCCTCCCGTCCTCTGGGGATACACTCGACCGCTGTCTCGGTCGAGGCTTGGACTCGGCGCTTCCACCGAGGCCGGCCGCATGTGGACGTGGCCTTTGCCTTTTTCCTTTTAGCACGCACCAAGAATCACAGCCTGATCCAGCAGCTTGGTTGAAGACGAGTCTATAACTATCAACGCGACAAACATATCGACATGAGCCCTGCGACAAGGGTTATGCAGCAGCCTTCTGCCCTAGGTCTCGTGACTATAGATAGCCCTTGTGCCTACTCATCGCAGGGCTGTATAATGCCGGCTTCCATCCCGTAGATCACTTGGTTCTTCTCAGCATTGCCCGCCAGGTTCCCAGCAGCTTCCTCAAGCTTCTTCACATTCTCGGCAAGTTTCGTCGCACGCCCTCCAGGCGGCAAGCTGTCTATGGCCTTGACAGCTTCTCGTATCTCCTCCCAGGACTTGCCCTTAAACGACGTCGATTTACTCAATCTCTCGAGCAGGGCATCCTTGGAACCCGGGCTTAAATTTTGGATCAGCTTGGGATCACTTTGCCACATTTCCTGTCGCCGCTCTTTCGGCAACATGCTCCAGGTAAGCGAATCCAAGTGCTCGTGCGCTATCATCGTCTTTTTCGCTTTCTCCCACAACTTGGAGCCTTTGGCATTCTTAACGACCTTCTGACGCAACCTTTCTTCCGTCTGGGCACGCGTCTCCGCAGGCGTTTTGGCGTCGTCAAGAAGCTTCTTTTCTTCTTCAGTCGCCAGACCCAACTGTTTAGCAACTCCCCCGAGCGACAACTCCTTTTCTTTTATGCCTTTCCTTCTCTCTTGCCATGCTTCAAACAGATGCAGTCTTTGATCATCTGATAGGTGTTTCCAATTTTCAGCTTTGGGATTTTTCTTGACGAGCTCGAATCGTTGATCATCGTTTAATCGATCCCATTCCTGAGAATCAATTGGGAGTTTTACGTTGGGAGTCCCACCCTGTGGTGCTGCAACCTTGGCTCGACTATTCGCCTCGTCGCCTAGAAGAGGTGCGGTGTCATCGTCCGAGGCAATGCAAGTGCTTGTGTGCAAGAGTAGGACGAGGGCCAAAGAGAGAAGCAATTTTGCCAACGGAGATGGTGCCATGCTGGTAGCGGATAGCGGGACAGCGGGATAGATAGATGGACGTCGTTTGGTGAAGACGAGGGTAAAGCAGCATATGCTCAGGCGAAAGAGACAGGCTCTTATATGTGAATGATTTACCCCTGGCGCCGTGAAGCCCGCCGCATCCGGGGAACAGTCGTACTTGGACCTTGCAGGTAAGAATACGAGATATTCCAACGCCCGAGTAGGACTGTGTCGCGTCCCATGATAAAGGGGCAGGGCCGTGTTTATCGGAATCAGGTCCAACGTGTGAAGTTGAGAATCAGGGGCGCGTTTAATGCGAGTTGCGATACCTTCCTGCGTGCCCAAGGATGACGTGCAACCCGCCGTGGTATGAGGCAAGACTTGGTTCGGGGCTGTGCGGTACCGGTTCCACGAGTGACGAGACGCTCACGAGTCGCAAGACGGCGCAAATATAAAGGCCCAGGCGTAGAGGCATAAAGGCATAGAGGCATAAAGGCATAGGGACCCGGCGTGTCTTGATCCGTGAGTTTCTCAGATATTCGAGTCAAGTTATTCATGCTAGTATCGCCTCGTGTAGATTGCCTCCCGTAGTCGAGTCCTTGGACGGAGCAACCGAGAACCGTGGCGAAATACGATCCAAGTCTCGCATCAACGTGAAACCGACCCAGTAGCTGTATATTTCTTTAAGCATCCCGAAGCAGTGGCGGTCGAAGACATGCCCGACAATGGCATGACCGCACTGCTGAATCTCAACCTGGTCTACATTTGTGCATCAGTCCTCTCCGACTCGCCGCGGGCTGCGTATAAGTATGCAGCTATAGCGTTTTTGTTTTTCTCTCTCACTCGTACATCATCACACTGCTCACGAATCCTGTCTCATACAATACGCGTCAACAACGAGAAATATTCAACGGTTAGTCTCGAACTGGCTCCTCAGTTGTCTTGCAGAACACGTCTGACTTTCCCCCCAACAGATGGGCCTTTTTGCTCTGGCGATTCTGGCCGGCGCAGTCGGCGCGGCTCATCGTGGACTGCCACACGAGTCAACGTCACCTCGGTTCGTTGCTCAGCTGTCCGCGTGGGACGACAGCCCGCGGGGGTTTCTGTTCCGTGGCGACTCGCAACGTCCCGAGGTTGTGTTCCACGACGGCCTCCAGTCCCCCGGCACAAATCTGGTATCGCTCAGACGGAGTGCCACCTCGGCTGTTCACTACGCCGACGGCGACGGGGCAAGGGCGGCAGAGCAGGGCGCCGATAGCTACCTGTACGTTGTCTCGCCAGAGGGCCTGGCAAACTCGACTGCATACTACTATCCCAACACGACTGCTCCCGTCCACGAGGTGTCCACGCTCGTCGTCAACGGCAGTCTGGGCCCGGAGACGATTGTCGGCGTCTACACGTTTCGCGCCCTACCGGACGAGCAGTACCGAGTGCAGCAATGGCTCGCCAATCCAAACTACGAGTACCAAGACAGGAGCCCTTACGCCTCGCACGGCCGCTCGTGCCTGGAGTGGGCTTGCCCACGCGCCAGACACTTGGCCTCTACGCTGTGCAGCGGCATCGTGTCCTGCTTCAGGTCGAGGGGGCCCGAACTAGAGCCCAGAGCGTATCTGGAGGAGTCTCAGGAGGTTCACATGCTCTACCCGCGGCGGGTACAATGTGTCTCCAAGCAAGTGATGAAGCAGCTTTTGCCTGCAGAAGACGCAAAGTCCCCGGTCGCGGCTCATCAGCCGGGCCCCCAGACAGGCTCGATCGTCAAGCATGCCGAGGAAATATCACAAAAAGAGTTTGACCGCCTCGTCAAGCAGCACAAGTTGGACGGCGTCGTGGCCAAGGTGTCCAAGACCGGTTCGGACGCGCGGAAACTATTTGCTGAATACCAGCCGCTGAGCGAGAAGTCTCCAAAGCTACGTCCTGCCCTCGGCGCTCTTGCCAAGGGGTCTCTCGCAGTGCTTGCAGGCGGCGCATGGGTCGCCGATGTCGTCGACGCCTTCGTACACAACGTCACTGCCTTGCGTAGAGTCAACGCCGTGGCCCAAGGTGTCCCGTTGGCAGGCTGCGCCACTGCGGTGGCAGCCGGTGTAGAGAGCAAAGAGAGTGCCGCCGCCCTTGGAGTCGACGCGGGCTTTTGCTTCCTCGGAGATGCCTTCCTCTTGAGCGGTGCCCTGGCCCCTGTCGGCGTTCTCGTTCACTTGCTTAGAGCCGCGCTGCATCTTTATGGCCCTCCTCCGGAGCCGCCATCCCTAGAGGAGATGAAAAAGTCGCGAGACGAGCAGTGGCAGGATTACCTGAAGAAGGGTCTGTTCACGTATGTGTACTCGCATGAGAGCCTCCGAAAAGAGGGCAACTTCGCGAGCAAGCTGGAGTATGCCTTTGCGGCCGAGGACATCATGGTCATCTCGGAGGGTGCTCAGGAGATAGGAGTCCTGCAGGCGACCAGCCAGGCGGCTGGCCCTGACGAAGACAACAAACAAGCCCAAGCTGGCTCCCAAAACGCCACGGAGGGGATTCGGCGGGCCATTTCGGATGAGATCAGGCGCAGGAGGCAAGAGGCGTTGCTGGATTTGCCAGCCATGATTGTTGACAAGTCGGCCGCCTCGATGAAGGCCACCGCCAAGGAGCTGAACGACAAGCTTGCCAAAGACCTCATTTCTCACGAGACGCTCGTCAAGTACACCGGGCTGGAGGTGGAAAAACACGTACCAGACCAGGGGCGTCGTCCAAGCCAAGAAGCGCGGATCGAGTCTCTCAAGAAGAAAATGGCCAGCGTTGGAGAAGACTTGGAAAAAGACAAACCCGCCGATTCCGAGCTCGTTTGAAGTCGCATTTGTCCTGGGACAGTCCAAGGCAGTAAAAGTCGACCCCTTGGTGTTGTCTCCGAAAAGTTTCATCAAGCAGCATGCCGCCAGTATGTCGGACCAAGAGATTTCCACATTGACCTTTGAGCACGTCGTTGGCGTCTTGCGGGTGCTCCGAGGCAAGATCAAGGAATCCGAGATGCCTCAGACGTTCCCAGCTGGAGACGGTCGAGCCCGCCTGCGATTTCAACATCTCGTGGCCATGAAACTGGGCAAGCTCTATGACGAAGCCAGGGCCAAGGGCTCTGAGGGCACCGAGAGCGGCACCGTCACACAACCGGTGTTTCCTATCCCGGATAATGGGAATGAGGGTCATCTTACTGCACTCCTTCTCGGGCTGAGCAAAGCCGTTCTTGAAGCTGACATTTCTGGATATACCGGAAAGATCAACTCCGCCTTGGGTATATTCAAGAGCATAGCCGAGTCGTCCCATTTTCGCAAGGCTGCAGCAAACTAGACACAGGAGGCAGCCCGCGCGCCCTGGAAACGGCACGGCGTCGACATTTCCGCACGGCTGAGCCGCCAACAGGGGAATTTCGGGCCGGCAGCGATTACACAGCGTGATCTCGAGGCCACGATAGAAGCCCGAAGCTCGCAGGTACACGACGAAGGGGGCATCGTAGGCGCCTCACGATATCACGGCACTATGTATAGGGGCCTCGGGGCGCAGGTGCCCTGGGTGAACCAGGAACCTTCATAGCCCTCGGGCTGATTTTAGTCTCAACTTGAATTACACTGTTGCAAGCCCACTTAGCCCTTGTCTTCTCCTCCAAGTACTTTTCTTTTGCTCCCTTGTTGCTTAGATGCGCTACAGGCCGGTCGATATCAGATTTCTGTGACAGCAATAGGGATCCTGGAGTAAGCTTTTCGAAAAGCTTATATGGGACATATTTGTGTGTGCCCATAGCTGTGTGTGCGTGTGTGACCATGTGTCTCGGCAACAAGCGTGAGAGGCTACTATTGTTGAAATTGTATGTTTTGTCAGACTTTCAGTCCAGCTTCTTATGTAGCCTCTTTGAGCGCACACTCTAAAGACGCAACTGAAACTCATCCTTACGCTTGATTTCCTCTGCCGGCTGCCTATTTTTCCTCTGCCTCTAATGCCAACGCAACGGCTGCTTAGACCCATTCAGTTGCTTCTTGTAGCCCTTTTAATCGTCGTCTCCGCCGCAGAGACGGGTGACTCGTTGTCCGGTCGGAACGGCTCTTTTTATCCATGGGTCCTATGATGGAGTCCCACGTCACGCAATCCATGGCTGAAAACTCTTCAACGTATCACACGGGGCACCCTTCCACTCCGGCAATACAAGTACCTTTCAACTGTATACGGTCAAACTTGCGTCGTCAGTATACAGGCTACTTGGGGGCCCATCCCAGACGCGTGTTTCCGGCATCAAACACCACCAAAGCCGCCTTGAGCGCGACGTCACCAAATATGTTGAGCCCGATGCCAGCGCTGCTCTGAATGCCCCCAAAGCACGTCGATCCAGAATCGTCGGTGGGGCAATAGTTCATGTACGCGCCCGGGATGGTAATGGACGAGTCCTCGACGCCAAACGTGAAGTCGGGCAGCGAGGCGCCGCAGCCGAAGGTGTATCCGCCCTGGGAGCTGTCGTACTGAGAGCCGCTGACCTGGGCGTAGTAGGCGCGGACGGTGTCGTCGTCAAGCAGGAGGAGGCTGGTTCCCGTGTCGGCGATGCCCGGGATGGGCCGGTAGTTGGGTTCGTCGTCGCCGACAGCGTAGCCCGTCGCCGTGAAGCCCCAAAGGCCTTGGCTGTTGTCGACGGCCGTGTACGTGATGCTTCCGGTGTGCTCGGAAGCGTCGATGTACCCAAAGTTGTACTTGCCGTCTGTTGAACCTTGTCAGCTGCGCTCCATCACGGGCCTGCTCTCCCTCTCCCTCTCCCTCTCCCTCTCTACGTAACTATATGTATATGTGGATGTGTACAGGCGCTTGGAGGACTCGGCAAGTACTCACCCGCATCGTGGTTTAGGTTGGCGGTAAATAGCGGCGCGGCCAGACTGGCTTGAGCATTGTCAAAAAAGGTCTTTTGCTTGGTAGGATACACGGTGTTTAGGGAGCCAAAGGCCAGGCCGAGCAGCCCGGAGGCCGCATCGCCGGTGAACTCGGCGGAAACCTGCTGGGCAGACTCGACGGCCTGGCCCTTGACCTGTAAGCCTCCGACGGCGACGACATCGCTGTACACATCGCCGCTGGAGCTGCTACCGTCTTCGTAGGTGATGTTCCATCTCAGTCCGCCGAGGAGCCGCGCCGTCGAGCTGGATGCCGGGTGGTACAGCGTCTGGCCCTGGACCTCGCCGGACGGGGTTTCCGCTGACAACACCCAGAGTTCGCTGGATCCAGTGTCGAAGGCGAGGTCCAATGTCTGCGCCGGAGTGCCTATCTGAACGGCGGCAAGATACTCGCTGTCGTACTGCTGCGGGACGTTTGTCACGGAGCCGGTGGCCCGCTTTGTAAGTTGAGAGGCGGACACGGCCGCAGCAACGTCGTCGGGGATGGGCTTGTTGAACTTGCGATAGGCCTTGGCTAGGGCAAGCGGTCCATGGGCCCTGAAGCTACGGTTGCGGGCGACTCGTACCGACACCTGGCCGTCGTTGCTGGTGGGCAGGGCCGTGGCAAGGCCAGCTGCCGCGAGGGAGACGAGAAGAGCGCCAAAGGTCTGCATCGTGGTTCTTGATCAAGGGAACAATGAGCTCCCCCGGATATCTTGCTTTGTGCGTGGCGACATTTCGCTCCATTCCTTTTTGTGTCCGAGTATCAACTCCTATTTATGCCACTACGGTGATGCCGCGATGCCAGGTTGAACCGATGGCTGTGACTGTGCTCGTTTTCGACGCCGGCGCCGTGGGACACATGACACGACAGCGAAGGAAGTTGGTGCTTTGGTTTCCCTCCAAGCCGAGCATTGTCCTCTGTCTTCGTATCAGGACCGCCGGTAGGATTCGCACCACGGATCGTCCTCCGTCGACTATTGAAAACGAGTCGACGACATGAGCGAATTGGAGACGACCGGACTTGGAAGCAGACTTCCTACTTCGGCAGGTACGAATCACCACTCCAACACAGACATTCTTGTTGCGAGCTGAAAATCCTTAGTTGCCGTATATCCGCGATGGCGTCAAGACATTTGCAATAAAGCACGGTTTATTTGGTCTACCTGTACGACGTGCAAAGGGCCTTGTGAATCCGTGACCGCGGCTCCACCTCCCAGGTAGGCAGGTTGTACCTCGGACTTGGAAACATCGCCACCATCTGGCGTGTCCACGCGAGACGAGGGATTGCCTAGCGCACTGGATGGCTTGACCGACTTGCCCTTCTCAAACGTAGATCCGTAAATGGCGGTTGGTAGAAAATCCCAAACCACAAACAGCTCCTCCACACCTTGCCATGCCGTGATACGCGTGGGAGCGCCTCACTGCCGTCTTGGCAGGAGCCTCGAAGCTCGACAGCCTTCAATGTCGTCTGAGAAACTCTCCCACCAACTCGCAACTCGCCCACCCCGGATCACAGCTCCTGACCCCTCGTCAACTGCCAGATGCAGCCGCAGACCCGGAACTGGACCAGGCAGCCCATGTCCATCATGCCTCATCCATCCTATACTGGAAACCGGTGCTCGTCTTCACCAAGAGGGAGTCCCGGCCATCTAGTTCTGCATGTATTCCCTTAGGCGTGCTCATGACTCCTGACAGGTTGTAATATCATCTGTCTACTGCGCTTTTCCCCCCCTCCCTTCCCCCGACGCTTCTAGTTTACATGCTGTGCGTACAGAGAATCTCTTAACTGCTTTGCTCTCTACGAGACTTTAGCGGGCTGCTTTCAAAACCATGACCGCCCTATGCCTCCCTCCCATGAAACAAGATACATGTCTTCCGTCGAGCCAACGTGGCCCCAATGGCGCCTTCTGGCATTATCTCACGTAAACAAGCACAGGAGATAACGTCCGTGTCAAAGCTTGTGAGCCCCGCAGACTTCTTTTGCACTGTATTCCTCGCTCGTTCTGGCGCTCGTGGCCCGGCTCGAGCTTTTCATCGTGTGCGAAGTATTGTCGCTCAATCCACTGGTGTAATCGGTGCTTTCCTCCGATTCTCTGCTGCTTCCGCCGGAATGCCTCAAGTTATGGCTTCCGCGATAGCCATCTCGGCTTGCTATTGCGCCGGCATTCGTACCTCGGTCGGATTCGCTCTACTCTGCGGACCGTTCGGTAGTAGCGCCACCACGCCACAGGCCATAAAACCCATCACAGTTTTTCCACATCTTGATCGTTCCATCCTCGGATGCAGTAGCATATAGCTTGCCATCAGGCGAAAAGGCGATGGACCAGATGGGCCCGTGATGTCCCTTGTGGGTATTGATTTCAACCTTGTCATCATATCGAATCACCTTGGCCCATGTTCCAGGCTCTTCGCCGACCACCAGCTTGCGTCCCTTGACATCAAGCCCGACACTAGCGATGGAATATGGCAAGACAATACGCTTGAGCTCATCCATGGCCTGATCGCCTCCCCAAAAATACACAGTCTTGCCGGCAGAGACCGCCAAAACAGGCTTTCCGCCACCAATATCAGTCGGTGATGCTAACTCCGGTGCGACAGATACCACTTCACATGACTTGATTTCCCCGTCAAGAATTTCATGCTTGATGCACGATCTGCTGGGCAGGTCGAGCCAGCGAATGGTCTTGTCGGAAGCCGTAACAACAATGTTCGGGTCTTTTGTCCAGCAAATAAACTTGATTGGACTGGTGTGAACGCCTTCTCCGATTTCGAAGCCGGCGGAGGCTGGAATGGCGGCAGCTTTTCCAGGATACGTCTTGGCAAGTTCGGCAAGGTCGAAAACGCGAAGCTTCTTCTCCATGCCGCCCGTCGCCACAAGATCCGAATTATCGGGAGGGTAGGCAACAGCTCGGACAATATGATCGTGCTGGAGGCTATATAACACCTCGCCGGTGTGGGTGTCCCAGATTTTGCTAAATGACGAACCAGCATTAGTCTGAGAGTTGTCAAGTACGAGCAAGTTGAGACGTACGCTGTGAAATCAGCCGATGCAGTGGCTGCGTTGGAAGCGTCGGGGCTCAACCTGGCTTGCCAGACCGCGCCCTTGTGTCCAATAAATGTGCCAATCCTGTCTTCTTTGTCAAAATGCGTTTCAACATGGATGCTTGAATCCCTTAGCCGGGTCGTACCAATCGCCTGTAACACCATCTCGAAGCATCGGGTTTCCATCTATTCCAACCGCCAGTCGTCAGTCGTCTGTAACCAAGATAAAGTAGCTTAGACCGACCTTTGCAGGCTGAGATCATGTAGTAGGTTTCCTCCTTCTCCAGGTGAGAGAAGCTCATGTGGGGGACAGGACGAGAATGGCCGTGACAAGTCAGCGGCACATACTGCCGAGGAGCTTGAGAAGTCATGGTGCGTGACATAGATTATAGCACGGCGGGGTCTATTGATGCCGGAGGTGGGTTCAAACTCCAAGGGCAGGTCGGTGCTCGCTGAGACCTTGCTGATGCAAAAAAAAAAAAAAGAAAGAAAGAAAGAAATGAATGAATGAAAAACAATCGAAGCAATCGCAAGGATTGGCTTGTGGTCTAGCTGTTCCGGTAGGGTATCGCAAAATACGGTGTCGTTCAGATCGTAATCATCAGGGCCGTAGCGAAGAATGCAGAGACAAGGAGAGGCGTCGAGGCTGGAGCACACACAATCCCTCAAGTTAGGCGAGGAGAGACGGAATAAATAGTCCGCACCTGATTCGTCCACCAGCCGCAGAAAAGGACGTGACAGCGACTGAAGAGTCTGTCCAAGGCCAGGAGTCCAGGACGGACTGGTGTTGTGGGAGTGGCGGGGACCAGTTGATGTGAAAGGAAAGTGAACGAATGGCCAAGCGGCCGTGAGACTAGTATGTCGAACCGAGACTTTTGGTGTGACAACATTTGGCTGCTTAGCGGTGGGCGAAACAGAAGCCCATGTGGGGGTGATTAGGAAGGAGCGAGGGACTGTGGCGCCAGATGAAAAGTGCATGTGCAAGCGGACATGAGCTCGAGCACCATGACCTTTCCCAACAAGGTATTTTGCTTTCCCAATAACCCAGAAACTGGCACAAGGGCGTCCCGCGCTCATGTTTTCTATTCTATTTGTTTGTCCAAATTGATTCCTACCAAGCACCCCATACGATGAATGCTTCATGTATCGATAGGGCCGACCATGGCTGAGGGGCAGGACCCCGTGGATGGAACCTGGAGAGCAGGAAGAAGGGTCAGTGTGCGATTGCTGAGCCACACGAGACGGGGCAGGTCCCTCCTTCCCTTAACACTCGCAATCCTCTAAGTAAGGAACAGGTATCAAGGTACCTATGTATCCAGACACATTGAACTCTCCAAGCCTCCATCAACGTCCATCTCTCAACTCGCCGCATTTGCATGTGCCCCCCGTCCTATTATTGCTATTTACCCTGGTTTCATCCGTATCGAGAGCTTATACTCTCTTCTGTCTTAGTTCCCCATTTTCATTTCGCTCTTTTGCTCCGTACTGTCGGGCGCGGGGTATTTGCAATCTCCTGCTCGCTCCGTCAATGATAGCTCCACCAAAGCTCCCAACTCCGCTACTGACCACGTCGACGTCCCTGAATCATCAACGACTACATAAATGTTCCTTCATCCTCCGTGTCTAAACAGCTGTAAAAAGCGCTAGAGACGTCACCTAGCCATTTCCACCACACTACTGCGAAGATGACCCAAACGTTCAAGCTGTCTGCGCAGCTTATCGGCCATGAAGCAGATGTAGGTTTTACAAATAGCCGAGCGACTCGAGCAAGATGTCACAGAGACACGACGCTCATGGGGTGTCGGCCTCAGCTAATATTTCCTTTTTAGGTGAAGTCTGTTGCTTTCGCATCACCCGAAGTCGTCTTGTCGGTTTCCAGAGATTGCACCGTCCGAAAGTGGTCTCGAAGATCCCAAACTCCACCCACCTTCGAAGGGACGCTCGTCAGTCGTGGTTCCGAATATGTCAACTCGGTGACATTCTTCCCACCCTCTGCCGATCACCCCAATGGCTTGATTATATCTGGAGGGAAGGATACTGTCATTGAAGTCAAATCACCGGCCGCTGCCTCAACGGATCACGCCGAGCGACTCCTGATAGGTCACGCAAACAATGTCTGCACACTCGACGTCGCTCCCAGCGGGTCATACCTGCTTTCTGGCGGATGGGATGGCCAGGCCCGTGTCTGGAACCTGCAAACGTGGGAAACGGTGCTGATGCTCGGTGGACATGAGAGCATGGCGGTTTGGAGCGTTGTCGCCCTGGACGACCAAAGTGCCGTCACAGGCTGCGCTGACAAACGAATTCGCATATTTGACCTCACCAAGACTTCTGGCGGCGAGGCTCAACCCAAATCTACGATACATACACCCGATGTGGTGCGAACCCTCTGCAAGGTTCCCAAAAGCCATCCCAGTGGCGGGGACATCGCCAGCGCCAGCAACGACGGGACCATCAGAATATGGAAGCTGAACGGGCAGCAAGTCGGGGAATTACACGGCCATGAAAGTTTTGTTTATAGTCTGGCTAGCTTGCCGACTGGTGAGCTGGTTAGCTCTGGCGAAGATCGGACCGTCCGTGTCTGGAGAGGCACTGAGTGTATTCAGACCATTACGCACCCAGCCATTTCAGTGTGGACGGTGTCTGCTAACCAGGATACTGGCGATATTGTTACAGGTGCCAGTGATGGCATCGCTCGTATTTTTACTCGAAGACCGGATCAGATAGCCGACGAGGAGACACTATCAGAGTTCGAGACTTCTGTAAAGTCGTCGGCAATTCCTCAACAGCAGCTCGGCGGCATCAACAAGGAAAAGCTTCCCGGCCCCGAGTTCTTGACGACCAAGTCCGGCACAAAGGAGGGCCAAGTACAAATGATCAGGGAAGAGAACGGCAATGTGACAGCTCACCAGTGGTCAGTCAGTCAACAGCACTGGATCAATGTTGGGACTGTGGTCGACGCTGAAGGCAGCACTGGTCGCAAGGTTGACTATCAAGGAAAATCATATGACTATGTGTTTGATGTTGATATTGAGGACGGTAAGCCGCCATTGAAACTTCCCTACAACCTCTCAGAGAACCCCTATGAGCGAGCAACCAAGTTTCTCAGTGACAATGAGCTCCCCCTCAGCTACCTTGACAACGTAGCCAAGTTCATCACCGAAAATACCAAGGGTGCAACTCTAGGACGAAATCAAAGCCTCGGCCCGGATCCATATGGAACAGAGCAACGTTATCGGCCAGGAGAGGCGGCATCACAGCCCAAGGCGATCCCTCAAAAAGACTATCTAAGCATCTTGGCAGCAAAATATGAGGGTAGGTTCAAAAGAGCTAATCATCCCGCCACCCAGCATTCGTTATCCCCCCCACGCTAATGGCACCTACAGGCATGTTTGCCAAAATATCAAGTGTGAACAATAACCTGGTCTCTTCTGGCCGAAAGGATACCGCCTTGAACCCCGGCGAAGAGGCGGTATTGCTGTCGCTTCGCGAGGCCCTGGAGGCAGGTCGGCCAATTCCTATCAAGTCTATGGAACTGGTGGTAAAAGTTGTGACGCAATGGCCGTACTCGGATCGCCTCGCAGCGCTCGACTTGCTCCGTTGTATTGCCAGATTCCCGTCAGCTGCGCAGTGGTCAGATGCCCAACATGGTTCTGTCTTGGACCTGGCCACGGCATGCTCAATGCCGGCTGAGCTCCAGCCTAATGAAAACGCCGTCATGATGGGCGCCCGCACGATTTGCAATCTATTTAGCACCGCAGATGGACGCAGTCTGATAAGCTCGCACACCGACAAGCCAATTGCCTACCTCGAACGAATTGCTGGTGTCAAGGGAGGGGAGGCTATTGGCCAGTTCAATCGCAATGTGTTGATTGCGGTTACCACGGCACTCATCAATCTATCGGTCCTCGTAAACAAGGAAAAGTTGCTCAGTCCAGAGCAGAGACGTCGTCTGTTCGTTGTACTTGGGACAGTGCTCAAGAGCCAGTCCGATTCGGAAGTATTGTACCGCGCGTTGGTGGCCCTGGGCACATTGTTGGCAACATGCAAGGAGGAAGCCAGTGGCCTTGACATAGGTGGATGGGTTCGTGGAGCAAAGGATCGAGGTTCGGAGGATAGGGTGAAGTCGGCTGCGAATGAGTGCCTAGCTTTGGTGCCATGACGGAGTTGACGGTTGCGCATGATCATGCCCGAGAGCTAAACGTTGACTAATAGTAGTGATCGCCAATGAGACCCGGCCTCGCAATTGGGGGTCTAACGACGCCACTCTGCCAGACTCGCAATTTGAGTGTTTTTATTTAGTAACTACTCGTCCTTGCAGCGCCCAAACTCCATTGCGAATGCTGCATTGCGCTGTTGGGAGAAGAAAAAATCAACAAATAATATGCGACCATGAACAAAGTAGCCACGATACTTTTTCGTGGAGAAGTGACTCGGTGTTGCATAGCATTACTAGATAAAATCAAAGGTGGCCTCGGCGGCACTCGGTGTCTGTATTTGAGAATTCACAGGCCGACCAACAAGGCGGCAACGGCCAGCGGCACGTAGCCCATCCAGCTGAGGTGTCGTAGGGACCCGGCGCCGGACTTGATGTAGGTGTCGCTGCCAGATATCTTGGTGACAGTGGTGTACATGTCAGCAAAGCCAATGTCGGTCGAGTTGAAGCAGTTTGTCTCGTTGACCTCGGCTATCTTGGGGTCGCCGGGCTCGGCGAAGACGATGTCGACGCACTTGACATGGCGTTAGAAGAATACGCGTCTCAAGGAGGGCTGGGGAGTTGGGGAACACACCGAGTACAAAGCGGCTCCGTGCTGGGCAAGCTCGACGAGCTGGATGGTGGCCAGGTCGCCGGGCTTGACGGAGGCGTTGACGGGCAAGGGGACCTGAGGGAGGCAGACGGTGCCAGGGTACGGATTGTTGGTAGGGCCCTGGATGGTGAAGGGGTGGACCATGGGGTTGGACATGTTGTCGGGGCCGTGGTCGGGCCCGTCGGTGCCAAAGCCGAGGTTGACGTAGATGACGGCCTGGGAGTGGCCTCTGAACCAGCCGGGCTGGAAGGCGAGCGCGCCGCCCGTCGTGGGCCAGTAAGTGCGGTTTTCCGTGGTTCCTATGCCGCCGCCTGTGGGTGACGTTTTGGTGAGCAAGTCGTCTGTCTTGTGAGGCGGTCGGGACGAGCACGTAGGCGGGAGAAGAGTCAAGACTCACAAGGATACATCCACTGCATGCCGTAGGGGAAGGTGGCGTTGGTGATGAGACTGTTGCCTCTCCAGCCGGGATAGGATATGACGCTATGGGCGGACGTGATGGCGGCAAAGGCCAGCGTGACGAGTGGCGGGAGCATCATGGACGGCTGGCTGGTCTAGCGGGCGGGCGAGAGATGAAGATGAGGTCGACCGAGGTGTATAGCGGCGCGACGGCGGCCGCCGTGGGAGCCAAGGCTGTGCGTGATGTGTGTATCTGCGTGTCTGTCTTCGGCCTGAAGGTCTGTCGCAACTTGGATCTGGCCTTGGTCAAGGGCGTGTCTCGAACGTGGTAGAGGCCCGAACCAGCCCAGCTGAGAGACGGTCTGGTGAGAGGCAAGATCAAGAGGACGACGGGCTGGCGGAAGAAGCTCAAGGAGCGAGAAGGGAGGGGTTGGAGCCAATATTAAAAGGAGCCTCTGTGAGACCGCAGCAGAGCAGACAAGACGTCGATGGGCGCAGAAGCCGCATGCATGTAATTTGCAAGCAAGCACGGGATGCCGGGTTATCCAAACGCAGGACGCATGAGGGTGACGAATTGGGAAGACTGAGGGGGGAAGTCTGGAAGCCCGCAGAAAGGCCCGGCGGAGGAGAAACCAGACATGCTTTTCAAGTAGCGGCAGTGATGATGATGCTCTGTGTAAGTACGAAATAGTAGTAGAGACTACGTAGCAACTACGTACCTACGACCTAGGTAGGTACTTGGTAAGAAGAAACCACTGGGGGGGAACCTGGGTCATGATGGACGTGATTTGGCGGCTCGGCACGAGGAGACCAGCAGGGCTGGGGGTGCGAACGGGGGATGCCGGGCTGGCCACCCCTGACGACGAGGAGCAGCATGCACACTGAATTGTATCATTGGCCGTCGGCTGCGAGCGTCGGCGGCTGCAAAGAGAAACAATGCGCAGCAGCCCAGGATGTGCCGCCATGCTGCGATACCAGGGCCATGGTGAATTTGTGACGATGCGACAGCAAATCTTTGTGCGCCGGCCGGATTGCGAGACGTGATTGGTCCGTGGCTGAACAAGGCGACGGGTTTAAGCGCCCGTCCTGACGTGGGGAGTGGGGCGCCGCCCGAGACAGCCAATCAGCACGTCTTTTCCATGTCGACCTTGGCCAAGTCTTTGTTTCCTTTCCGTCCCTGGATTCAGTTGATCAATGTTGAGAATCGGGACCGGCGTTGTAGCATGCGCAGCCGAGCTGCATCGGACCATTATGGGTGACAGCGGAAGTGTGGGCGGAGTCGGGAGGGAGGAAAGTCTGGTGCGACCAACACGACAGACATTGAAGCCGGCGCTGCTGCGATTGCAACATGGCGACGATGAAAAATGTAAATATTGCGACAAGTAAAAAAATTCTCTTTTTGACTACACATGAAGTACGGAGTAGGTTCAAAAAAAAAGCCTAGGTACATAGATGTCCCTCCATGTCATTCCAATGGCAACGCCCAGCCCGTTCCCCAGGCTGGCTCATGTCCAAACCAGCCAGCCAGCTACCCTATACGAAGCAAACCTTTTGACCTCGACAACCTCCACCAAACAGCCAAACAACCACCATCACGATAACATTCCATCCTCCCAGCCAGAGCATAAGGCAAAGGCAAAGGCGAACAAAGCATGCCCGGCCCCGGCGCCAGCGCCCAAGAATGGACGTTCCCCAATCCAAGAAAGACGCGCAGACGGCCGGCTCCCCCGCCAGCCCCCACGCGCACCACAACCCCAATGTCCGCGTCCGCCATCAAGGCAGAACACCTCAGCATCCGCAAAGCCTGGTCGTCCTCACCCTGCTGCACCTCCCTCCGCAGCCTCATGGCCTCGCGCGCCGCGGCCCTCCCCGCCGTCAAGCAGGCCATCTGCCTCGGCCTCGGCACCTTTGACCCGCCCTCGAGCTCGTCGGAGTCCAGACGCCGCACCCACCACCAGCTCATTGCCTTTCAAACCATGGTCGAGGAACTGGGTGCGTCTTGTGTCTTTTCTCCTTCTTGTCGCTCTTCTTTCCTTCCCCCCCTCCTACCCCCCGAGGCAGCCGGCCCACAGACATTCAACGGCCCAACTAACTGCGCGAGGCGATGAGGCTTGGTAGAAAGCATGACGCGCACCCGGATACAATGCATCTTCCAGGAGCCGCTGTTTACTGACCAAGAGACAAGCTTCCTGACTGGCTTGGGGCACCGCGTCGTCGAGCACCCCGCTGCCTGCCGCGCCGTGACGTCCGACTCCCTCCTGTTTGGGATTCACCTGTACCGCGAGGTGTACGAGGAGGCGCTGGACCGGGCGCTGCCGGCCATTTTTGTCGGCACAGACTGGGACACGTGGGACGGGTGAGTCGTTGCGTGTTTGGCATTGTATACATTTGATTCGAGTTTCCAGCCACTGACGAGTAGCTTGGGCATGGGCGTGGGTGTGGAATAGGGTCTCGCCCGGCGGCGTGCAGGCCGTGAGGCTGATGCACGAGACCTATCAGACGTTCGGGTTTCCCCAGGACGGGACTACCTTTTCCAGCACGGCTGTCTACTGGCGGCCTCGGCCTGGGAGGCGGGCGGTGGGCGACCACGGCGGAGGGGAAGAGCACGGAGATGGGCCGGACAAGTTGGGGGAGCATGAAGGCGTCGTGATTGATGGTGTTTGAGGGTCTCGCATCACACGACGGGCTGCTGATTTGCAGGGCAGGGCAGGGCAAGGCATGGCGTTCGGCTCCAATGGCTGGCATCCGAAGCAACCATTTGCATGATAACGCGACAGTGATTTTATTTTGCCTCCGAGTTGGCTTCGCAGGTGGCTTCAATTCTGCGGCGGGGCCCAAAAGTCATAAAGTGGCGCTCCGTGGTGAGATGAAACTGTAAAGGCTGAATCTTGTATTTATCCGTGTCTTCTAGTAACTACAAATGCAGTATTCCGCTCATACAGTAGCCAAGCTGCGAATGCCGTTCGCCGTAGAACTACAAGATATACCATGCCCACAGAGGCAAACGGGTGATACCTTTGCCGTTCGTCACTCCTGGCAAGGAAAAAAAAATGAAAACATAAAAACCCGAAATGAAGATGAAAAAAAAAAAGGAACCAAAAGTTGCGTATATGTATGCACAAGGGACAAGATGCCACGTTCAATATCTCTCTAAGCCTCATAACGCCGGACGCAAGCAGGCGACCAAATCAAAGAAGAAAAAGTTATGAAGAAATACCAGTTGGCGAATGTAGCGTTGGTGGTCTTTGATGCCATGTGCATGTCGGTAATTATGCGGCGGCTTGCCTAATTTCCAGTACCGATGGTCGGTTTGAATAGTTTCCTCAGGAGTCGTCGGGGTTCCTCCTGTTTGTGCTCCTCAATTACACAGTCTTGCCGCCGCAATCAGGGATCTTGACGCCGCTCTTGAGCTTGCGGTTGACATCCATCAGACCCCATTGGTCTTCCCATTCCTTGCCCGCCTCATTGAACCGGATTTTCCAGGGCTCGTCGAATGCCTCGAACCAAAAGTAATTAGTGCCATTGGCAAGCGCCTGGCATACCCAGTCGTTCATGAACCGATTCATGCCGTCCGCGCTCGCAACTGCGCCAGGCGTCGATGGCCCGCATGTGTTGGAAGCACCACAGTGTTTGCCGCCCCTGCTCGGCCAGCCAGTCTCCGAAATGACATTTTTTGACTTGTCAGACTTCCAGAATTGCTGATCTTTATTGGTCCAGAAACTATAAGTCCAAGACGCTGCCTGATCTGCCGCCACTCCTGCGAAGAATGGATGAATATTGGCCATGATGTAGTCACTCTTGTCCGCTAAACCCTGTTGCCAATCGTCGCCCAGGTCTGACGACGCCACTGGCAGCTTAATGTTCTTGCTTGTCAGGTTTTTTCGAACACCGTCCAGGATGTTACCGAGCTGGGTGATTGTCATCTCTTCGCGGAAGAGGATTTCATTGCCAACGATGACGCCTTCAAAGGGTTCCTGGCCATATTGCTCGAGAATGTCCCACATCTGATTCAATTGCCGGCTGTTGGTTGTGGCATTGCCGTCTTGCCATACGCCAATCCAGACCTTGATCTCTTTTTGCATCTTTAGCTGGTTGATAGCATGGATTACCATCTGGGTCTGATTGCAATCGGTGCCGTATAAGCGAATCTTGTTGGTCAATTGGCTGAGAACAGCAACGTCGCGGGTGATGTTGTTTTGGGACGGGGGATTGTGGAGGCAGTCGGGATACTGTGTGTTCAGGGGTGTGTAGTCCATCCCAGGAAACACCTTGTGGAGGTCCTTGTTGTTGAGAAGCGCCTGGATCTCCTTGCTGTTTATGTTGAGGTCACCATTCTTGCTTGTATCGTCCGCTGCTGAGTCGCTGCCCCCAGCACCACCGGACTTCTTGTTGCCAGCAATCATACTTCCAACAACGCCACCCACGATGGCACCGACAACCACGAACAAGACCAGAGCAATCACTAGCCACCTCCATTTCTTGCTGCGACCCTTCTCCGGCGGTGTCGACCAGTTGTTCAACTTTTCGCGTGCGAATTCGGAGTCACTGTGACCGTGACCTGCATGGAAGAATTAGTCATCAACATCAAAACTCGCGCAGCCGTCATTTCAGACAAGACGTCTTACCGCCTCGACCCAAGGCACTTCCCGCGGCAGCCGCAGCTCCAATTCCGGCCGCACCGACGGCAGCCCCCGACCTTCCTCGGTCAGAATGCGGCACACTGAGCATCGAGTTTCGTTGGCTATGTCGTGCGTAGCTCAACCCGTCGTCGCCGTCGTCAATAATATCGTTCGGATTGACGACACCCAGACTGGGATCGTGAAATCTACGTCCGTTGGATGGCAATGCTTGATAGGGATCATCCCCAAAAGACTCGCCACCAAAACTTCGAAGGCTTCTTGCCGGTGAGTGGGTGGCAGAGGGAGTGCTGAAGAGGTTGAGACTTGACCCGGAGCCTTGGGCGGGCAATGGATGTTGTTCTGGGACACGGTTGTGAAGGGTTTCTGGAGCATGGCCGCTGGGTTGAAAGCCATTATATCCAGCCCCGGGCGCATGAGGATACTGACTTCGGGATGGTGGAGGGGGTAGTTGGCCAGTGCCTCTCACGGCCTCCATTCCGCCTTCACGAGCATTGCGATCAGCAACACTATATGCAACTCCAGACATACCCCCAGACACGTGCTCGCTAAAGTTGTCTGCCCCTGGTGCCGTGTTGCTCTGGATGGCCTGTTGCGCATAAGGGTGACCCTGGCCACCCCGGCTAGGGCTTCTATTGTATGCAGCGAAATTGCTGTGTTGAGGAGGCACGGGCGCAACTGCTTCATAACCGTAGCCACGGCTAGCAGACGAGGCGTCGTCGTGCTCTATATAAGGCTGATATGACTGATAAGGTTCATGTCGCTGCTGCTGCATCCCGCGGGGGTCTTGTTTGGCGTCGTCGTAATATGGTGACTCTGTGCCGGCGTAATCGTATTTGTAGGCATTTCCAGGGGCATGTCCGGGGGACGTGCTGTAGTCGTGTGACGCCCCCAGCGGCTCTCTCTCTTGATGGTTGTCCCTTCCGTATCGCTGCATGTCGGGCGGAGAAATAAATGTCTTTACCAGCTACTTGGGTAGGTAGGTAGCTATTAAGGCGTCACGGGAGTGCGCTTCTGCGCTTCTGGATCAGATGCCCGACAGCAAGTCGGGTTGAAATTGGCAGCAAACGATGACAAGGCAGCAGGTTTTCCAGAATAAATAAGATTGAGGTGCACAAGTCGTGTCGGTCGCAGATGTACTGGTCCAATTCAGAGGTGCCGCAGGGAGAACATGTGAGGCTCTGCAGCACTTGTTTATGGTTCCAAAAGTCGAGACGGAAGCCGATTCGCAGAGTCGTGATGGTCTGGTCTATAGTCAATTCTGCAATTCTGCAGGAAAAGAGTTGGCAGTCGCCGGAAACGTAGTCCTCGTCAAGTCGTCAGCCAGCTCGGGACGGCCACTTGGGGATCGTGCGAGTGGCGGGAGGTTGGTCGCTGCAGTGACGAGCGCCGTCACAACTCTAATGGAGGGCCAGCCCAAACGCGTTAGTCCCAGGGCAGCGATTGCAGGCCCTTCTTCTGGTGCACCTGAGCGATTTGTCGATTTCCGCAACGAGAAGCAGGAATAAATACGGAGAGCGAGCACGATGATAACACTCGGCGACGAATTGACGATGCCTCGAGGGCAGACGGGACCAGATTTGGGTCGCGTTGACGACTGATTGCTGAATACGGACGGAGCAATGAGGGGAAAGCGAGGAAGGCGCCAGGGACAAAGCAAAACGGGGAAGGCGAATGAAAACTCGGCGCTGAATCCCAAGCGAGGCCGAGACAAGCCCACGACGCCCCACGACGGGCCAAAGGTGCTTCACCACGAGCTGGATGGAGACGGACAATGCGAAAATGAGACCACCCACCAACGAGACTCGACGGGGCACCGCCGCCTGGAATGCCAGTGGATGGATCACGTACGTACTGCCAATTCCGTCCCTAGAAGTAAGTTAACTACGTACTAGGCCCAGCCTGTGCCAACCCGATCCTCTCATGCCGCACATGAGCACCAGCCTCCTTCCTTTGACTGCACCGACTCGCCATGATCACGTCTTCTCCGGAGTGCCTGCGGCGCCAATACTGTATACACTACGGAGTACTGAGTACCAGGTGCAACGTGGAACTTGGAACATGTCGGGACACGGGGCCAGGTCCAGGCAACCTCTGGCATGCAAAGTGGAGGCGTCCGTGTTTGGAACGTAACGTTCGGGTGCCTGAGCTGTACTATTCCTCGCTGGGCAACTTAGGTAAGAAGAAGGAGGGACAGGCACTGGGACAATGAGAAGTTTGAGTTTGCTAACAGGGAGTAATAACGCTGCTTCTGCTTCTCCTTCTCCAACCTCGCAACGCAACAGAGTTCAGGCCGCCGAGATAACCACACACGTTCCGATGCCCGTTCTCCACAGATGGCATTGAGCCCAGCATCGAGCCCAGCATCGAGATTGGAGGGCGACGACATCCGCAAACACGAGCTTCCACAAGCCACTTGGGCCGTTTTGTTGGTCCATTGAAGTCGCAGCCCACCTCCACAATCCCCTGGGCACCGACAACTCGAGTCCACAGGAAACCAGGGGCTCCTTGGGTATATGAGCGTATGGGCGCTGGCTGTACCCTGAAGCGGAGATTGCGTCACGGGTATGGAGTGACATGGAACTGTCTTGAAACCAAGTCAAACCTTGTGTACACCAACAAACAAACCACCAAGCTCGACACCCCATCCACAAGTTACCTACTCAGTTAGGTAGGTACTTGGGTAGGTACTTGTTGTTAATCCAGTACCGAGTACAGTGCGTTTGCTTCGGGTTTGGCCAACAATCACCCTCTCAGTTGGATAGTTCCGAAGCTCTTCACCACGGCAATGCAAGCCAAGTCAGTGTGTTCTCCATATGAACGAGTAATTCAATAAATACCTACGAGGATCTGGACCCCGGACGACGACCTCTTTCACTGGATTCCGCCGCGTGACTCGTGCTTCGGCATCAAAGCATTCATCCTCCTTGACTGAACAACGTTGCACGCTCCACGTCGACTTTTGCGCTTTTGTGACCTTTACACAGGCCGTAGCCATGGCTTGGGCTTCGTCCAGGGTGAAGGAGTGACGATGGTGAACTAGACTGGCATGTCTTGAAGGCCAACAGGTGAGCGAGTTGTAGTTATTGCATCGGGACATTGGTCTGATTTTGTGGCTGTGGCAGGGAGTAGCCGGTACTCCGTACTAGTCACAGCTACGGAGTACTTGAGACGTGCAATTGATCACATCCCAAACTGCCCTCACCAACACTGATTCAAGATCGTCACCGGTTGGCCCACAAATGGTGCCCGTTGTCCTTTTCCCACCCTCCCCTCCCCCCCTTTTCTCCTTTTCCCTCCGTCATTTCATTCCTGCGGTACTCCGTATTCCTTCCAGAACTTTTTTGATTCTGCATCGAGCTGCGTGTAAGCACACCGTCTCTGGCGCGACCCGAGGGCAGGTCGTCAATCCACATACCTAATGCCCGCAAGGCGGTCATGGTCGGCATTGCCCGTAGGCCGGGAGCTGTAGATGCTGTGGAGAGGTAGACGTAAGCAGGTGCTCGTAACTCCAACCCAACGTAGTCGGCAACAGCGCCTGGAGACGGCACTTGTCGTCTCTTGGGGCCGAGATGCGTGTGACCCAGGCACGCCCACTTGTGAAGCGCCCTGACACGTGACGGCAGCCGCTTCCAGACCCGGGGGGCCTCCCCGCGGGGCCTGCATCGCATCGTCTTGAGTACATACTCCTTAAGTTCCAAGTCTGCCTCGGTTCGCCGCTTCATATACTGCGAGATGACGACGGGATCGTGGACGACCTCGGTTCGCGTCTGCGTCGACCCGTCCTGCAGGCGGACCTCTCTCGTGATGCGGATGGCTTTCTTGACATGGCGACTAGCCGATGTGAAGCCACTAATTTGGCTGGTGCCGTCGTCGAATTGCGCCGGCGTCGCGGCGGCGTGAACGTTGAATCGATCATCCTCGTCTTCCGTGACTGCCACGTCCTTGTCGTCGTGCTCCCGGGCGTCGGACAGCGTTGCCTTTTGCTTCTCCCAAATCTCCTTGATGCCCTCCTCGTACATTGCTTGTTGCTTCTTGACGTTATAGGCGTGGCCGCCGTTAGCGCGCTTCTCACGCTCCATGGCGTCGGCCGACGTGGCCAACGGGCCCTGAACAGCCTCAATGTACCCTCCCTTCATGGACGTTCGGATGAAACTGAAGCCGAGGCCGTGTCCAGTCGGGTCACCCTCGCCGTGCAGCTGGAGCATGGCCTTTTGCGCACAGGCGTCGATGAAGGCCTTTGTAGTTTTCCAAGGTGCCATCTTGTCGGCAAGTGTCTCTTCCTGCTTTTCGCCAGGCTTCTTGGCGCCCTTGGGCGCCTTGCTTCCGCCCTCATCCTCGTCGTCTTCTTCAGCATCCATGTCCATGACGTCATCGTCAATGTTGGCATTTCGGGGATCGTAGCCGGCGTCCTCGAGCTCCTTGATTCCCAGCTGCATGGCATCCAGAAGACTGACCTCCTCAGGCTTGATCATGGCGCGAATCGCATTTTCGTCGGGCAAGATCTCGCTTGGCTTCAGGCGCCACATGCCTTTTTCGCCACTCTCCCTGTCGTACTGTAGAAATTTGGGACGAGAAGGGTGTACATTATAGGCGAAGAGGTTAATAGCGTTATTAGGTTGAAAATTGGCCCGCCTTGGTGTCCGGCCCGCCTTGCTGTCGAGCACCACCTTTGGTGGTGAGGGCTTTTGCTAGCCGAACCACATAAAGTGGGGCGGGCACGATTAGTACGTAGTCCGGGACCCGCGCTGGATATGCTAGTACTGCGTAGTACGGAGTACATACATAGCCTTTGTAAAATTCTGACAGCAAACTGCGGTGCTGTACTCCGTACTTGTCGGCCCCCCAAATCCTGCTAGTAGTATGCTGGTTTCTGCCGGCTGCGCCCCCCTTCCTGCATTGTGACGAAGCCCTTCACAAAATCAAAGTCGCCGCATGTACTCCGCACCCCATACTCCGTATTACGTAGAAGCATTTCCCGAACCTGCCAAGGTATGGCTGACTTGCAGAGCCATTTGCTGAGACGGATGGAACGCGTGACCTCGCTGGAAATATCCCGGCAGGTGTTGGCATCGTGGACCGCGTCATGTGTGTCGCGGTCCGCCCGGATTGCCGCGCGCTCGGGTCGGGGCCGTATTTGTCACAAATTACAATCGCAAGAAAACCACAATGCGAACCCCCCCCCCCCAAGGACAACTGCCACGTTGTTGGCTGCATCTGCGTGCATGGTGTGGGAAAGGCGTTCTTGACTGCCAGGAAAAGAGCAGCCACGCCGGACTGCTAGCAACCGCGACGTGTAAGCCCACCGCGCCGTGTAATCTATCATTCCTACGTACTCCGTATTGATAAAGGACAAATTGTAGGGCAGAATCAATATTGCAACGCGCCATCGTGGGCTGCATCCATCCGTTCAGCCCCAAATTCGTATTGCACCGCATGGCCACGGGCGATGTGGTCAGCGGCCACTCCTTTGAGTCCTTTCAGCTCCTGCAGCTAGCTATTACTCTCTCCATTGTATGGACACGGACAAGCCCTGTGAGGTCGCCATCCGAGATGACTTGCTGAGCATGACTTTACGCCGTAGTGCTTCCGTACCTTGGCGGACAGATCTCATGGTTGCAGACAACCCGGGACATGAGGCAAAGGACACGACTGCAGAGCCGCAGGACCCCTTGTTCGACTGACCATTGCACCGGGTGCCTGGCCGAAGCGCCATCAGTCAATTATTTGTTGATAATTTCGCGGGCTGAGTCGTGGATCGCACGGCCGGGTTTACGACCTGATGCGGTACCGGCTCTGTCAACAGACAGGAATGGAGATTCAAAGCTATATTGTCAAAAAAAAAATAAAAAAATCATGGGAGGCTCAATGTTTGCTTTATGTTTCCCCGGGGGGGAGACGAGACGATATTACAAACCAGTCGACTCCAATAACGAAGTCTCATGAGGGATTCCTGTAGCTTCCGGAAACTCCGTCGGACGCCTTTATTGTTCATCCTTCCGCGCCATGTCATGCCTTCACTTGCCCAATCAGCACCGTCATATGGCTCGATTACTTGCAAAAAAAGTCGATTATGCCCATGGCCGACTTGGTTCATCTCCAGATGCGCGCTCCCCGCCGTCTCGCCCATGATTGGCCATGACGCTCGACTTTGCTTGCCGGGTCAGCATGGCAATAGTAAGATGCCCGTCATACATCCAGCAGTTGTGTGGTGGCGTGGTGTCTTTGAGTTGAGCATCGTTTACCGTTAGGCCTGACCGTTGGTAGACTTCCTCCTTGAAGTCTCTTGATGGTGAAAGTCGACCGCCGTCCAAGGGGGTCCGATATCTTCACTTGCAGATTTGAAGGCATATAGTCAAGTGCGTCGGGAGAGAGAAGGCGGGGAAGAGGGAGAGAGGGAGGCTTGTGCGGCCTCTTACTTCATTCTCGTACTACCGAGTACACTCAAGAGACGCAGAAGCATCTAAAACGGCCCTCGCTGTCAAGGCGCTCCTTTACAAAACAAAGCCGACGCATCTCGCACCCGTTACACGGCCCAGCGTTCTACTCTCACGACACCAACTTACCAACTTACTGGCCAGACGACCAAGAACCAAGACCGCCCAGACAGCCGACTTCCGAGCACTCAAGTCGTCATGGAGATACAATTCTCTGTCCCCGTCAATACGGCCAAGAAGAAGACATCTGCCGCGTAAGTTTGCAAGTTCGACATGTCTGCCTTGTTGCAACCGGCACAATGGGATTGGTAAGCAAGACTAGCAAAGACTGATAAACCCCAAGTGACAGTTCTCCTGGATCGTCCTTGGCCTCGAACCCGTCGCCTCCGTCAGGCTGGGGCAGCACTCATAGGTTCGCGCTCGAATCCAGAACACGCCATACAAGACGAAGCTCAACCCGAGCCCGGACCGGCTGTGACACTTGTAAGTAAAGAACTCTGCTCCCTCACGAACGGTTCCTGGCATTGATTCGGAGTCCAAGGCCCATTGCTAACTAATTCTTGTCCATGTATAGGCAAGTGAGTCGAGGACAAATCCAAGCAAATCGCCTTGAACACTGGCGGTTCATTACCCATTTGAGTTGATGATGGGTAGTCCAGAAAAACTACCAATAACTCGGACTTACTTGCTTCTAGGAAACGGCACGTAAAATGCGACGAGAGCAGACCTGCGTGTCTGAACTGCCTCAAATGGCGCGGCTATTGCGACTCTTACGCTGATGCTGCCGAGCCTCGGCCTCTGAAGAAGACCCCTACGGCGAACCAAGGCGCGAAATTGGTTCGTACACATAAACCGCCTCTTTTGATCACGGAGCCCGCCGTCAATACCATCCGCTTTGCCAATAGCGAGCAGCGAGCTTATTTCGACGAATGGTCCAAACTGTCCATGGCCTTTTTAAGCGGCGGGCTTGGCCAAACACGCTTGTGGTCAGCAACGATGCCGCAGGTATCCTCGGAGGAGACGACATTGCGATACGGTGCCATGGCTGTGGGCGCGTTGCGGAAGGCATACGAGCTTGCGAGTCCGTCTATGGCACTGACGACAGGGAACAAGCATTATCTTAATGCCGTCATCTATTACTGTGAGGCACTGCGACGTCAGGCGAAGGCGGTACCTACGAGGGAGGGATTGCGCACAGCACTCCTGTCATCCCTGTTATTCATCTGCTTCGAGGCCCAGCGAGGAAACATGCCCGCCGCTCTGAAGCATGTCACACATGGATTCAGCATGTTGAACGAGCTGGCTGCTTGTACGGACCTCGCTCCGAGCCTTGTTAGTATCGCTCAGGCGCCGCCGGCCCTGGTGCAGGAGATTCTTGACTGCTACAAACCCCTCGAACTCCAGTCGAGATCCTTTATGGGGTCATACAAGAAATTCTTCTTCCCGCCGACCCCGGCCAGAGCGGCATCGTCACCAGGGGTTTCGAGAGCTGCCGCGACTGGACATGCGCAGCTCCCTGCAAGCCCAGACGGTCCCGCGGCCAACTACGACATAATGCAGCGTGCCCATCCTTCACCAAGTCACCCGAGGTCTTCGTGGCAAAGTCCGCCGCCGGCGAGCACACTGGCATCGCAGACGGGCTTGCTCAGCCCGCAGAGTCGGAGCGGCAGCGCGACGGCACCGCGCAGCCACTCGCCCCCGCCAGGTGCCCGGCGACTTGCCAGCATCGCGCCGTTCACGAAGCACTCGCCGTACTTTCGACCGAGACAATCGAACATCACCACGCTGGACAATATGCCACAAGTGTTCAAGGACCTTGAAGAGGCCCAGGGATATTGGAGCTTGGTCCAGAAGGCCATGGTCACACATCTTCCCATGCTGACCATGGTGACTTCTCAACTCGGTCTGACGAGGACAGTCAGCGAGGCGGAGCTGGACATGAAGCTACGCAGCGTCAAGCAGAATCCCCGGATCACCAGATTCATCGCCGAGACGAGATACTGGATCTCCCGCTGGGCCGAGGCCATCGAGCCAGTGCGCCAAGCCATCTGGCGCAACTCCGTCAACGACCACCAGACATACCTCCAGGCCGTCAACTTGCGCATCGAATATCTCATCCTGTACGTATACACCACGGTGCCTCGCTTCTCCGGCCTCGTCACAGCCAAGGGCCTCACGCCCCAGTACCGCGAAATCAACCGTCTCGCGGAAACGCTGCTCATGGCCCGACCGAACTGCGGATTCGCAATGGACTCCGGGTGGACATGGCCGCTCTTCATCTCGTCATTCAGCTGCCGAGACGGCGCCGTCCGCCGAGACGCCATCCGCATCCTGGGCCAATACCCGATCCGGAACGCCCTCCGCGACAGCCGAGTATTCCGAGCAATAGCGATGCGCAACCAGGAAGTCGAAGAGCAAACCGTGCTCGAGGGAACGGAGCACGAGCAGTGGCTGGGGCTGAGACGGCGAGAATTGGTGTTTGAGGATTTCGGCACCACAATTATATATCGATCTGCGCAGAAGAACCGCAGCACGGGGGACTGGGAGCTCGTCGAGGAGGTCGCCCAGTGCAGTGCCCTTTCGTCCGACGGGAAGCTGGACTGGCTTCGGCAGCCGGTGTCGGATTCGGCATCTATCATGTCAGGCGTGTGTTAGCTTTCATGATGTCAATGTCGAAGGGTGCCAGATTGACGACACCACGGTTCGAGTAGACGCGACGCCACGTAACGACAGGAAAAGCGAGCGATTGTTTCTTTGTTTCCGTTTTTCTCCCCAGTCACTTTCAAGCTTCGGAGTTATAGAGGGAGTAGGGCTTCTTAGACTGGGTGCTTGCATTGAACGAGGCGAGTTGGGTTTTGGGTTTGGGCGTCGTATTTCACGAAGGAGCCACGAGATGCCAGGAATTTCGACGTGAATGAATGCCCTAGTGATGGCTGCGCGGTCCTCTGCGTTGCATGCCAGGGCTCACGAGTTTTTGATTTCACATTATGACGTGACATTCCGCTGCGTACGAATCGTGACTCTTTTATTCTATCGATTTGCCAGCCCGTGCCATGCCATGCAGCCTGTTAGCGTGATTATAAAATGCCATTCTGTGGAGCCTGGGTCGACACGTGACAAGCATGCGCATCACTTGGCGTTGTGTTGCACCCGTGTCAGGCACTTCTATTTTTAGCTTGCATGGATATGCATGGGAACCTAGCTACCTACTCCCTAACCAAGAGGCAACACGATTCGAACATCTCTCATGCATTTCCTGGGTTTCGCCAGGGCGCTCGAAGCGCGCGGGGTGACCTAATTCCAGACCGAAGAATGGGCTGGCAAATGAACATAGGTATATAATGGCTTTTAGATCCACCTGTCAACAAGCGTAATTGGTTTAGTGGTAAAATTCTCCGTTGCCATCCGAGCAACGTCGGGGAGCCCTGGGTTCGATTCCCAGATTACGCAGATATTCGTTTTTTTTTCGCGTTCTTGCTTCTCCGTAGCGCAAAAATGAGCAGAGCAACCAAACCCGCTGGGTCAATTAATCAACAATTGTTGCACTCATTCTCTCATTCACGCCCTGTTTTTTGTCGCCAAGTGTCTCGGCTTGTTTGTGTCATCACGATAAAATGGTTCACTGCTATCAGCGGTGCAAAGTGTGGTATTTTCGGTACCAATGAGTTGGGAAAGTGCTGTTGCTGTAGCCACAATAGTGCTGCCAAATGGAACAGCCCATGCTCAAGCATGTCCCGAAGATGACGAAGACAAGGCTTGTATGCCAGTGCCATTTCCAGCCCGGAGTTCCTGAACATGTTTGCCGTTGAAATTACCTGAAGCGGTCGAAGCCTGGCAGCCCCCGGAGCGTAAGAGCATACGATGTGGAAAACAGTGATTCGAGAGTCGCCAGTAGGGAGCCGAAAAATGAACGAGGCAAGCTGGGAAAAGGTATTAATGGTGATGGAGTAGGCTCAAAACACCCCTAACCCTTTATTCTGTGCTCCTTGTTCATCTATTGAGCACCACCAAGCCTCATGTCACCACCAGTCCATGCCGCCTCGATAGACATGTACTTGGTCGCGCGACACACGGATATATTCGAGCACATTCTTCCCAGGCAGCCTTCCGAACGATGACTTATTCCCTCCCCAGACTGTCTTGTTTGTCTTAACCTCCCGTTTGTTGTTTGCCATTCGTCAGCGGCCCTCTGCCAGCTGCTAACAACTCTGCGGTAAAAGCGACAGCTGGCAAGCCAGGGCAAGTTTTCCATTTTTAAACTCTGGCGCTTCCCTCTCCATCTGAACTTGATGCCTTCTATTTCATTGTAGTCGTTGCTACTCTTCCTCTCTACAACCATGGCATCTTTTCTCTCCGACTTCTTTACCGGCACAAATACAGCCATGCGCCCCCAACGGGACTGGAGGGAAATGCCCGAGCTCCCTGACGCTGATGAGTTCATGAGCAGCGAGCCTCCTCGACTACCACTCAACGACTTTGAGCCTCGGCCCCAGTTACGAGACCAGCTTTTTGAGACGCAGTATCGTCTTCATCGATATGAAGCCACTGAGACCTTGAGACGGGCTGTACAAACCATACGAGCGGCGGCCACGTACCAAAACTTCCCCGACGAGCAGAACGGCAGTGGAGACAAAAGGTTGGAACAAGTCAACGTGTACTCCAGGGTGACTCAGAATATACCCCCTCCCTCTCTCTACGTACGCATCAAACTTACTACCATTTCGACTAGGTGAGCGTGGCTGGATTTGCCCTTGGACCAAACGCAGCCGGCCAACGGCTCATCGTACCGACTGCCCCGTCTCGAGACCAAGATGACGATGACGACTCCTCTCCTGACGAAATGGAGCTATTCACCCCGGGAACCTTGGTCGTCCTGTCGAGTGACTTCTTCAAGACCACATGCTACGTCGCCATCGTTGTGGAAAACGAAGGATTGCGTGATGAACCAGCGAGCATTGATGTTCGTTGGGCAAAGGAAGATCAAATGTTCATGGATACCATGCTTGAGCTAGTCATGCTGGAGCCAACCGATGCGTATTTCGAGCCTCTAAGACACACTATGGTGGGATTGCAGCACATGTTTGCGACCAGGTAGTCAGTAAAGTTTCTGCCCCTTATCGTCTTAACTGACCTATTACCAGTTGTCTCCTAGACCAATACCTCTTCGCTGCAGGCCCTCATTCTGTGCCAACTATTCCATATCTCAAAGAGACCCCAAAAGGAAGCCCGGTAATCCCACAGACCGTCAAGGCCCTCGACAAGTCGCAGCACAATGCCTTTACAGAAGCAACAACAAAAGAGCTGTCTATTATCCAAGGACCGCCAGGAACAGGCAAAACCTTTACTTCCAACGTTATCCTGCAGAGCCTGGTCCAAACCCAGCGACAGTGCCGCGAGGCGCGCTCTAGTCCTGGACCTACAATACCGGTCATCGTGTCTGCTCAGACGAACCACGCGTTAGATCAGCTACTTCAGAAATACACAGAGACTACAGAGTCAAACAAAGTCGTCCGTCTTGGTGGGCGTAGTAGTAATGAGGCCATTGCAAAGCTCACCATCTCCAGGTTAAAAAGGGTACATGTTCCTTCCAGCTATCGAGCAGAGCCAGCTGGAAATCTGGTAGCGGCTGCCATGAGGGCTTTCATGGCACTCCGCGACGCTCTTAAACCAAGTGAAGATATAAAAAGCGCCAAAGAACTCTTTCATCACAAGATTCTTTCCGAGGATCAATATTATTCAATCGTCAACGACGATTGGGAGTCGAGTGAAGGAAATGGGTGTGACTTGGCAAACTGGCTTGGCAAGCCTCAACCGAACTCTGAGAACAGCCGCGCAGGGCCAGATGACGAGGCCAAGCTGAAGCCTCGTTGGCAAGGAGCAAGAGTCAATTTTATACCTTTGCCAAAGTCATCAGATGGGCTGGCTAGCTCTTGCTCCCGGGATTTCGTCATTGATCTGCTGGCCAACACGCGCAACTTGTACCACATTAGACCCGAGGACCGGCGAGCTGTCTATGATTATTTAAGAGAAAGGCTTCATGCAATCAAGAATCCCTCAATAGAAGGTCTCGTCATGTCCTATAACAGGGCCCGAGCGTCGATTCAAAGTACGCAGGTCGTCAATGATCTCGCCTACATACAGGCGGCCGAAATCGAAGTGATTGGGTGTACTGTCACAGGGTTGATGAAATACCGACACCTCATCTCCAGCCTTAGACCTCAGATTTTACTCATGGAAGAAGCGGGAGAGATCCGCGAAGGTGGCACAATTGCAGGTCTTCTGCCTTCTATAGAGCATCTCATCCTCCTGGGCGATCATCAACAACTCCAGCCACACGTCAACATGAGAGAGCTCGCGAGAGACCCCTGCCGCCTCAACATCTCCATGTTTGAACGGCTGATCAAGCTTGGAATCTCGCACAAGACGCTTCTCCAACAGCGCCGAATGATACCATGCCTCCGCGAAATCGTGCAACTCTTTTACCCTCGATTGGTCGACCACACGCCAACCATTTCCCAACTGCCGCCGCGTGTCCCCGGTGTCGCCAGGCCACTGTGGTGGTTCCGACACGACTGGCTGGAAGAGGCTGGTTTCTTTAATGGCAGCTCTGTGCAGAACTTTACAGAGGCTCAGATGGTTGTAGCGTTTGTTCAGTATCTGGTTGATCTGCAAAAGTTCCCGCCGGAGCGCATTACCATGCTCACCTACTACCGAGGCCAGGTTGACCTCCTCAACAAGCAACTAGCTGCCAATCAACGACTTGCATCGCTGGAGACAGATTGGTCCGTGAGAACCGTGGACGGTTTCCAAGGCGAGGAAAATGACATCATCATACTCTCCCTGGTGCGAGGACCCAATGGAAAAGCTGGTTTTCTGACACAGGAGAACCGCGCCATTGTAGGACTGAGCCGTGCAAGATTCGGCATGTACATCTTCGGGCATCAGGATGTCCTTCTCAAGCACCCTCGACGGACTTGGGCCAAGGTCATACGACAGATAGGGGAAAACCAGGGCGCGACACTGCCACTACGCCCTGACCCGGGCGTAGACGAGGTGGTTCAAGTCGACCATCCAGATAAGCTGAAGCAGCTCCTGCGAATGGCGAGGCGTCAACCGTCGAGAGAAGGAAGAAAGAGAGCGAGCGCCGCCGGCAGCTCAGATACAGAAGCGGAGACGCAGGCCAAGACGTCTAGCACAAAGACGGAAGCACCTGATACCGCGAGCAGAGATGCTCCAAATCGTCAAGGCAAGATGGGATCCTGGACCGCCAACCTCCCAAGCCTGCCGTTGCGGAGACGGATAGAGACGATAGAGTCACTAGCTTCCGATTTAGAGCTGGTGTCGCTCGAAGATTCGGCGACAATCCCCATCTCGCAGCGGGTGTCGTGGGACCTGGCGCCGTTGCAACCGACTTCCGAGTCAGTGGAAGAGGAGCAACTCATTGAGTTTTCAGACGGCGAATCTTGCTAGGACACATGAGCCACAACAAACTTTGTACCTAGAGCCCACGGCAGGCTACCACATGGAGTTTCAGGGTCGTCTTGCCGGCATGAGACTAAATATATAGTCCAAAGACTTGAATTTTTAGATGAATGAAATCGGCCGTCTACTCTTGTAAAAATGAGTCTGAAGCAAACGTTATGGCTCCTTCGTCACCTCGTCCCGTTTACCTTGGCTTAAGAGTCTCTTTTTGTCGGCGACGCATGCACAATATGCTGCACACCTCTCTATCAAGTAACCCCAAGTTACTCACTCCTACTACACTTTACATACATACTTCTAGAGGGCGCCACATCTTAAACCGCCTTTGCACAATGTGGCTTAGCACACATGTAGTAGGTGGAAGGAACAAAAAAAAGCCATGAAAACATGGCGGATGACGGAGGACCTGAGTCGCTTGCAAGTAACCCAGCAAAGACATATATTGCAATCGCCACTACTATTGTGAGTCATGAGACCGGAACCACGACGCTTTCCGCCGCCGTTTTTAGCCGTCCCATCTTGGGCATGAATCACTCACCCCTCAGTGAGCTAACTTCAAGCTTCCCTGAGTTGCTCCGGGCTGTCCTTGAGCTGTACCCGAGCTTCACATACGCCCCAAGAAAATGGATGGAAAAGTTGATGCAAGGGGTGTACTTGGCAGTCAGTTTCTGCTTACGACGGAGCATGGTACGGGGACCATGCCGCTGTCACTCTACCTTGGGTATATCTCCCCTCTCGTCGTCCAGGTCTCCTGGCGCTGCCGTGCTGGTCTAGACACGATTTTCCCGTCATCACAGAGATGTCTCTTGTTAAGCCTGGAGGCAAACAGGCCCAGTTCAATGCGAGTTATGCTCCTGTAAATCACCATCCAAACAACAGGAGCGGATCGGACTTTCCATGGCACAAATGCTCCCCCATGGTCGACGTGTAATTCCACCAACATGACCGGACTGATGTGGTCTCTGTCACCGAACCAGATAGCAATCTCGGCTCCGAAATTCCAACGACTCTCTAATCTGGTGCCCTGGTGCCCTGGTGCCGCGCCAACTCTTCCCGACCAAATAGAAATCTTCATTTAGAGCCCTTTTAAAAGCGCATGACGACGCGGTCTACTACGGGACAACAGAAGACAGGTCAAACGGGTGTAGTACGTCTGTATTAATTAGAAGCAGTCTATCCGTCTACTTCCATTCTTGATGAAAGAGGGTGTTAACTTGCTTACTTGGAAGCAACTAGACGTGCAGTAAAAGAAACACGGAGAAATAAAGTCAATATATTATTGGAGAAAAGCGTAGAGGCCCTGACAACTAGCTTTCCGAGACATATCCCACAGTAAACTTTGTAGAACTCACTCCTTCCAGCCTCGCCCCGACTGAGTGTTCAAGGAGCGGTTCGACGTATTTTATCCTAATTCTATTTTCGTTGGCCCCGGTCAAATTAGGCAACTGGATACCGAGGCTGACTTCATCTCCAGGCTTGACTGTAGATCCCACTTTCTTGTTCCTGTCGTCGCTGTGGAAAACAAACTTTAGAAGTCATACAAGCCGTAGTTTGGAATAGCATAGCAAAGATAGGTGCGGTCATACCAACCCGGAACGAGGGCGCTGCCACACATGTGATGATCATACGTGCCGACAATCTGGGCGCCATATCGCAACTACCTCAGTGAGCAAATAATACCTCGGGCGGCATGTCAGGACTGGGGAAAAGAACAAGTATGACATGCCCGATTCCTGGTTGTCGGAGCGCTCGTCACTTGTGTTTCAAAGGGGACGAATCTCCATGTCGGGCCATGATTTGGCCCGGTCCACGTTTTTTGCTGCGGCTTTGGAATGATACCCATTCTGACAGGGAGAACTTCTACATATTCATCAAAAGCCGCCCCCCGGTATTCTTCATCGGATGGTGAAACGACTTGCTTGGGGCGACTCGCGGCATACGCTTTGACGGCCGCCTCGTGGTCCTTGGGGAACCGTTCTTTGAACTTTTAATGTCGTCCCTTACTTCCTGCCTCCCGTTCACGAAGCCCGCAGGCTCTGGGGCTAATATATGCATTGGTCAATGATCAAAGGCTTGTTTGGGTGCAGTGAGCTTACGTCCACCCCAATAACGCTTCCAGTCAATGCACAGGTACTTTGATTCGCGGCTTCTCCTTGAGTCTGAGGGAGAATTTTGCGGTCGACGTTACGTTTGTGATGCCGCATGCCGAGTACGCCTCTGATTCGCGCTCATCGTCTGTGGCGGGCTCAACGTCTTTGTGGGCGACGAAGTTTTCTACCAAAGCTGAAGGCCGTCAGATGGGCACTCTGTACACTCTGAATAAATTGCCGTCACTACTCAAGCTGCCGTCCCTGCATCTGGTCTTCGCCGTCATCCACTTCCTCTACCCTCTCTTTGTCCCTCTCTTCTTCCCTGCCTCTCTTTGACTTCTAGGTTCCTTGCAGCCGCGTCGTGCCTGGAGTCAGGGGACTTCTTGCCCTGTTTGATAAATTCAAACACCTCGTGTACTCCCTTTCCAGTCAGCTTCTTTGGCATCAACCGGCAGATTCAATCGACAACGGGAACGACGTTGGATTGCTTTGGCAAGCGTCAGCTGGAATCCGGACTCACCGGCACGGGGAGCACGCTCGATACGGACTGCAGGGTTCTCATCTTTACTCTGCGTGATGACGAGGCGACCGCCACAGAGCAGGCCGTTGGTACGGATAACATCGTCCCAGTCTTTATCCAGCATGTCTGCGCCATGGCTTTGTTCTTGTCGGTCTCCTCCGTGCTGTAGTCGTTTCCGTCGACCACTCACCCGACTGCTCCCGACGCATTTGCAACATAGTCACTGGCCGTCAGAGAACTGACAAGTGTTTTGATATCCGCCTCGTCTTCAGCCGTCACGTCCTTTAATTATTTGCATCAGTAGCCACTCGTTATAAACAGCCCAAGCATCCTCCTCGCCTTGAGAGCCGTGTCTAGTTTTCCTTTGAGGAGCTCCAGGCCCGCATTACCCGATGGCTTCGAGCTGCCTCTGTGGACAAAGATGTGTGCAGCTGCATCCGTCTTCGGCTGGCCACCGCCGCCAGATCCGCCGCCTGGTGGGATCTTTGTCGGCATTGTCGACATGTGGCTGCCCAGAGACCTCTTTGTACTCGCTCCATGCCAATGTGTCGCTCACTTTGGCTCCGTCATGGGTACAAAGAGGACATCTCTTTCTCTGCAGCCGTGTGAGCAGTGCCGTCGACGTACCTGGTCGATCCACGCTTAGTATAAAGAAAGACACTCAACCTATCCCTTTGATAGCATTGATGCCGTATGCTCCCGAGGGTGACTATGATGGATATCGTGTTGCATTGCTGGAACTCTGTCAACATGCATCAATAGTCAAATGTCGTGGTACCTTGGGCTTGATGCCCTTGTTGACCGTTATTTCCTTGCAACAATACCACGACGATGCGGAAAAGTCCAACTTGGCCTGGATTCATCAACTACACGAGACACCGCAAGACCACGTCAAACAGTGCCAGCGAGGCCGAAATGCACGCATCGTCAAGTCAACTGGGACGTCTGTACTCCGTGACACGTCGCACGCATAATACATGATGTATACACACATGTGTCGAGGTAGGGTTCAACATGACATGAGGGTTGTAGCGTCTTCCGTCGAGTCACGCATGCGGTACATTGCACAACATATGTCGAGTCAAGATTGCGACTACTTTGTATCTGTCAGCCAAGATGGTTGCCGCTTTGTATCGGTCAAGAAACATGTTCATTCTGTCCTGACTCCTACCTGCACGAGCTGCTGGCTGACTCGCAACGCACCTCTAGGCCGGGGGCCAGAGGAGGCACGCCTATGAGTTGGATGTTGGACAGCAACAATTCTTTGACGCGCAGGATGGAGTAGCTGACGGCTTACTCCGTATTGTATTAGCAATCTGCGGCAACTTGTGACATGGAAAAACTACCATGCTGTCCTACTTGGAGTTTCTTGGAGCTATACGAGCCCAAGAGGTATAAATAGCAGGACGGCGGCGGCCTGGATGGCTATTCATCGCTTTATCGCTAGACACCTTCATCACCTACTCGCTTCTCCGCGCCACCATCATTGCTTACCCTTTCGTGGGCTTTCCTGCAAAATGAAACCAGCTGTGCTTCTATCCATCCTCTCCTGCGCTACGGCTCAAGTAGTAGTTGAGAATAAACCCAAGACAGATTTGACGTGTGGTAGGTTTAATATGAACATGCCAGCCTGATCTAAAAACGTGGACAACTGACATACATCTGATAGGTCAACAGCGATTTACGACGAACGACGTAATAAACACTGCGAAATACGTTCTTGAGTTGCACAACAATGGAACTACAGTAGGCATGTGAACTGTTATCACACTTGGCAACAACGTCGCAGCACTAGATTCCTAACATAGCTTCTTCGTAGGAGACAAAAACAAGTTTCCCAAATTCTTTGGGAATAACAAAAAGCCTGGAAAGGGCGTGTCGATAACGCTGCCACGGAACTGCCAAAACGACCAAGACTTGGAGGAATTTCCCCTCCAGCGCACTATCGTTTGGACAGGAACACCGAGCCCAGGAGCGCATCGGCTGGCTGTGCAGTACCCCGATCGCCATACTGTTCGGTAAGACACTCTGAAGCCCCCAGCACTTGTTCCCTAGGCGAAGAAAAGACTAAGTTGTTTTTTCAAAGCATATGCGCCATCATGTTCCACCCTCCAAGCTCACCTACCGATTTCACGCCTTGTAAATGGGTATTCTAGGCTCCAGGCCGCGTAAGATGAGAGCTTAGCATCAACAACTGCGGGCACAGTAGTCTGTGGGCCTCTTTTGTTTTCGCAAGGCGATGAGCGGACTGGAAGGTGGAAGGGCACGTGCTTCGTTTCGTTCCTCGGCCTCAAGTGCTTCCAACAAGTGTTACAAGTTAGGTGCCATAGTTGAAAATAAAGACATCCATCCTGGCGACGTTGCAAGGGTGACGTAGGGCACAAGCATCCCGGCCGGAAGATGGTTGGTGTATCCATTGCGAGGAGTGAGTCATACGTCTGCAACGCCGGCTTTAATAGTCGAACATGTCCCCTGCTGTCTTGCATCCGCTAGCGTCTTCCTCTTCCATCATCCAGAAAACGCTCTTTGGCCCTCGGCAACTTTGCCGACGTTTGACTGTTCCACCTACAAGCACTACACAAGTAGAAACAATAAAGACGCAAACTCCAGGGCCGCCAAGTATTACAGCAACTCGTCTCCTCTCTTCACTCAGCGGTTCAACATGCCGTCTACTCGTGTTCGGCGGCAGCCTGCCGCACAGCTATGCGACTGGGACGGACGACCTTTACCTAGCACCTATGTTTCATCCCTCATGCCTGGTTGCATGGTTCGCGTTTGGATCACCAATCCGGAGTTGGGGTCATCTGAAGGATTGTACTTTCGCATCACACGCATCAAAGACGGCACGTTTTGGGGCATAACACAGGGAACCTACCGCGTCATGGGCGATACTGTGGGCCTAAAAGATGGCGATACAATGACCTTTCGGAAGGAACATATCTGCGAGATTCCTTCTGGCAGACTTTGGCAGCCCAAAAAGTACAGAAAGCGAGTGCACTGTTGGACGCCATGAGAGTGCCGTTTGAGCTAGGGGATATCAGGGGGCTGGAGCGGCCTCCAACTACTAGATAAAAGCTACACATACATACAAACATACATGTAAGAGCCTACCAAACGATTGTTGCGCGAGACGTAAGAGCGTCCCGCAGCCTGCTACCGCGTCTCCGTTTGGTCAAACGGCCGGCAACTTGGCGCAGCTCCCTCGCCGTGCCGTCATGCCGGGCCGAAAAAATTACCTCTCTGGGCATCACCGGCGAGTCGTATCCTCGCAAAGATCTGCCAATGCCGCCAGACAAGGAGCTTGCACGCAGAAAATGGCACACGCTCCGCAAGGCGATTCACCGGGAAAGGACCGCATGGCACGCGAGCGTTCTGCAGTAGCACCGCGCTGGATGACCACAGCTCTACGCGTGCGACAGACAATATGGGCCAGAGCACAGAGACAACATGTTCCTGCCGGTTGCTAGGAGACTCGAGTGCCGCAGCAGCATTTGAACCATGGCCCGTGTTCTTCTGTGACGGGGACCTCGTGCTTTGTGAAGACTCGAGATTTTCATCCCCGAACCTTTGCTGCCCACGGTGTACATACTGAAGCGCATGCAAAGCCGGCCGCGGGCGTGACTGTCTAGACTCCATTGAATAGATCGACAGCTTGGTTGTGGGAGATGGCAGTAAACATCAAACTGCATCGCTCGAGAAAAGCTACTCCTGCCACGGGCTTGTATTTGCTCTGAAATAACACACGCATGAGCAGGAGGACGGACCCAGGCCAACGGGAGAGGAGAAGGCCTGCTCTCGTCGATGACTTGTTCGTGTCCATCAGGTGTCCCTCATGGATGATGATTTACTAATAACTGAACATGTAAACTGACGCTGGGCTTAAGCTTGCCTCACTTTTCAACCAAAAAAAAAGAAAAAAGAAGAAGAAAAAAACATCGCTGTTGGTATCTTTGCTTCGTACAACTTGGTCACACCAACAACGCCACACACCAACTCCGAGCCGCAGAAAAACTCCGGCCACAAGCCCTAATCATTAATGACATTAATCTCATACCCAATTAAAACTTCTGTGCTAGTGCCGTCCCAGCCTCGTGTTCCTGCGGCACTCAGCATAAACCTACTGGTCGGGTCGATATACAAGCTGGAAATGACGCCGGCACGAGGGGGGCCGGGGATGATAAGGAACGGGACGGTCGAGTGCTTGAACGCCCGGGTGTCGTGGAGATCGTACAGTCGTAGAATGTCATGCGATGCGCTGCGGGCGAGCTGTTAGCCAACGACGGGAAAAAAAAAAAAAAAAAAAACGTCGCCGCCATGATGGCCTCGCCAAACACACACTCACCACACGAGATGGCGTCCGTTGGGCATGGGCCGCACAGCACTGACGGCGCCGCTTCCGGCCGGGAACTTCAATGCCCTCTCGGGCTCCCAGCAGCTCCTTGCCCTTCTCACGTCAAACTCTTCCACGGTGCCGTTCCTTCTGCCTGCGTAAATCATGTTGCCGTCCGGACTCCAGCACGCACTCATGCACCAGGGCGGGACACCGTGCCTCGTGCCGATCCTGGCGACAGCGCTGGGCGCGCGGCGATCCCAAATCCTAATTGTGCCGTCAATCGCGGACGAGAGAAAGGTGGTTGCCGATACCTGTGACTGATCGAATTGCTGCTGCTGCTGCTGCTGCTGGTGGTGGTAGACTGCCGGGGGGCCTGTCCATGCGGGTGATTGCGACTTCTTGAGTGATTCTTTGTCCTGGGCCAACGTTGCCACGTCCTTTGCATCATCTTCCGTCTTGAGAGGCTGTGACTGACTGCGTTGTGTGGCCGCCGGCTCCTCAGTCTTGGCAGGGGCGTCGGCCGATGGCTTGTCCCTGTCGACGTGCATGACGCCGTGTGACGGACTCGAGTCCTGGGTCTGGGTTTGCCAAGCCGGTCCGTCCTCCGTCTTGGTATCCGGTTCCTTGGCGGCGGTGCCCAAGTCGGTCATGGCAAAGTCGGCCGAGTGGTCCATGCCTCCCTCGTGGCTGGGCATCATGTCCATGTTGGCACCAAAGCTATCGTCGTCATTGCCAAACGGCTGCTCACCCGCCGTCTCCCCGAACAAGCTGCCCGCGTCACTGCCCCCGAAAAGACTCTCGTTCACGGGCGAGGCGGCGGCGTCTCTGGCCGAGACGGCAAACTGGTCGGCTCCCCCGGCATCGAGCGCTCCAGACTCGTCCTTGAAGACGCCGTTGACGAGCGGGACGCCATTGTTCGTCGACACGGTGGTTGATTGGATGGGCTCGTCTGCTTCGACGGGGACGGGGTCACCGCTCGCGGGCCGCAGCTCGATGGAGGAGATCTGGCCGCCTGAGCCGTCGAAGCTGCGGGTGGTCTGGCCCGTGTTCAAGTCCCAGTCAAAGATGTTCTTGTCCCAGCCGCCGCTCAGCACGCTCTTCTCGTCTGGCGCCAGCATCAGCGAGCTGACGGCGTTGGTGTGCCTCTGCAAACACGCAATCTTCTTGCCCTCGTCGTGCCGGACACTCTGTAGGTTGATGCCGCCGAATTCGAGGCCGGAGAGGAGCCAGAGAGCTCGCGAGTGGACGGCCAGCGAGTAGACGGGTGACAGGTTGTGGTCGTGGTCCCCCCGTCCTGGGGCGGCTGGCTCCTCGTTTTCCCAGTACGACATCAAGATGCCGGCTTTGGTGACACTGTCAACAAACGAGTGCTTCTGGGCCACGGTCAAGGCCAGCTTGCCGTTGATGGTGCCGGGTCCGTCGTATTTTCGGATGTAGCCATCTGAACCGCCCGTTATCCAGTAGCGCAGGTCGGGCGTGATGGCCATGGCATTGATGCTCGTCGACTGAGGCGCGGCCATTGTTGGGACGATGTCGTAGAGTCGCGCTGTGATTGCCTCTTGCCGCAGAGAGGGCCGGAGGCGTAGCCGGGCAGCGGAAGGTGTCGGCGTGGCGGATTTGCTGGATTTGACACCCGATTCCCCGTTGGCATTGACGTGGCCATCGGCATTGGCATCGACGTTGGAGGCCGTGTTGCCATTGCCGCCGTCGTCGTCGCCATCGGCACTCGCACTCGCAGTCGCGTTTTGAGTGGCGTCGTCGCCTCCGTCATTGTTCTCGATTTCGTCGTCATTGTTCTCGTCGTCGTCGTCGTTGTTGTCATCGTCCTGCTCGGCATCGTTGTCTCCGTCCTCGGCATCCTCAATCACCTCGTCCGGCTCGTTGGGCCGGTCCGACTCGGGAGAGCTCGCCGAGAACCGGTCCTCCTCATCCATGGCTGCAGCGCAAATACACTGGCTCGGGCGCTGCTCGGTCGGGGCGACGGCGCGTGCAGACACAGCGTCCTGGCTCGTAGGAATCGAGAATCACGGCTTGTCCCTCGGCCTGTTGGGCAATTATTGCGTCCTTTGATGCGAGTACCGCTCTTGACAGCAAGACGACCCAAACCCTCTCTCAGTCTCTCCGCGGCACGCCTGCATGAAAGCGTGGATCGGTGCCCTGCGCAAGTACAATCGCTTCGATCGAGTCGGAGGAACAACATTGCATGGCGTGCTCTTTCTGCAGAGAGAAGTATCTTGTAGTTGCCTGCAGACTGCATGCATCCGTCGATGAACAAGTTGCGCAAGTACACACTTAATCTAAATTGGTCCACTTACAGCATGATCCGTGATAGTGAGTAACCGAGTCTAGACACCCTCCGAGGTACATGCCGGCCCCGAGACAAGGACCAATCAATGGGCAACAAAGTGGCAGACTCCAATAGAAAATGTGCAGTCGCTGAATAATCAATCCTTGGTCCAAATATTGTTCTTGTCTTCGTTGATAAGTCACCACTCTGCATGCCCTTTCACATCTCAACCAAGTCTTACCGTGGCTGCCCCTCAGCCCATGGACCATGCATTGGCTTCCTACACTTCCGTCGAGTAGTTGACGTGTGCGGCAAAGGAGTCCTTTCAGTGCCATCATGCCTGGGTGGACGGCACGAGTCCCGCTGCCGTTCAACGAGACTTGTGGAGGAATGACGGGCTCCATGAACAGCATATTGACTGGTCATCCGTGTGCCTCTTTGCACGGGTCCTTCAAATAGACATGTCACGATTGACGCGTGTACGGATCCTCTGGTCAAGGAGCAACAAAAATGCCGCTCGATGGCGTCGCGCGCAACTCGACGCCCGCCTGGACTTGCTATCAACGTGACCGAGACGAACAGACAACGCGTCGCACAGCACCCAGACTTGGAACTAGCACCTGGTAATGCAATGCGTCAATTACAAGGTAGTCTTTTTCGCCATTGTCCCGTGAACAACGCCTGGCCAAGCCTGACGCAACAACCAGACGAAAGTAATTCACAAACACTGCTGTCAGTCGGCATGATGCATTCCAGCGCATATAAAGCTGGCAACGGCACCCTCCACGGCAGACGCCGTCACCAAACCGACTATCAGGCAAAAGATGCCCCCGATCCCAAAGTGCTAGCAGTCCCTCGATCCTTCAAGAATGCCTCAAAAAACATCCAAGTCGAGCAAGCCGGAAAAGTCGAGCAAGCCGGGAAAGTCGGACAAGCCGGACAAGTCGAGCAAGTCGAGCAAGTCGAGCAAGCCGGACAAGTCGGACAAGCCGGACAAGTCGAGCAAGCCGGACAAGTCAAGCCGCCACAAGCCTTCATCGTCCATACTGGACATGATTGCCTCGGCCGCCACCGATCAAGAAAAAGCGCTCTCAGAGGCGCGCAACAAACGCCGTCGCTTGAAGAAGGTGTTGCAGGAGCCCCTTTTCAGGCTCAACTCTGCAAGAACGCAAAAGAAGCGACGTGAAGCATACGAAAAGGCCAAGGAAGATTACCGAACTTTAAAGGCGAATTTGAAAAAAAAAGGTATTTCAACTGCCAAACACCACTCTGTACCAAAACGTCTTCTTCCGCCACCAGAGGACGGGAACAAGAGCGAAGAGGTTGACGAGAGCGACGGCGGCACGGACGGAGAGCATGTTGACGAGAGCGACGGGAGCACGGACGGAGAGGAAGTTGACGAGAACGACAAGAGGGACTAGCGAGGGGGGCTGGGGAGAGAAAGACGTGCATCGTGCGACGGGGAGGGGCGGGGAGAGCCAGGAGAACAGCAAAATTGTAAACACACGAGAGACTAGATGACGTCGACGAGCAGAATCATGTCAAGGCTTGGGGCGAAGGGAGGGGGAGCAGGGCCCCAAGGGAAACGGGAAGAAACCGCGCTGCACATGACGGAAAACAGCACGCAATGTTTTTCAAGGGTATATATAGCCTCGCCACGGAGCCGCAGGGTCGTGGCACGGAAGCACACTCGTTAGCTTTGAATAGATCCATGACGCATCGGAAGAGACAACACCCATGGTCCACATGCCACGACGCCAAAAAAAGGAAAGGAAAAGAAAAGAAAAGAAAAGAAAAGAAAAGAGGGTTGCATGTGAATTTCCCAGACGGCACAGCCGCTTCCCACGCCCCTTCCAGCAGATGCCCTCGTCGCCCGGCCTCGGGACCACCAGAGAACGGACCAGGGCCACGTGGGATCTGATAAAAGCGAGCGGCCAATCGAAAAACCGGCACGACAACAAGAGCAGCAACGGCATGGACAGCTGTCCACATGGCTCTTGCTTGCTTGCCTCTGCCGTTGGGCAGCAGAGACAGCAAAGCAGGCAGGCAGGCAGGCAGGCAGGCAGACAGACAAACCACGCCCGGGACCGGGAGAGAAGCAGTCCCAGAAACAGTATACAAGGAGAGCAGCAGCAAAGCAAGCTACGCAAGTAACCACGGAACAAGCACAAGCGCAAAGACGACGAATAGGCGGTATATGAGTGAGCCCGAGTGTACGTGCTCTCTTCCCCTCGTCCCACGGACGACCGAACCGTGTGTTTACAACACACACAGATACACGCACGCACGCACGCACGCACAAGTCGGACATGTCTTCACAAGGCTGTCATGCCAAGGCAGTGTCACCGCCTGGCCGGGAAGCTCCATCACTTGGTTGGCCGTGGCCACGCTCGCCCGCCGGGTTCGCTCGGCGTGTTAGTCACGTCACCGTGGTGTTGGCAAAGCCGCATGAAACAGCCATACGAATGATTCGCGATCGCTCTCGAAACCAAGCAGCGAGGAGAGGGGGCGGAGGGAAGAGGGAAGCGCGTCGAGGACATATAAAGGTGCTGTCGTGCCCGAGGCGAGCAAGCGAGGCCGCCGACGACACGACACCCAAAACCAAAACCAATACCGTGCCTGATGGCCGCCAGAGGAAGACGGACGAAATCCTATCTGCCCGACGCTCTGGACGCTCTTGACTTTCACGATGCCCGGTAAACACAAGCACAAGGCCAAGTCTAGCGAGCACCGCTCGTCGTCGCCGTCGCCGTCTGGCCAGCTGCGGCGAGGGGACGAGGATGGCGGGCACCATGATGGTGCTTTGCAGGACCTGGCCGCTCAACACGAGAAGCTACAGCAGCTGGGCGAGGCCAGGAGCGGCGCCTGTTTCAAGGTGTTGCCGCCCGCGGAACGGCTGGCGTACAACAAGGAGCTGCGAAAACGAGAAGACAAGCTGCGGATACAAGGAGACAAGCTGGCGAGACAGCGTGCCCAGCTCGAGGACCAGCGGGCGCGTCAGCGGGTGTTGGCTCAGGGGCCGTTTGCCCCCGGCGAGGTCTACGAATACATTCACGTTTCGCCCTGGACCCGCGTCGCGGAGAGTGGCAAGTTGGCAGAGGCTCAAGTGTCCGAGTGGGCGGAGCGGTTGTTGCCCGAGGAAGAGAATAAAGAACCGGAGAAGCAGGCTGGCAAGTCTGGTGAGAGGAAAGTGTCGGGCGAGAAGAAGGGGAAGCGGAAGGAGAAGCATCATGCCAGCAGGCCTTAGTTAAAATCTGTCTGCCGCGCCTGGCCGAGCATGCACTATCTTGGACCACGGGGCGCGTGGAACTTGGGGGGGGATCTTGCCAATGTCAAGTGTTGTATCCGTTCGTGTCTGTTTGTTGTACGTACATCTCTACTCGATGAATCAAGAAACTACAGGTTCTGCAGGTTGCAACCACGCCGCTCCTCGTCATCTGCAGGTGAATCCAGACCCGTACGGGCGGCCTTGGTCCGAGTTACATGTCTTCAGGCTGGGATGGATATCCATCGGCGTGTGACTACGTCATGGCTGTGACTGTCTCTTGCCTCTTGTTGCCTAGGTATTCACGCCAACTTGTATGGGCCACTCGGCGGCATTGTAGCAGCCGTGTCACTCATCAAAGCGAGCTGAATGTCGAGAGTCGAGAGTCGAGGCATGACACAGTCGACAGTCCACGCAAGTTTATCGGACAAGACCAACCTCCAGACCCGTCTCAAGTACGCCCTTCACAGCGGCGTCCAAGGCCGCTCTCTGTAGCTTGAAGCAAAACGTCACGTTCGTCTTATTTCGTGCGCGCTGCCGAGGAGGCAAACGGGCCAGTCCGGCCCCGAAGTGGTCCCAGAGTTTGCAGCCGCGAGCTTCGCCATTCACCAGTGTCTCGAGAAAACCTACGGAAGCAGATGGAGGTCGGATTGGTTTCAAACTTGTCTCTTGTCTCTTCCTTGTGCCGGGGTTCAAAGGTTCCGTACCGTTGTTCCGTGTCTCAATTCAATCTTGCCTTGTCGACGACTACTACGTACAAACGTGCAACATGCAGCCTGCACGTCAACAACCACGTGCGGCGCCGGCATCGAGCCCTGCATGACATGCATGTTTTCTTTCAAGAAACGAGACATTCGAACATGACCCTCCTCGGAACATTGTTCTTGTCCACATGTAACCAGTAGCATTCCCGCGAGTTACCTTTTCATCCATTCATGTCCTTGAAAACGTCGTACATACAGCCACCACGTCATACACGTCGCATCGCATGCCTGAAACGTCGTCATATACAAGAGCTAAGTTGAAGCTTTTCTCGCTGCTCAATTTCAGTCAGACCTTGTCCTCTATAACATTCGCATTCCCTATTCATATCCTACACAGAGTTTAATTACCACCAAGAATGCCGCCCATTTCCAAACTTTGGCACAGGCGCGTCCATCCCGAATGCCTTTCACCTCGTCCGAGCCAGCCCTTTCTAAAGCGTCTGAAGGGGTTCAAAATTAATAACCAAGGAACCTGCCGGGTCCCCCAACGCCGTACAACATGTAATCAATGTTTTTTGCGTTGACACAGGAATCAAACTAAAAGGAGGGAAAAAAAAAAAGACAGCACATGTCCATAACGAGGTGAGCAAAAGGCGGCAACTGTTGCGTACTGCTCTGCCAATAATGAACAAGAAGCAGACTAAAGACAAGGAGACAAGAGAAAGTCGCTCTTCCCACGTGCATGGTCTGCACAATTAAGGGCAAGAAAGTAGTTGGTTTGCCGCAGCTAATTGTGGGAAACGTGGCCTGCCATCACGCCCTAAGTATTATCATTAAGTCGCCCGAATCGGAGTATAATGTGTGCGCAGCTGTATAGATGAGATGGGCAGTTTGTTAACTTTTGCATGAAATATCGGCATTTCTTGCAGAGCCGCGTCGACATGCTTTGCGGATAATGCAAGGATAACAAGATTAAGGACTTCAACAAAAAGAATTACTGTTGTAGACCATGTGGTCAAGACATGAGCAGAGTTGCTGCCCCATGAATAGTATCAAGTACCGAGGTTGGTCCGCCTCGCGTACTGCTCGCTTCGTCAGCAGTTGCTGTTGTTTCCTGCAGATGCCGCTTGTGTGTCATTGCCGAAGTACTGTATTACATTCCAGTCAGGGGGGGCAGGGGGAGCGTGATGTTGCGATGCCGGACTGCTCGACACAGGGCTCGCGAAATTAGGTGGCCAGCCATCGTATGAACCGCCCGCTGTGGAATATTCGTACTCCATCATGGAGTCCCTGATAGATTGGCTCGAGTTTGAGGTTGACTGCCGCATATCACGAGCGTGCCCCTCCATTGGCGAGCTACCGGGCCCCAGAGGGGACTGCGATGTAGCCAGAGGGGATTGGTTGGAGGAGTCGGGAGAAGGTCGGTTAGCCGGGGCAAACGGTTGCGAGGGAAGGAACACAGCGCCTTGTTGAAAAGACGGAGCAAAGGCATTCTGGTTACTGGGGCTCGTCGGTTGCAGCATTGGTGTCGGTTGATGGGCCGCCGAGGCAAGAGCGACGAAGGGCGGAGGGCGCTGCTGAGGAGGTACCATGGAAGCCGTGCCGCTGGCAAACGGTGGCGGCGGAGGAGTGGGAGCGGGAGGTGCGCCCATGACAATATCCGCCAGTTCGTAGGCGATGCCAACGACCCAATTCGCCTCGCTCTCGTCCCCGGAAAAGAACTCGAGGAGATCCTGAAGCTGGCCGGGGCTCTCCTTCTCTAGAAAGCCCTGAGCTCGACCCGTCTTGCTTGGATGCCAACTAAACTGAGGCCGCCTGCCATCATAGTCGGATCGCTTCCCGTCCACAACGGTATCCCAGGCTTCGCGAATGAGCGGCTGGTGAAGAAGGCCATAGATGACCCGAGAGTGCATCCAGTCACCCTTGGACAGTCCAGATTCGAAGTGGCGGGCAACATGTTCGACGTGCCGTTCCCTGGCGGGATGCAGGGCAGAACAAAAGCCGCACGCCCAGTACTTGCGTTTGCGCAGAAACTTGACTACCTTTTCGGCGTGGGGGCAAGTCTTGCAGCCGTGGCACTGCTTGTGATGTTGGTTGAAAGAGTTTGATCCCCAGAAGCTCCTGTTGCAGCCCGGTTCCGGACAGGGGTATTTTCTCCACCGTTCATGAAACTCGTCTTCGTGTCTCTTCCAGTCATACTTTCGCTTGAAGCTAGTCTCACAGGACGTACACCAGTAAATGTTTTGCTTGTTGACGCTGCCACTGCTACCGCTGCCTGCACTCCCGCCGTTGAGGGGCGAGACTGGGCCGCCATGCATCATTCCCATGTTGACGTGCGGAGGCGCCAATGGCATTGGGCAGGCGGATCGCCCAGATGCACCAGATTGCCATGACAATGCCGAGTGGGCCGAGTTGGTTGACCAGATTGATGCATGTCCTGAGGAACCGGAGCTGACAGAAGAAATCGAAATCCTGGGCCGGTGAGAAAACGCTGGGGAGGGGGCAGCGAAGAAGATGTGAGGTTCAATGTTGGCCAGGTGAGACCCGGTCGACTGGTCCAGGTTCGTCATTATCGTTCTCGTGTTGGAGGCAAGCGTGGGCGCGGAAGACCAGTTTCGGGACATGTCGTCGGCCAAGGATTCCGCCTTGATTTCGCCAGAGGCAATGCTGGACGGCGTCGAGGAGGCTATCATGGGGGGCGCTGGCGTTCGGCTGGAAGGAACGGTAGATGGAGGTGGTGGCGGGGGGCATTGAGGAGGAGGCGGTGGGGGATCACGCTGGGGAGCGAGTGACGTTGTTGGAGATGTTATCGTTGGAGTTGCTGGTAGCGACAGACTTGAAGCGAGTGTTGAAGTTGGTAAACCAGAATGCTGTAGCGACAGGCTATCGTCAACCCATTGATGGAGCATGTCCTTGGAGAAGCCAGAATCGATCAAGACCTGGAGGTTCTTGCGAGCCTCGGCAAGCACATCCTGTGGAGAGGCGTCGGCCGACGGCGACGAGGCCGTCGACTGTAACGAGAGCGGCTGCTGGAGCTGGTGATTCTGACTCTTGTCCATGGTGTATGCTCACATCGAGGGTAATAGACGATGACGGGTGAGGGTGACGAGGCACCTCTACGACAACGACGAGCGTTGAAGGACAGTCTCGAGTGCAACCAGACGGCGTATTTAGTCGTTGATCGTAGTGGTGTCTGGACAGAGTGAAAGGGTAGTCAGACCTCGACGGCGAGGAGGAGGGGATAACTTTAAAACCCCAAGCAGGACGATCCTGTCCAAGTGGTATGGGTACGGAGATGTACGGAGTTCAGAGTGCTAGTACTGGTATTAGGTTATTAGTATAAAAAAAAAGACCCAGGTTCTTGTCGAGCAAGACTCCGTGCGTGCCAGATACCCTGTCATCATGTACTCCGTACTCTGACAAGTTCCTAAAGGGGAGTCCCCGCGCGTATTAGTACGTACATGTGTATTATTATTATTAGTACGGGGGGTGTAAAAGGGGGTAGCACTAGTAGTTGACTTGTCCACTTGCTGCTGCGCATTGATAGACCCTGCCCTGAGCAGTTCCCTGGGCCAGGTCGCCAGAAAGGACTAGAAGAACAAGACGAACAGGCAAAGGAGACACCGATACAGATGAGTCGGTTACTGGACACTCCGTACTGTGCAGAAACTCCATCGGTCGTGTAATGTACGGTACAGTAAACCACCTCTATAACGATAACCTTCGTGAGCCTTTTTTCATCGTAATATAGCGACTATCGCTAAGATGCGACTATTGTGGGGTTGTACCTCCCCTTAGAAATTACTAGTAAAAGTATATATTAAGGGATTATTAGCGAAATTTGCCCCATTATTAGGAAACCCAGCCCCACCTAACCCCACTATAAGAAAATTCAGCCTAAAAAGTAGGGCCTTATAACGATAAAATGCATAGTGACTAAGCAAAAAGTCAACGATATCGTCAGTAACGCGACTATTAACGATTTACTAGGACTAGGGAAAAACCTTAGATGATATCGCTAAGATACAGGATCGTTATAGACATGGTTTACTGTATTTTGTGCTGATAAAATTGTGGGCAGCTGTGGCACAGAATACGGCCCTGTGAAGAGCTGGCTCACCTGGTGGTATTATGTGAAAGGGGAATCCGGGACTTCAGGTTTCCTTGCGCCAATATTCGGAGTGTTCCGTACCAGACGCGATGCGTATTCTGTCCCATCGTCGCCAGTCGGACAGTAGCAGCAGCAGCAACATCGCCATCTTGGCTTCAGGCGACTTTCCCCCCCGGTGGTTGTGTCCTTGGACCAACAGACTTGTTGCACATGGGGGAAATTGCGCAAGGACGGAGGAAAGGGTCCCAGCGTTTGGTGTGCACTGTTGTGCCGCAGGACCGAGAGAAGGCCACCACACCCAACAACCACCTCCAGGTCACCACCATCAGCAACAAACGGGGGCTGGTGTGGGACAGCAGGCAGGCCATGGAAACAACAGGTCCCAGGGGTGTGTGGGGGCCAGCAAGTCGACAAAGAGGATGGTGAGAAGGGAGTCCCAAGGCGCAGAATGGCAGTTGCTGGTCGGAGAACACGGGTGAGAAGTTTCATGTAGAGAGAAAAGGCCTTGCGCAGACTCAATTGAGGAGCGTTTGGCCGTGCTGAGCAGTGAGAGCGAACCTGTGCCTGCGTCGGTGGAGCGTTTGTCATGGCTCCGTTGTTTCGGTCGTGGCCCATCCTCTACGTATGCATGGCCGACACGGGCATGGCGAGCAGGGGTCATGGATCCCCGGTCCTCCAGCAATACCGTCTGCACAATATTGTAGTATTGTGCAATATGATATGGATGGAAATGGAAGCAGATTACTGAGTACTCCATGCATGCTGCACATACGCTGTACGGAGTACTCGGTAGTATATAACTACTACTAGTACTCGGTGGGAAAGACGGGCAATTTTGCTGTTGTAGGCGCCGCATGAGACCTTCTCTGATGAGGTCGGGTCCATGCGAAGCCTTGGTTTGGTCATGAAAGGCGTCATGGATCCCCCAGCTTGAATGGCCCATCCCCCTTGGCTCCCAACTCTCGTTCCGGTGCCTGACGAGCATGTGTGGGGATCGACTGGTTGGTTGGTTGGATGGTTGGATGGACGGATGGATGGCTGGATGGTTGCATGTCATGTCCTGCTTAAAGCCAGCCAGCATCAGCAACTCAATCGCAGGAATGAGCAGCATGAGCATGAGCAGCATCAGCGCCAGCAGCGTGGACGGAGTAGTCCCAGATTGGAACAGCGCGGACCGCCACCCCCAGTTGGCTTGCATGTTTCTTCGAGATGGTGCCTCGGGAAGCATCGCCGCGAGAGTCCAGCCACCAGGGGCAGTGGACAGCGAGAACCAGTGGATGCCGGAAGGGGCGCATTGGGGCCAACCCTGTCAAGGCCTGGCACATCAATTGATCCCCCTTGGCCCATCAGATCTCCCAACTCGCAATGGTAAGCTGCCCACACGAATTGGGGGACGGAGATCCTATCCTCCTGCGGACTGGCCAACGACGGCCGATTCCGCATCCAAACACCCCAGGAACCTCCCGCTGGTGTGGAGGGTTACAACTGCCAGAAGATGGAACACATATTGTATTGAATTGCATTGCATTAGAAAGCTGAGCATGCGGTAGTGAGTGAGTGCGACTCTTTGACTCGCTGTCCGGGCTGAGCCAGCCCTGCTGTGGTGTGCTCCGCCGACGTCCCAAGGCTTGAATGGGGCCGAATATTTATCACCTCCTCATTTGCCGAGTACTGTAGGTACCGGTGATGCGAGGTTTATCGTGCATCACGTGTGTTGGCGTAAGCGGCTTGCGAACGGGATTGTCTGAGCTCGTGATAGAATTTGATTGAGTGTTGACGAAGCGGAGAAGCGTGGCATAAGCGGCGCAGGCACGGCCGTCGCCAAATTGTGCCTCTCCGCCACCTGCTACGGACCATAATTAGAAACATGTGTGGTGTAACTGGGAAGTGAAGTATTGTAGATACTTGATGGCGACTCTTCCACACAAAAGATTAGTTGGGCCTGGTAGACAGTGGAGAGATGATCAGACGCTGAGAGGCTTTACAAGATAAGCTTTTGACGCATGGATGTAGTTTGCATCCGGGAGTAAGATTGCGGTGCTGCGACAACTGGATACGCTTGAGTGCAGTTGGCGGTTAGTGCTATGTAGACGACGTCCTTGACGACCAAAAGTTTCGGACCAATACGGAGTTCAAGGCGTAGTTGGTAGCAGGACGGAGTGCTGATGTTGGTGATCCACGTAGCGTAGCCCCAGACCCCTCTGCCCATGCAATGTTGCCCGCAGTTCGGCATGAAGTCAAACTCCCCAAACATGACGTCGCGTATTCGTCGCTATGACCCTGGCACACATGGGACAGGGACGAGAGGGGGGAAAATGTGGTGGCACTAAAGAGGCCGGTTGCCTTACTGAACAATACGGGGAGTGCAGAGCACGCAGAGCACGGGATCCAATGTCAGTGTCGGCCATGCGTTGCGCGTGTGAGGGATGATTCAAGCGGATAATGTATGGTGCGAGATTCAAGATGGAGTCAAGACTTGCCTCGCCGTTGCCTGCCCAGGGTTGCACTTAACTACTTTCCCAGTCACGTTCGGTCGAGGCGCTCTTTCCTGGTTGGGGGTCGGGAGTCGGGACACTGGATGAATGAATGTCCTGGGCAACTGCAGAGACGGCCGCGCTCGCGATTGCCTTTTGCTAATTGACCTCGGCACTTCAGCTGAACGATGGAGAAGAAGAAAAAATTGCGCCTTCATCATCTAGATGTGGACGGTGACACAATTGCATTTGCATCGCTAGATTCGACTGGTCATGGCGCTCTCTACTTCACATCGGCGTCGAAACTCGCTTTTTGCCTCCACCAGCAGCAACACACCGAAGTCGGGCCAAAACAGCAACACCCGACGATCGCTCGACCCGCCAAGTCTAAAGTGCCTTTTCGGCACCACTGACGGCTTTTAAGAATGGCTCTCATATTACCATGCTGGTTTGTCCATCAGTTCGTCATGCCTGGAGTACGGAGCACGCCGGGCGAACAGCTCGTTCGATTTGCAACAGCAGCGCTGCAAAACTTTGGTCCGTGCTTCATTACCGTCGGCAATGTGTTCAAGATGGAGCGCAGCGATTCCCTGCAGGATGAAGGGAATGAAGGGCATCTTTGGACACAGAAGCCAATCTTGTTTTTGTGCAGTTGCAGTTGCCGTCATAACCATGGCTCGAAAGCAATTCAGGTCCGTGACTCGGGGCTTTCTGTCACAACAGTTGAATATGGCTAGCTGGAAAGCGTCATGTCAACAACAGGTTGGACACACTGGCGGCTGACGTGTCGGTACTCCGAATAGGTGCAGATAAACCTCCCTAGGTGTTTGTGTCATGATCAGGGTCCGGGCGGGCGGCTAGACGCATAACGGGTTGTTGTTACAGCGATTTTGAACCCAACTCCTCTCCTCTGGCGGCGGCCGCTGGTGCATTGGTGAATGGCTGCCCGATGTCCATATCTCTAAACCTCTTCCAGCCTGTTGCCATGACCTCGATCCGCCGCTAATGCCAATGGGCCAAGGAATCGAACCTCACCCTCTTGACTGAACAGCCGCCCGGTCCCCAAAAGCCGAGAGACGGCGTCTTCGATAGCTCCGATCGTAATCGCCACGCCAAAGATGTGGTTTCTGCAGAGACGTCTGCAATGAATGTCGGGGAGCAAAATCCGGAGTAACAGGCACCCATATTCGTACGTTATGGCGGACTACCGAGTGCTTGGCTCGCCTCCCCACACAGCTCTCTCTTTCCTCCATGCGAGGGCGGAGCTTATGATCTGATCCAGGTATTTCCGCCTTTGTCTCGCCCCCGAAAAATCGCTACTAATTACGGAGTAAGGCACCAAGAACGATCAGCAATACATTTATTGGTAAGTGCGTGGACGGGTGTGTACCTGCATCCTTGGATCCATTGCGTTTCGTTAGCCACTATCGCCAGGCATCGGAAACTTGGCACTCTGAGAGGGATGCATGTGTAAGGTGTACATGCTTGAAAGTACGTGCGGACTAGGTCAAGGCGCAATGGCATCAGGCCCGGGCGACTTTCTGGGGCCAACGGCTTCTGCAGCCCCTGCCAATAGCCAGCACGAGCATATCTCGAAGTGCCATGTTTTGGGTGCAAGTCTGTCGTGCGGCCGTTGTTGCATGGGCCCAACCAACTCACCCAGCCCACCGTTTGGTAACCCGTTTGTACCGAGTTTTGCGAGACGACCCCGTCTGCAGAAGATGCAAGATGCACTTGTACCTGAAACCATCTGGACGGGAGCGGTAAACTGTCCCGGCAGGCGGCTTCCGATGCCACGATCCAACCGTGCCGTCAAACCGTCAAAGGCAAAAGTCATACGTCTCGGTACGTCAAACGGTTCCCCTAACGGAAAATACTAGGGCCTCATTTGCGTTCACAATCATGCACCGACGTCATGTACATACACGCCCTTCGTCACCCACCATCGCCATCCACTGCTTCAGTTCAGCCCCAGTGGTTATCGCAACACGTCTAGCAAAAACTGGACAGCTCGGGCCACTAGTAACCACCGGGTTCCGAAAGCAAAACTCGCGTGATTTTAAACTTGCCATGTCAATGAGTTGGCTGCTAAGTTTTCCTAGTTGAGAAAAGGAGGCCACATAACCTTTTTCGCCAATTTGGAGGACTGCACATGAGCAGGTTAGCTAAATAATCCTACCTAGGTCAGCTCTTTGTGGTTGCCAAGACAGCTTCGGTTTACAAACATGAACGGGCTAGTGATAGGGCACACCTTTCAGCTTGGGCCCAGCGATTCGCTTGCTCTCCCAAGTTGACCAATGCCTTGGAAGTCCAAAAACCCTTGGCACTCGCAGCGAAAAAGCTTCGAACAGCATCAGCACGACAGACTTTGGTTCGTGTTTTGAGCTTTGCGCCCGAACACATCACGACCGTGTAAAATTGCATTTGGAGACTGGAGAACTTCTCTCATATCCGGCAGGTTCATCCAATGGCAATAGTACTGTAAGTAAGGCGCTGTACTAGAGCAACTAGACCAAAGCTTAAAATGCTGACTATTTGCGAGGCACGAGGCGTAGCGAATGTGCAAATTCTTCGGATGTTGCTGGCCCGGCTGCCAAAGCACTGACTACCAAGCCCACTCCCCTCGACGGATCTTGTTTTTGCCAATGTTTAAATTTGACCGTCACGTCACCATGCAACGTTTCGCGTCAATTTCATGAAGCTGGCTGACACGCCGCTGCCGCCATGGCTGGGTCCCTTGTCTGGAATTTGGACCCTTTTCGTTAGTGGCTGGAGACTCGAGAGCACCTACCGGTTGACAGAGCCTCTGTCTTGGGCACCACGATCCACTCCATGCAATGAGGTTATATTTTTCCCGACTTGTACTGCTGGACCACTGCTCGCCACTGGGGCTGTAACCTGCAAAGGGCAAGGGCCTAAACATCAGCCTCCTGGGCCGTGCTACCAACCGAGCTCACATGGATGTTCCTTGTTATTACCTTGCGATTTCCTGTTCTTCTCGCCTCACGAAACAGCTACTGGAGTCTGATCCCATGGCCAGATCTCATCCATATCCTGTTTTCTTTTTTCGTCCATGGGAAATTTCGGCCGCCCGACATTGTCTGGTGTCATTGAAAAAGAGTTTGTTGATTGGCGACATTGCACAGCTATCAAAACATCAACGAATGATGACAACATCATCAGCGACTGTGCTTCTCTTGACTTTTCGAACCGCAATCGCACGAGCACATGCGACGGAGCGGGCGAAGAGGCAATCTGTCGAGGCTCAAGTCGGACTCACCAAGGACCTCTCTTGATCAATGCCACTCCCATGGTTGACTGTGTCTGCAGTGCACCGCCCACGCCCTTCTGCTGCGAGGCGCGGTTTGGCTTCTACAATGCCCTTCATACCTACGTTGGAGAAAGCCTCGACGCCAACACTCTGTCGCCTATTAAGGAACAGCCATAGAATGTCGCCTGATTTGCAGTTTTGCCAGGCCGCTATGTATTATATCGAAGCCGATGGGAAGATGATTCGGCCACCAATGGCGAGCATAACAAACAACAAACGAATAGGTTACTTGCGAGACAGACCGGTTCGCTGCGGCCCCTGCAAGGTCCACTCCCTGCTCGGGCCGGTTTCCGTCCATGTTATGGGCTCTGCAAGAAGCCATGAACAAGTATTGATCTTTGGCTCATCTCTGCTCTTTCGCGCTTCCCTTTGACATGTGGCTCCTTGTTGGCTTGTATGGACTGGTGCCCCGTTGGCCTCAATGGTTCGTCCTGGGCCGGTTGTGACCACTGACAATCATCTTAGGCCTCATCTTGTGCTGGGCGATTTGTCTGACCTTGACTGCGGCAACTGTGTCCAAATATAACGGTTGATGGCTGTATCATACCAGTACGGAGTACGGAGTACGGAGTAGTATTGCCATGCTCGTGTTGCATTATGGCACCGCAGCTCGCGAGAGACACACCCGGGCTGTTATTTCAGGTTGTCAAATGACCTGTCAAAACTGGGACGCTGGTCCCTTTCTGGGAACGTAACAAGTCATCAGTGAGGGCGAGTCACGACGCAACCGTTGGCTTGGCCGCCTTTCAGCTCGCGTGGTTCACGTTTTTTGCATACCGACTTCCCGAGTCCAACTACAACTAGTAGCATCATGTCTCTCGGCTTTTTTTAGGCACGACACAAGCACACCACAATTCCCGCTGCGGAGCTTCGAAACGTTTCTTTCTTTTTTCCTCCCCTCCATGTGATTATTGCCGACTTCTATGGTCTATTCGGTTTCCTTACCGCACGCCTCGGCCCGTTAGCCGAGAGTGCGCTGGAATCGTGGAACTTGATTCACTCAACGTCTCCGGGGCCTGTTATCAAGTCGCTTGAGCTACGTACGTACGCCTTGAGAGATGTCGCCGTCGCGTCGAGCGCCGATATGCAAGGAATGTTCCTCACATGACTCTCACGTTTTCTTGGTTTGACTTTTTTTTTCCCCCTCTCGCAGCCTTGGGCCTGCCATGCTGCCAAAATCCTTGGCCTGCCCCCCCTGGGCGGCGATCCATCTTTAGTTCATCCATATTTAGGACTAAATCTGGAAGTGAAACGCGGGTCCAGGTCCAGGTCCAGGTCCAGCCTGCGAGCAACTGGCTTGGCTGCCACCGTACGGAGTACTGCACAAACTCTTGTTGATCATGCAGCGAGTGCATGGAGTAGTTTTTTATCGTCATACATAGTACCACCCAGGGTGTCAGAGCATGACCAGTCTAGTTAGTTGCTTGCCGAGGACGGAAAGTCAACACGACAGCCATCCAGGAACCCGGACGCGTTGCCCCCGTTCGTTGCTCCTGCTGTCTGTCTGTCGAGAAAGATGACGAGCCCCGGCGGCAAATCGCATCGAATCACCCAAAACACGCCTGCAAGCCACTTGTTTCCGAAATGAAAACCCTAGATAACAAGCCTGTTTCGGCACAGCACCGCCACCTGGATATCTTGATGCCTCGGCTCCTCTGCTCCCCGTCTACTATCGTGCTACTTACTATCTTTGAGTCCTGTCAGCGGAATAGCAGTGGTTTTTTTTTATCTCTACAGTCTTCCTCCCTCCGGATCTGAACCTTGTACGCAGCATGAATCGTGGTGGCTGTGCCCGTGTCGAATTGGGCTGGATGCAATTGATTCCGACAATGCCCTTGACATGCACATCGTACCGCGTACCCGCGGGAGGGCGATTGGGATGAAACGACTCGTATGTACGTCTGTGGATCAGAGAGGCACTTTTGCACCATGCGGGTTCTATGGTGGCACCGAGAGTGAGATATTGGCATCCATGTCAGGCTTGCGCATATCCTCCTGTGCATGAAGACGGCGGCGGAAGAGAGTTGAGGCTGAGCTGGACTGGGGGCCCCGACAGCATCGGACATTTACTCTTCGGCCCTCCCTGTCCTCGAGGAGAGAGAATGCGAGTCTCCCAAGGCGACGAGTTTGACGGCAGTCGCGGGCTCAGTCGCGTATCACACCCTCAGTGTTGAGCTCTCCAGTCAAGCTTCCTCGGCGACGAGACACGGGAAGCGTGATCCTGTGGTGGAACAGAACATGTTTACAAAAAGCCTTGCTCTTGGGTTTGACATGGCATTCCATGGACGTATGCGCCCAAACATGGCGGGCATGGAAGTTCCAAGTAGAACCTCTGTCCTGTTCATATCGGGGGACTGTCCAGCTAAACTGCGTACATGGACACAACAGGCCTCACATGCGCATCCGGGCCGTCATGCATTCCTTGGGACTGCTGTGCGTACAAGTACAGCCCAGCACAAGAGTCCCATCCGATGATGCCACCATCTTGAAACGCTCCTTCTAACCTCATGATTCATATGGTCCCTCTTTCCCACTTCTCCAGCAGCTGCCTCTAACCGCCTCGGAAACCGAAACGGGGACGACAATGCATCCCGCGAAAACACACAGAGCCAAGTACACCGCGGTCATACTCATACGCCCCTCACATGTTAGTCGTAATAGACAGACATGCGGAAATAATACACGTCTTGCTCGTAGCAATCCACTTCATCCCGCGGAACAAGACAACACCACGTCCAACAGGGCAGTCGGCAGACCCCCCTAGGCACTGGTGCTGAAGTAGTAATTCTCCCACAAGTACTCGTAGTCGTCCAAGATGCCGGCCACGAAGCCGGGCATGCGCCTGGTGACGGCACCGACGACGCCGGCCGTGACATTGTGGTAAAAGGCGCCCCTCATAGCCCACCAGGCCATGGCCCATCCGCGCCTCTGCCACTCGTCCCTCTCGAGCGCCGTCGTGCGCAGGCTCGTGTCGCGGAGCTGGCGCGCGGCGCACTCGACGGCCAGCCCGACGGCCCACGGCGCCCACGACGTCTTGCTGCCGCTGCGCGCGAGGGCGACGGCGTACACCAGCGGCGCCAGGACATGCAGCACCTCGGCGGCGCGCGACGCCCCCTGCAGCCGGTTGAGCAGCTTCGCCGCCGGCTTGATGTCGTCGGCGGAGAGCACGCGGCCCAGCAGGTACGAGCTGATGTCGCCGGGGTCCGGCAGCGACGGCAGACTCATGCCCGTCCGGGGCATCTTCCACTCCCGCTCGTGGGGGCGCTTCACGTCCATTGCTGCGGAGAGGCCGTGCGGCGGCAGCCGGGCCTTGCTCTCGTGCCGCGTTTCGTCCCCTCCGTCCTCTTCGTCCTCTTCGTCCTCCTCCTCCTGCTTCTGCTGCTGCTGCTGCTGCTCGCCCTCATCCTCGGGCATGGCCTCTCTCTCGGGCAGCACGGGCGTCACCAGCGGCCGCGACCGCGTCACCCGCAGCAGGAGCAGCCTGCAGGCGGCCTTGATGCCCTCTATCAGCACCACGACTTTCCACCGCGCGCGCTCCCCGCCCCTCCTCTTGGCCGTCATTTCGCACAGCAGCTCCGTGTAGACCACCATCTGGAGCACCATGGCGATGCGGCGGTACAGCTTGCTCTTGTGCGACCAGAAGCGCGTGTAGCGGGCGTGCGCGTTCCGCAGTGGCGGCGGCACGGGGAGCTGCGACACGGGCCGCGAGAGCAAATTGTCGTGGTATAGCGAGAGGAGCTGCACAAACGAGTGTATGGATTCCGAGGCGATTTCGGCGTCGCGGAAGCGGCCTGGGGCCTAGGGTTTTAGTAACGTTGACTTGGGGTGTGTGTGCGCGCGCGCGCGCCGGTATTGAACAGCAAGCGGCGGTACGCACCAGGGATAATGTACGTCAGGCTTCGCAGGGCGCTCTCAATCTGCGATACCTGGCCGGCATTCTTGGTGATGAAGTCGTCGTACATGGCTAGCCACTGCGGCGGCATCGAGAGGATCTGGCCGACGCTGGGCCGCGGTCTCTGTGCCGCTGGCGCTGCGGCGGCAGGCATGCTGCTTATTTTTCTTCTTGGGATGATGCCGCCGTCGTCTGGCTCGATGGAGGGACGACGGTACGCGACGTCTGCCTATGTGCGTGCGTGCGTGCGTGCGTGTGTGTTTGTGTGTGTGTGTGTGCGGGTGTATGTCTGTGCCCGAGGACGCTGACGTTGATGGGAACCCGAGCCGAGGTACGTCAGGAGTGCGTCGGCCACTCGCCTACCCTGCACCTGAGTTGCCAACGTCGGGATGAACGGCGGCGTTGGCCGTGGGGGTTAGATGGAGGAAGATATTACTACTTGACATGTGTGACTGAATTCAAAATGTACCGCCAGGTCTGGCGACATGTTGCAACGTCGAAGCGTGACCATGACCGGTTCGGCCATCAAATGACTTTCTATCAGCCACGCAGACAGTCTGCCCTCCCAACTCCAAGCGTTCACCACACTTACTGCCATGATGCCCAGCATCCAGCGCCATCCTCTGCTCATTCATCGTGGAGAATCATGATATACAGTGCAAAAATCCCACTATCCGTTTACAATGAAGGTACCTACAAGCTCCCACCTGGCTCGACCTACCTATAGTCCGTACCCTGGTTCAACATGGCAAATCCCACCTGCTCCAACTCCTTCCCAGTCGGCAACATTGGCCGGCCTTGCATTGGGAACGGCCAAAACAACGGGTTCTCCAGGCTCTCGGCCGCCTTTTCCACCAGTCGACCCTGCTCATTTGCCACCAGCCGGTTGCCTGAGCCCCAATCGCAGATAAAGTCCTCTACGCCGACATTGGGGGCGAAAAAGTTCAGACTGCTTGTGTATGGCCGCACCAACCGGTCGTAATCCTCCGGCGTCAGGTTGTTGTTATCGAAATCCACCTCAATGTTCCACTTCTTTGCAAGATACCGGAGGATGTTGAGTGCCTGTTCTGCGAAGTGGTGACAGGGCGCCATCTCCGTCAGATCGGCGATGCCCTTCTTGAGTGCTTCTGAGACACGAGAGTCAACCTTGACTGCCTTCTTAATATCTTCAGGCGTGACCTTGCCCGGGTTGACGTCGAGCGCGCCCGACGCACCAATGGCGAGGTGCATTATCGAGGCGGTGAGCACGAAATATGGCACAAAGGAAGGTGTGCGCCGAAGAGTATACAATTGTGAGTATGACGTGAGAAGGCCCTGAATGGCGTCGGCTGCCTGGGAACAGACGTCCTTTGGAAGAATCTTCGACCCAATGATGCGAAGTTTGATCAAGGGACGAAATATAAGAAGAATCGCGAAATGATAATACATGCTGGGACACGTTAGCACCCAAGATCCCAAAGCCACCAAACATACAAAAAGCATGACTCACTGGGCAAACAAGACGGCCGGGGTAAAGTTGTGACCCAGCCGCAACACCTCTGGAATTCTATCGTACCAATTGAGATATTGCGTGTAAATCTTCAACAGTTCCCTGGCTGTCAATGGCTTCCCTGGAGAGTGCAGGATGTACAGTGACTGGTGCACCAACTCGCTGAGCTCGCAAAAGCACTTGTATACGGACCGCACGTTTGAGGGCTGTTCGCAGGACCGTTGGAGCGGTGCTCCTGTGCAGTTGAGTTAGCAATTTCTTTTAGGAACTTCAACCTGCATCACCGGGGGCCAACGCACCGTCATCTGTGTACGGAACCCACAACGAAGCCTCGATGTTGCCGATGATACCGGGCTTGGGTGGCAGGTGTGGGAAGCAAGAGAATTGAGGTAGTGATCCCGTCGCCAGGGACCAGGCACTACCAGGACATCAGTACCGGCGTAAAATCTGGGCTCAAAACACGAGTCTTCACTTACTGGTCGAGAGCAAAAGCCCCCCAGAATGTGGCCGCCTGAACGGCCAACTCATCCTCATCCAAACCGTCCTGAATTCGGTGCAGCCCGACCTCCACAGCCAGGCGTATGCTCTGTCCAGCGTAGTACCAGCTTTCTGAATCCCGGCCACAGCTCGCCTCTCGAATGGACATTATGCCGAGAGCCTGAATTGTAGTCAAGGTATGGTGGTCCGTTTCTTGATTGGACAGTCTTTGGGACTCTTTGAAGAAATGGTCACCTGAAGTGTACGGATCGTTGGGATTCGCCCGCGTCATGGGGTGTGTCGAGAATCGACACCCCAGAGCCAGGAGAGCATTGACGAGAATGGGGGAGCAGTATCTGTGGCGTCCGTCTTGAAAGTCCTGTAGGAAGTGTTCTTTACTTAGCGATGCGAATGTGGGGTATTCCCAGCAAAAGTACAAGGCGAGGAGGTGTTGGACTAGATTTATGTCGCCAGTGATGCTCGTCCAAGACTGAGCTGGTGCCTTCATTTCTGACTCATCCATGAAGGACAGAATTTGTTCAAGACCTCTATATCTGGGCATGGCAGAACCAGACATGTGGTCCAGTGGCATGCTTTCCGCCCACGAGCCCACTCTTGTCTGTGGAGGTCCTGAGGCATTGTCCGAGGTCCAGTTCATGGCGTCCGGGTACGAGCTGCTTCTCGTCGAGTCTGCTTGGCTTATTGTCCACGGGCTGTTCTGCTGCACGTCGCCTCGCACACTGGGTTGCTTAGCTACCTCTGTATCGACTCCCAGGGACAGCTGGCCTATGCTGTGGGAAGGGCCGGCCCCGAACCCCGAGCCCGAAGCTGAGCCCATGACATTATCGCCGCTGAGATCGGAAGCCAATACTGTGCCTAGCCAGTCGGATATGTTCTCAACGGACTGGCCGCCGCGAAGCCGCCGCAGTACCTCCTCCCATGCATCTGGTCTGACGAGAGCAGCAAAAACCTGATCGCTGGACCGCTGGCGAAGGCGGAGACCCTCAATCTCGGTCCGAAGATTTTCTTTGGATTGGCGGACGGGAATTTCGTATACGCATTCGACATCTTTTTGAGCCTTGCAACGCCCACACGGCCTCAGGCCGTCGCACTATGAAAATGGGAACGGACGTGTCAGTATGGCTTACGAAACAGCTTGCATAGACCAAAGCTTCAAGGTGAGAGACGAGCGACGTGTACACACCTTTGCTCTCTTCTTTCGGCATTCCGTGCAGGCATTCGGGGTGACCACGCCAAGACCTCTCCTCCGCTTCGAATTCTGCGTGCTGCTAGACTGTGGCTTTACGGACGACGAGGACGACGCGGCGGGCGTAGGAAGGTTCTGCGACTGGGTGGACTGCGTGCCAGTGGTTCCCTGAGGCGTGCTGCCCGAACTGGGCTGGCTCGGACCCGACGGGGTATGGCTACTGCTGTCCCCGTCCATGATTCTTGGCCTGGAATATAAACCGCACGAGGTGGGTTGTCGAGGGCTGGGTTCCCGTATTCAGCGCCGAGGCGGTTCTGCAAGAAGCCACGACAAACAGCCCAAGCAGTGATGCCGGGCTGGATCCAGGCTCTCTCTGGTTTGCAAGCGAGGCGACACCCCGATGTCGCGGGGCGCCGGATGCAGTGCAATGAGGGAATGAGAAGTAAATCAACCTGTCCTGGGCTCTACCGTAGAGTAAGGCTTTATCCCACGTGGACAATCCGAAATAACCAGATATATATTTTGGTGTTGAGGCGCCTCGCATAGGTAATACATTCAAGGACATGGCGCGCGGGGAAGAAACAGCAACGATGGGCGACTGGGAGTGAAGCAGCAAGCGTGGATTTGCGCAGGCCTCGCCAGACAATGGTCAGCAACGAGGCACTGGAAACGGCATCGGGATCGATTTCGTATGTCCCACGGCTATGACTGTTCGGATGGGGAGGAGCGGACGAAGGCTTTGAGCTGAGCGGCGATTTGAGCGGTGCAGGGGTCGCTCGGCGATTTCAGCTCTGTCGATTGTTATCGGTGGTTTGAGCTGGCAAGCTGCGGGCGCCAGCCAAGAACCAGAGAAAGTCAGCGTGGGGACCGCCTTGTCGGGAATGGACATTCAACGCTGTGGCAACATTGGCTATTTGCCGCAACGGCGGGCTCCACGGGAATGAATCATGGGAATCGAGCCTCTATCGATAATTCCCGCTCCGTTGCACCCTGGTCGACTTTGAAGCCCCTGGCGCCCGGCCTTCTGTGTTTTTGCGCCGTTGATTGGCAAACATGGACCGTGGACCGTGGACAGGCCGGGTGGCCAAGGGCCCAACAAGGCGCTGTCGCAAATTCAATGGTCCATGGTCGCATTGCTACCGAGCAAACTTGAAGAAACCGCCGTGGGAGAAAAGAGAGTGCCTCGGATGGGTGCCAACGTGGCAACTCTAGACGACTCTTGAATCGGCTTAGCAACAACGAAATGAACAACGACCAATGTAGGCCTGGCCATACGGCTGCCCACGAGGGCCCCAAAATCTTCAAGACTCGACGCTTTGTGTGAGGTTGGGCCAACGAGATTTCCGCAACGCCACTCGGCCGTCGTCTCGACTCTCCGCCTCAAGTGTAGGCGCCCAGCTAGCGAGAACGGAAAGTGCAACTGGGGGTCGGGGCAGGTGGCTGGTGGCCCACTTGCCACACGGCTGCCAGGTGCCGCACTACTATTTCTGCGTCAGCCGCAGCTTGGCATATAAATGATAATTCGGCGGAGAGAACCCAACCTGGCATGAATACAGTCACTTGGAATTACTGGTTTCTTGGTGTCAGACACTGTTCAATTTCGATTCCAAGCCATGCCGTGCCGTCACTCTGTGTGCTAGCCCAGCGTAGCCAATTAAATACCTAATACCGAGGCCTGAATCCATCTTACAATCTCCAACGGCCTACAGCATACTTCAAGCGCTAGGCTTTCGCGTCGTTAATATCCCTTGCTTGGACCTAGTCCATACTTGATGGGACTTGATTGACTGTTCACTTTGCTAGGGCTTCGCCGCCCTGCCGGCGTGTGATAGGGTTTCATGTTGATGGGGGAATTGTCTGTGTCGGTTCCCTCATCCAACAATGCCTGCCGCTGCATCCTCGGCGTCTGTACCGGGACGAGCATGTAGCCGGGTGTAATCCCGGGAGACCTGACATTGTCCTGCACGTCTCCTGCTGGTTGAGATGGCGTAGGGTGCATTCCCCTGTGTCCGTGTGACCGACTGAATGCCCTGAAGTTGACCGTCGAGCATATCGCTATGATGGCCACAATGACGCCCTAATCCATGTTAGTCTTCGCCTTCGATCACGGTCCAGATAGCCAGCATACCCATGCTTTGAGATGCATCGTTTCGGTAAACTCGTTGATTATTTCGGCTACTTGTTTTGCGGTAACCTTGACCCTCATGATGGCGTCGGGATCTTGCATCATGCACTCATACCACTCGCTGCATGGCTTGCTCAAAGCCGGTTTGTTGTTGTTTGCACAGTCGTTGATTGTGTAGTCGTGGCGGCAAGCGTCCATTGAGCTGACTATCTTTTGGTGCGCCGCCATGTTGGCGTTGGAGATATCCGTCCGAATGGTGCTCACGACGGACCAGCTGACATACGTCAACACAGAAACCAGAAAGACGTTGGCGCCAAGTTGCATCCATCTTTGCATGTGATCTGGAGTATTGGGGTACTTGTTGAGTGCGTAGAAGAGGGACTCGAAATATCCCCTTCCCCCGCGGGAATCTCCCTTGCCCTTTGAGCGACTTCTGGACCTCCGAGCGCCGCCAACAGCGTCCGAGTCCGAACCCGAGTCGCAGGAGTCGTCTTCATAGCCACTGTGCCGAGCAATGCTGCCGACATCCTTGTCCAAGTTGTGCCGTTTCCGTTTTCGCATCGACACATTGAGGTCGCGATGCGCTCGAATTTCTCCCTTCCCTGAAAGGTGCTTCTTGGAACTGGACTTTCCATAGCGAGAAGACTTGTCAATTTTGAGGGGCGTGATAGTTGCGCCCATGGAGACGTCGGCTTTACGGTCTACCTCTGGGGTGTCGTTTGGATAGTCCGAAACCTCTGCGGCTGCCGGGCTGTCCTCCGCACCAGATGCCTCGGAAAAGACGACTTCATCGACGGGCTTTCTAGGAGTTGTAAACGCGGGGTTTCGGAATGGGGGCGCTGTATTTCTCGACGACAGCTGGGGCGTAAACTGAGATGTTTGAGGAAGGCTGAACTGCGATTTTGATGGTGACTGAGGGTGCGCGAAGGGATTCGGGGGTCGGGCTGTTTTGAACGGTGATCCGACAGCTGGGCTGCTGTGTTAGATGGATAGTGCAAGGAATTGCGGCCATCAACAGTTTTTTCGCAAGCAAGGGCAATAGAGGTATGGAAACCTACCGCTCCGTTGTATATTCTTGGCAGCTTGCGCAAAAGGGCTGGTTGGGTCTAGAGGGCCGTTGTCCTGATATTCCCAGTCCATAGGGCCCTCAAACGATCTGGCGTCCATGCTCGTGGAATATGAGTAGACGAAGGGGCTATTAGGTGCCGTGAAGGACCACGATGCGAGCATCACCAAGTCAAACCGTGGACGTCGACGTCTCGTGAGCGGAAGTAAACAACACATTGAGTGGGTCTCATGCGGTGGCTAGTTAGAATGTTAAAAATGGGGCCATTATGTCAGCAGGCCAGGGCCCTTATTGAAACCCTGAGCTTGATCTTCCTAGAGCATTCAAAGTATTCGTCGGGGGCAACGAGGAGAAACCGACTTTCGCGAAGTAGGGTGCCTCTGCTAGCCGCGTCTATCGAAATCATCGTGTTCTTTGTTGTCACGCCGATAGTGCACGCTTTCCAGCTCGGGTTTTGAGCCTGCCGCACGCCTTACCTGGGCTTTTCATTTCGACTTGAGGCATTCTCTTTCCTGGGCAACATCTACACCTCGGCATGTCTGACCGCGAGTCGCCCGCTGATTTGGCGGCAAACGATGCAGTTGATGATGGAAAGGAGGCGGAGTTCCAAGATGAGGTTGCGGCAGCTGATTCAGACAGAGACTCGGACGCGCTCTCGGAAATCGACGAAAACGAGTTCGAAGACTACGATCCAGAGACGGCCAACATCGAGGACCGGCCAGTGGATATCGACGAAGATATTGCGCGCACTCTCAAGGCTACCAAGCGAAAGCGTGTAGCTGGAGATGCTCCCAAGAAATCTCGAGAGGGCCGTCGTGAGAAGAAGAGACGAGACCGCGATGATGATGTTGCGATGGAAGATGGATCAGAGGTCGATGGAAAGGCATCACGACGAGCAAGACGCACTGGCGAAGGGGAGAGACGGCGAGCAAAGCCTGGTACTCCTGAGCCTGAGAATGAGGAGGAGTTGAGTCCGGAAGAGCGAAGGAAGAGAGCCATCGACCGAGCTTTGGATGCAGCTATCAAGAAGAGCGGAACAACAAAACGTCGGCGCAAAGACGAGATTGTAAGCCAGGCGGTGAGGAAGTAGTTGTGTGCGTACCTTGAGACTAACGGACTGCCGCAGGACTTGGAAGATGAGATTGATGATCAGCTTGCCGACCTGAAGCTCAAGATGGAGCGAGCATGCCGAGCCGACAACGAGGCGCGGGAGTCCAATGAACCTGCCATTCACAAGCTGAAACTCCTTCCCGAGGTCAACGCTATTCTGAACCGAAACAACGTGCAACATGCCGTCCTAGACCCGGATACCAATTTTTTGCAACATGTCAAGTTCTTTCTTGAGCCGCTCAATGATGGATCTCTGCCGGCATACAACATTCAGCGAGACCTCTTTACAGCCATGACCAAGCTGAACATTGAAAAGGAAGCGCTTCTCAGTAGCGGAATCGGAAAAGTGGTACTATTTTACACGCGTAGCAAGAAGCCAGAACCCAGCATCAAGCGAATGGCCGAGAGGCTGCTGGGAGAATGGAGTCGACCTATTCTGAAACGAACTGATGATTACAAGAAGCGACAGATTGAAAGTCGCGACTACGACTACCAGTACGTGAGAGGCTGTACTTGTTTGCTACGTTGTGGTGGCTGGGGGGGTGAATGACAGGCTGACATGACGATTTTAGGGCCGCCAAACTGGCACAACGGCAAAAGATTGGATCGCAATTCAGTCTCACGCAACGGCCAGCCATGTCGGCGCGTGATGCCCAGCGCGAGCGTATGCTGGCACCAGTTGGGTCTAGCAACCGAGCGCGCATGACGAGTCTTCCGCAGAGCTACACCATTGCGCCAAAAAGCACGTTTGACGGCACCAGGGGCTCAGAACACAGGCCGCTTGGCGCGGGCGGCATGGAAGCGTTCAGAAAGATGACGCAAAAGACCAAGAAGAGGGGCTGAAGCTAGGCCAATGTTGCGGTTTGGTGGAGCGGGAGCTTGAGCGGCGAGGTTGCCATGTTTGCTCTCTTCTTGCTGATTTGCAGATGATTGGGGTTGGACTGGATTCACTAGGAGTTTAGGGTTTAGGTACTCCGTATGTAAGCAAAATAAGGCAAGGCAATTCAAGACTGGAGCTGGTGGTTGTAGATGCAATTGACTTGGACGAACTTGGCAGTTTTTTTTTTTATACGATAAAATACGGCCAACTAAAAAAAAAAAAAAAGATAAAAAGAAAAACAAGGAAACCTTAGGTACACCCAAGTAGGAACAGAGGGGATCTCTTGGTGTGCTGGAGGAAGCGGCGGTTTTTGATGCTTGAGGCAGCAATGTGCATGAATGTTGGCTCTTGACTGGCCGATGGCTGGCAGGTGACGTCAAGCACCGGAGGCACCAGATGCGGTTTGGTGTGGGGCTACTTCTCGACAAAGTGAGTGCACGAGTCAAAGGGGCCTCCTCAAAGGCAGGTGCGTCAAGGTGCTGCGGGAGGTTGTAACGTTAGTAGGTACTTAGACGTCCAGGCCGCGACGCAGCGTTGAATGCAAAACATTTGAACGTTGGACTAGTACGGACCACCAAGTAGCTGAGCCAGGTGCCAGGTGCCAGGCCCCATTGGCCCGGGGGCATCCGTCGGACTCGCAGACATTCTTAAGTAGGATATTAACTACGGAGTAACTAGTTAGTTACTGCTAGCTCGGGAGCATTTTCTAGCCCAACAACTGTCCCAGTCTCAGTCCCACCATATCGATGAGCCGGGCCAACCGGTCGGTTCAATGTTGTTTTCTGTTCTGTGATGGCAGTCGAGTTGGGCCCCCGATCAACCAAGGCAGATTCCAGATTCCAGTCTCCGCGTCCCGCCTGGCAGACAAACACTTTGGCGCAAAGCGAACCAAGAGACAGAAAGGGCTTGCGACGCCGACACCATCCGCCGATAACTGACTATTTTCTCGTTTGAGCCTCTTTCCCCCCGCGGTTGAGCGCGTCACTTGAATCCGCCCTCGCCGTCTTCAACACAACCCGTCGCCGCCGCCGCCGCCGCCGCCGCCGCCGTGGTCGCCACGTCTGTCTACGGCAGACTGTCCATGACCAGCATACGATTGATTCGGCCTACATTTCTCATCTCAGCACCGAATCGCAGACTTGGCAGCTTTGCGCCTGTGGCCTTGTGCGCGACCAATCCCAGCCGCGGAGCCATCAGGCCTTCCGGCCTCGACCTGGCGACACATCACCCGACTGCGACGTAGCACCGACGACGACATCATAGACGTGGCCAAAAGGCAGAGGCGACAAAGATGAACGGTCATCAGCCGCCCGAGTCCGAGAAGCCTCCCCTTGGAGAGCCCGACAACACGGGCTCCAACGGAGCTGACACGCTGGCCAGAAAGCGCAAGAAGGACATTCTCAAGCCCATCATCACTACCGAGAGCAAATCGCCGCCAGCTGGGCAAGCGCAGCCGAGCCCAAAAGACGCTACGATTGGGTGCGTATAGATGCCGTTGCTATTTCTTTTTGTCTGAAGCTATCCTGCCCCCTTTTGCTTGATTTGGTTTCTTTTTTTTTTCCCTTTTCCACAGGTGTGGACTAGTCCTTTTTTAAAATTGAGCAATCTGCGAGCCATTTACAATCTTTTGTTGCACCTAAGTAAAAAATCAACAAGAAGAAAAAAGAAGAAAAAAGGAGAAATTAGAGCAAAGAGAAGACAAGAAGACCATTGAAAAAAAAAACCGCCTCGTCCCTCTTCTCTTGGCTTGATGACCAGGACAGACATGTTGCACAGCCTGGACGACTGGACGACCAACTACGCGCTGCTGGCGTCATGCAGTTCCCGCCGCAGCCGGAACCGCGCTACGTTCCTGCGGCGAACATTGACGGCTCAAGTGAGAGCATGCATGCACTCGGCATGGGCAGCAAGAAGTTTATTCTTCCGTCGAGCTCCCAAAGCTGCATGCCGCTCGACGTGGTTCGCGGGACGTGCTCGACGGGCAAAGCAGGCAGAGGCTGGGACGTTGGGCGCAGCGTGCAGGGCGGCGGCACTTGAGCGCATGGGCCCTAGCAGACGGAGCAGCAGCTCGCAACATGGGACTCGACAGTGGCTGGGTTGAGGGATGGCACGCTGCTGGGACTCGGGAGTCTGGGACGTTTGAGCATCTGACATTTGCTCGTGAGCCGCAGCACTGTGACTGTGTGCGTGCAGCCTCGCGCCTGGGCCGAATGCAGCCAGCAGACCAGCAGCAAGTCTCTCGACAAAGTTGCATTCTGGTACGGAGTACGGAATAGAGGGCAGAGAGACTGGGTGCCTGCCTGTGCTTGGTGGTGCCCCGGCCCGCCCCAGCAGCCCCCTGGGCCCCCCAACAAGTGCCTCGCTCGACAGGAAAGAGGGAAAAAGCGTTCGATGCCCGCCCCGGGGCAGCCCCTCTGGAACCAGCCGCCAGCCGCCAGTCGCGGTCGCCAGGTCGCAGGTCGCAGGTCGCAGTCGACCAGCCAGCCAGCCAGCCAGACCAGTTGACTGACCCCATCACGCGTCACCCATCATCCATCACCCATCACCCATCACACTCGACTTCACCCAAGACGTCGTGCCCTCGAGTGCTCTCCCTCCCGCTCTCTCCCTCTCCCTTTCCCTCTCCATCTCTCTCTCTTTCCCTCTCCATCTCTCTCTCTCCCCTCGTCTCGAACTCGGGCTGCGTCGCCATCTCGCATCCTCTTCCCCCAAGGAGCTTGCCCGACGTCGCACTTTGCCACCGGCTCCTTTCGTCAAGCTGGACGGCGAGGTCCTGCTGTGTAGCCATTTCCGTCCTGCACAACCGTCTGCCTCCAAACTCTCCCCGCCGCACACCACTTCTGCTGCGGTCGCTGTCTTCGCGCGACTGTACACAATGGTCTCGAGATGAGCTTCCTCAAGTCAAGGTTCTGCTGCCCCTCTGCCGCCTCTTGCTGACCGCCCCTTCTTCCCCTGCCACGGCTCTGGACCAGTTTCCCATGCGCATCATGCCTTATTCTTGCCCGTCTGTTTCTTTGGCAAGGCTTCGTCCATGCTTCTTCTCGCACATGCGACTTGGCCCCTCTACAAGACCACAACCAACCCGCCCCCGTCTGTCTCCCCCTCCCTAACCCTCTCCCTTCCCCGGCCAACCCGCCATCCCGCCATCCCCATCGTCCATGACGGCACCGCCTCCTTCGTCTTGTTGCCCACGCCGAGTCCGCCGTGTTCGTGGCCACTGCGGCAACCACGCCCACTTGCGACCTTGTGCTAATCCTGCATTGATCATTCCTGGTACAGATCACATCAATTGTCCGCCGGCGCACCCGCCTCGCCATCGTCATCGTCGGTCGACGACCCTGCCGAAAACACCGCCGATGAGGAAGACTCCGAGGACTACTGCAAGGGCGGCTACCATCCCGTCCAGGTGGGCGAAAAGTTCAAGGACGGAAAGTACACCGTCGTTCGCAAGCTCGGCTGGGGCCACTTCTCAACCGTTTGGCTGTCGCGCGACAACACCAATGGCAAGCACGTTGCCCTAAAGGTTGTTCGCTCGGCCGCCCACTACACCGAAACCGCCATCGACGAAATCAAGCTTCTCAACCGAATTGTCCAAGCCAATCCCGACCACCCCGGCCGCAAGCACGTGGTCAGTCTTCTCGATTCTTTCGAACACAAGGGCCCCAATGGCACTCATGTGTGCATGGTCTTCGAGGTGCTCGGCGAGAACTTGCTGGGTCTGATCAAGAGGTGGTGCCACAGGGGCATCCCCATGCCTCTGGTCAAGCAAATCACCAAGCAGGTCTTGATGGGTCTTGACTACCTGCACCGGGAATGCGGCATTATCCACACCGACCTGAAGCCCGAAAACGTTCTCATCGAAATTGGCGACGTCGAGCAGATTGTCAAGAAGGTGGTCAAGAACGAGCCCGCAGACAAGGAGAATAACCGCAACGGGAGGAGGAGACGTAGGACGCTCATCACAGGCAGCCAGCCACTACCCTCACCCCTGAACTCCACCTTTAACCACTCAAATCTGTTTCCTGGGGCATCAGCACCGAGTGTCGGGAGCGTTCTGGACCAAGGTAACTTTAACACCTCAACATGTCGAGGTCAATGGTTTTGCGACAAAAGTGAGCTAACAATGCCGGCTCGTGTAGCTGCGAGCAAAGATAACGAGCAATCCCCCAAGTCAACGGACGAATCGCAAAAGCAGAGAGAAAAGACGGCGTACGTGACAGCGAGCCCCCGGGGTGTGACGGCATTGCTGACTCCTTCTGCAGAGATATTCTCACCCGAGAGGTGTCGGGAATCTCCCTCGATAAGGCGAGTGGGCCTTCAGCCTCAGCAGGCGAGAAGCGCAAGGCCGAGGACGCCCACGATGTCATCAGTGTTAAAATTGCCGACTTGGGTAACGCATGCTGGGTGAACCACCACTTCACCAACGACATTCAGACCAGGCAATATCGATCGCCAGAGGTCATACTTGGCGCGAAGTGGGGGGCCAGCACTGATGTTTGGAGCATGGCTGCCATGGTAAGCACCCGCTCACTGACTCCCCGACTCCTAGGCTTACTTGGACCGCGGCGGCGGTGGTACGTGTTGCTGCTGCTGCCTCAACAAAAGGTGCTAACCAGGCGGCCGCAGGTGTTTGAGCTCATCACGGGCGATTATCTGTTTGATCCGCAATCCGGCACCAAGTACGGCAAGGACGACGACCACATTGCGCAAATCATTGAGTTGCTGGGACCATTCCCTCGGTCACTCTGCCTCAGCGGCAAGTGGAGTCAAGAAATCTTCAACCGCAAAGGCGAGCTCCGGAACATCCATCGACTACGACACTGGGCCTTGCCAGACGTGCTTCGAGAGAAGTACCACTTTAAGGAGGAAGAGGCGAAGAGGATCTCGGGATTCCTGTTGCCCATGCTAGAGTTGATCCCGGAGAAGAGAGCCAACGCGGGAGGCATGGCCGGCCACAACTGGCTGGAAGACACCCCCGGCATGAAGGGCTTGAAGATTGACGGGCTGGAAGTAGGTGGGCGGGGGGAAGGCATCGAGGGATGGGCCACGGAAGTGAGGAAGCGATGAGGGGCTGACAAGATGACGAATTGGGGCGGCGTTGGCAGCCAAACACGAACCACGGCCGCCATTTTTGCTGCCCTGGCAGTAGCATTCTCTCCATCCAGTAGCAGCAGCATGCCGTGCCTGGGTTGGTTGGTATAGAGGGTGACGGACGTGCGCATTTATTGGATCAGATTTCTTGTTGTTCTTATGGTGATGGCCACGGTGTAGGCAATTGTCGGCAGAGTGGAGCAGGGGCAATGAGCAGAAATCCTGGAGAGAAATGAGTGCTGCAAGAAGAGAAATGTCAAGACATGTCGATGTGGTACATGATGATGATGATGATGATGATGATGATGGGAGCAGCAGAAGGGGAGTAAAGAGAGAGGGGGGGGGAAAGGATGTTATGAATACATGGGTTTGCGTAACTGAGCTGGAATAGATAGACCATGCATGACGTTTCTGGAAGATTTTGCGCGTGCGTGTTTCCCGGAGTGATTGTGGACTGATGATTGCTGGTCACGAAGCACTCAAGAGCGTGTCTCAACTCTCTGTGTAGGGTATGTGTCATCTACACGAAGTTCGAACCATGCCAGGGAGAATATTGGACTCGTGTCCCCCCATCCGAATGCCCCGAATTGCTTTGTAGACATGGCTTGGCTTGTCCAGCTCGGCCACTCTACCAAACCTGGCGGTTTCCAGATGCAGGCTCACACAGCCTTTTTGATGGCAACTGTGTCTGTGGAGTCGGGATCCGCAGCAGGATTCTGCAGTGGCATTGCAGAGCGAGACGATTAGCGTTGCAAAGCGGGATGCCCGAGACAACTGATTGTTCCCATCTGCCGGTCGAGCTAGAGAGCTCGTTGGAACCTTTCTTGTTCAACCAAAAGCTCTTGTGCCGTGTTGATTTATGCGTCTACAAAGCTGGGCGTGTATTTCATCCACTTGGCGCATTGCTGCTCTATTGGTCATTGCAAAGGTCTGTATATGGTGAACGTATCCATCCTTTGCTCAAGTGTGAATGCGCAAAACTATGTGTGTAATTTGGGTCACGTCAAATGACACGCAACAGCTGCGACCCCAGATTTGCTAGTGTAGACTTGCAGATGGGTTATTGATCTAATCTACGGAGTACGTACGTACTTGGTACGGAGTAGGCCATCTTGTACTTTTGTAGTTTGTGCAGACGCACCGTGCAGGTTTGCAAGCAACCAGTAGTCAAGTTATTGGCGGGGGTGCATGAGCCAAAAGGTTGACAAGTGCGTGGCTGGCTGCAGCTTCCATTTACGGAACACGTTGCTTGGGCTAGAGCTTGGGCTTGGGCTTGGATGCGAGGATACCCAACGACTCAGTCCATCCATCGGCACACATGTCTGAGGTCTCAGCGCATGTGCATGTGCATGTGCATGTGCGTGCCGGCTTGGGACTTGGGACTTGATTCACTCACTCCTCCCTCACCCTCTTGGCCGATGTTCCACAGTCCACATGGCACAGTCCAAAGGACCGCCGGTCCGGAATCCGGATCTCGCTCCAAGGATCATGAGCCTCCAAAAACTATCCCGAGCGAGCCGCTCCCCTTGGCGCCGGCTGGAGGTGTCTGTCTGTCCAAGAAGAGAAAAACACCGGCCAGTCCGCCGACCGCCCTCGCATCACGCTCGACAACCTCTTCGAGTCTTGCCTACGCCAGTGTCGCCATCGTCGTCGTCGACACCGCTCCCGCACGCACAAAGGCCCTGCCTGGACAGTCAATCGCAACCGACTCTGACCCCCCAATTCCCACACGCGCTATGCCCTCGTCTGAAAACGGTGCCGCCATGACGGCAAAGAGCATGGTAAGTCGTTGCTCCCATCCTCCCACGGAGAGAGAGTTCCTCAACTCGCCGACTAGGACGGATTCACGCTCGACGGCTGCAAAGGTTCCACGGTGACCTTTGATGCCAGGGTCAACTCGGTCCTAGAAGCCAACAGCCCCGAGCAGCGGCTCTTGGAGCTTCGACTTGGAGAGAGGGCATTGCAAGCTTTTGTTGACGCTACGGCCATTCCAGAGGCGGTGTGGAACAGGGCGCGCGACTTGACGCCCGAATCCATCATCAGAGTGACGGGCCATGTTCAATCGGGCCGTGTCTGTGTTACGAACCTGGATGTCATCGCCTACGCGTCTCCAAACCTTCCTCCATGCCGCTCCCACAGCCTTGGGCTCGAGGCACGGCTCAGTCACCGCATCCTCGACGTGCGGCGTGCCGCTTCCGGGGCCATGTTTAAGCTTCATTCCGCCATGTGCCAGCTCATTGTCGAGTTCCTCTGCTCCAACGGCTTCCATTGGATCCATACACCGCGTATCATAACCGCCACCATCCCCGGCGACAACGAGTACTTTCACCTGCCCTACTTTGGTAAGGATGCCTGGCTGGCCCAGAGCTCGCAGCATCACAAGCAGATGGCTCTGTCCATGGACATGCAGCGTGTCTTTGAGATTGGCCCCGTGTTCCGCGCCGAGGTCAAGTCTAGCAAGTCTATGAGGCACATGACTGAGGTAGGTACATAAACCCCAACCCCAAACCCCAACCCGTCTGCATTGGTTGACACGGCACATGCTCTAGTTCACCGTCTTGGACATTGCCATGACTTTCGAGGACGACTACCACGAGGTGGTCGACTTGGTCGAGTCCATGCTGCTATTTGTATTTGGGGCTCTGCAGGAGCGCAGACCGTACGGGCAGCTCGTCCAAGTTGTCAAAGACGTCTATCCCGGTGCCAGGCCCTTCCGGATCGGTCTGGATGAGCACGGCAAAGTCCCGCGCGTCACCTTTCTCGAGGCCAAGCGCATTCTGAGGGAGGAGCTTGGTCTCGAATCGGACGACGGCAAGAATTTCACGTGAGTATCGCATCGCGCTGTCGTCGTGATATGCACGCACCCGGTGCCATCCCCCCATCCTCCCCCCGGGAAACAACCCCAGTCGCAGTTTGCTTGCTGATGGGATGCCTCGTCTCAAAAACACAGCGATCAAGAGGAAGCCGCCCTTGGCCGGCACTTTCTCGAGTCCAGCCGTCTTGGAAACACAGACGTCTTCACCATTGAGCGGTATCCCGCGTCCATGCGCCAGTTCAACTCGCAGGCCAGCCCGGATGCGCCGGGGCTCTCCAACACGTGGGACACGATTGTCGGCGGGCGAGAGGTCTGCTCCGGCAGCCAGCGCATCAACTCATACGACGAGTTGCGCGAGGCCATGCGTGCCGGCATATGTGGCCCGCCCATGGACCCCGACGCCGACAAGTGGCAGCCGTACCTTGCTGCCTTCAAGACGGGCATGCCGCGACACGGCGGCTGCGGACTGGGCGTCAACAGGCTGCTGCAGGGATTCCTGGGGTTGGATGACGTCCGCGAAGTGACGCTGTTCCCGAGGGACGTGAATACGTTGACGCCGTAGGGTGCCCGTGGGAAAACGGGAGGAAAGCCCGTCGAGGCACGTTACGTACTCTAGCACGCCGTTGGACAAGTCTTATACACTCTCGTTTTTGGTTCGATTGCCGGCTTCATCTGCCACTGCAAGCACTTGCTTGGCGTCTACAGACCGTGGTGACGTGCGTCAGTCTTTGGTTGGCAAGGCCCACGCCAACCGAGTGCTCCCTGTTATAGATGGACAGTCAGACAGCGCAGGGCCCCCCCGGCCCAAAAAGCCGTCCGGCACATGTCATTACTACTACCAGTACGTGGCGAGGAATGATGGATCCCTGAATAGCCGACACGACACGTTTCCTTGGCGGTTGAGCCGTAGACAAAGTGCGCATGGTGAGACAGGCACGGAAATCTAAAGGGCACACCCTTCCTCCACGATCCGGATCGGCCTACGACTCCATCCGCGTATATCCTCGACCAAAAGCTTAATTGCTCGACCCCAACTGGCAGAGTACAGAGCACAGCGTCCGGACGACCCGGGCGTGGGAGCAAGAGGCCGCATGTTCAGTCTAGTGCAGTTGCAGTGCATTTACGTGTAGTACCTCGCAGGCTGACACTCACATCCATCTACTCTGCGCTTCCCAGGCCCGCAGCGCGTACATGTACCGGCAAGGCTGCTCAAGCCTTGTACGGCCGGAGAAGATAGATCATGCCGTTCCTCACCCTCTTGGGTCCCGGGGGCGCTACGACGCGGTGCACCGTCGAGTGCAGGCGTCCGCCCGACCTGGCCGCGAGCTCATCCGCGATGTTGACAAGCACAGCTCCATCGACGACCGGAACCGTCTCCCAGTCATCCGTCTGCTTCCCCTCCTTGTCGTAGACTGGAATCTGCGTCGTCACCTCGTCGTACCACAGCAGGGTAGCGAGGCCGAAATCGGTGTGCCAGGGGTGAATAACATGGCCTGCCTCATGCATCGGGGGCTTGTACAGCAGCTTGAGAGCCGTGTCGCTGGGCATGGCGGCGTCGTCGCTTATCTCGGGGATGCTGATGCCCACGGCGGCAGACAGCTCGGCAATGACCGTCTGGATGGCCCGGTGGAAGCAATCCATGGTGCGCGTGATGCGCTCCTTTTCCGGCTCGAACGTGGCCGGCAAGAGCCATTTGCCGCCTTGGTACTCGTCCCGTGGAATCTGCCACGGGATTAGCAGAACCGAAAAAATAAAATAAAATAAAAAAGGATTAAAGACGGCAGCAGTCGCGGGGCAGCTCTGTGTCTGTGCCTTTGTCTGTACCAGGGGCAGGGCACACTCACCTCGTAATATTCGAACCCCTTGCCGGCGTGGTAACTGCGTTTTTTCCAAAAGCACAAAACAAACGGTTAGTGACTGGGCCTGCGCGTGGAAACCCTTCTCTGCTTTGTTGCATACCCTCGCTCCATGCCCTCGCGGGCGCTTTGCGTCTTTTCCTCGCCATTTCGCGGAAGATTGAAGAAGGCATGCCCGGTATGGAAGATGGCTGGTACGTCCTCGAGGACGGTGCTCATGTTGGAACTCCCGAGGTTCAGGTAGAACATGCCCACCGTTTGGCAGGCCGTCACGAGCCGCTGGATCTCACCGGCGTCTTTGTTTGCGAGGGCTTCGTAGTCAACCACGGCCAGGGAGGCCATCTTGTTGTTGGAAGACATGATGGCGATTTGGGCAACAATACCCGGATGACGGCAAAACGAGATTGGAATTACACAGAGGAGCCGAAACACTGGAAAGTAGGAAAATTTTTTTATCAAAGACAACAACAAAAAAGGGAGCCAACACCGAGAGAGCGAGAGAGCGAGAGAGCGAGAGAGCGAGAGAGAGAGAGAGAGGCAAGGCAGAAGGGAATAATCGTCTTGGTTTACAAGCACGGCCAGGGACATGCTCATAACCTCACCCCGCCTTCGCCTTCACCTCGGTGGATGGGCTTGTCCGGCAATGCTTGCTGCAGACGTATTCCCTCCTCGCATCTTCATGCTGCTCTGGGTGACATACCCGTCGACGCTACGCTGGAACTACCTTGGAGACAGCCCGGGTGGGGAGAAGACCGAAAGTAAGCAGACCAGTTTGACCGATGGGACGGCACAGACGGCATTATGCAGCTGGCCCAAAGGGCTGCCGCCGTTTCGAGACAAAATCGCCGCTCCCCAACGGCGCGGTTCGCTGCGAATGAAGATGGATCAACTGCCATTGGGAGACGAAGCCGAGACGAGACAACGAAGAAGCACTGGTTACGGAGTACAGCCTAGCCACATTGGCGGTCTTCCCTTGTCGTGCAATGGCATACACACCATGGAGCTGTCGAGAGGGACCTTGTATGACACGACGCAAACCAAGGTTTACCGTGCGGAGTAGTAATTGCTTTTCAAGCTGCGACGGGCGACGCAACAAACAACATGCTTCCAAGTTCCAAGCCGCAGGCCTTCTTTCTCGAGGTACTACAATAATCCCCGTGATACCAAAGTCCAGATTGGGAGTCCCAATCCGGGCTCTCTCCCCAAGGCTTCTCCGCCACAACCGTCCGTCAGTATGAACATGAACTTGCCAGACGCCTTTGTCATATTGCACTGCCATTTCGTCCTTCCCCTGGCTGTCCTGCTTCCGGCCGCGATATACTGCTTGAGACGGACCCGGAAAAGGGCCATTCTCGCGTCGGCCATCAACACGCAACCTGTCCGTTCCGAGGATGCGAAGAGGTTCGGGCCGGGCACCCGCCGCGGCAAACCGACACAATGGTACCGCGACATGTTCTTTCGGCTGCAGCATCTCGAGGACCACCCGGACATTCTCGAAGCAGCGCGAGACGAGCTCCTGGCCATGTTTTCCCAGGGACTATCCGCGGCCCTGAAAACGCCACACGACGGCATCCTCGGCATCGACCGGTACGATGCCGGGCGCATCTGGAGCTTCCTCGAGGACGTACGCATCGACATCCTGGCGCAATGGGCCGGCTACCTGGAGCGACGGAGGCAGGGACACGGCCCCGAGCTGTTTGGAAGCGTCGAGGCCGCCAGAGCATGGCTCGTCCAGCACGCGCCCGTCAAGTTTGTCGACGGCGCCTGGCTCGGCCACATACACAAGATCACGACCCCCTTTGCCCTCCGCGGCGTCACAAAGGATGCCTGGCAGGTTCTGTCAGAGGAGCTCGGCGACGGCGACCTGTCCAAGCACCACGTGCACCTCTACCGCAAACTCCTCGAGGACGTCGGCCGCCCGCTCCCGGAGGGCCACAGCGCCGACTTTATCAACCTCGCCGAATGGGACGGAATGGAAAACCACGGGGCGTGGGAGGCGGCCGTGGCCCAGCTCCTCATATCGCTGTTCCCCAAGGAGTTTCTGCCCGAGATTCTCGGCTACAACATGCACTTTGAGATGGTCACGGTGAACACGATGCAGGCGGCTCACGAGCTCAAGGGCCTGGGCATCGACCCGTACTACTTTCTCATCCACATTGCCATAGACAATGCCGACTCGGGACACACGGCCATGGCCACGCACGCCGCCACGCGGTACGTGGACATGGTGCTCGCTACCGAGGGCCAGGCGGCCGCCGAGCAGGCATGGAGGCGCGTCCAGATAGGATACATTTTGTCTCAGACACAAGGAAGCCATCCCTGCGGGGGCCAGCAAGGCCGTGCCGCCTCGGCGAAGCCCTCAGTGCCGAGGGTCCTGCCCGACGCCGCCGCCCTGAGCACGCGGGTGATGGAAATCTTCAGGGCAAAGGCCTTGGTGTCGCAGCAATTTCACTGCCAAAGCAAGGTTCGCATCGGGACTCGCAGCCTATCCGAGTGGCTGGACCCAGACGAGTGGAAGCCGGCCAGTCGCCATCAGCACCGCCAACGCGAACTCCTGGATGCCCTCGGCCGAGCCAGGCCGTGGGTGGTTGCCGGGGCAAGCAGCAAAAGCCTCCTCGTGCGGGAGCTGTCGTGGGGAGGGCGCATGTTTGGCGCCTTTACCAACAACGAGGTGGCGACGCTCTGCTCGTGGATCGACGCCCTGGGGCCCGACGAGAAGGCGTCGCCGTCGCCGTCGCTGTATTGGAGCTTCTCTCAACGACGGCCAGTCGCCTCGCCGGACGCCGTGGGGGAGCTCCGAGACCCCGCTTGTCATCATCCCGTCATGTTACCGTCTTCCACACGCGGCGACGCGGCCAGCACCGCCAACGCAGCGTCTCGGGACCCTGCTGCCCTTGGCGCCGAGCCGTGGAAAACGCAGGAGCCCTTGAAGCCGCCGTCGAAGGATCGGCTGCCAGACACGGTCGCCCTCTGGTTCGCGCACATTGGCCTGTTGGAAAACACCATCAACGTGCCCTCGCGGACGGCGTGCCCGCTCCACGCCAGCATCCTGCGTCTCCTCCGGGCCCAGGCTGGCTTCGAGAGGGAAACCGACATTGTGGCGGGCATGGACGAACTGAAGCGGCACACGCGCACCAGCCTGGTTGACGTCGGCCTGGAACTGATCAGTCACATGGACCGGTGCGCCCATGCCGAACCTGCGTCTCTCCAAGACGTCCTCCGCCTAGCCGCCAGCCAGGGCCAGGGTGAGGCGAGCGCCAGATTGGCGAGCGACATGCTGAGATGCAGCGTCCGGCCCATTGAGAACCTAGGCCTCTTGTTGGGCCTGGCCCTGGCCTTTGTCAAGTTCAAGAGCGCCGTCGGGAGGACCCCTGGGCTGCTGGGCCCCGAGACCCGTCTCGCGTTGGACGCCATCTTGGCCAGGGAGAAGATGAGTCTGGAGGTGTGTGCCGAGGAGCTACGGGCCACGGACGGCGCACAGTACCGAAACTTGGAGAGGGGATTTCGGCTCGGCATGGGTGCCATACAAGAATGTGTCTATCTAAACGAGGAGACGACGACGAGTTCGTCCAAGGGAAGTGTCGTCACGGCTGATGGACCATGAGCATTCCCTTGTCTCACGATGCGCCGCGAGCTCGCCGTCACGCAAATCATGTCCCCCGTGGACAGGACATGTAGTTCAAGTACAGTACGTGCATTCTTTGCCGTCCGTGCGACGTGATGAACACGACACCATCGCGTGTGAAGATGCCAGCAAGTCGTGGATTACTCTGTACGGACACACTCGGTACAGCTTCAGAGACATGCGCGGCAACACCCCCTTTTTTCGGCTCAGCTCCCTGACTTGGCGGCACAGATGTGCTTTTGGACAAATCTGGCTGCCGGAGCACCTTCGGAGCCATGTACGGGGCACGACCATATTACTATAGTCCATGCATACACAGATGGAAGAGGGTCTCGCGGCCCTGTACAAACAGGGACGAGAGGCTTCCGATAGGTAGGCTGCCTGGATGACTGTACCTGACACTGCATATCTGCCCTCGCCAGAGATGCTCAAAGCAATTTGCTGTACAAGGACGAGGTTTCCCGTGTCTTCTGGGGCCATGTGGAGCGATGTACGATCAAGTAACATCTCATACGGCAAGGGGAGTAAATTATTGGCCACTCGACCTTGCCTGGCTTGGATATACATGCGGGTGCCTCAAATAAACGCCGGATATTGCGCCTGTTGGTTAGATTTGGTTCCCATGTTTCATGTTTTGGCAGAGTGTCACGCCGCCACCCACGTCTACGGGAGTATGCATGGCACAGCCAGACGCACCTGAGTCATGCTTGCTGCAAGCTCAGGCGGGCGTGTCTAGACTTTGGCAATGAAACCCATCAACGGTGACACGCCGGTGCTCCGTACGCGTACTACCCAGGACAACCAACAAGGCGGAGTTCTTATGAACCTCCCGCATGCATGCCGAGTACAAAAGAAGAATACTGGCCAGGTTGGAATGCAAAACACGACCCGTCAACCACAGTTCCAGCTCCCGTGCGAGGAAACAGCTGAACTTGTCGCCAATAATGTCTCGAAATTCTTCAGCCGCAGGAATAGCGGTCAACGGGCACGACTCCATTTTGCCATCCGCGCATCAGAATCGAGAATGACATGCAGAAGACGGGGGCCAGGGGGGGAAGGGGGGTTGGCCACGGAGGACCGAGTCCAGAGTACTCGATATTTCCATGCGACTCAACGACGGAAGCAGCACCGGGCCTTGGCCGGACATTGTTCGCTCGCATGTGCAAGGCGTGTACTCTCTCTCTCTGTAGGTGAGTGCGCATTTAGCTGACCATTGCCTTCGGACTGGACTGCGCTCTGTCCCATTCCAAACACAGTCTCGCTTACATCCAAAGCGGTCGTCCCGAGTGCCGTTGCGTACAATGCAAATGCAGCAAATCCATGTTGGGCTGGGGTGCGAAGGCTACGTGCCGGTCGCTCACCACCACGCCGACAAGGACATCTATACGCGGGAACATGACGCCCTACAGGCCAGTCTCGTCAATAGCTGTCCTGCTCACTTGTGGCCAAAGTCTTCTCACAAGGCCTCCTGTCCCCGGCCAATCCTCATCACCAAACACCACCAGACGCAACTGGCGGAGCTGCACGAGGCTCTGACCACGGCCATTACCGACATTGTCGAGCGGTGGTGGACCGACGGCGAGAGGCGATTTCCCGACCGCATGCCCCTGAGCCGCAACGAGGAAGACCTTTTACGGGTGAGCAAGAGACGTCCGTCAAGTCACGGAGGAGCGCAGCAAGCGTCGACGGCTAACCGTGTCATGTTGCTGTTGAGCAGTGGCTCCAAGACCAGGCCCTGCAAGGAAACCTGCAGCAGTACTCGAAATGCCGCGGCGCGTGGAGGCCAGACTTCATGGTCGAGAATGGCTGTGAGCATGGCGCGCCGGTTGAAAACTTTCGCATCACCGAGATCAACGCCCGCTTCAGCTTCAACGGCTTTATGCACCAGGCGTACGGGCAGCAGGCCCTCGACGACATGGGCGTCAAGGCCCACGGGCTTGTTGCTGCGACGAGCCCAGCGAGAGTACGTGTCCGCGACGGCAAAAAGTCTCGTTGCCTCCTTCGTCTCCGGCCATGCTCGAGCTTCCGATCTGACGTGCCACAGGTTTTCGAGGGCCTGTTCAAGCTCTTTCGAATCGACGTCCCCCTCCACCTTCTCAAGGGCGACGAAAAGGGAATGGATATTCACATGATGATTCATGACTTCCAGCGCCGATTCGGGGTACGACCGCGGCTGACGACGCCCGCGGACCTCAGGCTGCTGCCTGACCCAGACAACAAGGGTCGGCAGAAGCTCTACTGCGTCGTCAGACCCGACGTCCGCAATTCATCTTGCGCCCTGAAAACGCACCAGGGCGAGCTGGTCGAGGAGATCTTGCAGCTGGGCCTGGAGCTACACCAGCGTGAGCTGCTGGCGCTGGAGCCCGACATGCTTCGTCAAGTCTGTCTGCTTTGCTTCAACGACATGAGGACGCTTTTGTTGGTCCACGACAAGCGCATGCTGGGCATCGTGAGGGAGGAACTTGGGCCGCTGGTGGCGCGAAACGTGCTTTCCCAGGCCCAAGCAGACGTGCTCGACAGGGGAATTGCGAAGACAATCTTGGCCGGCTCGGCGGAGCTGCGACAGCTTCTCCTAGAGTCGCAGAGCTCTCCCGCAATAAGGCATCAGTATATCCTGAAGCCCATCCGTGGTGGCAAGGGAGTTGGCATTCTATTCGGGGATAGCATTTCCGTGGACAAGTGGATTGATACCTTGGAGCGCATGAAGAGTCCTGGCCTAGCGACTGAAGCTGCGTATGTCGTACAGCGGCGCATTACACCTCGGTTGTACGACATGGTATTGGACAGCTCCGGCGCAAGGGTGCGGTACGCTCTCGTCGGGACATTTCACGTCGTACACGGAACGCTTGTTGGCCTCGGGATATGGCGAACCAGCGCTGACCGCATCTGCGCCATAAGTAGCGGCGGCTCGTGGCTGTGTTCTGTTGTACGTCGAGACTAAAATTGCCCATTCCCGTGTCACCTTGCCGAGATGGGGACAATGTTGCGGTCGTACCGATCTCATTAATCATGCCGCCGCCCCCCAACGTCTACAGTCTCCAAGCTCTCTCTGTCTCTCGGAACCTCAGTAGGGTGTCGTTTGATGGTTTCGATTTCCACGTCTCTGCGGAGTGTCTGTATCCATGTCATCTACCCAGTGACGGTCGTCTTGGCTGGTTGGGCCGTCCAAGGGTAGCTCCAGCATCCCTCCCATCAAGTGAATGGCCGTGGAAAGCTTGCCAACCAAGACACGGCAGAAACTTACCTGGCATGCCTCCCATCCTCACTTGAACCCGGCCTTGCACCTTGCATTACAGTGATCCCGTGGCTGCATTCATCCTCCGCAAGTGCAGCTGCAGTCTGCAGCTTACGCTGCTTTGAGTTAACCGCCGAGACTCTCCACCACAAGAAGCTTGGGGAAAGATGCCAAAACCGAGCTGGGCAGCACGTACTCCGTAATGGCAAACTGCTTCTGCACATAACAGACCTTCCCTGCCCGCCGAGCTCTGGCCTGGCCTGGCCCGGACCACGACATCCATCAGCACGAGCACGGCCTCTTGCATAAATCTTTGCTCGACACCATCGTCACAATATGGCTCCTGACAACTACACACTGAACGATGTACTGGTCGTGTCCAAATTCCATCCCTTCTATGACCGAGACGTTCAGTATCCACCGGACTCCGAGACCATCCAGAAAATCTTGCAGCAGTCAAGGGAGCAGCCGGCAGTTGCAAGCCCAAGATTGCAGCCTCTGCTCCGGAAGAAAGACCTGTAAGAAGCTCCATCGAACTGCAGGACTAGTCCGGACCTGACTCGTCAGCTACGTCACTATTGAGCGTCTCGTCAACGATCCGAGCCCCCAAAACACGTACCGTCACAGTGTCTATGCGAGCATCACGGGAGGCGGGTTTGGATCAAAGCCCTTGTTCTTCGCCACCGATGTGCATGAGAACCGCAGACACAGGGCCCAGTTCGGCCGCCTTCTTCGAGCTACCGGAGTAGTCAAGCATGGAGACTGGATCCTCACCACTCACTGTGCCGGTGAGCTCTACAGGTCCGTCGGTGCCTGCATCGACCAGTCAAGCCAAGCCAAGCCGGTCGTGTGATTGCTGACACTCGATTTAGATCCCTAGATCTTGTGCTGGAGATTCTGGAGAACGCCGGGGCCTCTGTCCTCAGCGCCGGAAACCACATGTCGCCCGAAGACATCATTCGTCTGCTGATCAAGTACCACATCAACGTCCTGACTGGCGACAGCAGCCAGGTGGCCCAGATTATCCACAAGGTATCGGCCCTCCCAGAGGAAACACGCGCTCTGTTGAGGCTGGACAAGATAATCTACACCTCGGAGGTGCTTACTGCCGCCCAGAGAGCACACATTAAAGCTGTTCTTGGCAACAATGTCAAGATATGCTCCATTTTGGGCAGCGCTGAAGCAGGTCCCTGGGCGCTGAGCAACCCGGACCTTACAGGAGAGGAGACGCACACGGGTGAAGCAAACTTCATCTTTGACACCCGCGCCATGCTGGTCGAGATCGTTTCCGCTTCATCCCAAGACGATGGCTCCGACCCTGCTCCCGTGCCCGAGGGGCAGAATGGCACCGTCGTTCAAACATCGCTGTCGCGCCTGCGCCATCCCCTGGTGCGCTATGATACAGGTGACATCGGATCTCTTCATCCCCTTCCCGTCACGGCACGACCCTTGCTGCCCGAGGAATACTGGCCGTTCTTGCGCGTCCTTCGCTTCCAAGGCCGAGACCGCCGCTTCAGCTTCGAATGGGATGGCGAGTACCTTGATTTTGCAGGCCTGACGGCTTTGCTCAATGCTGAGGAATGTGGCGTCCTCCAGTGGCAGATCATCTTGGACAAACTGGAGCCATCTTTGGAGTCGTCCCTCGAGGTTCGGCTGCTGCGCTCTCCACCAAGCGCGAAGCTTCTGCCGGAGCAAGACCTCGCGGAGCAAATTAGAACCTTTGTGCATGCGTATTCCGCCAACGAACACCGATTTCGACTTGTTCTTGTCGAGAATCTAGACGGTTTCGAGCGAAGTTCTACCGGAAGAAAAGTCATCAAGTTTATAGATCGCTACAATACTTAGACTAGACCACCCACACAAGTTCTACTCTTGCGTGCCGCAAAACAAATTGCATGTATAGAAGCGTGTGGCTCGAAGGACACTTTAGAAAACCGAGGACCGAGGACCTTTCATACCAAAGTGTGTTACATGCGAATCAAGCTGCACTTGCTCCAAGCCCTCAGACAAGCTCTTGTCATGAGACAGAAGTGTACCGTGAATACCCGAGACATGTACGATGTCCTTGAGCTGGGCTCGCGAGCTCGGACTTCTATCGTGAGTCGTGATCTCGCGACCATATGCCGTCGCTGGCCGACCTCGGTGGTTGAGGTGGCCTCCCCGTGTGACAAGGACCATATAGCAAGCGGCATGGCTGTCTTGACACAATTGCAATGCACGGTCGGGATCGTGCAAGCCAACCATTTTGTACGTCCAAAGCGTCATCATAGAAGTTCTCAAGTACAACTTAAAAAGGCCACTGGGCCGTTGCCTTTTAGACTGAGACCTTAGCGGGATCAACTTTCGGTGGGAAGCGACGTTGCTCCGATAACGGCCTACAATTATTTTGTTCAAACGGACTTCTAGACTGCGTACAAATTATAGTTACCAGCTGGCGGGTGTTTCCAACATGACGTCGTTTAACCTCTAGACCTAACGTGTTGGGCTGTAGTCCTGCGTATTGTTCTCCGACCCAGAAGATAATTCACATATGCATCTCTTCTCGTGTGCTGTGTCGCAGTCTCACCTTGACGCCCTCAAGGCTCCTACGAGGGGAAAATGCCTGACGACAAGTTGTTTATTCGACGCCTTCATTCCGTACAAACCGAAGAAAACGTTTCAACGGCGTATTCGTCTTCTGATTAATGCGAACGAGCAACACGCAATTCCGGAGCAAGCCTGAGCCCGTGTGAAGAGTGAGGCAAGGCCGCGATGATGGCATAGTTACCAGGCGGCAGCTGAAAGACAATTTGAAGACAGACAAGGAGCAATCTATGCTCTATGATGGGGCAAAACACGCATACAAATAACCAGAACAGAATCATGACCCGATTAATCAGACGAGATGTAATCAGACGGGATGATCAGCTGGAGACTCTGGTTGCTGATAGCGAAATAATCTCTAAACTGTGGTGTTTGATGATAATGACGGCGTGTTGTGAAGGCAAATAGGTTTATGTTACCAAGAAATTCTGTCATTATATATCTAACACGCTTAGTGGGAAACATGAATGGGCTGCTATAAACCCAGGAGAAAAAACGCTTTACTTGTTAAGTTCTTTTTTTTTTCAAAAAAAAAAAAAACACTATACTTCTTACGTTAAGTTGCAGTTTTGAAGCTGACATGGTTCCCTTTTCTATTTGCCGCTGTTTCCTTGCTCGTCTCCTTCATTTACCACGACTCCCAAGACCTTACGACTCCCAAGACCTAGCAACAGGCGCTCAACCGTCCTGCTGCCTCCGTCACTGCCGTCGTTGTAGGGTTATCGAGGAAAAAGGCGGCCGGCAATTCCACGCCAGTTTCTTGTTGCACGGCCGAAATGATTGCGACGGCCATCAGGGAGTCGACACCCAAGTCTTCCAGGCTCATGTCGCCGTTCAAGTCGCTCCGCTCAACGCCAACCTCGCGTGCAACGATGGCAAACAGCGCATCGACCAGGCCGGGTTGCCCGCCACCGTTCATGCTTGCCGGGGTCGGAGGGGCAGGCACCTCCGGGCCCGCTACGTTGTTGACCTGATGAATCGTAGCGATGGGTTGAGCTGGCCACGCCTTTGCTTTGGTTTGGGGCGCCGCAGGCACATATGAGCTTGCCTCGTTGGCCGCGTTGCGGACCGTTGGCGGACGCAGCAGATGGGTGAGCGCCGTCCTCTTCATCTTTTGGAATTGCAGGCCCGCCAGCACCGAGACCAAGTCGTCCCCATGATAGACGTACACATCGCCAGTGACCAGATTGCGCGTCGACGAGGACTCTTCCATAAAGGTATACCCGGTGTACACGTTGGCGGGATCCAGCGGCTTGAGCAAGTGCCACTCCTCGAAACCAGTGCAGAGGCAAGCCCATTCGTCCGAGTAGCGGAGTCCGTTGTTCAGCAAGAAGCCGGACAGATGGACAATAGAGTCGAGCAAAAATGGGTGGTGGAGGTAATGGCCGCCTGCAGCCGAGGCCTGTGCCATGTTGATTTCCGCCATGGCGTCTTGCATGTCCTCGGACAGGTGGACATTGTCCAGCCCCTTGTACTCTTCAGAATAACGTACAATGTTGTCGAATAGACGGTAGACGGCGCGCCTGCCCAGCCGGTGGCTTGCCGACGCCTTGAGAGCCGCCATCCGGGACCGGGCGAGGAACCCGGCTTGGGCCGGTTTGCCCGCCGGCCCCGGGACGACTTGGCAGGTCCCGACCTCGTAAGACTCGCCCGACGTGCGGCAGCGGTACTGGACATCCGCAGTCTTGGACGAGGAGGCCAGATTGACACTAACTTCCACCGTCTGCGCGGCTTTCTCGGCAAAGACAACGGCCCGGTGGAAGCAGCAGTTACGCACCGTCAGTGGAAACGGCAGGCTCTGGCCGGAGGTCTGCTTTGCATAGACATACTGGGCCGCAGAGAGTGCCATGTCCAGGAGAATGCTGCTGGAGCAAATCTCGGCGCCGGCCACGACATGACCTCGCACAGCGGTGCGCAAGTCCTGGTCTGTCAGATCCGACGTAAACGTGACCGAGCATCCGTCGGACTGGACTGTCTCCTTGACGACTCGTTGCAGAGTCGTCGTGAAATACCCCTGTACAGACGGTTTGACGACGTGCGGTTGGCCCTGGTCGGCCTCGGCCTCTCCAATGGCCCTTGAGCTTCGGCCAGGGAACGGCGCCCAGAACTCCTTCTCCTCGAACGAGTACTTTGGAAGGTCAAGCAAGGATACCGAGGATTTGAACTCGCGGTGATAGGCTGGCCAGTCGATGGCGACGCCTGCCACGTAGACATCTCTCAAGCTCGACGATATCGAGGCCCAATTGTCCTTTTCTCGATGCATAGAAGCCAGACAGCGCACTTTGGTGCCATCGGCACCTAGCGAGGCATTCACGAGGCCCGAGCACACGGGATCGGGCCCAATCTCAAGGAACACCGGGGAGGGAAACCTCTGCTCCTGCACCGCGGCCAGTGCTCCGACAAAGTCGACAGGTTCGCGCGCCTGCCGCGCCAGATAGCCGGGGGAGAATGTCCCGTCTCCCCGGACCGACGTGGCCAAAAGCGAAGAGACGATGGGGAGATGCGGCGTGGAAAAGTTGACGCCCTGACAGGCAGCCTCGAACTGAGCCAAGATTGGATCCAGCTGGCTGGAGTGGAAGCCGTAGGGAACAGGCAGGTAAGTGCATCGCGTTCCGTCCGACTTGAGCTGATTCTGAAGCTCTTCTAGCTCCAACCGCGGGCCGCTCACCACCGTCATCCTGGGGGCGTTGATGCAAGCCACCGCACACGAGACGTGCTTCCCAGAGGAGAGCACTTCCCGCGCATCATCAACGCTCAGGTTCATGGCCAACATGCCGTACTTGTGTGGCGTCAGAGCCTCGGCCATGATCTGCGCTCTCTTGGCCACGACGTAGATAGCATCGCTCACCGTCAGCACTCCGGCAACACACAGGGCCGCGTATTCGCCTAGGCTGTGGCCCAAGACCGTCGCGGGCCGGACGCCCCAGGATCGCCAAAGCTCGGCCAACGCCAGCTCCAGGCATAGGATGGCCAACTGCACTTTCACGGCATCCGAACCTGGCTGCTGCGAGGATGCGCTGTTCTCCGTGATGAGGTCCAGGAAATGGGGGAGCCCTTGCGCGCTGGCCATGGTTTGATAGTCATGAAGCTTGTTGCGGAATGCGGCCCACGTCTTCCACAGGTGCGACCCCATGCCGGAATACTGGGAGCCCTGGCCTGTGAATATGAATACCACCGCTGGTGTTTCCCCAACATGTCCTGGTGTCCCCCCCCGGGTGAGGTCCGCCTCTACACCTTGCATGACCTCGTCCACTGAGGATGCAGCGACGGCATACCGCAACGGTCCATGCGTGCGTCGAGCATTTGTCGTGTAGACCAAATCGGCAAGCTTGATGCCCGGATTCCGGCGTAGATAGGCCAAGTACCTCTCCTTGATGCCAATGAGCGACTTCTGGGAGCGGGCCGAGAGCGTCACGACGTGATGGCATCGAGGGTCTGCATCCTTTACGGCCCGTGGCGGTGCTTCCTCGAGCAGTAAGCACGAGTTTCCTCCCTGCAATTTGTCACGTCAGCCCATGTGCCGCAGTCTGCGTCAACCTGGCGCTCTAGTCTTACCGAGGCATCGAAGCTGTTGAGGAACACGCGCAGTGTTCCCTCGGCCACTGGACTGGCCTCGAGTCTCATGTTGCGTGCCGCAATATGTACATTGCGGGCTCCCAGGTTGGGAAAGCGATGGTTGACAGGACCGGGGAGCTCGGGCTGAGGGGGGATCCGACGAGACTGAAGCATCATCAAGGTCTTGATAAGAGCGCAAACACCGGCCGCCTGGGCGGTATTAGCACAGACGTCATTCGGAACACACCTCTCCTTCGGTGACTTACTGCTTCCCCATGGCCAATACTGGCCTTTACGGCTCCGACAACGAGGGGATTGTCCGGGCCTCGCTTTTCCGCAAATACCGACAAGACGGAAGACATCTCGGTAAAGTCGCCGGCCTGCGTACCTGTTCCATGCATCTCCACGTACGAGATGCTGTTGGCATCCACGCCGCTGCTCTCCAGAACGTCGCGATACAGCTGTTGCTGAGCTTTTACAGAGGGGTGCATTATGGAAGAAGCGTCACTGCTGTAGTTGCGTCCAGAGCCGCGAATAACGCCCAGGATGTTGTCTTGGTCGTCCAGCGCGTCTTCCAACCGTTTGAGGACAACAACTCCGACACCCTCTCCACGGACGTAGCCGTCGGCGTCGTCGTGGAATGTCTGACAACCACCGTGAGTGGACAAGAAACCACCACGGCTCAAGCCCGAGAACCACGATGGCGAAAGAAGGAGGGATCCTCCACCAGCCAGGGCCATGTCGCATTCGCGGCCGAGAAGCGCCGAGCACGCCAGGCCGACGGCTGCGACGCTCGAGGAGCAAGCCGAGTCAACGCTGTAAGACGGACCTCCCCATTGAAAATGGTGTTGTAACCTGCCCGGTCCAAAGGCGCGGTTGCTTCCGGTGGTGAAGTAGATGTCTTCTCCTTGTTGAAAGGCCAGTTCTCGCCAATCGTCCGTCGTCTGGCCAAAGTAGGAGCCAACGCGGTCCCTGTTTGTCGAGGGCGTGCCGTCGGGGAAGTATCCTGCCATCTCCAAGGCCTCGTAGCTGGTTGTCATGAGCAGCCGGTGCTGGACATCTGTCTGCATGGCTTCCCTGGGTGACATGTGGAACAGCCGGTTGTCGAACATGCCTGGCCTGTCGAGGAAAGCTCCTGTCCGTGCCATTGTCGAGTTCTTTTGCTTCCCCGTGGCATCGTACCATTGTTCCAGGTCAAATCGAGTACTCGGAATCTGCCATGAACGAGTGAGACACATGACCATAGACAGGGGGTGGCAGTTTGAGGCTTAAGGTCTAACCTCTTGAACATGTCTTTTGCCCTGCAAAAGCCCCTCCCAAAAGGTGTCAACATCGCTGCTCCCTGGGAACCTGCCAGACATGCCAACAATGGCAACACGGCCTGAGCCCTCTCGGGCCGGCTTTGATGCCAAGTGGTCACCGTGCGACATGACCGAATACTCTATGCCACGTCTTTGCAGTGATTTCAGGAGATGGACGTCATGGCTCGTGTAGCCGGGCATAACAACACGCAGCTTGTCTGTCCGAGCGAGGTCCAGAATCGCATCGGTGGCGGCCGCCAAGTGCAACGTCCTCTGACCAACATCCATCAATATTTCCTCCAGGAGACCTCGCAGTGTTTGCTGCCGCCGAGGCTGGCACGTATAGGGGGAGACGATGGTGGTGGTGCGCCCTGGGGCACGGTTTAGCCATGCTGATGAGCCAAGAATCCGACCCAGATCAAGCTCCGGCAACGTCTCCATATGTACGCCCATGCAGGCGTCGGTTTCGATATGCGGAGCGTCTTCCAGCTCGGCTGACCATTCAAAAAGTTGTTGCAGCGTCGTCGGAGGGCCAAAGACTGTTAGCCAGCTATCTGAAAGGAAACCAACACATGCCCGTCGCACGCGAGGAATTGACTGTACGCGCCATCAAACGTTTATCAGCAAGGCTTCTTGCGCGGAAATTTGGGGGGTTCCAATGACTTACATGGCTCTCGTGAAACTCTACCAGGATTTTGCGCACGCGATCAGCCGAAATACCCAGCACCGTCCTTGCCCAGGGGCCATTGGTGCGATCAACCATTACAGACCGGTGGAATAGTTCCAGCGCCATGCGAAAAACAATGTGCGTCGCCTCGACTCCGAGCCCGACGAGCTCGTTGGTGTCCTGCGCGACCGCAGCCACGGCGGCAGCCAGCTCGCCAGTGCTGAATCCTAGAATGCAGTTGCGACTACTTTCCGAGGCGAGAACCGTAACGTCTTGCTCGGCGTATCTAGTTTGAGCACCGTCAGCCGCTGTCAAGTCGCCGCACGTGAGAATGGCGGTGCTGTGCAACCGTACAGTAGGAGCTCTCCTATACGGACGATATTCATCAACACGGTCGCAACGATCTCGCTAGGCTCCTTCAGTCGGGAGTTGTCTTCGGCTAATCGTAGAATGCTATCGAAGTTCCCAATGTTGCGACGTTCCTCCGAGTGCGCAGGCAATTTGCCGACTTCGAGCTGTACCGCATCGCAAGCCTCTCGCAGAAACCGCTGCACGAGCCGTGAGGACGAGGCATGGCTCACCAGTCGCCGGATGGCTGGAAGCTTCTCCACCGTTTGGTCCCCAAAGAGGAGTATCTTGGTCACACCAAGTTCCATGATTGAGTCTACGGGATGTGAAGAGAGAACTGCCGCCAAGACCGTCTATATCGTAGTCAGTGTCTGGAAAGTGGTGACGTCTGAGGGGATGTGCACACAGGGAGTGGTAGAGAAAAGCGAGTATCATATCAGACCCAAAATCCTAAGCTGTAGTTTATTAATATCCCATCCACGCACGGAAAGCTATCTAGACGAGATGTCCTGGCTACCGTGCAATTAAGGTCAGGCGGATACCAAACTGGCAACTCCACGAGGCCTGCTGCTAATAGCTCTTGATCCTCCCTCCAAGACGGCTCCTAGCCAATTTCATCGCTGTTCCGGAAGCGAAAGGGTCTGTGGTGACACTGCGGAACAACGCCAACGTCTAGTCTGGGCCGGTCTGTGCCTTTTTCTCCGTGAGGATCTTGTTTTTTGGGGGCTGCGCTGCCGTTTGTGCAATGCCGAGGCCTATCTATAGTCGGCACAGAACACCACGTGTAAATCACGGTGGTAGAGTACCACAGGCCATGAAACTTTATCACGCCAGTCCCCGTTTTTTTCTGGGTTTTTTGGTTTTTTGGTTTTTTGGTTTTGTGGTTTTTTTTTTTTTTTACGTGCAAGCTTCCATGAAGGAGCGGAATCCTGTGGATACTGTCCGAGCGTGACTCAGGTGATTCAAGAGGCTACGGTGTGGGTGGTGTTTTTGTCTTGCCTGCAGGCTGAAAAGGGGAAAAGGGTCATTGCAGTTCTCGATGAGTTGCCCGTGACGCAGAAAGCTGACAAGATATTGTGCTTCTATTCTACCAAGACGTGCCTTGGGCGTATGTGCAAAGACTTTGTGGTCGTGCCGTTGCCACTGCCCAGGCCAGACAAGGCCACCAAGGAGCACATGCCCTCCTAGGCAAAATGGCGTCAACGAATGGTTTCTGCCTTCTTCAACTTGAAAAGTTCTTCCTCGCAGTGCGTTAATGCATCGTATCTGGAAAGTTGGGCGGATTAGTGGCATTCCAAAGCGCGCATCATGAACATGAGTGACCAACTGATAGTCGTGAAGAAGCCGGCCAGAGAATGAGTTGGGCACTAGATTGTATCCTCATGTTAGGGGCTGCTGCTTCAGGTTACGGGGATGGCGTTATACTTGCGTGGCATTCCTGGCTCCATGTAATGACGGATCTGGTCTTGTACAAGATACTCTTTGTTTGCGCGGACGCTGGACAGAATCTGAACCCGCGAGGCGCGTCGCACCCGCAGGCTGTTGAAGAGATCCAGGCGCTTAGGAAGCTCTGCGGCATATTCGACTCCGGCAAGGACACTGCCCAGAACTCCGCCGTCCTCGATGGCTTGGTTGGCGCCCTGTCCGCCGAATGGAAGCATCTGAGACGGGGGTCCGCGGTCAGAGACGTGGAATATAGCTGTGAATCAAAAGCTGTCCCTTACTGGATGAGCAGCATCGCCTATCAAGACGGCTTTCCCAAACGTCCAGGACGATAGTGGTGTCATCGAGAAGAGTGGCCAGCACTTGGTACCTTTGACGTCCCTAGAGTCAAGTCATGGTAAATTTCTCAGTGAGTGTTGATGGCGCGGGAGAGGGGGGGTCGCTGGATAGAAGAGCAAGTTACCTGAGGAGTTGGACAATGTCTGAATCAAAATGCCCAAACTGTTGTAACATCTGAGCTTGCACATCTGCAGCGGCATCTAATTCCGACGTGTCTAGAGACGGATGGATCCCTACAAAATTTTGAACAGTTCCGCTGAACTCATCGCAATTAGCATCTGCGCCGAACAAGTGACGAGCTCGTCGAGGACATACTCTCTGCAGGAATACCACATGATGTGCCGCTCCTTGTCCACGAGCTTGGTGTCAGCTAGCAAGCACGCACCGGCGGTTTTCCACTTCAACAGCTTGCGTCCGTATGCAGTTGCATGCAGCTCTTCGGTTGTGATCAGAAAGCGAAAGGCGCCATGGCCCGTCGAGATCAGGTTGATGGGCTCGGCAACGTCAGGGCCTCCGGTCACTGCATCGCGCACAGCAGAACGCAGCCCGTCGGCGCCCACGATGAGATGGGCATGCTTCACCGTTCCATCAGCAAACTCGATTCGCCCTTGTTGGCCGTCGACCCTCGTCACTGGCGAGGCGAGGTGAATCACGATGCCCTCAATTTCTTGCCCCGTTTCTGGCCCCCTAACTTCAGCGACGCTGGCCAACCTCATGAGTTCCTTGTGCAAGTCTACCCGGTGAACAGCCAAGAGCGGGGCGCCAAACGTATCGGCTGCAGCGCTGAGATCTTGACGGGAAATCCTGGTGAGGTCGATGCCACTCACGATGTCCCAGTCGACTATTTGGACAGTCCTAGCCCGTTTGAAGTCAAAGCCAAGATGCTGAAGCACCTTGATTCCATTCGGCGTCAGGGTCAAGGCGGCACCAATCTCCCCAGAGAAAGCCGAGGCCTCATAGATCTGCCCGTGATGAAACGAGTCAGCTCCCATCATCTCAAGCCCGGAACCACATGGTCACGCACCTGAACCCGGTGTCCCACGCGACTGAGGGAGACAGCGGCAGTCAAGCCGGCAATCCCTGCGCCGATAATGGCAATGTCCAGCGGCATGGTATGGCCTGGTATAATGCAAAGGCTCAGTGTATAGGTTAGGGTTTTCTGAGTTTTTCTACTTTCTTTCTTTCTTTCTTTCTTTTCTTTTTTTTTGGCAGCCTATAATGTACTCGTCACCTGACTCTGATGTGCCAGTGGCTGTTTCTTCCCAAGTTTCCCTCTGTGTCCGGGCGGAGAGTTGGTGTTCCTTTCGGACTCTTTTTATTCCGAAAAAAAGAGGACGCTTCACAGATGAGCTTTGCCAATACATTTGAAGGCTCAGACACACAGCAGCGCGACCCATCATGGCCATATGCAAATGTGGGCATTGCCACATTGGGTTGGCCTTGAAGGGTCCCTGGAATATCGTGTGGACGGCAATAAATGTCAGAGCCAGGGCGCATAGTGTAACTTGCCTTTGTCAGTCTCGCCGTCGTGTTCGCGATGCCGCAAACATTGAGTCCCTAAATGAGCCCATGTGTTTCTCAATCCAGTATTTCGAGTGAATGACTAAGACCACGTCAAGTTCTATTAAAACATTTATCTAGTGTTGAAAGCAGAGACGCTGTACCGTTTCTCTATTCACGATTCAGTTACACATATTGACGCTGATCATAATCATGGTGTGAATAAGATACAGTTGGAGTCATCTCCATGTACTTCGCGGTTCTCTTTGATCGGAGAAGCTGCTCAGGGTAAGCATTACCAGTAAAGATGTCCAACCGACTCACTCTTCGGGGTCTTTGAGGGAGACTTCTATTCTCGTATTCCCGAGGCACTCCTGGTAATTCCTTCTCACTATTCGCGACTGTTTGGAAAGGTCCTCCGTTAGAGGATGGATACAACAACGCAAACACCGGTGCCATCTTATTGCTTCTCCGTGATGTCAGGATCTCGTAGCGGATACCAAGCTTCCCAACCTCTCTCTCGATCTCTTCCGGCGTCCATCTACGCACGGGGCATGAATTTGCAGAGTAGTCTCCTGGTCCACTGGACCCGTTGGGAATGTGGTAGATTTGATCGATGCGGAAAAAAGCATACACAAAGACAATCAGCAGCTCAAACACAAACTGAGTAATGTAGAGCGTGGCTTTGCTGAACAACCTATCGGGGCCGCCCTGGTTGAAGAACACAGCGAGCCTCACAGCTGCTCCAACCGTCATGAGCGACGCACCAAAGACAAGCAAGCTTGCTTTGGCGCGAAAATCGCCAACACCAAAGTTTTCAGGGGTCGGACCTGGCTTGGCGCTCGCCATGAACAGCCAGACCAGAGGCGTGACCGCAAGCATCATGTTCCAGCAACCGCCTATTTTCAGCACCGTCTCAGCCCCCTTCTCCTGCGTTGGTACCAAGGCGTTGATGCACCCGGCAATAAGATTCATCATTGTAACAGCCGGGCAGGACCAGATCAGCAAGAGCGATGTCTGACTGAATGCAGGGTGCCAGCCGATAGAAGGATGCATAGCTCGAATGAGGCGCTGGACAAAAAATAGGTTGATGGCAGAGATGACTACGGCTCTGAAATGTTTGGCGTCAGCTGCGAGCCGAGTGAATGACATGCAAGCGCATACCATGTCATTGAACCAGTGGAGGGACTTACCCGCCGTTTTGGACCATGATGCCAACTAGAACAACACCAGACGTGTGGAGGCCGATATAGGCCCAGAGGATGCGGAAAATGAAGGTGACGACTCGGACCATGCAAAAGTCGAACATCAGACCCGAGATGAGGAATTTATGACCCCGCTTGCTGTTGGCCTTGTACATGTTCATGTGCAAGAAGCCGCCCACGCAGAACAAGAGGAGAAACATGACCGAGACGGGAGCGTCGGGCATGGGCGTCGGAAATCCCCCTAGTAGTCTCTTCATCTGGGCCGTCGGCTTGCCCATCTGCCTCCCAGCGAGGACCAGCTCGCTGGGCAGGACTTGGGCGTTCATCATGTGTAGTGATGCCGCTAAGTTTGACAATAGTGTTTTTTTTGTTGCCTTACAGCTCGAGGAGATGCCGTTATAGGTTGTGGTCAGCCATGCCCTACCGAGCAATGGAGCTTTTCAGAGAAATAAAAATAGCGATCTTGCTTGCCAAGGTTGTACTTTACTATATTCTTTATCATGTACGGTCTGAGTGGCAGGTGGTATATGTATACGGTATACCTGAACTGCCGACCTAAACAGGTAACTAAATAATTGGGTTTTCCATGTGCTTTAAAGTCCAAACCAGGGCATTGTAGTGTAAACTTTAACGGGACTTGGATGACACGTTATATGTTAGATGTACTACTGGACTGCGGCTCTCGGACGGGACGGACGCATTGATGAGTGTGGTTGGTGCACGGACAGGCGACCGGACTCTTTGGCCGGGTTCAGCGGCCCTACTCCATCTCCCTTGGACTACGAATAGTATACGTACTTCATACGGAGTAACTACCATGTACGGAGTAAAGTTGGGACGGTGGGGCGATCCTAGGTTGTTCAATTCGTACCTGAGGGCCAGGAGTCCAGGGACCAGGACAACCTGTGCGTGCGACCCATACTGATATCACGATGGCCTCTGCGGGCGGGGCTAAGGCTTAGACATAAACGGCAATTCAAGGCGCCAGAGCTTAGGGGGCCTTAAGTTGTTGCGGAATCCGCTACCTTTCATCGCGACTACTCGGCTCTCACCGACTTGGGGATTTATCCGCTACATGAATAACAACAAAACAACCATGTAGAGCAACTCCCAACTTATTTTGAAAGCTAAATTTTTCCTAAAAACGCTTCATCGAGTTTTCTTTTTGTGCATCAGGCTTTTACTCGCGAAATTCTGCGCTTCCCCTCATGCCATTGTAGATATATTACGGGCAACTCTCTAAAGCCGATGTTGCAATTATCTGCTGTCAATTACAGCATACCCAGGAGCATCACTGCAACTTTCTCCAACGTCCTTTGCAGAGTTTTATAGCATCGGCAGGGAATGCCTGGAAGAAAATTGTCATAATATAGTAGCGAGGCATCGGACAGAAATGTATTCTGTACAATTGTATCCACATACACTCCGCTGGCGATTACTGAATAACCCAATGCCGTGTTAAGTCGTGTGTCTCATTTGATATTCTAATACTTTATCATCAGCCCAATGCGTGCTCCCGTGGATATATCTACAACTCTAATTAATTGCCCTCTATAGTTATTCTTCTATTCACATATTAAAAATGTACAGCAAGGGCTGGATCACGACGGTGCGTGATGTCAGGGCTTGGAGCAAAAGACGCGACGTTATACATCTGACACAAGTGCCTGTCTTATGCCTTGATGACTCGCTGCCAATGTGATTGTCGGCCAGGGGTGATGCCAACGACCGCATCACGCAAAAGATGGCTCATCTGCGACATCTGCCTTTGATTAGTGAAAATGTATGCTTGCACATCCATCAATACTTACATGAGGATCATTCATCATTGTTAAATGCGTCCCAGACTGAGTTCCAATAGCAATCTTCTTGCTAGGCACCAGTTCTTCCCATCCATTCGGCCCCAGATTGTCCTTGCCTTGCAGCACAAACCTGGATACTTTGACGCTCAGATCGAGACCACACTTGGCCAACTCGTCTTGATCTAACACGCCGTCGCGACTCCAGATGATGTACGTCTCCATCCCCCCGGCCGAGTCGATTGGTCGCGGGCTGTAGTTACCCACGGCAGCCAGCGTGAAGCGGAAATGCTCGACAAGCCATTGTGGCACCTCCCGTGAGCCCCAGTTGCCCATGAGATTTCGAGACGAGAGGTAATTGACGACTTCCATAGACAGAGGCTCAAAGATGTTTCGGGACGGTGAGTCTATCAGAATCAACCTGTCCACGGCGTGTCCATCCTGTAGCAGACGTTTGGCGACTTCGTACGAGTAGTACCCCCCGGCGGACCATCCACCGACGCTGTAAGGTCCCTGTGGTTGCCGGCGGTAGATTTCGAGGACCCACTTGGCAGCTAGATCTTCAACGGAGCAACGGTATGAGCCGGCCTCACGTAGGTATGGGCTGTTCATCCCGACGACGCAAACTTCTGGGTGGATTAACGTGAGGTTTGCGTACGCCATGGCAGAGCCGCTGCCATCTGGCAAGAGAAATACGGTATGGCGGCTCGAGACCGGGTCATTTTGCAGAAGTATGGAAAGGGGAACAGGAGTTGCCTTGCGATCCAGCTTAGTTGTTGGTGCTGGCGTAAGGGTGGGAGCAATGGTGAGGTGAATTGACGTCTCGTAGAAACGACGCAGAGCACCAACGGTGGGCTTTTGGTTGAAGATGTCTTGTGGAAGAGCCTCTCCTCGAGGCCCTCGGAGATGCGACAAAATAGCCGTGGCGAGAATACTGTCGACACCAAGCCTGGCAAACTCCATGTCGTCCGTCTCGAGGATCTCTGCGGGCTCCAGTCCGCTCTCCTGCGCAATGATTTCAAGCGCATCTTGCCACAGAGTGACACTCATGACGAACAATATTGTTGAATTATCTCGAGGGTGATGGGACGGTAATAGAATATGTGCGCTGTCAAAGTCGGGTCGAGCACATGTTGCTGACATTATTTATGTCCGTGGTAAAATGAATGCATTTGCTTTCCCAAAAGCCGACCAGCACATCTTCTGCCACAAGCTCCAGCCTCCATGTTCTGAGCGTGATGAGACAAACTCCGGCACCCAGTTTTCGCCCGATGATGGATTTCAGCCCGGTTTCAGGACGGCGACGGTGCCCTGAGCGGTCGGCCCAAGTTTTATGCGCGCACACCTGCTGCTGGGCGACCTGAACTCTCAGCTTGAGCCGACGACAATATTACTGTATCAGGTTTCAGCTGCGTTTGACGCACCGGCGCTGGAGGCATCGTGGCCGGGTGAAATTGCCTGGGGCGCTTTTTGCTAGGTGCGCAGGATCCCCACCACGACCTGATTTTTAGGCGGTCAGTCCTGCTGCCAGGCCCCATAGTATATTCTAGGTATAAATATATAAGCAATAAATGCACTTAATAAAATATAAAGGTAGTTATATAATTGTATAAATTTCTTAGTAGCACTACTTTAAGTAGGCTTTAAATTACTTAAATATATAATTTCTAGTGTTTTTACTTAATATATATACTTCTAGACTAAGAGCGGTAAATTTAGAGGTAAATTTAAGGAATTTTAGAAGCTTTTATTAGCTATCATAATATATAATATCAAAGAAGGAAAAATACTACTACCTACTAAAAGATTTATACAGCTTATAGCCTTATTAAAAAATCTATTAATTTTTATTAAAGCTTTTTAGTATTAAGTAAAGCTGCTATATGTTTATACCTAGAATATACTATAGAGCTTAGCAGCAGGCCCAACAGCCTAAAATCAGAGCGTAGTGGGGATCCTGCGCACCTAGCAAAAAGTTGCTGCGCCCTGAGCAATCCACGTGGCCGGTACTATGCTGTTCTAAATTCGGACCGTGACTGCGGAGGAACCGGTGCCACCGGGTGAACTGAAGTCGCGCCTCCGGGAGCGCCTTCGCCGTCAATCCGGCCTGTGCCATCAACCATCAAACGCCACCGTCGAGGCCCGACCGTGCTTAATCCAAGCGACGCAAGTACCGCAAATGGACTGGACTATTTTGATGCTTAGTCCAGGGCAGCCGTGATTGCCTACGTCACGCTTGTCTCCTGTTTTTCTTTGCCCGTCGGTGAGACGCAACAGGTTTCGTTGTCCTTTAGACTATCATTATTGATGAAATCTTTCCTACCTTGGGCCTCATGTAGCTCTAGCTCGAGCTTGAGCCCCTTATTGGTGTATGTTCGCATTGAGACGAAACTGCTGCAGTCCTCACACCATTGAGCCTTGATACACGGCCTGCACCATGCGAGCTCCAGCACCAAAAAGGCACGACGTCGCCGTCATCGGGATATCGTGCCACTTCCCGTGCGGAGCAGATACAGCAGACCAATTTTGGGACTTCATCTGCAATGGGCGCAGTATGTACCCACTGTCCTTTGGAAGAGACTTCATCACTGCCCACGTCAGAGCAACACTAAGAAGACACAGCTTTATACTCCGAGGACATCGATGGGTCGGCGACGCATGCTGTCCACAGTTATGACAAGGAGATCAACATCGACTTGATCCCCGGAGGACACACTACAAAACGACATGTTGCCTCACTCGATGCTAGCTTTTGCAACCTCTCCAACGCCGAGGCCGAGTCCATGGATCTCCAGCAACGGATCATCATGGAAGCGACGTACGAGTCCATAGAAAGCGCAGGCCTTGAGGTCGGCCAGCTCGCTGGCTCCCGAACCGGCGTTTTTATTGGGAGTGTCACGAGTGATTACCGCCAAATGCCGCACCACCATGCCGAGACGGTACCTCTCTACAACCTCACAGGCGCTAGCAACACGCCAACCTCTGACCACATCTCGTGGTTTTTCGACCTCCGCGGGCCCAGCGTTACTACCAATGCGACCTACTCGTCTAGTCTAGTAGCCTGTCATCTCGCTTGCCAAAGCCTCTGGAGCGGCGAGTCGGAGATTGCTATTGTGGGCGGCACTAACCTGCTGCTGAACCCTGACATGTTTCTATGCTGCCACAACCGACAGGCCCTAGCCCCCAAGGACAAGCGCAAAAGCTTGGACGAGTCAAGGGGCGGCTACTCCAGAGGTGATGGTGTTGGCGTTGTCATCTTGAAACGCGTTGCTGACGCCGTCCGCGACGCTGATCCAATCCGCGCCGTGATCCGCGGCAGCGGATGCAATCGAGATGGCCATACAAAGGAATTTACCACCCCCGATGTGGAGGCACAAACCTCCCTCATTGTGGAAACGTACCACAGTGCAGGTCTTTCCCTTGCCGAGACGCGCTATGTCGAGGCTCACGGGGCTCCCATCTCGTTGGGCGACGCGCCTGAGATGGAAGGCATCGCGCGTGCATTCAGCCCGCGCCGGGTGGCATCAGACAAGCTTCTGGTTGGATCGATTAAGTCTAGCGTGGGACATCTTGCAACTTGCGCTGGGCTGGCCTCGCTCATCAAGAGTGTCTACATCTTGGAAACGGGGGTGATACCACCGACGCAATGTGCCTGCGATGTCAAACCCAAGGTCCGCTGCGAAGAATGGCATCTCAAAGTCCCAACAACAAAAGCACCTTGGCCAGCCGAAGGTCTGCGTCGGATCAGTACCCATGGCTTCGGATATGGCGGTACAAATGCACATCTGATCCTGGACGACGCAGCCCACTATCTCGAGGCACGGAACCTGAGAGGCCACCACTACACCCGCATACGGCCTCAACCCCAGAGGCTTTCAACCTCGGCAGCCTACAGAGAAGAACCGAAAGTAAACCCGCCGCGGTTATTTCTGTTCCAGGCAAGCAATCGTGAGGGCCTGGGGCGACTGCGCGCGTCGTTGGCGCAGCATCTCAGCCAGCGCCTAAAGTCATGGCCAGAGGACTCGAGGGACAGTGCTGTACATCTCCAAAAGATAGCCTTTGCTCTCGCGAGCCGACGTTCTCATATCAATTGGCGGACATACGCTGTGGCCTCCACTCTAGAGGAGCTGCTCAATGTGCTCAAGCACGGCGAAAGGGCATGGGCGACTCCCGAGGTCCGCGGTGCGGCGACATCCCTTCGACTCGGCTTCGTATTTACCGGACAAGGTGCGCACTGGGCTCGCATGGGACTTGATCTCATGGTTTACCCAGTGTTCCGCCAAAGCGTCGAGGAATCTGATCGTTTCCTGCGCGAGGCCCTCGGCTGTAGCTGGTCTGCCGTTGACGAGCTGGCAAAGCCGCAGACCGCGTCCCGTCTCGCCGAGGCAGCCTACAGCCAGACCCTCTGTACTGTGCTTCAGATTGCCGTCGTCGACTTGCTGGAGGATTGGAATATATCTCCCACGCGTGTAGTCGGGCACTCGAGCGGCGAAATCGCTGCTGCTTACTGCTTGGGGGCCCTGACCAAGCACGACGGCCTCAGGGTTGCCTACTACCGCGGAATCCTGTCCTCAGAGATGCGGCAATCACAGCAGGATCAGCGAGGAGCCATGTTGGCCATAGGGGCTTCCCGTGGGAGGGTAGAGGAATGGCTGGCGCAGCTGACCCGGGGAAAGGTCGTCGTCGCCTGCATTAACTCGCCGACGAGTGTCACGGCATCTGGTGACGAAGAGGGCAATGACGAACTTCTTTCAATGGTGCAGCGGGCCGGCGTGTTTGGTCGCAAGCTGCAGGTGAATGTGGCATATCATTGTCACCACATGGAGTCGCTTTCTACTGCATACGCTGAGCTTCTAAAGCAACTTGAGCCGCTCCAAGCGCGCAAGGGACGTGCCATGCACTCGAGCGTCTTGGGCGGCGTAATCGAAGCTGCGGAACTCGGTGCTGCCTACTGGGTGCGCAACCTGGTCTCCCTGGTACGCTTCTCCGAAGCCGTCTCGAGCCTCATTTCCCACGAGGACAGGCCAGCAGTGGATGTGCTCGTCGAGATCGGACCACACCCTGCGCTCAAGGGACCCGTCCAGGAGATACTACATGCTCAGGGTGTGTCCGCGGTCAAGTACATGTGTGTCATATCTCGCGGACGCGGAGGAGGCGTCAAGTCGGCTTTGACGTTGGCTGGCGAGCTTGTCCTCTCGAATGTCCCCGTTGAAATAGGTCACGTAAACCTCGACACCGATCTGCCACCGAGTCTGCTCATGGATCTGCCCCCATGCCTCTGGAACTGCTCTGCCAGATCCAGGGCCAAGAACCGTCTCTCCAAAGACTACCGGCTGCGCAGGCACGCCCACCTGCCACTGCTTAGAAATTCGCGTCTCACTACATGCGGCAGCGAGAGATGTTGGCGTGGCGTGGTGACGCTGCAGGACTCGCCCTGGATCCGGGACCATCAGATTCAGGGGTCTATTCTGTATCCCAGCACCGTATTTTTGACTATGGCCATTGAAGCTGCGTCAAATAAAGCAAACGAAAATCGGAAAATGAGCGCCCTCCGAGTGACAGGTGTACACTTCGACGATGCGTTGATGGTGACCGAGGACAGCACAACCGAGGCAATTTTGCGACTCAGGACGTTACCCCTCCCAGCGGCTAGCAGCCAATCGCCCTGGATGGAGTTCACCGTCAGCTCATCTATTGAAGGAGGTGTCTTGCGTCAGAATTGCGCTGGCCTGATCATGATCGAGTATGAAATTGACGCAGACCCGTTTGTGGACAGCGGACGTACCTTGGAGTCGGACATGGTTCGTGATGGGTACAAGAAAACAGACTCATCGTGCCGGCAATCAGTCGAATTGGGCAAACTCTACTCACGTCTTGCACCTCTCGGTCCTGACTATGGGACAACCTTTGCAAACATGACAGAGATTCGAAAGACAGGCGAGGGCCAGTGTATTGGCACTGTCCGCCTGGTACCACCGGCACATGAGAGCCACCCTCGTTTAATTCATCCAGGAACGCTGGATGCTGTGTTCCAACTTGCGTTTGCTGCGCTCGAAGACTCTTTGCTTCTGGGGCCCATGGTCCCAAGTAAAATTGACGAGGTAGTCATTGCAGCAGAAATACCAAACAGTCTAGGCGCTCTGCTTCACGGAGTCCCGCAGTCCTCCCTCCATGACCCCCGGGAGCTCGTCTCCGACATTGACATGCTGGATGACGAGAGTAGTAGGGTAGTTGTGCAGATCAAGGGGCTCCGTTGGGCTGACGTTTCCGGCGGTCGCATAACCCCGGCAGCAGCGGCGTCGTCAGAGACTCGACCCATCGGCTTCCGCGTCGAACGGAAACCGGCAGCCGATTTGCTAGCCGGGGAGCAGCTGCAGACATATGTTGGCCGTCTCGCCGAGCAAGGGGATGTCCCAAACCTCGCTCGTGCCGCGACACTGAATAATCATGTTGGCCGCCTGGCCACATGCCGGTCCGCCCAGGCAGCGGGCATAAGCACACCGTTCTACTTCGATGACCCCCGGTTCTCGATCCTTGCGCAGCCACGCGACTCGGACGTTGCGTCGTCGTCCACATCGGACGCTGGCGATGGCAGTGCCGGCGAGGTCTCTGTCCGAACGCAGCTCTCTCAAGCTCAGTCGGTAGCTGAAGCAGTCGCCGCCATTCAGGCTGCGCTCCTCGAGCGCGTGGCACGAACCCTTCAGATCGCCCTTCTGGACATCGATCCATCCAAGCCACTCCACTCTTACGGGGTTGATTCTTTGGTGGCTGTGGAAACTGTCAAGTGGACGATCAAGACGCTCGACGCGAAGCTGACAGTGTTCGATCTTCTGTCCAATGAGCCCGTCACAGCTTTGTGCGAGAAGATTGCGTCTATATCTACTTTGGTCAAGTTGACTAGTTGAGTTTGGCTTAATTCTTCGGGAGATTCTACTCCATCTTGGGCGGGAAATTCGCTATACTCTGTGCATCCGCTTTCGACGCGTTTGGACATTAATTTATATTCAATAGAAAGAGCTTTTCTCCTCCAGGCTTCGTCTAGCTGCATTCATGTTGACATTAATGTGTGTCTGGAAACTATAATTTGTCTCGGGTATTCTGCCATTCTGTCCTATATAGCGTACCCAAATGTATATACATGCATTGTTATCAAAACGGGGTTCCATAGCTTTTTTTGATTTGCCAGATTCTCATCGAACGGCGTTTCGGTTAATTACTACCTCGGCGCAGTGTTGATCTTGTTCTAATAGCGATGTCTTTCTGTTGCAAAGTGCCTTCCGTCTCCGCCAGAATTTCGGGGGCTAGATATGAAGTTATCTCGAGCTCGCCGTCCTTCTTAAACATGCAGCTGATATAAGTTTGTATCGATCTGCTCCCGTCGAGCTGTTTCTTCTCGCAAAGTTCGTGGACCATAGAGACATAGCCTTCACAGTATTGGCCTCTGCCATGCTGCTTCATCCAAGCCGTAATACCATCGGCTAAGCTGTTATCGCCAGGTCCGTAATTCCTTACCAGAAGATAGAGTTTGACGTCTGGAAGTGTACCCCTAGCGCCAATATCAAAATAATACATCATACCATGCAGCAATATCGGCATATCAGCAAATGCAACCTCGACATTCTTGTGCTGGGCCCGGAGTGGTATTTCTGCATCTTCGGCGAAGTCCGGAGTCAACCCCGTCGCCGAAGCAATTAGAGTTTTTAAATCTTGGAACTTGGCTTCCGGGACGTCAATACGTCCGCCAAGAGTCATTATTTCCCGTACAGACTTGAAATTGGTACGTGGCGTGTGACAATAGAGCTTGAGCCGTGACTCGACTGGAGCGACATTGTCTACGGCTACTAGGCTGTTACATCTAAGTTAATAGGGGAACGAGCAAGTTAGTCAATCTCTAAGGATCTGCACACTTACAATACATTTAGCAATCTTCCTTCTGTATTCGACTCCAGAAAATCGTACACAGATTGCTGAGCTGCACTTTTGAAGTCCAATATACTTAAACTGTCTTTAAACAAAGACATAGGAATGCGTCCGAGGGTCTGACCCAACTTGCGCGGAAGAATGTATGTTTTCAACATTGGTTGTACGCCCTTGAATTCGACAGCTATCATTAATGTTGTCGAGGTAGGTACACCTGCTTTAGTTTGCTGGGCATATTCGAACCTATTGGCATCGTAAAAGGTCGATACAAAGTGATCCACCATACTAGTATCGAGTGACGGTATCGCAACCTTAAGCCGATGTAGAAGCTCACGCGTTGCATCGTGGTTTAACGGGTCTAGCTCGGTGCCACTGAAGCGGCCAATAGGCTCAACACCGTATCGAACTTCTGGCTTCTTCGTAGCGCTGTTCCATTTCCAGGAATACTCTATTGGCAAGCCTTCAACCCCCAACACAGAGGACCACTGCCTTTCGCTGAATGTATCAAGGGCTTTGCCTAAGTATGGTACCTGGAATTCTGTTAGTATTACATTTATCGACCTGGAACGCTTCCTTCATTGCAGCACTAGCAACTGACAATCCAATGATAATGAAATAACAGCGCATCGTACTGCCTTTCCGGAGAATATTGAGCGGCTTCTAGCATTGCCGCTAGATGCGGCCCCGTCTTTTTCCACCAGAAGTCTTCATCGGAGTTGCGAGGTGGCAGCAGCTTTGATAAAGATCCCCAAGCCTTGGAATCTTGCAATAGGTTTTGAGCCATCGCTAAAGGATAGCTGGTCAAAATGTCAAGAAATAGCTTAACGAATCTAGAATCAGAGTCACTAGAATGTAACTTGTCAAGGACAAACAACCTAGCCAGGAAGTAGTTGACGTTTAACGCCATATATACATGATACGAATCGCGCTATGGCCTAGTCAATACATTGCTGCGACCTTTAGCGCGGCGCACTGGCCTTGACTTTATCCCCACTAACTCTCGAGCGTTAGGCAAAGCTGAACTTTAAACCTTCCAGGTCCAGTCTACCTGCGGTCCAACCCAAAATACTGCATTCCTAGAGGCAAACATGAGCTAGAACGCACGTTTATATTCATGCGGTAGTGATCCTTCTAGGTTTTGTGGCTGATATTAGCTCAAGTTGACTCTTTTGTGTATCCTACGATATGTATCCAAGCGTAATTTTTCAATCTGTCCCTGCTTTTCTCATTTAGTACATTGCGTTTACTAGCAGTTATATATCGTAGTCGATAATAGCTATACCTTATATAGCTTAATGCCGAAAGGGCTCTATTTCGCTATAAGAAATCTGTTCTCTAACTATGTTCATCTAATAGTTGCACTACGGCTGTTCACATAGCTACGCAAGGGCGATAAACAAGGGACTTGTAGCAGAAGGTTTCTGCATCTATAGAAATTTGGGAGCACGGGGATCTCGTTAAAAACTGTAACTATAGCATTAATGTTTTGTAGAGCTAAGTTGAATAGCTCTCTATCCCTATTAGCTCCTTAAGATAAAAGATATATAGATAATTAATCCTTGACCTACTAAGTTGGACTCCAATTCGGCGGTAGCCGTTCTAGAAGCAAGGTCTATTTGTGATGATAGAATTACGGCGTGGAAATCGTCGATGCTTAGCCTGCAAGACACTATATGATACTTTTGCGCTATTTAAGTCGGCATTTCGAAGCCTTTATACTTGCAGCCTATCTTAATTTCTGCAGACTAGAAAGGTACGTGTAATAAGGGCTTTTATTACAGCAGTGTCGGATAAGGGCTTTGAACATTACGCGGCTTATTTGAGTATACAACAACTTGAGTTTCCTAAAACGTCTTTGCGGCCACAGCACTGCCCTAAGTCTAGTGACTATAGCTCTTGTGCTACTTATGTCCGTGTAACATTACATTACAATATCTATTTCTCCTAACATAATGTATTAGTTATACATGTGCTTTAAGTATTAACTTAACTTACTTGTGTATTATTACAAGAGAAGAATTTCGAGGACAAAGAAAGCAAAAAGAAAGTGTTTAAGTCTAGAGCTGCGCTCAACCTTAATAGATGCAATACAGTAGATAACATACCCTACCTCTTCGTTGACCACCTACATCGTGCTAGATGAGCGAGCCTAGGGCAGCTCGTTCATTACGTTGAGTACTCTTTTGGCTCAACGGTCAGCGCTACCGGCAGCTAGGGAGGTCCGGAACACTACCGGGATAACTGTGGCTAGCACCCGCAATAGCTCTTAAAGTCAGTCCATCACAAGAACGTGGAATATTGCGAAGCAGAGACTGCCTGTAGAGTAGTCTTATTTCATTCCTAATATATATCCTCTGCAAGGTGTCTTTACACTTTGCATTTCCCTACAGCGTAATTGTATTTGCAATTAGACAATGACTTATTCTTTATAAGAAGGTCTTATAGTAATTAACTAGTTTCTAAAATGCAAGAGTAAAAGATACTAATAAAACATTCTAGGGCTGTTGTTATAGTTCACGCAAGAAATAAGGAAAATATATTACCTGCGCATATAGCAGCGCTGCCTGTAAGGGGAACTAGTGCTAGAAAAAGGCTACTAAACAACAAGTCTATTGCCTTTACTAGTATGCATGCAGCGATTTCTTATACCTGCGTCTTAGCGACTATTTCTGTTAAGAAATCAAACAGTTATTCGCAGCCTCCAGCAATCGACTTTGAGCAGGTAGGAGCTGAGCGGCAGATAGAAGAAGGGAAGTTTAATTTATGCAGCGAGAGGTCTGTAAGGACAGCTTATTAAAATAATAACATTTCTAATACCACGCTCTTTAAATAGCTTTCAAGAAAGTGTTGAGTTTGCTAGCGAAGTAGCTTAAGAAATTTTTTTTTACTTTAATTTTATGTCCTAGAGCAACTAGACGCTCAAAGCGCTGCCTCCCTGCCTAGTTGCCGTAAACTCTAGCTAATTCTGCTTATTGCAGATAACTCTCGAAATACAATAGCACTCTAGTATAACAAAGAGAATTATACAGTCTGTTAAAAAGATTATCGTTAAGTTAATTCCCTAGGACTAGAATTCTCCCAGACTAAAAGAGTCAGGTAGTATTGGCGTCTAAGTAGTAAGTGTAAGGTATTGTGACAGAGCAAGAGGATAAGATAAAATAACGGAATACGCTCACAAGTATGTAGTGACTAATTAATTAAGCTAGACGAAAGATAGATAGAAAGTTTGTCTCCTACTCTAATAATAAGACCTGCGGGGTAAGGTCTGTCTCTTCTTTTGTGCGAAGACTCTAGTAGTGTATAGAGAAAATAAAAGATACTTAATTTCACACTTAATTTCTACTGTAATAGAAGTCCTGTGAAGTCTAAGCTACGAAGAGCTATATTACACATATCGCAGCCCTGACATAATTGACGGGCTGCCTAGCGGCGATTCAGGGCATTATTAGACGGGGCTCTAAGGGGCTTTTTAGAGCTCTGCGAGCGTGGCTGCCTAATACATAACTCTTGTGAGTAGCTTCATGAAGTTGGCGTTGAGGTCTGCACGTGAAGTGGGCCCTAATATCTTCCGGCATGCCTCTGCGGTCTCCTGGGCAACGTACTGTCTGCATTAAGACGCTGCACAATTGCAGCGCGCTCGACGCTTTTTTTCGTTCAGGACCACAAGATATCTACTAAGCGCATTGCCGAATTATTATAGTGGACATCTATAGGTGGATTGCTGCAGTTGTTTCCTCTCAAGCTGAAGTTAAATGTCTCCTTGACATTCCATCAGCTTAGTCGCAACTTTACAAGCGAAGTCACCCTCTCTCACCAGATCCCAGTTCCATGGATGAGTTATCGACTCCAACGAAGAGGAGAAGACAGGATGATGCAGACCGGACACCAATAGCGACGATTTCAATGCGACCCGGACCTTCAAGAACAGATTCTGCGTCACCTATGAAATCATCCACGAGTATCCGATCTAGCTCACAAGCATTATGAGCCCGCCGCAAGTTTTCCTCCCTACAGGTCTACGAAGAAGTAATTCTCCCGCGACAACTTAGCGGTCTTGAGACTCGAAATCTCCCCTCAGCAATTGAGACGGCATTGCTAAGGATCCGACAGATCAGTCGCTGCAAGGAATCCTGTCGCCAGCGTTAGATCCGGCTAAGTTTGAGATATTTAGACGTAGCCACGACCTTGACATGAATATCTTCGCTATGTCGGAGATTCATGGCAGTAAACTTACCCCTGAGGAGGTGTTGGAAATTGCAGAACGCGCGCGTCGCTGCCTCGAGAAGAATCACGACGAAGACGATTAGACCTGTGACGTCCACCACTCTCTGTTCAAGAAAATATTCCGCAATGCGCGTCTAAATACTCAGCAGCAACTTGTAGACTTCAGTGAATAGTATTCTCAGCCTCCTAGTCCTACGTTTCTTTTTAGATCCCGCTAATAGCTTTATATTTTACAGTACAAACGCCTAGATTATCCGAGAATACTTACTGATACTAGCGCCTAATCGACGCATTAATATATTTACGTATAGCAATACTGCAGCCAACTTAAATTATGCGGCTAGGATTAACGAAAGATGAAAAACACTGCCTAAACAAAGCATAAATTACACTTTATGCATCGCTCTGCGTGGTTGCCCTCTTTCATGCAGCGTAGAGATTAAAAGGCCTGGCAATTACTTTCATAGTTACGCTTAATAATTAACACCTATAGTACTGGCAAGGACTAGTTGCACTCTTTCGAGTAGTAATACTAGCCCTAGACACTTAGTGCGAGCTTGTTATTAGCAGCGCTGTGCCGGAGGAGTCCTACAAGAGCCTAAAAATTTAAGCAATGCAAGGCTTTGTCACTGACGAAGGGGAAAGGCTAGAAGAGCAGGACGCCGCTACTCGTGCTAAGCTGTACTTATTTAGACATAACTAGCAACATTGCGCTTTAACTAACGCAAAGAAAATTAACCGCAGAATAACTCTAATAGTATCCGATTCTCTTCCCGACACAGAATAGATAAATACCTAGACAACATCTAAGGAGCATGCTTAGGTTGGTGCGGCAACTAAAAAGTAGAGAAAGTTGTGTCCTAATAGTGCGATTTGCACACTTATTAGTAAGAGGGTATTATTAGTGCTATCTAGAGAAGAAGAAGCAAACTTCTAGTTATACCGTAATATATTATTTGTATTTTTTTATGTACTATTAATAGAATTCTAGGCATTTAGATGTATTAAGACGTTGTCTCCGCTAAGCGTGTCCGCCTTGCTAGGATAGTGTTGCGTTGCCACGGAAACAAGATGTCTATTTTGCACGTTAGAGGACAAATATTAAATTTGTAAACCTTGTTCGCTTAACGCTAGCTATCTTCCCTTCCAACATACAAGAGTAGCCCTGAGGACAACTACAGTATGGCCGAGTTCTCGGTAGGAAACATCTGTTCATGGCTTCTGGATCTGCCAGAGTTATTTGAACATCCACCAGAGCCACCAAACCCCGCTCCCGCAGCATGGTCGACTGGAGCAAGGAAACGGAAAGCAGACAAGCAACTGACGCCTCCCACAACACCATATAATATGGACGACGCCGACGTAACAACCCCGAGAAAGCGACCTCGCCAGCTTAGACAGAGCGAAGATGTTGAACTCACTCAGCCTCCTCCGCGGCGCACTGCGAGAGCTTGCTCTACTTCCTCCAGTAGCCAAGCCTCACTCCAATCGCGTTCGCCTTCGCCCCTCAAGAGACAACTCATGGCGCTGCGCCTCGATGAATGTGGCCTTGAGTTCAGGCAGCTTCAGATTGATGAGCCACCTATTCCTGCGGTCATTGATCTGTTTTCTGACCTTCGCGACATCGGTAATGGTATCGAGATCCTTCCAGAAGATCTGCGTATCTCCATTACGAACGGCCTATCGATCAGCGGGCCGACTGCTCACGCGTGGCGATTCTCTTTTAGAGCAGATTCTTTATGTGACTTGCCTTGCTGTATTCCTTCTCCGGAGGCTATTATTTTGGTGCGTGAGTGGGCTAAGAAATGCCATGAATCTGAACACGAGGAGGCGGCTTAGGGTGAGGAAGTCCACCACCGACTGTTAGAAGCTGTATTCCGGAACTCATACACGGACAAAGGACAGCAATTCGATTTCACCTCGTGGTATGTTGACTTTCCTCACAACCCTGCGCATGCTTACCAACAAAGAACTAGCCAAACTGCTCGACCACATCAAAGATGGCTCCCGAAATCTGGGAGAGCTAACATGATCGACAAATGCATCTACTATAATACCAGCGAGGATACCAGCTACGCACAGGCACTGCGAGAGCTTTCCAGACGTGCACCAACACTGACCGTTAACCACACGGATTTTGCGGCACTACAGCTTCAGATAATAGTAGTGGGTATCGAAGTGAAGAAGAGGGGGGGCAGGCCAGACGCAAAACTGCAGATGGGCACTTGGCATGCTGCGCAATGGGCGTTCTTGCGATGGGCGGTCCTTGCGGCGCTGCAACGTGGTAACCCTGACGAGGATTTAGTCACGTTAGAAGAGCGAGCCGATAAAAATCTTTCTAAACTTCCCTTCCTTATAGGTATTGTTGTCCAAGGCCATTCGTGGGCATTTACTCTATCAACGCGCGAACAATTAAAGACTATTAGTTGGGAGGATTATCGTTTTGGGACTACAGAGAATAACCTCGACATTTGCAAGGCTGCAGCAGGGTTGAGACGAATCACAGTGTATGCGAAGGAAGTATACGTGCCATGGTTTAAACAATCCATTTTAGACGAGTTTAGAACTACTAATAACTAGTATATAGACTTAACTATACTATACAAGTTATACTAAATTATAATATTACAGTATAGCTGTGTAGTTGTTAAAGACTAGCTAAAGACTAGCCTTACAGGCAACTACACATAAGCGTTACTAATATTTACTATAAACTTAGAAAGAGAGAAGGAAGAAAAGGAGAAGTTCTCTATCTCTCTTTATTATGCTATTATATAAAAAATATAGGTTTTGAATATAGATCTAAAAAGTATTTAATAAAGCACTTATATAGTGTTTTATATATACTTAAGCTATAAGCTTTAAGACTATTATATACTTTTATATCTAAAGGCTCTTATATATATATAGTTATAAGTAGTAAGAACTTAACGTATAGTAGGACTAGATTATAGAGGTAAGTATATAGAGTTTATTTACCTTAGTAACTATATACTTTAGCCTCTTATTTTTATTTATAGTATATATTTAATATACCTCTACTTTATAAATAGCTTACTTACTAGATGCTATTTAATAACTAATACTATTTTTATTATTATAGAAAATTTATTTTTCTTAAAAAATTACTACTTTCTTATCTACTTATTATTTCTAGCTTACTACTATCTTAATAGAAAATTATACTACTACTTTTATATATAATAGTTATTCTCTTAATTTTTATATTACTCTTACTGTAGTTTTTTGCTGTTAATAGTATATACTATTAAGGACTAGCCTTACAGGCTACTGCGTGTAAGCGTTACTAGTATTAACTATAAACTTAAGGAGAGAAAAGAGGGAAAGGAGAAGCTCTCTATCCCCTCTTTTCCTCCTATTATATATATATAGGTCTAATATGCATCTAAAGCATACTTAATAAGGCACTAATATAGTGCCTTATACCTACTTAAGCCCCTACAGCTTAAGTCTATTCTATTATATACTCTCCTTCTAGTAGGTTTGTCTGTATTGCTGCTATATAGTAGGGACAGATGTATAGTGTAAATCCCCCTAGCAACTGTACGTCTCTACTCTATGTTTTTTGCGTGTAGTATATACTTAATGCACTTCTGCTTTGCAAATAGTTTAGCAACTTTATACTGCTTATTCTTATTATTTTCCTCTTAATAAGCATTACTAATACTCTTTTTGTGCTACTAAAAATTCTTATTTCTAAAGATTACTGCTGCTATACCTGCCTTCTTTTTCTATATTACTTCTATATTGCTCCTGCTATTCTAAGCATAATATAGTATATACTACGCACTTAATTTAGTTTTAAAGAGTCTGCTGCTAGCGCGCCCCCTCCCCTGCCCTTACTGCCCCTGCTGCTATACTATAACGCCTACTATATAGGCAAGTATGCTATAAAAGGCAACTCTAATAATAATAACCTCTTTAATAGAGAGAAAGTTCTAGAAATATATACACTATATTAGCGTAAGCTTATTAATACTAGCTCTACTAGTTGCATCTCTAGCTCTACTACAGCCTGTAAGTAGTGCTGTAAAACCTATAAGAGGTGCGTCTAGAAGGCGCACCTTTATACTTTAAACTTTAAGCTATACTGCTAATAGAAGAAGGTGTAGTAAATTGCAAATGCTAGCAAGTATATTATATCTACTATATACAAAAAGTTAAGTAAGAGCTTTAGTATATATACTAAATTTTCTATATAGTTTAATTCTGCTACTAAAAAATTCAATATATTATTAGAGCAAGCCTATATTACTTCTAGTTCTATTTATTTCTTATATATACTGCTTAATTTATCTTCTAGTAGTGCAGCTACTAGCACTAATTTGTAGGCACTAGCGCTTACTAGCGCATTAATGCCTACCTGCTGCAGGTATATACTGCCTCTAAACTAGCAGATACTAGTAAGTTTTTTCTAGAGCTAAGCTACTATAGCTTAGAATGTTAAGCAAATACTACGCAAGCAGTAGGCAGAGCAGGCAGAGTTGCACTATAAATACGCTAACTAGTAGAAGCTAACTTATACTCTAGTTAATGCGCTTTATAGAGAGGCAACTCTCTATAGCTAATATATTTGCTTT